TAGATTTATCATAGGTCACAGCTGTAGACACTAGAATGAAAAAAGATAGTATGTCATCAGAACATGTTTCATGAGAACAGCCCAAAACGAAACCATAAAACACACAGCAACTCTTGGTCAACAGCATGAGAAAGGAATAACAAACTCAGATATATGTTCCAACAGTGAGTGAATTGCAAGCCTCCAAACTTTGGCAAAACACAAAATTCTCAACAATACATTTTAATTTCAAAGTTCTGAAAGTAAAATAATTTTTTATACGAAGTTACTGGTACTGGGGAAATGTTCTGATACACTTTTTAAACATAAGATACGATACCTTGTTGGCGAATCTTAGCACACTGTTGCACAACACAAATTCCGATGTCCTGAAATGTCTTAGAAACTTCACCTAGAGGATCAGCTACCACTTCAGGCGTTCCACTATCTCCAGAAGCAGATAGCTGCCAGATATATGTCATCAAAATTTTAAATAGGTTCCTGTGTAGGACATATATCACATAGACAAATATTTTCCGGCTTTTTATACTAATAGAAACAAATATGATTGACAAAGAAATATAGGACTTACAGTTGGTCTAATGGGAAGGTCAAACAGATTTGGGATACCGAACTGCTCTACAACCTGCAAATGTGTGCATCAAACTATTTCAAGTTTCAAAATACATATGCTTGCACATAAAATTCTGCTGGTAGTGCACTAACTGCCAGTACTAAGATTATCCAGATATTCTATGAAGAAATTAAATTCTTCCATAATATGCATGCCTGAGAGCCCGATCCTCTACCAAATGGGTAATAACGTTTCCCATCAGCATCAAAATGGCTCATATTCTCGACTACAGCAACACATGGCACCTAAATGTATGAAAATGAGAATAAGAACATGTTGGATAAAAAGGTTATAAATGAAATTTAGCATGAACCTTAAACTTGCTGCCACTTGTGATGAAAAGTTACTTTGTAATAATGGAGTATTGTGTGGCGGAAATACACACCTTAAGCTTTGAAAACATGCGAACTCCTTTTGCAACATCAATAAACGCCAGCTTTTGAGGAGTGGTAACAATAACAGCAGCAGTTAATGGAACAACCTGAAAATCCGACTTTGTCCAAATCAAAACGTAGAAATCTTGAATAGAAATAGATTTGGACAGAATATCCGCATAAACATACTTCATAAGATACTAAATATAAAAAGATAGCAGCCAAACAGAAAAGCAGGACCTGGCACAAAGTAAGCTGAATATCACCAGTTCCAGGGGGCATGTCAACAACAAGGTAATCCAGCTCTCCCCTACATAGTGAAGTAATCAAATTAGATGCTAACTATGACCAGAACCATAATTTAACAATGAATTACATAGATATAAAAATTTATAAGGAGCCTTCGAACTAAATCTTTTAAGTAGAATAATGGAGATTCATGCACATAAGCAATGGTTTCAAACTGAAAAAACGCACAGTGGAAACTTCATAAACAAAAGCTTCACAACAATATTATCATTGGATGGCAGTTAGTGATAGCTTCTCATTTGCAAATCAGTAAGAAATGATGTCATTATATGAATCTGACTAGCTACTTATGACTGCAATTTAGCAAGCAATGATGCCACTAACTTTGGACAATGTGAATTGGTAATTGTCAATAAATCCACCAAACTTCATCAAACTTTCATGTCCTTTCTTAAAGCTACTTTCCTGCTCTATAGAAATATGCAGAACTTTGGCAGTGGCACAGTAATTAGCTCATGAAGTGAGGATAATGATCAAAAGAGTTTTCATAAATGATGTATAATTTATTTTTGGAAACATGCCATACCACTCAGTTGTAGTTAGCAGTTGGTTGATGACCCCAGAAACCATTGGGCCTCGCATTATTGCACGACCTTGTCCAGCAAATCCAAAAGACACCAACTTCACTCCCAAGTATTCAGTAGGAATTATGGTTTTCTTCTCCGGGTTCTACAGGAAGTTTTTAAACTGTCAGAATTGAAGCACTTTACTAATTACAAGAAAAATTCTGCTAAATTTGTTGGTATTACCATCACTAGTATTCGGTTCTCAGGGGAGACCATTGTCGGTAAACTGGGACCGTAGACATCCGCGTCAAATATACCAACTCTAGCACCCATACCAGCCAAAGTATATGCCAAGTTTACTGCTACAGTTGATTTTCCCACGCCTCCCTGCATACATTTCACAAACAACAGCAACAATACATAATTAGCAGGGAGGGAAATTCAAGCTAAAAGATATGGCAACATCAAAAGTGTTACAAACAATAAAAATTGAACTGAAATATGAATAGCTCAAAAGCCACATACCAGCAACAGAAAGGAACCTAAAAGGACATGGAAAGTCTACCTTGCAACTAGAAACTGCTATAATATTCGAAATTGTCTGTAACCCTGCCGGAAGTTGCTCTGCATAAATGGGCCTTGCGGGCTGCGCTGACATAGTCACACTGACATTCTTGACCCAAGGAAGCAAATTCACCACCTCATTTGCCTTTTGTTCAAACTGTAAAGCAATTGAAGCTTGTTATGTTTGCTAGTTCCTAAATCATTTTTCTCATACAATTTCAATTGCCATAAAATGCTACCAAAAGAAGTATAATAAAGTTAAAGATTTTTCTCTCATGATCATAGAAGATCAAAATCATGCAACTGATGGCAACAGTTGCATCTTTCCATGAGAGATAATTCATGAAAAGAACAAGGAAGAAATCAAAGAAATAATGAGACTTCACATAATTCCACTAGCAAGAAATATCAAACGCACTTATAAATCAAATCTACCATATCAAACATATGTGAGTTCTTGATAAACAAATAGTGACTGTCAATTACCATGTCCTTTATTGGACATGCTGGTGTAGTGAGCTCTAACCGAAAAGAAACCTGAGATAAAAAGTCAATATATTCTGGTAAGGACATTATGCTTTATACGTCTTCCATTGAAAATTTTCCCATACACGCTCTAAATGACCTCTCCCAAAGCCTCATTGATGTCCAGATCCTTCACAAATCCACATGAGACAATGTCTGTCCCGAAGTCTGGATCAATGATTTGAGACAATGCTTTCAGTACATCACTCTCAGCTGCCCCCTTTGATATTGCAGGAGCACCAGCTACATCTGAACGAAACAAATAGGAAAATGTAAAATAACTAGAAATCAATATCATCAGATTTCAAATAAATTTCTTCACATTTTTGTCACAGAATTGTTACTCATAACATAGAAATATACACATGTCCATACCCATAGAATCACAACCTTCATTGCATTTTTCCACATTTATTTTCGAATGATACAAGAACATCTATTAAATCAAAGTCAAAATATTTGGATCATTTAGTCCACTTCCTCTTACCTGATTTTATATCAAATTCTTAGCACTTTTAATATTGAATGCCAATGTCTAAACTTCGGAAACAAATCATTATAAAGATAAATTCTTTTTGTAATGTTTTTTCTCAAATTTTCTGGCTTTCACTACATATAACTCTAAACAGGTCTTAATCTGAAACAGGGCACCCTTGACAAAACAAAACAACTCACTTATCCACCGCCATAAAGTGAATTGTGCAATATGGGAAAATGGGTTTGGTCAAGAAGCAGTTATAAGCTGCTGGGTTTGCTCAACGAAGGTGGAGAAAGTTCACCTTCCAAAGAAGCAGCTTTAGCTGTGAAGGAGCTCAATGCAGAGCCTCTACGAGATGCCCATTTAGACCTTTCAGGTCTTTGCTGCTGAAGAGAACAGCAAATAGCTGATGATAATTGAAGAGGCTTCTCATATGAAGGCAATCCTACAACAAGAACCAAACCAAAGTCAGTGCTTGAACTGAATCAAAAAAACGAGAAGACACGAGCAGAAGGAACATAGCGAATCACCAGCTTCTTCATGGGTTTTTACGTTTTGAAAGGAGAGGCAGAATGAAGAAGGAACATGAAGGAGTTGCATGTCTTTGTGTGAGAGAGAGAGAGAGAGATTAAGAAATGGGAGGTGAGAGAGAAGCAGGAAGTGATGAGTGGGCAGTGTGAAGTGTGAACCTCATGTTTCGTATTTTGCGTGTCTTGTGATGTGATGATATCTCTGAAATGTAATCTCATAATCTCAAGAATCCAATCCGCTTTGCCGAAAACGACATCGTTTGCCTTGTGCGCTGACTTGGCGCCTTTATAACCAATCTGGTTGCTCGGGTTTCGTTTCGTGGGGTCAATCAAGCAACAGCACAGCCTACCACCTACATTTCCAACGACATGTCGTTTGCAAGCGAACTGCGTGCCATTTTTCCTTCCAATTAATTTCTTCTCCCAAGTAATCAAATATAATAAAATATTTTTGAACCCTTTTACTTTTTATAAAATAATAAAATAATTTAATAATTGGCATTTTAATTGGATTAAAATTTTAAAAAATGTCAAATTACCACCTAAGTGATCAAATCCAAATTTAACAATTTGTTAGAGATGCTCTTAGAAGGCAAGAATCAAAAGCCATAATAATTCCCCAAATTCCTCAACATGGGATCACAAGGCGAAGACGGAACAAAAGAATAAAATGTAAGAAATGATGACTGAGAAGGAAATGTAGGCATGTTTAGTCCATGCTAAACTCATGTACCCTTCTTTGAATTTAAGAAGGCAATGACAGCAATGATTGTAACTAACTATATCTTCAATGATTAAATTCTACAGCTTCAAATGTAACTAGGATAACTTCAGGGGCGACAAATGTGTCCTACAGCAGAAACCTTGCATACAAAGGCCTCCCTCCTTCCCAAGAAAAATCAGTGTCTTCCCAATCAGTGACCGAAATCTTTTAGCCGGACGAATCTTGTCCGCAATACGAATTAAATCACTTGTGACAATGACTAAGAAAAAATGCCTGTACAAAGACTGGCAAAATTAATCAGAGGCTATTTATCTCAGCAGAAGTAGAAATTAAAGATGAAGCATATAGTAATTCTTATCAGAATGCCTCGGCCTTATTTAATGCCACAGCTTACTGCAGAATCCATTCCGAGGCCTCTTGTTGGATACAATGTCTGAAAAGGAGTCAACTAACTGTCCTGCCAAGCTACTTGGATCATCAATCATAGTTTGAATAAAGGTATTAACCACCCTACGCTCCTGCTCAGTTGATCTCAAACTAAACCAAGTTAGCAATTTCAACCTGAATTCCTGTGTAATGTGACCCTCACATTCCAGCCACCGGATTATTTTCACACAGTACTCGAAGTTCTCGTCCAAGCAATAAGAACTGCTAGACATATGCAATGGTGGCCCATTTATCAGTGTGCTGTCACAATCATGAATCTCTTCATTTGTGTTTGCTGCCCTCTTCCTGCAGAATTCCGCCCGGGAATCAACAGCTGGGACATCTCCATTAAGCCCATGAGTCCAGGTCTGCGAATCACCACTACCATGTGATCTTGCCAAACCATTCTTCACTAGGTCATGAGAAGCAGCATCGTCATCTGCTTCAACAGCCTGCTGCAAAGTGCATCCATTATCTTCATCTCTGGAGGATTCAAATGGGGGGGTTAGTTCTTCATTCAGATCAGGCACTGAAACAACATTTAAGTCAAGCCCACGTGAAACAGATGGCAACTGTTCTTGTGGAGTTTCAATTTTTATCGTGCTGCTTACTCCACAACATTTTTCTACATTGGCACTACAGAACCCCTCAGAGGAGCCTTGCTCTTGAGCCCAAGCCAGACGAAGTACCTTTCCAAGATCACGAACTTTAAATTCGGAAGAAGGACCAACTGCTGTTGTAGTTTTAGACTCTCTCTTGGCACTAGAATTTTCTTCGATGATCGGATTCTCTTTCTTATGATTCCTGGAGACCGGTGAAATGGGGTTTTTGCGAATTATCTCAACACTCTTGGTGAAACACTTTGCCTCAGAGTGACCCAAGTCACCAGACTCCGTATAAGATATTATCCTAAATGTATACTCTGTGCAAGGCTGCAGATTGGATATCAAAATCCTTCTCTGAGATCTTGGAAAGATACAACTAGGCTCTTTTGTGTGTGATTCTTCTCTACTCTTGTAATACCAGAGCTTGTAGCCCTTAATATTATCAGACGACGCATTAGACAATTCAATCAATATAATCACAACAGAGGAAGATGCTACTTCTTCAAAAAGAAACTTGCAAGCTGCAGGAAGTGAACCCTCTGCAGAGGGACAGAAACAGAAGTAAACATTCAAATGTTCTGTGCATGATCAAGAGCCAGTAAAAGGAGAAAAGAGATGAAGTAGTACAGTTTCCTACCTCTGCAATTTGGATCCACATTTGAAATATTGGCCAGCCATTCATCTGCTTTCTCAATTGCAAGAGAGCAGAGTTTCTGCACATCACTTGCAATAGAAAGTCTGCTGACTATCCCGCGTGCCATCTTTGCAGAAACGCCATTCACTGGGCCCACTTCTGTCTCTAGTTTAGACTTTGCTTCCTTCACAATCTCATACAGTTCTTTAAATCTTGAAGTCCCATCCAGGAGCCTGTAACTCAAGTATATCCTATAACAAAGTACATCAACACGACGGGCATCCTTTGCTACAATTAGCTGCTTCTTCCAACTACTGCCAGTATTAATCAAATCACACTAGTAACATCAGCCAAAGGCTAGAAACCTATTAACAAAATACAAGGTGTACATGCCATAATTGCTCACTATATTGGGGTGGAAGGTCAAAGAACTTTTCAAATTCGAATGGTACACTCACAAAAACCCAATTTATCTTTTTTTCCTAGAAAAGAAAAGAGCCCGTATTATCTCAGTAAAATCATTTCCCAGGCAATACAACATTTAAGAAGTTGGACATGTATAACAAAATCAATGTTTATGCAAAGGCATCTCTTTACAGAGGCGAAAATATTTTATTTTATTTTTTTCAAAAGGACTATAGCCCAAAGTTCTCCACAAAGAGAATTTATACCGAATAGCAAACATAATGAAAAGCACACATAAAGAATAGCAAACATAAAGAACATAACCTGATAAAAGATTACTAAAGGGGGAAAAAAAAGGTTTATTTTTTCGAGCTCCCAAGCTCACAACATTTAAGTGACTTATGATGTGCCTGAAAAAAAGCACAATTCAATGCTTCAAACCTACTTCCATAGTTGCAGAAACCAATGTGTAGGGCTGGGGAGAGAGGACAAAGGATAGCCAGTCAAATTGAGTACTACCATTTCAACCTAAACTCACAATATGCAAGAGAATTACTTACCCCAGTATCCCAGAGACTTTACCACAAGAAGCGCAACAATAACTACCATCTAGCTGCATCAATTGCCCAAGATCAACAACTCCCACCTTTTCACGTTGAAGGGCACACTCAATGTGACAAGATAACCCACAGGAATCTCCCTCACCAGATTCAGATGTGCACACTAACCAAAGACTAGGGTCCTTGTTGTCATCAAACAAATGACAGATACAGCATGAGCACCTCTTGCAAAATGTGTTGTCTATGGGTAAAACAGCTCTACAAGCAGAGTTTTTACAAATCCATGAGTTTGAAGATCCAAAGTCTGGAGACTGCTCAGAAGCTGGTGAGAGTCTCATGGGATTTTCCCCCTTTCTGGCTTGCTTTTTGGGAAGATGATTATTCGGACTAGACGAAGCTTTCTTTGATTCCTGCTTCTTATTAGTCTTGTTAGAAGTCTTCAAAAGTTCGGACATTTTATGTTTTGATGAATTCAAGTTTTTCTTGTCCTTATCAAAGCATGTTCGAAGAAGTTCCTTCTTGGGACCTGATTTCAGAAACTCTTGAAGGAGCTCTGGACTTCTTGAAGCATCATCTGAATGCCCATTCTTCTCGGGAGTGCTTTGCACACTGGAAGAGAGGCTTTGTATACCAGAAACTGGAAAAAGAAAAGAAAATGACAAAAAAAAATTAAGGGTAGGAGCAAATGTCAAAGCAACATTGTACCGCATCTACAACACAATAATAAGAAAGGGGTAGGAAAAAAAATAATTGGTTGTCAGAAACATAGCATTTAAAACAAGTGATAGAAAAGAATCCTCCAGATACAGTGATGAGGTATCTGTTAACAAGGTATGCAAAACCCAATCAAATTCCATTTTATCCTTCTCTACACTTCAACGCATAAAACATTTGATTTACGAATAAACTAAATCCTTTTTTTGGTAACAAGATTCTCTACTTTCCAACTATCTAAGTTGGTTCATGCTTATTTCTGTTTACATCTCCAACAATATCTAGAATACTACATCACAATCCTCCATCTACAACAATTTAAGCTAAAAATCATCTCACATCTTGAAAGAATTGAACATCTAGTCCCACTTCACAACAGTAGCTCTATGCATCTGTCCAACAATTCTGACCTGAATCTCCCCTTCCTGAGGGACTCTTAACCAAGTAAACATAGACTAGAAGGTAGGTTTTATAGGGTGTCAGATGTACATCAGCAAAAAAAATTAATTTTAGATAGAAAAGGTTCAATACTTAAAGACGAAATCCAACATGCATTTAAACAACCATAAGATTTTGCATATGAAAAGAAAGAGGAAAGAAAAAGAACTCGAAAACAATCCAAGTGTCGGGCAATAAAAAGTCAAACTTCAAGTAGTGAGGGCGTGTTTGATACCACCGTTTCTTATTTATGAACATTGAGAAGAATCCAACATATCATTAGGCTACCTTGGACAGCGTCCTAGTGAGAAAGTTCTCCTTTTCTATTTTCTATTGATGCTATGCCATCAATTATACCAAACATCCATTGAGAAACCATCATAGGAGCGTACAAACTTGAGACGATATGCATACGAGAGACAAAGATCATACCTTTAGCAAGAAATTTATCTTCGAAATCCATGTTATGCAAAAGTTGAAGCAGACCTCCCTGCAACAATTAATGGGTAGAAAAACCTGTGCGTTAGAGAGAACATAGACAAAGTAATTGAAGGGGGCATACTAGTTCTTCAGCTGGCATAATGTAGTTCATAGATTAAGCGAAATGGACCCAGAATCACACCAAATAACACCGTGTAGCTAAAAGTAGAAGCAACAAAAGTAAAAAAATTCAGAACTAAATGTGCTTTCCAAACAAGCTAGTTATTACCCATGCAACTAGAAAATACGGCTCATTCATAAAAACTGAAATTTTTATACAAAATATAAAAGATTAAATATATATAATTAATGTAACAAGTTAACCACATTTATAGGAGCATATAGTGTTCCTTGACAATCTTTGACATGCACATTGTGTGAATTTACCGCAAATAAAGCAAACGCGTTTTACATAACAATAAAAAACAGAATAATTCGAGTATGAGGGGATTCAAATGGACAAAAGCAAATAAATATTAGAAATTCTAAGGTAAACGAAAATGGAGTTTGAGAATACGAAAAGCAGGTAAGAGGAAAAAGCAGAAAACGAAAGCAAAAACGGATCTGCGCTGAGAAAGAGGCTAAAAGTCAGAAAATTTAAACGAAAGATACGAAAAGTAAAACGACGACGAATTGAGAGACGGACCTGCGAAGAATGGAGACGAACCCTAGGGTTTTGGCGCTCCTAGGCCGAAGAATTTTCTTCCGCAGAGAGCAAAGAATCAGACAGAGAGAGAAAGCGAGAGAGACTTCGTTTTTGTTAGTTGGTTTTGTGAGAGAAGCTTGTACGAGTTGTTCACGTTTTGGGAGAAGAGCGCTGGAGGGGAAAATCACGCGCGAAAGAGTCGCGTGGGGAATGAGGGTTCAGTAGGAAGGCGGGGTTGGTTGTGCCGCGCAGAAAAAGTACAATGAGCACTGCCCGCCGATGTGATTGGTCGGTGTGTTTTTATGCGCTTTTAAGGCGCGTGAGGATGAATTATCCACAATTCTTTAATTTTCCCCAAAAAATTTTTGTATTATTTTGGTCATCAGAGCTTGCTGGAAAAAAGTATGTAATTTAAGTCCACGTCATTCAGCATTTTAGACGATGTTTTTATTTGATGAGCGGTGATAAAATATGAACCGTTGGATCAAAAGTTCAAATTTGATTGAGGCCGTTGACTGGGGGGATCATATCCCAAAATAGACCCATGACTTTACACAGAATCAAATCATATGGGATTAATGAAAATTAATTAAGTCAAGAGTCATGGTTTCATACTAAAACCACAGGGATTAACACGTGTCCAAAGAATCTTGAAAGTTATGGAAAGAAATGGTCAGCCAAAGATACACGTCAAGCATGGTTTTGGTACTTTTCTTCTTTTTTTTAATGACCGGTTCAACAGAGAGAGAGGCTTTATAGTTTATAAACTTTGTGCTTTTTTGTGTTGTAGAGTAGAGTGTACAGAGTGCAAAGTGCACTTTGCGCATTTCCCCAACCGTCCTTGTGGTTTCATTGGTGCGTGATTTGAGATGACAAGTCTTTATTTTGATGTCGGGTCATGGGTCGAGCTGGTTTTCGGGTACAAAAATGGCCAAGAAAATGGACTCTCTCTCTCTCTCTCTCTCTCTCTCTCTCTCTCTCTCATGGCATGCAACCATCTTTACAAGTTATGGAGTTTGGGAGAAATAGACCAACAAAATGTGGACTTTTCATACCAAGTACCAACCTTGACCCATTATTTAGATTCTAAGAAAAATGCGGCAAAAGAAAAGAGGAGCAATTGAAATGTCAAAGAAAGGTAGCCAAGACAAAAACCATTTTACAAGAATTTCAAACCAGTCTCATTTGGGTCAAGGTGTGCATGACCCATTTGACATGCATGCATGATGACATTAAACTAAGGGGATGAATCTTGCTAGGGTTGGGTCAGTCCACCTATGTGTGCGTGGGCAATTTCTGATCGTTGATCGCTAATCAATGATCATTTATCAAAAGCAAGTGTCTCATGCACATACAGTGGACATGATATGACCCTGATGTCATGCCTCACAAAAGCAATGAGCAATGTGGCTTGAAATACAACCCATTGTTAACCTAGCAACCATTCGTGGCACAATTGCACATTTGCTCCACTTGTGTCTCATGCACGCGAGCATCTAACACCAATAACACCGGGTAGCCAGCTACCATGACCAAGAGACATAATTTGCACAAGGACCACAATTGAATGGCCTTTCAGAATGGCCCAGAAGCCATCTCTATTGTTCTCTGGTGGCCTTTAGAAAACCTCAAATGGTCACACTGACCACGTCTCAGAAAGAAAATGTTAACAATACATCCTTGTAGGTTGCAAATGCCCAGTACACTCATTTTCCAACCACCTTATAAATTCCAAAAACAAAAACAATTATGTGCTTCCGCTGCTGCAAGCAATCAGAGTAGCAACTTATGGTGTGTCGGAGACAAGGACAATTGCCTTTAGTGAAAGACTATGAATGCATTACGCATGTTAAACCACACAAACCCTAAAGGAGGAGAAGCTATTTATGGATATCACCCACCAAACTTTGAAAAGTGATGACCTCTAATCTTTCCCCATTGCAAGTCCAATCACAGCAGTTATTTGTGCTGGTTAATCATTTTCAAGGTAAGAAAAAGACATGTGTAAACCAGGTTTTGAATAGTTGAACATGGTAAAGGATCTTATTAAAATGCTAACCATGCCTCTTCCCATGTGGCAAGAAACAAATAATTAGACAGTCATACGAATGTCAATATTAATAAATTAATATTTCAAATGGAGTCAACATAAGAAGTACCTATAAACCATCTTACAAATCTTAATCATCGGAGAGTAACAAACAATGCAGGCCGTGGCATACATATATATATATACAAGATAGATGGATCACGATTTATTGCCCTCATAGTTCGGATCATACAAATATCTTATTCCTACTTTGATTTGCTTACCTATCAGTCTTGGAGTCGACAACTGGACATGATCACATATTTAATTGATGGGCACCACAACTAGAGAGCCCCTGCAAAGTGGGAATAATGACCAAAAGAAAATTTGACATCAATTTATTAACAACTATTGGACATTTTAAAGTGGGTATATATATATATATTGCAATGGTTCACCATTTCTGAAGTCAACAAGTTCATTTCACAAAGTTGGGAATCTACTTCAAAGATTTAATCCAATATATGGTGATGAACTGCTCTATCATTAGAAAACAAGAATCAAAAGGATTCCTTGAGCTCAAAGCAGAATACAAATCAGTATAAAGAAGATGGCTTTAAGCCAAAGCAAACCAAACAAATCTGATGCATATATTTCATATACGTCACAATCAAAAGATCTCCAGCAATTAGCATTTTACCAGGAACAATGATTTACCTTCACGTGACCAAACCAAGATTCCAAAGACCAATGTCCACCATTCATATAAATCTGACTTCCAGATCTACTACTATCACAATAAAGGTTGCCCAGCCTATAACAAGTAGTGCATCATGCACATTCGCAGGATGCATTCAGCTCCAACAGACCAGAATCTTAGGCCCACAGCTATGACAATTTGTAACCAATCCTTCAAATCATTTCTATAAGTCCTGACCAAAAGTGAACCAACCAGAGAAAAGAAAATAAACTGTCCTCACCAACGACCTTGACGTTCACTTTTCACCAAGAACATGATATATCTTGTATGTTATGTTGTTGCTACTGTCTTTGCATTTAAAAATAATTTGCTTCCCTAGTAAGGAACCACAAATAATTGGTCATGAAATTAACAACCATCCTTGTTCATAAATAAAGCTTAGACCAAGGTATTTATATTAACCATTTGGTATCCCATGACAGCAGTAGTTTCCAAAATCACCAAATGACAATAGAATAGATTGAGCGGTAATGAGTTAATACCCAATTATTCCAACAGAAAGCTTCAGAGAGTAAGAGATAACCACTATATAATATAGTGCTCAAATCCTAAAACCCCACTACTTGCAAAACCTAGCAAGCATCTCCACTCTCTCCTAAGACCAAACAATTTAATTGGTTTCAGGCTCATAGCAAACACTATTAACAAGTGCAACCCTTGAGCAATGATTCAAGTTAGACTATTTTAATTTGGGAATTTGAGTCATTTCTACGCAAGATGCTGGACACTTTTAAAAGATTCAACTGGTTAACATTTCCAACAAGTTGTTACAAAAGAGATGCATACTAACAAGCTAACATTTCTAGAATAATCCAATTTCAGATTTGATTCGGCAACTATGAAAGCTAAAAAGAATATTCACAGTCGGTCCATCAATAAATAAAAAGCATAAATTCGATTCCTTTAGTCTAAAGGAAGTAAAGTAAGAACTCAAATTCATGAACAATTCATCAATCTGAAACATAGCTTTCAAGCTAACAACCACAAAACAAAAGCATTCCAGCTGAAAAATACCTCAATCACAATCCATGCATATACAAATCACAGAAGCACAAACTGAAAACCCTAACTACCACTCCAACGCCATAACCATCCGATTAAAACTTTGAAAAAACAAAATTAAACAAAACAAAACAAAAAGCAAACCTGCTAAGAAGAGGAGTGGCGGCCCTCGCAAGCAGGGCTCTCGTCGAAGTTCTTAGAGGGGTACTTGGCGGTGACCATGCCGACCTCGAACACCAAGTTGTCGCCGCTCGACCTAATCCCAGTAATAGACCACCACTGGAAGAAGGCTCGGACGCTAATACCATTGATCTCGGCGATTTTGCCCTGTACGATCTTGCCGGTGATCTTCTTCGAGTACGTGGCCAAGTAGTTGTCGGGAGGGAGCGTCACCTTGCACGCGCCGCCGAGGTCGACGATAAAGTCGCCGGAGGTCCGGTCCAGGGTGTAGTTTTTGACCGCCGAGGGTAGAAGCCCGATTGGGAAGCCGTAGTTGGTGAGCTCGGTGTGGGCCGGAGACGGGCTCGGAATTCGGTTCGGGTTCGGGTTCGGGTCCTGGGTTTTAGGGTAGGCGTTCTGGGTAGAGAAAGGTAGGAGGAGGAGGAGAGAGAAGCAGAAGAAGATAGAATTGGCCATGGCGGTTTTTTTCTTTTTTTCGTGGTTTTTTTCCTTTTTGAGGGCGAATATTCTGAAGATATTTGAGAATGTGAGAAGAACTGAGAAGGTTGGCTCTGATTATCTGTTTTGGGATTTTAGCGTGGTTTAATTTGTTGGCGCTCTGATAAGCGCGCGGCGTTGCGCTGGCGATCAAAATTCTTTATTAGTTGGTAAGTTCGTTGACACTTGATGAGAAGTGTTGTTCTCAATATTATTATTATAATTACTATACTAATTTGTATTTGACTATAGTTATGTGACTTTCTGCAGAGTGTTATATGCCAAACGACTTTTCTTAAGCCACATAATAATTCTTTTTCTTTCTTTAGAAAAAAGAACTTTGTCTGCTTATTTACAATTTAAAAGTTTATAAATAGCATCCGATGGAATTGAGGTGGGTATATCATATGACATCTTGATTCTTAATGGTTCCAACTAAGATTTTATTACAAATTAATAAAAATGAGGCAAGTTCATCGACACTAAACTATTTAGTGTCGATAAGAATTCAAACACAAAACCTCGAATACAAAGATAATTAACCAGGGCTCCGAGGAAAACCAAAATAGTTTTGTTATACATTAGAATGGGCTAGACTGGCTTTTGCGTTGAGGCCTACAAGAGAAACTTTTCTTTTGGGCTACACTGGATGTCCAGGGGCCCAAGAAAATCTAAAGGTTGTTTAATTTTGTTGTAGCATAAAAATTAGAACTTTTATTGTTTTTCTAAAATAAAATGGACCCTGTTTTCGACTTGAAGCTTCAAAGTAGTAGAACGGCAAAGTTGGGGCTTCAGCCCTTCTGATACTGATGATATACAATGAGAGCTTACAATCAAAGATGACAAGCCATTGACAAGAACTTGCATATATGATATAGAATGGAGAGAGGCCTGAGCCTGAAATGCAGGCGGTATATTATATAGTGTACATTATGACAATGGACACATATATATATATTTATATATATGTATATTGTTCATGGCCATCAGCATGGGGAGTTCCAAATCTCTGCATTTTTAACCCTCGAGACACTCTCGAGCACTTCGCGAGGAAGAACATCTCCAATCACAACCACCATCTTGCTTTCCAAGTCTACTTTGTACGATGTCACTCCTGTTTCATTTTAACATGAATGATCAATCTTCTTTCTTTTCTTTTTTTCTAAAAAAGAGAGAGAAAAATAACATACAAAATATGCGAAGAAAATACAGAAATTCACAGACTGGTCAGATATTCAAGGAAGAAAATAATCTGTAGCTACGCTACGCGTATTGGTGGCAGATAACGTATAAGATCAAATATTTCAAAGTATATTTGTGTTTAAAAACAAGGTACCTTCAATCTTTGAGATATGTTTCTCAACTTTTCTGGCACAGCCATTGCAGTGCATGGAGACCCTTAACATCACCATCTGCATAAGATATATATTTCACCAAAAGCCCCCTCATGTTACAAACCATTTATATATTTACCTAAAGAGAAATGAAAAAGAGTGATATAGAATAGAGAGAAAAAAGATGGTCACCTTCGGCTTCAATTGAAACGCCAATGTCTGTTTTCCAGCAACAACATCCTTCAGTCTCAGAAACTCATCTTTCTCACCGGTTACCAATGGACTTCTTTCAAACTCGTCTTCGTTTTCCATGGAGTTCATGCAGAAACAAGAACTTGAGCCAGTAGAAGAAAGGCAAAACCTGTCTAGCACCCTGCCCAAACTAAGCTTCCCCATTCAACCGCAACAAGTTCTTCGCCAAAGAAACAAATCTAAAGCGAAACAGAGTTTCCCAACAGAAGAAATCTATACACCCGATCTTTCCTTTCCACTTAACCAACCAACTGCCTCGGTCCTCCTAGTGTTGTAAATCCAAAGCAAACTTGTGTTGTGCGAACATTATAATAGGGTGGGAGCAGGAGAGAGAGAGAGAGAGAGAGAGAGAGAAGAGGTAAAGGTCAAATTTTCATTGGGGAGGGCAAAAGTTGAAACAGAACCCAATGAAGCCTATGAAGGAGGAAAGGGAACAAGACACAATAAATTATAGTTATATAACTCAGCTGATAAAAAAAATTAGAAGGGGATCCAGGAACCCAGAAAAACACTACTTTTAACTGTAACCACTTCCTAGACCAAAAACAAAACCCCAACAAGATTTTGTCATGTGACAAACTCCTAAACAATAAATTCTCCAAAAGTCTGAATGAGAAAGTTCATGTGAGATGAAGCAGTATACTGCAAGTGAGCTCTCTCATGTGACAATTCTGCTAAAGAAGGAGGGGAAGGAAGGAGGAAAAAGAAAAGCTCACAGTGACCAATGGAGGAAGTAGCAACATCACACTTTTATGACATGTGATGATGACTACTAGGAACGTCCAAGTTGGAGGCAAAGAATATACTTATATATAAATTAATATATAGCTGGATCAATTTGGATAAGCATCTTCGCTATGTTTAATTCAAGATCAATGAACATGAGTAACGTTTAGGTGGAAGAGATTAAAGAAAGAAAAAGCAGTAATATTTGGTGAGCATCTGAACAAACCATTGAACAATTTTACATCTACCTAACAACATGACCTTGTTCAAAAGCAGTTTGTTTAGTTTAATGCAGTAAGACTATTGCATCTAGATAAGTGCATGTTGGCCATTTAACATAGTTTTTGTATGAGGATAAAAGAATCGTAGAGTAAAGTGGTGTGTGCTTAGCCACCTAATCCGCATAGATTTGGGAACCCCTCAAGTAACCCAAGAGTGCTTATTGTGATGATGGATAGTATAATTCAAAAAACACCACAAGACTTGAATGTGTTGACAGTTTTGTCTTGGCCTTCAATATGAAAATGGAAATGGGACAGACGGCCTCCCATTATTGGAGCCCATGAGCTCACTAATGTTTCTTAATAATTATATGACAGAATAAGTTCAAAAAAAATGAAAAATGAATGGTTCTGTTCTCCACAGTTTGGTCCATGTGAAATGGTTCTTTATTATAACAGACCAATGAATGAACCAAATTTGAAAAAGCTAGTAGTGAAGTCATGTTAGGCACGTGTGGGTCACATGATTGTTGCTATGCAACAATAAAAATTGGGTGGCAGGTCGCATGTGGGTTCATCTGAATAATTATTTGTATAAACCAGCCAAAAGAGAAGGGATATGTTCTATTATGCAGGACGACTAAAAGGAAGCAGCACTACTCAGCCTGGTTTTGTAGTGTGACCAACTGTAGTGCACTTTTGGTCATGTAGTGATGGAGCACTGCACCACTGATATGACAAGATATAGATATAGATATATATATATATAGAGAGAGAGAGAGAGAGAGAGAGAGAGAGCAAAATTTCATCTTCTGATGCACTGGGAAGTATGGCCATGGCAACATGAGGTGGCATTTATTAGGTTGCCCCACTAACACACACCCACATCAATGAGAAACAGAATAGCTAGAGCTCACTGTTGTATAGTGTATAGTGGGAGAAGAACTTGTATGTCAATGGGATAGCATTGTTTTGCTATCTTCATTGAATAATGTTATGCCATGGGAAATCTTTATCACACATGGTGGAACGTAATTGGTTGGCGATAGCAAAACAGTGCTATCCCCGTGACCTGGAAGTTATTCTCATATAGTGGACAGGTTTTTGAAACATGTGCATTGTGCAATGCAAGGTGTCTAATTTGCATTCAAATTCAAGGTAGCTTGAGAAACATGAGATGGCATATGTTTTATTGATCAATTGCTTTTCCTATCAGGAAATAAAAATAACAAGTTGGAGAGAAGAAAGAAATGCAAGGTTACAATACACCACATGTCTCAATATTACCAGAAAATTCATAATAAAGGAAAATATAAAAAAGACTGAGCTCCCGGCTAAGAATGGGATGAACAAATTACAATGACTCTGAGTCTGACTTTGAGTTTTTTCTGACAATGGTTTCATTAATTAGCAACTGTCTACGCAATAAGAAGATTATGTACCTGGCAAATGGAAGTGCAGATCTGACTCTCCCACATAAAACAGGTTCAAGTACTCTCCAGGGAATTGTTTAGAGACAAACAAATATACATTACCAATAGTGTAAAGCAGCATCTAAAGCTCACATGGCATGGCATGGAAGGTAGAATATAAGGTTTAATTATAATTTAAAGCACGAGCCTTTAAATAGAAGTCTCAGCCTACTTACTTACTGTACATGCTGATCATACTAAATAACAAAAAGCTACAAGTTTCTTTCTCTTTTCGTTTGCGATAAGTCACATAACCAAATCCCATGTGCCGGAGTTTTGTTTTCAAATCAAAGTTTGTAACTTTAGTATAAATATATGCAGTAATGTGAGCAGCTTAACTGCTCAGTGCCAGAGCAGTGAATTGGTGGAGACCAAAAAAACTACAAAATTCAAACCAGTCTGCAGTTGAGCCCCACTGAGGAGCAAAATCCATGTCCAGAGCTTTGAAGATAAAAAAAATTAGACAGCCAACTCTACACCGACAACAAATTAATAAACTCAAAATCAACAGATCACATGTAGAAATATTCAATTCAATACATTGGGGTCATCTTATCTAGCTTGCAAGTTGCAACTATCATCTCAGACTAACATTGACTTTAGACTTTCTTTGTCCTCAATACTATTTTTCTAGAAGGGAGTTGACTCCCATAATTCACTTGTAAGTAAATGCCGTAGTCACATAATAGAACAGCTTCTTCATCTGCAGCAAATTGAGGTCAGTTCTATCTATTTCTCAAGGTTTTGTATGGACTCTAATTGGTTTTACTTGTTTTAGTGCACGTCGGCGACTCTGATTTTTCAGATCAGCTGCAGTACGTTAGTATCTAGTGTGGTCCGTTTGGTTGCTTAGAAAATGTCAGCTAAGAAAAGAAAATTTGGACTCAGTTCTTGTTCTTGGACCTCGAGTTATCGAAGCTTTTGCTTGGATGTGTTTATCGATTTGGTTTAGTTTATGTAAGTTCACTGTTTTCTGGTATTGAAATGAATGTAAAACTTAAAAATCCTTGTTATCAAACTAGGCTTCTAGGCAATGAATTGGGGAATTAGTGATTTCGTTGTAATTTGGTAAAATGCTAGTTGCTAAGCTATCATTCATCATTGCGTCCTTTTCAAATTCATGTTTTTGGTAGTAACTATGGCTTATAATGAATAGGAAGTCTGAATGGCTAGTCGAGTGAAGGAGGATGAGAAAAATGAACGAATTATTCGTAGCCTTCTTAAACTTCCCAAGAATCGCAGATGCATTAACTGCAACAGTCTGGTACGCAATTCCTCGCATTCTTGTCCATTTATTGTTGGGTGCATTGTTTCATGGGCCACTTGTACATTTGATGATTATATTGTTTGTATGTCATGTCAAGCTATTGATATGTAACGTGAGGTGTGATATTAGCATTTTCCAGATAGAGGAATCATAATCCGCCTTCATGCAATTCTAATTTAGGCCCTCTTTACTGCACTGATAGGGCTGATTCTAGAAATGGATCTACCAAAACAATGTATCTTGTGTTCTTGTACAAGAATGCAGGTCGGATAAAGTATAATACCAACCGTATATATGAAGCGTGGGTGGGAGCAATACATTTCTCAAAGTTTTGTTGCTTCTTGTTAACCATTTTTGTAAAGGTGTTCTTGCATTGCAGAGTGGGAGCAATACATTGGTCATGATGATACTAATATTAGGGTTTTGAGTTCAAAGAGTGCATGTGCGTATACTTATGTTTTGTGGTCAGGTTCATTTTTAATGTTATTTTCTACCAAGCAGGGGCCACAATATGTTTGCACGAATTTCTGGACATTTGTTTGCACAAACTGCAGTGGAATACAGTAAGTCAGATGTGCTGTGCTGCATTATTTCTTAAGAGTTATTCCTTTTCTTTCTATGTGTAGAAACAGAAGAGGGGGAGGGGGATGCAGGGGTATTTATTTAATTATTTTTCAAATATTCACTTTTAGTGTTTCATGCACACTACTTGTTGGTTTGCTTGCATTGTATTAATTACATGAAAATGTTTCCAGTCGGGAGTTCACGCACCGAGTAAAATCAGTATCAATGGCCAAATTTACTTCACAAGAAGTTAATGCCCTTCAAGAAGGGGGAAATCAGGTATTCGTATGTGTTTCTTCTGAGTTCTTAGAAATATGTGTGATTTTCTTTTTGTCTGCTGCCAATCTTCTCAATTTATCTCGGGCTCGTCTCTGCTTCCCAATTACAGCGTGCAAAGGAAATTTATCATAAAGAATTGGACCCGCAACGTAATTCCTTTCCTGACAGCAGGTTAATACTCATTTTATTCTGTTTTACTTTGATAGTAATGACTACGGTTCTGATTCAGATGTTTGCTTCCAGTAATGTTGAGAGACTTCGAGACTTTATTAAGCATGTGTACGTGGATAGAAGATATACTGGTGAGAGAAACTCGGACAAGCCTCCAAGGGCGAAAATGGTAAGCTACCCTTTATCCCAAGATACATTATTTTGAATACAAGGTGCTACCATATAGACCTAAAGTCAACACACTGGCTTAGTGTATACTTATACCATGATGAAAGTGTTTCAAATGTCTCTGGGTTTAAGTTGTAAATTGCATGTCATACAGGGTGAGAAGGAAGACTCTTATGAAAACAGAAGACTGGATTCATATCAGGGAGGCTCTCGAAGCCCACCATATGATGATACATATGAACGTCGTTACAGTGAAAGGTCTAGTCCTGGTGGAAGAAGTTATGATGGGCAAAGAAGTCCTGGATATGATCTAGAAGCCCGGCAGTATAATGATTATAAGAAAAGTCCTGGTCGCCCTGAAATTGTGAATGATTGGCGTCGAGAAGATAGATTTGGAAATGGGAGGCGAAATGGGAGAAGATAGATTTAGTAATGCATATGCCTTTATTACACCATTTTCATTAACATGTGAGGCCAAGACAACGCTTCAGCCGTTACGTGGAAGTATATATTGTGATCCCCTGCATGCCTTCAATTTGATCATCTGTACTTTCCGAACTATTGTGATCAACAGTTAGCAGGAGCATTTTTGTTGTCTAACTAATAAGTTCAGTTTTACGATTAAATTGGCTTGAACTAACAAATTCATACATTTCTGGTTTGTGTTGTGTTTTGTTACTTTGAGTTCAATTACTGCTCATTATTACCATAGACAAGTATATCATATATATGCTCTCTCTCTCTCTCTCTCTCTCTCTCTCTCTCTCAATACCTCCATTATTCCAGTTCAAGTTTTTACATTCATGTCTTTTTTTTTCTTTTTCTTTTTGTATTTTTGTATTTTTGTTTTACTTTGCTTGACAAAGCTTATCATCATGCAACTTACCTATTCAATGTTTCACACACTTTTCCTTAATGATATATGTATTAGTTCTGTTATATAGAAGATGAGTGCATGCTGTTATTTGTTTGGGATTTTCATTTTATTTTATTTTAACTTTCCCATAATAATATACTAAACTTGCTCTTGTACTGTTTTTAATTGCAGAGAACTGCGTCGTCCAGCAGCTTGGGATCCACCAATGAGAATCTGGTGGAAGTGAAACTGGAGACTTCTGGAAGTTTAATTGATTTTGATGCTGATCCTGAACCTGCTCCTGCTGCTGCAGTTCCTCAACCGCAACAAACTACTGTAGCTCAATCCTACCCACAGCCAACAAATTCAACCAATGACAATAATTGGGCCTCTTTTGATGTTGCTCCAGAAGTGAAAGCACCTCAAGCTCCTGCGAATGTGAATTCATTGGAATCTCTGCTATCACAATTGTCAGTTTCAGCACCTGGCCCTAGTTATGTTTCTGGAGCTACAGGTAATATGGGTGCTCCCACAATTGCACCATCAAGCAGCGTGTCAACATTTTCCCCTGTTGGTGCTCCGGTTCCTGCGCCAGGATTGGCTCAAGTATTCCCAGTCAATGGTGGTAGTTTCCTTGTTAAAGATCCTACTTCCGGGCAATGGCCTACCATGCAGCATCAGCAACCTTCTTTATACTCTGCTAATGGTATTCAGCCTGCTGCTCAACAATTATACCGTCAGTTGATGGAGCTTCAAGCAATCAGGTTGACCTTGTGGTGGTATTGTTGATTTTGTTTTGTATTTCGTTTCAATTTTTTGATTTTTTCTCCTTGTTTATTGTGGGCACTTTTGGCAGCCATGGAATTTAACACACACCCCACATGCACAAGGTCAGCCAAGTATCTCTGCACCACAAGCACAACAAGATGCCTCAAGATCTGGCCATGATGTTAGTACTATTGCATCACAACCTTCAGCTGGTGATTCAAAACCAAGTGGAAGAAGGGAACTTCCTGCGGTAACTATGTTTTTTATTGGGCTTTGTTGACATCTTAATATATTAGTAAGTTGGACTTTTTGGTCTTGTAGTTTAGGTCCGATTCCACTTTAACCCCTCTAATTTCAATTAGTTTACCCTAATTTGCGGTCGTCTAACATGGCATTAGAGCTTTGGTTGTAAGAGGTCATGAGTTTGAAATCTTCAATCCTCATTTGCCACTCTTATTTGTCAGTTTGCAAGGATAGAGTCGGACTGTACCCGTGTATTCCTCTTTGTGTGTATCTGTCCGGCTCTACATGTGCAGGATGCGACTACATGTTGAGGGATGGTGTTAGCTTGGTATACATTGTTGGTTCGTTCCTAACAGCTTAAGTTTTTGGGTTCAATGGTTGCCTGATAAATTTGACTTAGTTTTCTCAGATCAATAACTCACCATAAAACTTGCTTTGTTAGCTGAAATCAGTATCAAAGCAATTTTTTTTTCTTAACTCTACGTGTTCTTGATAACTCCTCATTTGATGCACAAATATATTTGAAGTTTCTTTGATGTGTTTTATCTGTAATGCAGTTTCCTTCTGCGGCATCCTTTCAAGCTGCCCTACCAAACTTCCAGTCTTTGTCCCGACCAGGTTTAGTGCGCACTTCCCGCCTCAATACTCCCTCATCAGCTTGGATGCCGCTCCAGTCATCATCATATTCTTCAGCAGTGCCTTCCCAAGCACCACAATATGCATCACTAGTGCCTCACCAGTTATCATCATATTCTTCAGCAGTGCCTTCCCAAGCACCACAATATGCATCACTGGTGCCTTCCCAAGCACACAGTATGCATCACTAGTGCCTCACCAGTTATCATCATATTCTTCAGCAGTGCCTTCCCAAGCACCACAATATGCATCACTGGTGCCTTCCCAAGCACCACAGTATGCATCACTAGTGCCTCACCAGTTATCATCATATTCTTCAGCAGTGCCTTCCCAAGCACCACAATATGCATCACTAGTGCCTTCCCAAGCACCACAATATGCATCACTGGTGCCTCCCTAGTTATCATCATATTCTTCAGCAGTGCCTTCCCAAGCACCACAATATGCATCACGAATGCCTCCAAGTAAGATGATGCTGGTTTCCTATTTGTTTCTTCTAGTAAATAATGAAAAATACTTTCTCATTCTCCCTTATGTTGGCAATGAGTGCTGAATTGTGGTTTGATAATCTCAGGAGCCTACATGGTGCAACAAGTTCCGAGTAGCATGCCACCTTCCGGGTGACCATAAATTTTGGGTTTTTTCTTTTGAATATTTTCTTACTGTATAATTGGAAACATTAAACGCGAGTAAATTCTCTGAGTATTCTTATGTTTTTCTTCGGTTTTTCTTTTGTACCCTAGATTACCCTAGATTGGAGGTAAGTTAGGGGCTATTGGCATAGTGTCATGACAAGTAAAGCCCTCCAGTTAATTTCCTTAAGGTTCTTCTATATTGTATGATAGAATTGGGGTTAATTTTTCCGGCCGTCACATGGTGTGGTTATAGCTAGGTAGCTACACTTCTCTTTCAGAGGGCAGGTTCCAAGTTCAATCCTCATCCTGGAGTTTTGTAACTGATCATTTTTGTTTTCCTTTTTACTGGCTGTCCCCAATGGCGGAACCAGGAATTTTTATAGGGCTAGGCTAAATAATTTTTTTTTATAGAGGAGATATATTATAAGCTTTTTTTCTCATGAAACAAAAATGTAAATAAAATTTTATAAAGCAAACAAAGTCACATTACGATATCAAACTCTTTAGGTTGAACTACATGATATCCAAGTTCATAAAGTTTCTCAGGAATTGAAGTATCAACATTAGATGTAGAAGGTGTATCCTTATTATCGTTACCACTTTTTTTGAAGAATGAATAAATAGTTTTTCCTCTCTTTGCCGGTCTATTATCATTATGTGACATGATATCCTAACAAGAAATACCATACACCAAAAATCATATATGCTAATTAATAATTCACGTTTCAAAAATAAAACATATATCAACAATCTCCAAAAAAATTCACGCAAACCCTAAATCAAAAAAACTTAACAACAACAATTAAAATTAGAAATTAAATATATAATTAAAAAGGTTGAAGAACCCACTGAAGATAGGTTAGTACAATTTTTAGAGGATGAGAGCTATTATTCCTCTAGGCTCTCAAGGTTCAAATATGGCGTTTTGGGTGGCTAGAAGAATTTTTTTGATATTTGCTCTCTGTGGGTGTAGCCCAATATCAATACGATTAGAATAGGTCAAGTTGGTAGAGCCTTAGTTTGAGTTCTACTTCTAATCAAATTTATATAGGTTTGGATTGATGTTTATTATTTCCTACATGCTTCAAGAATGTGCTTATTTTAAATAAAGCTATTATTTATTTTACTTAAATTAGGCTATTATTAGTTTATTGTATTTATTTGGTGTAATGGGCTAAAATTTATTGGAGTATGAATAAACTTAACTATATTTAATATTTAAAAATCTTCCCCTGGGCTCCAGTCTAGTAATAGATCCGCCCTTGGCTGTCCCCCATGGTTTCACCAATGCGGGTGTTACAACATCGATTGGAACTTCAAATATTCTTGCATTTCTGATAAATAACTTCTGCATGTGTTCTGTCCTTTACCCCAAACAAAAAAATTATGCATGCGTACAGAGTAATTTATGCATTTAGATGAAGTGATCTGTTGATAGTGGTTTCCCTTACATAATCGTTATACTTGTAGGTATCAAGGAGCAGTGGGCTTTGGCAGCGAGGGTTCTGCTTTTGCTTCATTAAATACAGATCAACAGCATTGGCGACCGCGCCAAGTGGGAAGCAAATTCCAAATTCGCAGCCGTTTCCATGCCCAAACGCGGGCCTCTAAACTAAAAAAATACGGAGGAACCCGTAACCCAAAGATTTAATGGGCTATACAGTTGGGTCAAATAGTTATCATACATTTCTTTTTTTCTTTTTTTCTTTTTTAAATTAAATAGGAGTGCATTCATAATGATTATTTTCAAGTGCCAATAACATTTCCCTTTTTTTAGAAAGTTAACATTGTCTTATAATTAATAAAAAGAAGAATGATATAAATAAAAAAATACAATGTAGTTGTCGTTTCGATATATATGTGTATATATGGCGGTTTTGTATGAAGTTTTTTTTATGATTGGGACATGAGAATTCGAACTTGAGACATATCCTATAATATTGAGAAGATAGGTAAACTATAATTTTACCATTATGATAAGGTTAATTAACCTAGGCCTAGGTTTCATTTCATGTTTTTAAAATCCCACCCGACTATGAAGATGCTAAGCCCACATGTAGAAATATTCAATTCAATGCATTGGGGCCATCTTATCTAGCTTGCAAGTTGCAACTATCATCTCAAACTAACATTGACTTTAGACTTTCTTCGTCCTCAATACTATTTTTCCAGAAGGGAGTTGACTCCCATAATTCACTTGTATCTAAGTGAGGAAAAAAAAGAAGGAAAAAAGGGAATTTTTTTTTTTTTTTTTTCTTTAACCAACTTTGGTATGATATGCAGCGCTAAATGAAGAATATAATATATGCAATAATGTTGTATCAGTGGCACCGCATGCTTAAATACTGAATTACGTACTGAACAAATCCAGAACCAGAACAGCACAACAACCATACATGCAAATGAATCCACACAATTTCGGAAAATAAAGAGAATCAGAATAATGGAAAATAGTATTAATTTTCTACAACTAACACATCAATGAATATTTTGTATATAAAAAAAAGTACAAATCCGCGTTTTGTAATTTTAAATATGTGTGCATCAGTTTCTCTTGTTGAATTACATATTTATTTTTCATTGATAGATTTACATTAATGCAAATGTAAGTTAGGTTAGTTGACAAAGACATGTATTTTGAATATATTTTTTGGGTCAAACGATAGAAATATTATTGATAGAAGCCAAAAGGCTGGATTACAATAGCCACACAGATAACTAATCACTTGAACTCATACTTAGACTCAAATAAAGACCCAATATAGATTTTAACCGGGTACAAAATATATAATCATGGCTACGATACACCCCTTATTAATGGGGTATAAAAGATAATCACGGCTATGGTACTCCCCCAATCACAACCCTAAGAGTTCAAATCTAGTAACAAACCAATGTCCATTGGCTTTACTCTAGCGACTTTCTCACGAAAAGCTGAAAAACTCTCAAGGACACGACTTGGATGAGATATCATTTTGTCAAAAAAGAAAAAGATAGCGCAACATTGACACACAAAAAACCTATGGTTGAAGAATTTGTATAAAGAAAAGTTATCAACAGCTCATGATTAAACCCCCAAAAATGTAATTGATTAATAAAAATTGCGAGGGTAAATTGACCGTTAAACATTGAGTCGCCTTGTATGACCATGGACTGTCGTTCTTCTAAAGTTGAACAAAATCTCCAGTCAATATAGGAAACGGCAGGACCATAGGGACAGGGTAAGGCCCCGTGTGTCCGATAACACCGTAAAATATCCCAATTCCTCATTCATTCATTCACTCTCTCTCCTCTCCTCTTTCTATCTCTAACATTTTATAGGAAGCAAAAGCACAATTTGGTGAAGCTCTGAGCTGTACAACAGCCATCGCCTACACACCCTTCAAAGATCTGCTGCCTCTCTCTCTGCGAGTTTCATAGATATACTCAAAGTGCCATAGCGTTTGGATCTCTTCGACGACGTCGTCTTCAGCTAGAGGACTGCAGAAGTAGAACATCTTCGTCGTCTGCAGCAAATTGAGGTCAGTTCTATCTATTTCTCAAGGTTCTGTATGGACTCTAATTGGTTTTACTTGTTTTAGTGCACGTCGGCGACTCTGATTTTTCAGATCCGCTGCAGTACGTTAGTATCTAGTGTGGTCCGTTTGGTTGCTTAGAAACTGTTAGCTAAGAAAAGAAAATTTGCACTCAGTTCTTTGTTCTTGGACCTCGAGTTATCGAAGCTTTTGCTTGGATGTGTTTATCGATTTGGTTTAGTTTATGTAAGTTCACTGTTTTCTGGTATTGAAATGATTGTGAAACTTAAAAATCCGTGTTATCAAACTAGGCTTCTAGGCAATGAATTGGGGAATTAGTGATTTCGTTGTAATTTGGTAAAATGCTAGTTGCTAAGCTATCATTCATCATTGCGTCCTCTTCAAATTCATGTTTTTGGTAGTAACTGTGACTTATAATGAATAGGAAGTCTGAATGGCTAGTCGAGTGAAGGAGGACGAGAAAAATGAACGAATTATTCGTAGCCTTCTTAAACTTCCCGAGAATCGCAGATGCATTAACTGCAACAGTCTGGTACGCAATTCCTCGCATTCTTGTCCATTTATTGTTGGGTGCATTGTTTCATGGGCCACTTGTACATTTGATGATTATATTGTTTGTATGTCATGTCAAGCTATTGATATGTAACGTGAGGTGTGATATTAGCATTTTCCAGATAGAGGAATCATAATCTGCCTTCATGTAATTCTAATTTATGCTTTCTTTACTGCACTGATAGGGCTGATTCTAGAAATGGATCTACCAAAACAATGTATCTTGTGTTCTTGTACAAGAATGCAGATCAGATAAAGTATCATAGAGACCATATATGTGAAGCGCGGAAACTTTAGAAACAAATTAAGAACTGCAGTGCATATTTATTTCTCAAAGATTTGTTGCTTCTTGTTAACCATTTTTGTAAAGGTGTTCTTGCATTACAGAGTGGGAGCAATACATTGGTCATGATGATACTAATATTAGGGTTTTGAGTTCAAAGAGTGCATGTGCATATACTTATGTTTTGTGGTCAGGTTCATTTTTAATGTTATTTTCTACCAAGCAGGGGCCACAATATGTTTGCACGAATTTCTGGACATTTGTTTGCACAAACTGCAGTGGAATACAGTAAGTCATGATGTGCTGTGCTGCATTATTTCTTAAGAGTTATTCCTTTTCTTTCTATGTGTAGAAACAGAAGAGGGGGAGGGGGATGCAGGGGTATTTATTTAATTATTTTTCAAATATTCACTTTTAGTGTTTCATGCACACTACTTGTTGGTTTGCTTGCATTGTATTAATTACATGAAAATGTTTCCAGTCGGGAGTTCACGCACCGAGTAAAATCAGTATCAATGGCCAAATTTACTTCACAAGAAGTTAATGCCCTTCAAGAAGGGGGAAATCAGGTATTCGTATATGTTTCTTCTGAGTTCTTAGAAATACGTGTGATTTTCTTTTTGTCTGCTGCTAATCTTCTCAATTTATCTTGGGCTCGTCTCTGCTTCCCAATTACAGCGTGCAAAGGAAATTTATCATAAAGAATTGGACCCGCAACGTAATTCCTTTCCTGACAGCAGGTTAATACTCATTTTATTCTGTTTTACTTTGATAGTAATGACTACGGTTCTGATTCAAATGTTTGCTTCAGTAATGTTGAGAGACTTCGAGACTTTATTAAGCATGTGTATGTGGATAGAAGATATACTGGTGAGAGAAACTTGGACAAGCCTCCAAGGGCAAAAATGGTAAGCTATCCTTTACCCCAAGATACATTATTTTGAATACAAGGTGCTACCATATAGACCTAAAGTCAACACACTGGTTTAGTGTATACTTATACCATGATGAAGGTGTTTCAAATGTCTCTGGGTTTAAGTTGTAAATTGCATGTCATACAGGGTGAGAAGGAAGACTCTTATGAAAACAGAAGACTGGATTCATATCAGGGAGGCTCTCGAAGCCCACCATATGATGATACATATGAACGTCGTTACAGTGAAAGGTCTAGTCCTGGTGGAAGAAGTTATGATGGGCAAAGAAGTCCCGGATATGATCTAGAAGGCCGGCAGTATAATGATTATAAGAAAAGTCCTGGTCGCCCTGAAATTGTGAATGATTGGCGTCGAGAAGATAGATTTGGAAATGGGAGGCGAAATGATGATCGCAGAATATCCGATGGAGATTCTAAGCTGGATGCTAAATCACCTGAACGACCAAGAGATCTAGATTCGTCCAGCCCCCCTATTGTACGGCCTGTTAGAGATATTTTGGGAGATAACACAATACCTCTCCGTATAATTGAACCTCCAAAAGCTAACAGTGCCAGGGCTGCTGATAGCTCTGTGCAGACACAGGTGAGTCTTTCTAAAGTATTCATTTTCTAATTGAACACTTGATGGTTTAGTAATGCATATGCCTTTATTACACCATTTTCATTAACATGTGAGGCCAAGACAATGCTTCAGCCGTTACGTGGAAGTATATATTGTGATCCCCTGCATGCCTTCAATTTGATCATCTGTACTTTCCGAACTATAGTGATCAACAGTTAGCAGGAGCATTTTTGTTGTCTAACTAATAAGTTCAGCTTTACGATTAAATTGGCTTGAACTAACAAATTCATACATTTCTGGTTTGTGTTGTGTTTTGTTACTTTGAGTTCAATTACTGCTCATTATTACCATAGACAAGTATATCATATATATGCTCTCTCTCTCTCTCTCTCTCTCTCTCTCTCTCAATACCTCCTTTATTCCAGTTCAAGTTTTTACATTCATGTCTTTTTTTATCTTTTCTTTTTTGTATTTTGTTTTACTTGCTTGACAAAGCTTATCATCATGCAACTTACCTATTCAATGTTTCACACACTTTTCCTTAATGATATATGTATTAGTTCTGTTATATAGAAGATGAGTGCATGCTGTTATTTGTTTGGGATTTTCATTTTATTTTTATTTTAACTTTCCCATAATAATATACTAAACTTGCTCTTGTACTGTTTTTAATTGCAGAGAACTGCATCGTCCAGCAGCTTGGGATCCACCAATGAGAATCCGGTGGAAGTGAAACTGGAGACTTCTGGAAGTTTAATTGATTTTGATGCTTATCCTGAACCTGCTCCTGCTGCTGCAGTTCCTCAACCGCAACAAACTACTGTAGCTCAATCCTACCCACAGCCAACAAATTCAACCAATGACAATAATTGGGCCTCTTTTGATGTTGCTCCAGAAGTGAAAGCACCTCAAGCTCCTGCGAATGTGAATTCATTGGAATCTCTGCTATCACAATTGTCAGTTTCAGCACCTGGCCCTAGTTATGTTTCTGGAGCTACAGGTAATATGGGTGCTCCCACAATTGCACCATCAAGCAGCGTGTCAACATTTTCCCCTGTTGGTGCTCCGGTTCCTGCGCCAGGATTGGCTCAAGTATTCCCAGTCAATGGTGGTAGTTTCCTTGTTAAAGATCCTACTTCCGGGCAATGGCCTACCATGCAGCATCAGCAACCTTCTTTATACTCTGCTAATGGTATTCAGCCTGCTGCTCAACAATTTATACCGTCAGTTGATGGAGCTTCAAGCAATCAGGTTGACCTTGTGGTGGTATTGTTGATTTTGTTTTTGTATTTCCTTACAATTTTTTAATTTTTTCTCCTTGTTTATTCTGGGCAATTTTGGCAGCCATGGAATTTAACACACGCCCCACATGCACAAGGTCAGCCAAGTGTCTCTGCACCACAAGCACAACAAGATGCCTCGAGATCTGGCCATGATGTTAGTACTATTGCATCACAACCTTCAGCTGGTGATGCAAAACCAAGTGGAAGAAGAGAACTTCCTGCGGTAATTATGTTTTTTATTGGGCTTTGTTGAACTTTTTGGACTTTTTGGTCTTGTAGTTTAGGTCCGATTCCACTTCAACCCCCCCAATTTCAACTAGTTTACCCTATAGTTGTTAGCATTTTCAATTTACATTTTTGTCTCATTCCTTTACAGAAAATGTGAATTGTTTCACTAATTTCACCTAGCCAAATTGACCAATGTGACAAATTTGAAATTGAATGATTCTGAGGTGTAACTTCGTTTACCTTTGGACCATTTTCAATTTTTCATAAACCATTTGACAAAAATGCAAATGTGGACATGTTGAAAATGCTAGCAGACTATAGGGGTAAGTTTGTTTAAATTACAACTACAGGGACCAAAGTGCAATTGGACCTAAACTTTAACCATCTTTTTATTTATATGCATTCGTGCGTGCATGTATGTATGTATGTATGTATGTATGCATTTTTGCATTTCTTTATTTATTTAAAGCTGAATTGATTGCAGGATATGTTCGCTATGAACTTTTCATCCTTTCCTGCACCAGTTCCTGGATGGCAAACTGGTCCTCCTCGTGCTATGGGATTTGCTATGCAATATAACACTGCAGTGGTATTTTCTCAACTCAACCTTTTAAAGATAATGAGTTGGTTCTCTTCCAAAAAAAAGACTTGTAAACCTTTTGTTGTTCTCTTTGCATTTGAATCTCTGTTTCTTTGTAGCCCATGCCTGTGTTTCAGCAGTCATCAAAGTCAGCAAACCCTTTTGATGTCAACAGTGAACCTCCAATACAAGCCTCAACAGTATGTGATTTCATTTCATTTCAACTTATCCTAGTTATTACATTTCTATTGTTTGTGTTAGCTTGATATACATTGTTGGCCAATTCTTAACAAGGTAAGCTTTTAGGATCATGTGTTTGTCTAACAACTTCAGCATTCAAGATCTTGTGGTTGTCTAACAACTTAAGCTTTTAAAATCTTGTGGTTGTCTAACAACTAAGGTTTTAGAATCCTGCGGTCGTCTAACATGGCATTAGAGCTTTGGTTGTAAGAGGTCATGAGTTTGAAATCTTCAATCCTCATTTGCCACTCTTATTTGTCAGTTTGCAAGGATAGAGTCGGACTGTACCCATGTGTTCCTCTTTGTGTGTATCTGTCCGGCACTATATGTGCTGGATGTGACTACATGTTGAGGGATGGTGTTAGCTTGGTATACATTGTTGGTTCGTTCCTAACCGCTTAAATTTTGGGTTCAATGGTTGCCTGATAAATTTGACTTAGTTTGCTCAGATCAATAACTCACCATAAAACTTGCTTTGTTAGCTGAAATCAGTATCAAAGCATTTTTTTTTTCCTGTAACTCTACGTGGTCTTGATAACTCCTCATTTGATGCACAAATATATTTGAAGTTTCTTTGATGTGTTTTATCTGTAATGCAGTTTCCTTCTGCGGCATCCTTTCAAGCTGCCCTACCAAATGTCCAGTCTTTGTCCCCACCGGGTTTAGTGCGCACTTCCAGCCTCAATACTCCCTCATCAGCTTGGATGCCGCTCCAGTCGTCATCATATTCGACAGTGGTGCCTCCCCAAGCACCACAATATGCATCACAAGTGCCTCCCCAGTTATCATCATATTCTTCAGCAGTGCCTCCCCAAGCACCACAATATGCATCACGAATGCCTCCAAGTAAGATGATGCTGCTTTCCTTTTTTTTCTTCTAGTAAATAATGAAAAATACTTTCTCATTCTCCCTTTTGTTGGCAATGAGTGCTGAATTGTGGTTTGATAATCTCAGGAGCCTACATGGTGCAACAAGTTCCGAGTAGCATGCCACCTTCCGGGTAACCATAAATTTTGGGTTTTTTCTTTTAAATATTTTCTTACTATATATTCAATAACATTAAACGCAAGTAAATTCTCTGAGTATTCTTATTTTTTCTTCAGTTTTTCTTTTGTACCCTAGATTACCCTAGATTGGAGGTAAGTTAGGGGCTATTGGCATAGTGTCATGACAAGTAAAGCCCTCCAGTTAATTTCCTTAAGGTTCTTCTATATTGTTTGATAGAATTGGGGTTAATTTTACTGGCCGTCACATGGTGTGGTTATAGCTAGGTAGCTACACTTCTCTTTCAGAGGGCAGGTTCCAAGTTCAATCCTCATCCTGGAGTTTTGTAACTGATCATTTTTGTTTTCCTTTTTACTGGCTGTCCCCAATGGTTTCACCAATGCGGGTGTTACAACATCGATTGGAACTTCAAATACTCTGCATTTCTGATAAATAGTTCTGCATGTGTTCTGTCCTTTACCCCAAACAAAAAAATTATGCATGTGCACAGAGTAATTTATGCATTTAGATGAAGTGATCTGTTGACATAATCGTTATGCTTGTAGGTATCAAGGAGCAGTGGGCTTTGGCAGCGAGGGTTCTGCTTTTGCTTCATTAAATACAGATCATCAGCAGATAGGTAGATTCTCAGCTCCTGCTACCCCAAATCCTTACTCGTCTGCTGGAGGAAATCCATTTGGGTAGATGCAAAGAACAAGGTGTCTCTAATCCCATTTAGGGTAAGCATCATCTTGTTGCTGCTGCTGCCCGTCGAATTGCCGGGTGGAAAGTATTGGTTTCTATCTTGGTAGATTTTAAGTTATCTGATGCTGCCTAAAGAGTTATTTGGATCATCATCCCCTGGGTCAAGAGTCAGAAGGTCAACATCAGTCATGTACAATTTGTTTGCTGTTGTAAGAAAGTGAGAAAAAGAGTATATAGTTGAAAGGGGGATAGAGTGGTAGAGTTGCCTGCTTCAATGGGGACCCTAGGTATCTATTTTTCGCCCAGCCAAGCCATTCTATTGGGTGATCTACGAGTTTAATTATTTTTTTGTTTTAGCTGCCCCTTGTAGTTCTTTTTTGTTTCCATTTTTTTTTTTCCTGGTATGTTGTATGATTTTGCGATCTCTTCATTTGTGTTGTGAGCTCGTTGAGTTTATGGAAGTTGATGAAACAGTAACAATGGTTTTACAGTGAAATGCAGTTTGTATGTTAATACGATCAGATGATTTTCTGTGATACGTATGATTTTACGGTCTTTGCCTTAGTGCCTAATTTCCAATAATGTTGCAGCCTCAAGCTAAATATGTCTTGAATTGCGAAAGGACCCTTTGGTAATCTGCCAATAGCTTTGATTGAGACAAACGAGGTCGATAGATTCGTGAATAAGGCTAAATAGACACTCTCGTTTTTACCCTACTAGCTTACAGAAACGGTAAGGGCATTATTGGGTTTTGGCTTTTTATTTGTGCTTTGCTTTCAGTCACTCGAAGCAAACCGAATAATACAGCCTTCATGTTAACGTTTCTTCTCGAGTGTTCAAAAGCCAACCTAACCTCCTCTTCAGGAGCGCCTTTCTTCTTCTTCTCCTCCTCTCTACATTCTACTGACATGGACTCGAAATCACAAACTACAAGATTCTCGAGCGGGTCGGATCCGGATCCTACTCCGAACCATCGAGGCATGTCTTATGTTATAATCGTCTTATTAATTAGTTTGTTCTAGTTTAACATGTTTAATTAATTAGTATGTCAGATAATTTGATCAATTTATTACATTTGTTGTATTGAAGTTGTCATAAAAAAATTAAAAAAAAATCGTCTAATCAAATGTTCGAAGAATGGAAACAAAATGATACAACCATGCACCAAACCATGGACCTCAAAAGGAAAACAAGAAGCTCAGTATCATATAAAACCCTTCACTTAAAGACATTTGCTTTTCAGTATTGTGACATTTAACAAGATGCTACATTCTTCTACCATACAGGGAATGGATTTTCTCACACTCTATGCACGAGTGTTATGAATTCACAACACTAGGTATCTGGGTAACTTGTATGCTCTTTTTTTATACGTCCTTAACTTTTTACTAGGCCCTTAGATTAGAGGAAGGTGGAGCTGTCCATGACCTGAGGCTCTTCTTGAGTATGCACATAGTTTCTAACTTCCGATCCTCTCTTTGCCAAGGCTTAGACATTCCCACATGTACAACGGTTGATGAATGAGGCAGACGTGAAACAATTTGTTTTAACTTATGCAGATTCCGCCGTTTGTCTGCTCTTCCATATGATTGGAGCAACCAGCATCCATACTGCAAAACAGAAATTTCCTCTCAGAAACAACAATTTCCACATGACATCCAAAACTCAAATGCGGAATCTTATACTCACAATACACGCAGACAGCGATCCACTCGTTCACAATCCTCACCCATGTGCTGGCCCATCCCACATCAATTGTAAACCTGCAGAAGGGGAGCAACTTATTGAGGAACCAAGAAAGAAGAAGGGTGTTCAATTTATTCACGAAGATGTAAATTAATAGCGAAATCACAAGACAGGAGAAAATACTTTTTCATGGATTGATGAGTATTCCAACCAATCAACAGCATTGCAAAGTACATTGCTCCTGTGGCAAAAACGAAATGGAAGAAGCCATAACCATATGGAACATCATCCTCGGATTCTGTCTCGTCCTTCCTGAACTGCAGATACTGTCAGGTGCATTTTAAGGGAGCTATAAATGACCAATTAGAGGTTATTCAGGCAGTCGAGCAAACCTGAAAGCATTTAGAATCTATCCCCGTTGAGAATGTTGCAATAACCATCGCAAGTACGGCAATGACAAAGCTCTGTCAACAAATGAGTCATTGTCACATTTTGGTGTGGGAGACAAGAAAGAGATGAAAGTTTGCAATGCAAGCTGTGTAAACTCAAAAGTTTCTGCAGGACCTGTTGTTGGTCATTCCAATACATATAACAGAAGTTCTAAACCTTATGTGGTGCTATTAATGAAGACTACATACATGTTAGTGTTTATAATTCATTGTCTTCTTTGTTTAGATTCAAGATAATATCAGTAAGGGGTGAGACTAGAAGTAGCAGATTTAATATGCATTTAGAATTTATATGAACATCATTAAGTAGAGTATTACTATGATGGTGAGCCAATCTGTTTTGTTTGAAGCTTCTGCCTTCCTGTTGCAACTTTCCCCTGTTGGCTCACTGCGAGTTAAAGCAAACAAATTTTGATGATAGATATTCTTTGAAAGAAATATATCAACCAAACTCATAGGCAGGTATAGACTTCATTCGAAGTCAATACACATCTCTTGATTGGAGGCTCAAAAAAGTGAAGGAAGCATGGCATATCATCCAACAAGAATTTAAGTGCAGCCGGAGAAGAGATTAAAAACCCTACCTTCTAATGGCAAACCAGCAGATGAATACTATATAGAGCCCCATGAGCCCTGGAGTCAAAATCCCAGCATTCACCTATTTCAGGTGGAAGTTAGCAAGCAAACCAGATTAGAACAAGAATGAAGTAGAAGGCAAGGTGATAACCAGAACTTACTTTCGGGTGGAGAGAGACACTGGTCATGAGTTGTAGAAGTACTAATGTCCAGGTAATGAAGAAAATGTTGAGGAGGCAAGATGGTTCTGGTGCATACCATATGTACATCAATATGATCCCCGTTAAGCATAAAACATATGCGGTAGTTGCAAGTAGCATGATATGAATTTGGCTGCAGTGAAAACCTAAATTTAAATTAGCCGCAAAATCCAAGTAATGAATATGGCTAGTAGCTACATGGAATTTGTTTTCAATACCCAAACAAGCAGAGACCTGAGTTAGTTTAAACAAAGTCTTACCATCTTTCTGATTTGGAAGACTGACAGCAATCGTTCAGCCATGTAATGAAACTTATTATGCTTATTAGCTGAATCAGGAGAAATACCCTGATAAACAATACAATACTAAAACTTGTTAAAACAAGACTAAGATTTTTAGTTTGTCTCCAACTTCAGGAAACACATTTCAAAAGAAAAAATTTACATGATAAAGACAGGAATTAAAATTAATAAAAGGATAGAATGATACCCGGCACCAAAATGCGCAATCTCCCCTGCCAAAAGATTTGTATTAGTGACAAGAAATTGGGTATTTTCGAAATGAAATTAAATGAAGAAAGAAAAAACAGTTTGAGGTTTTTGGGAAATGGGATTATACTAACCATATAGCTGAATGATTGCAGCAGGAAGCAAAAAGGGAATAATAATGAAAGTAACCCAGAGGACAATCTTGGCAGACCACCATCCAGATTGCCATGAATCTCTAGGCTCCTTCAACTTTGATGCACCAGCCGTCGAAAGAAACATTGTGAAATAAAACATCTGATCAAGTATTAAGGCTTAGTTTACTTTAATCCATTCGGAGACAAAACAGCAAAAATTAACGAAAAGTTACACAAAAGGTCAAGAAGAGTGATATAGCAAGTTTGGCATTTATATTGAAACCCTTCAAAGACTGATACTTTTTGGCAGGAAATTTCAAGAAAGCATAGCAGAGAAGGATACAAAGCATGCCAAGCTGACACGCAGAACCCCTTGTGCACCCAAACAATCTTTCACACCATGGCATCCTTTTAATCCTGAACTCACACTCACAGCAGCAGCCAAGAGGTGTTAATAAAAAAGTAGAGCATGATATGAAGGAAAGGAGCAGAGAAGAGCAATTCTTACTTTCCATCTCCGTCAACACGTTGCGTCCATAATCCCGGACGGCCCATGCCAGAAGATTTGCTATTAAGAACATAAAGCCGTAGACATATCTGGCCATCCAAGGATTGGAGCCATTGCGGAATTGGCTGAGCCATGACTTAAACTGGAGTTTTGCATAACCGCTCTCCATTTCTACTCCATTCAGGCTCTCTTGTTCTTCACATAAATCATCAGTTTAGCAAAACAACCAGTTGGGTTTTTCTCTCTGTCACTCTCAGTTTCTGTCTTCCCCTGCACAGTTGAAAAATACCACCCCAAAAAAAAGGGTCACATGCATCATAGGAGCAGATACAGTTACCTAAGCGTCAAAACTGACCATAGAAATGTTGGGCTCAAATCTCAGCAATTATTAGCAACATGGGTTGTGACTGTGAGTCATCACAGATTCTGTCCAGCCCAAAAATGTAAAACACATACCTTTCCCCAACCCCATCTTTCTATTCTATATATAAGTAAAACACTATATCATCACAATACTTGTGCTGTGCACAAATTCCTGCCCAAAAGAAGCAGCTTGTGCACGAAGTTTGTAAACACTCAAACCCATTTATTGATAAACATTATGCTTGAGGTGGTTGGTTTGTTCAGTTTTGCTTTTTGGAATGAAAACATTCTCAACGTCTCAAAGAAAGTGATCACAAAAGATTTAACTGTGATGCCTTTTCCAGTTGAGTTGCTGCCCAAAAGGAGCATAACAACACAAACGTGTATTGTACGACAAGAATTGTATAGTTGATGAGAGAGAGAGCTGAAGAGCATATTATTCTCCTAGTTGATTGATAATGGAGCCTGATTCTTTGCACAACAGTTCAAATCAAACCAATGCAGGAGCATAGAATAGAAGCAAGCACACACGCCAAATGGCTCTCTGCTTGAGGCTTTTAGTTTTAGACGACTTGTTTAGAGAGAGAGAGAGAGAGAGAGAGAGAGAGAGAGAGCTTTATGATTGGACCCCACAAGTTCAGACTTTTTGATGAAGCAGAAACAAAGAAAGAATCTTTCATTTCGTTGATTTGTTGCTCCACTCCTGGGGGTAGGTGACGTGTTAGTCCAAGCTATCAGAATTTTTTTTCGTTTTGGTTTCTTTGCCTTTTTGTTTATTAATGTATTGTTTTATATTATTAACTAACAGACCATTTCTTCCAGTCCGAGCGTTCTCTGTGCCTGAATATCTTCCCTTCCACACTGAACTCCAGAACTTACTCTAGGACGATTATACCCTCAAACGCTATGCTAGCTCAGTCTTTTCTTTTTCTTTTTTTTTCTTTGATTTTTTTGGTGGTTATACCCAAATAAATCTAGGTCCTAAAAAGATAAAGAGCTAATATAAATATTTTGCTTTAGGCTGTGTCCAAAGAACACAACAAAAAGGAAGACAACCCAGGAGAAGGCAAAGGGGACTAGTCCCAGAAAATAATATATGAAAACAATTGACTTTACTCTTTGCTTGGTCGTTGAGAAAAATACAGAGACAAGATCAAGCATTTACGCCTACGGTACCCTAGTGATCATCGGAACAATGCTAGAATAAAAAGCTTCTCTTGGGATTTGCAGTACAAAATGAACAGACAAAAAGAAACTGAAAATGTAATCAAAGAATCAAATTTGAGCAAACACCCAGGTACAAATCAATCACACACACACACAACAAGAAAAGATTCAGTCTTTGACTAGCTAGAACAACTCACGGAAATCAAAACAAAAAAGCCGTCGAGAAAATAAGACAGAAATTGAAGGTTTGTTTTTGAATGAATGAGAGAAAGTACCTGAGAAAGAAAGAGTGGGAGACGAAGGTGGCAAACTGGCAATGCGCAAATGGACGTACGACAGAACAAAGCAGGACCTCTGAGACCCTCTCTCTGTTTTCTGTGTGTTTCAAAGTCTCTACGACAAAACAGAGAGAGAGAGAGAGAGAGAGAGAGAGAGAGAGAGAGAGCGAGAAGGGAAAATTACTAAATAGATACAGAGAAAGCGAAAGGGATAGATAGAGATATATATACTGATTGCTTTGGCTTTGAGTAGGTTTTGCTTTGCCTTGTTTCCTTCCTTTCTTTCTTTTTCCCGCCGTAAAGCTTTTACTGTCTACTCCGCTTCTCAGTCGTATCGTATCTTTCAAGGTATAAAAACAATTGCGTTACGCATTAAGACAAAAACAAACACTCATCCAAACTACTTTTTACCTCTTCTTTATTTCTGTTTGCCGCAGAAAAGATTAAAATGATGGGTAATTAATGCACTCATTAATCCTGATTAGGTTTAGTCCACGCCAAACAGATTTGGTACATGCCTAACATAATTATGTTTTAGTTATAATGGTGGCCATGAATCATGATCATACCCTCTGTTTTTCCCAAAAAAATACAAACCGTATGTTCTTTTCATCTTTTCCGTAAACTCATGAATAAGTATTTGGAATAACGACGTGCCAACAACAGTTTAATATTTATTTATAAATTCTCCAAATCAAAATTATTAATAATAATAATAATAATATGTTGATTGTTTTAATTAATTACAATCAGATGAGATTTTTTTTTAATTAAGTAAAAATAATAAGATTGTTTTTAATTAACAAAATAATCGTTGCAAACCAGACGGACGACGATAATATCTAACGGAATATACTTAGATGACCGTGAACATTCACTTTTCGATTCGGCGGAGCTCCATATAAATAAATAAATAAAAAGAATAAATGCATTATTTAACAAATTAAGAATTTTTTTTAAAAAAAGGAAAATAAAAAGAAGAAGAGACAAATGAAAGAAGGAATCTTGTATGAAGTTTCTGAGACTGCTACGTTATCTTTTATTTATGTTTGGATCCGTGCATGCACGTGCTCGTAACTTGAGCCACCATCACAAATTTTAACAAATGAAATATTTAAATAATTACTTTCACTTTTTTCACCCAAGATGGGTAATTTTCAAAGGCTGATGTTTTAGGCCATCGCCGTCAATCAAGGAGCGATCTTCTGTTAAATCAAGATTTATACTTTATGTTGTTAATGGTATCAACTCACACTGGTCCTTTGCTCATAATTACGCATCCATAGGTCATCATAATTAAATCAACTATTAAGCTGTGTAAAAAAAAAATCTTTGGCAAGGGACTCACTAGTGTAGTGATTTGGATTGGAGCAATTGATCTCTTAGGCACTGGCGAACTCAGGAACTTTTTAACGGAGGTGCAATACAGAGAGAGCTACATAAAAATATAAAAAATTATTAAAACAAGAAAAAAAAATTAAATAAACAAAATTGGCGTTTGCTCAAGAAGAAAAAAAATTTGCATCCAACTTACTTTGGATTGACGTACTCAAGAAGGAAAAAAAAAACCTCAGAATTCTTGTGATGCACACACACTTGATAAAATTGGATGATGTTAAATTGGTCCTTTATAAAGAGAACTTCCAATCCCACTTAAATAAGGAATTGTGCAAACCCTATTAAAGTCTAATTAAATAAAGAGAACTCCTAATCCCATTTAAATAAGGAATTATGCACTCCCAATTAAAGCCCAAGCAATGGCAGGATTCCTTTTTTTTTTAATAAAAAAAAATCCCATGATTTAAAAAAAAAATATATGAAGATAGGATAGCATGCAACAAGACTTCTCTTAGGCTTTTCGTTGAACACTTGCTGTTCAACTCTAAGGCTGAGGAGAAGTGCAATATGCAGCACCTATGATGGCTTTTCCAACGAGGGAATGTGTAGTGCATCTTCTTATGCCTTAATAGATCCGTCGCTGCTTTTGAGTCTTAAATTCGAGTTCTAACATCCGGTATAGTGTGAGTGAGTTTAGTATATTACTCATCTCAATAGAAAAGATTATACTAAAAAAACAACTTTGGTTTTCGTTTTCTCTTGCTTTTTGGGTTCCAACTGGCCTGGTTTTGTCAAATGTTTGCAGATGAGATGTGATGTGACACAGAAAGGGCCGAAAGGAGTGAAGAGATTGACACTGCCCAAAAGCCACAAGCGAAGACAAGAAAAAGTAAGTGGAAATATAATGGAAGGGAACTTTGGTAGGAGATTTTGAAGGGCAGGCCTTTTTCTAGTTATGGGCTTTGGCTTAAATATTGTTTGGTAAAGTTAATGGTCTCTTATTTGTATATGTAGAAGCTCAGCTCAAACTTCAAATCTTTTTAAGGCCCACAATGGTCAACTGCAGATGTAATATAAGTTGTTGGGCTCCTTGGTTCACTCAAGCTGTATCCATAACCAATGGCAAAAGCCAATTTCAGACTTCAGACTTATTTTTGGTTTTTTGATGGGTTTTGGGCTAGCTGCCTTTGTTCTTTTAACCTGCAACATTTCAATTTCAAATATATATATATATATATATATTTTTTTTTTCTTTCTAAAACAAGCGATAGTCTAAACTATAAAGAGGAGGGGATTTCTCACACACACTACCAACCAAGGTGCCATGGGGATGGGGATTCGAATATGAGATTATTGGTCTGTAAATCAAGACCCTTTTCTACTAGATTAGACCTCGTTGGCTTTCAAATTTTCTTTCGATAGGTGCAACATTTCAATTATTGAGTCAACACTTGTACACCAAGCTGTATTAATAAGGTAGCTCTGCTAAAATTAAGTAGATGATAAATGATTCCTCGACTTTTCTATGCGAGAGACTTTTGTGACAGGGAACTAATCAACTATGCCCATTAATTAATGAATTAATTAAGTAGATGAAGAATCATGAATTAGATAGAATTTGCCGGCCATCTTCAATAGTTTGCCAAATACTCTTTCGAAAAGTAATGACTTTTTTTATTAGAGGGCACAGAACAAAACAAAGAAGCAATATTTTTTTATATACATATGGGATATGGAAATGGCATCCATGTTTCTCTTCTACTTTTTATTTTTCCTCTGCTTATGCAAGTATTTTTGTTTTTCATATGGTCCTGAGATGACCTAATCACACAGGCAGGCAGGCTGGAGAGAGAGAGAGAGAGAGAGAGAGAGAGAGAGAGAGAGAGAGAGAGAGAGAGGCCCATATATATTAAATGGCAGTTAAGTCCCTATTTCAGGTAATGAAAACAAGTCAACCAACTTGTTGCGTTTTAAATTTTGCGTTACAAATATGATGTGAAAAAGCGCTAACATCCCATGTGGCTCTTCATCCAATCAGGCCCCATTTCCATTAAACATCACCATCCTTCGATTGAATTTTTATGCATTTTGTTTTCCTTCCACAGAGAACTAGAAAGGGACATGTGAATGCAGTCTAGCTTAGATCTACTTCCGGTACAATAGAATGGATCTAAAAATGTTAAGCGGGCCAAAGTTTTGTACTTATTTTTAATACAAGCGATAGTGGGGAAGGGGATTTGAACACCGAATCTCAAGTGTAAGAATAACTATTAGTAACTACTTGAGCTATAAGTTCCTTGCAAAATTTTGAATTACAAGCATTGTTCGGAAAAAAAAATATATAAAAAAAATCATCCTTTATGCGTTAAAAAGATTGCTACTTTTCCAAATTTCCATAACATGAATGAATATGGGAAAAATCCCACAAGAAATTTGAGCTTGAGTTGTGATTCGCACACCAATTTCCCAACACACCACATGATATAGGAGACTTGACGATTCTCTCTGGTTTTGGGTTGTCATTTTCATGAAACAATGGCAGGATCTTGTATATATATAGACAGAGGAGAGCCAATTGCTAAAATTGAGGGGGTGGGTGGTACTTGACAGGGTGTAGAATAGAATTATGAGCTTCACTTGATTTTGGTCTGCACTCGGCACGGCATGGGGTTCCAAGTTTGAGTGCAGCAATGAAAGACTGGCCAATTGTGAATCTACAGCAGCACATGAAAGTTGGCAATATGCATGGGTCATCATCGCAATCAAGTACCAATTTATGTGTATGTGGTGATGCTCTACGTGGATGGTGGCAATACAGCATTGGTGTAATGCTGAATCTGCCTTAGTGCCCCATATCAGAACTTTTTAAAGATGGATGGTTCCACTTCCACTTGCACACTGCCTATGTCACTAGAGGGATGGGAGCTACAACTTAGCTGAAAGGGGCGGACTCATTGCCTTGAGGAACTGGCGTAACCAGGTATGCAAGAAAAAAGACCTTCGGAGGGTAATTACAAATAAGCTACAACAAGAAGTCGGCTCCAACTCAATTTTTTATTTCAAATGGAACATCTGCTGCTGAGATTTGTTAATTGGAAAAGGGAGAAAAGAGTAAAAGTGTAATGACAACAGTCAACGACAAACACCATACATTCATGATGATGAATGGGAAGGAGTAAAAAGAAGGCTCGTTTGGAGCTTTTTCATGAGCAAAGTAGGAAAGAGGATTTCAAATTCCAATGGGGAAGAAGTGTGAGCATGAAGTAACCAGTTTTTTTGAATTCGAAATTTCAAATCCCACATTTGATTTGATATTAGAATTTAGGAGATGCACATGAATCATGATGATATCAGCCCCCAACAATGTTAGTTTAATCTAATGAAGAAAAACTCAGATCATGAATTGAATGCAGCACCACCCAATCTATGAGACTTAGGTCCTACCATCATCTCAATTTGCTAATTGGGACCTGCACTCTCGATCGAAAATTAAGGACCCTCCACCCCTCTTCTATGACCTACCTATCACCTTGGCAAAATCAACAAAATGATAAAGCCATTGACCTTAACTTAATCCCTGAATTATTATATATATATATATATATGTGTGTGTGTGTGTGTGTATACAATATGCTGGCCACAAAATTCTAGCCTGGTGTCTCTGTGACTCTGTGCTGTGTCATTGACAAACACCAATGCTGCAATGTACATGGATTCCTCATCAATCCAAATTCCATTTCCTAGAATCTCAATGACACAAACAACAAACAACAAACAACAACAAAGTCTTGCATTTGCTTTATGATTCATACACATCAAATGCTGCATGCAATCACCACATGAATTCCTCATCAATCCAATTCCATTTCCCAGAATCTCATTGACACAAACAACAAAGTCTTGCGTTTGCTTAATGAATGATTGATTGATTGATTGATTGATTGATTGATACAGACATCAATATTATTCATTCAACAACAAACCAACAAGCCTTTTTTTGGAGACTGGGTGAAGATTGAACAAATGGATTGAGCAAACGACACAGGCAGCTTTCATTCAATCTCATACCACAACAGAACCAAATTGGAAGGGAAGTGGAAACATGTAAACTCTGAGAATTAATACATGTAAAATGTTCATGATTATACTATAAAATTTGGAAATTGAGAAGAAACAAAAGTATGATTATGATATAAAAGAGAGACAATAACAATAAAACCCACCACAAACCCAGCAGCAATAGCAGCAGCAGCAGCAGAAGCAGAAGGAAGGTGCTGCTGCTGTGTTTGTAGCCTGAATTACGGTCTCCAAATGCATCCCTATACATACACATTCTCTGCAACCTAATGTTTCTCTGCCATTTTTATTTTCACAACTCAAATATCCATAACAATTTCAAATAAATATGGGAGAGACTTTCTCCTCTTACCTCTCTCTCACTCTATACTGATGATATTACATCTATGCTTTCACCTCTTCTCTGCTTCTTGAGACATTTGTTTGCCGTTGCCGAAATGGTGATTAACTTCAAGAATTGCATACAATCCCAAATTTCATTCTTTTTTCCTTTTTTTGGTTCTTCCTCCACGAGCGACGAGAATTGCCCAAAAGAGAAAGAAGAGTTGGTGTGGGGAGGGAAGAGAAGCCGTGACTGCCAATACTGACTCTGGGTAGTTTTGTGTGATGTGACGCTCCAGGAAAGGTTAGAGGAGGAAAATTCTCAAAAGAATCATCAATAGAAGGGTGGTGGCGGAGGAGACGCGTATGAAACTCCAAAGATGGGTGGCAATGGGCCCTCATATACAGGAGTGGGAGGCGGTGGGCTTTCATAAACAATTGGCGGTGTTGGTGAACTGTAGTGAACCGGTGGGGGTGGGGAATGGTAGTGAACCGGTGGCGACGGTGGTGGTGGGGATGAATGAGGTGGTGGCGTTTCACATGGAATTGGGGGTGGTGGGGATGGTGATGGTGGGGGTGGGGAACTGTAGTGAACAGGTGGGGGTGGAGAACTATATTGAACCGGTGGTGGTGGGGAAGGGGACTGGTAGACTGGGGGAGGTGGGGGTGGAGAACTATATTGAACCGGTGGAGGTGGGGAAGAATAGACAGGAGGTGGTGGTGAGGGTGAAGGTGGGGGCAAGTACACAATGGGAGTTGGTGGTGGTGGTGGTGGTGAGTACTCAATACATGGTGGTGGTGGGGAAGGTGGAGGGGGTGGCTCTATACAAAGTGGTGGTGGTGGAGGGGACTGGTACACTGGGGGAGGTGGGGAATGGACGGGAGGTGGAGGTGATGGATACGGATAAATTGGTGGTGGTGGTGAATGTGGAGGTGGTGGTGGTGAATGAGGAGGTGGGGGTGGAGGTGAATTGTAAAGGTAAGGAGTGGGTGGAGGTGGAGAGCTCAATGGAGCCGGTGGTGGTGGTGAATTTGGTGGCGGTGGTGGTGGGGGCCGCACACAATATGGCGGCGATGCTGTTGGTGGAGGTGGTGGCGATGCTGTTGGTGGCGGTGGTGGTGGAGGTGACGGGGGAGGTGGTGGTGGTGGGGAAGGTGGGGGCGGGGTCGGTGTGGGAGGTGGAGGTGGTGGCGGTGGCGGTGGCGGTGGTGGGGGTAGCGGTGAAGGAGGTGGTGGGGGTGGTGAGTAAACTGGAGGCGGTGGTGGGGGTGGTGAGAAAACCGGTGGGGGTGGTGGGGGTGGTGAGAAAACCGGTGGCGGTGGAGGTAGAGGTGGTGGCGATTGGGGTAAAACAACCGGGGGAGGCGGTGAAGGAACCAAAACAGGCGGTGGCGAAGGCGGAGGAGGAGAAGGCAAAGAAGGAACAAAGGGTTTACATCTAAACGACTTACAATCCACGGGCCTAGACAAGAACGACTTACACTTCGCCGCCGGCCTCTGCGCCGGCCTATTCGGCAAGCAATTCCTCTTATCATCGAAACCCGCCAAGCCCAGACACACCGGCGGCTCGCCGGTGAAGAAGTTGTAAGAGTAAGTGAAATTCTGCAGCCTCGGCAGCGAGCAAATACTGGCCGGAATCGTCCCAGATAGCAAGTTGTGGGCCACATTGAGCTGCTCCAAGCTCACCATCCCTCCAATCGTCTCCGGCAGCGAACCCAAGAACTGGTTGAAGCTCACATCAAACACCGTCAAGTTCTTGAGCATCCCAATCTCCTCCGGCAAGCAGGACCTGAACCCATTGTTCATCAGAATGATCTCGTTGAGGTTCGACATGTTGCCCAGGCTCGCCGGAACGCAGCCGTGGAACTTGTTGTTGGCGAGGACGATGACGGAGACCGGCGAGTTCCCGAAGTTATCCGGCAGATCGAACCTGAACCTGTTGTGGTTGATGAAAATGGCGTCCAAGTCCTTGTCGAACAGCTCCTTGGGCACAGTCCCTTCGAACTCATTGAACCTCAGATCCAAAAATTTTAGCTTTGGCAGCTGAAGAACAACCCGAGGAAACTTCCCAGCAAACCGATTGTTGCTGATATCGAGCTCAAAGAGCAGCTTGAGCTGCTTGAACTTGTGAGGCACAGTCCCGCAGAAGCGGTTGGAGTTGATGTGGAACAATGCGAGATCTACAAGCAGCCCAAGCTCTTCAGGCAAGTACCCAGCAATGTCGCCATGGTTGAGATCAATCCCAGCTACGGTTCGGATGGAGCTGTTGTCTAGGGCTTTTGTGCAGAAGACTCCGGTGTAGCTGCAGACATTAGATCCGACCCAATTACCCGTGAGATTAAGCGGGTCGGAGAGAATGGCTTGCTTCCAAGCTTGTAAAGCTATGTAAGCATTTCTGATTCTCTGGTTCTCGAAAACCAGAGATGGGTCGACGGTGACTAGCTCGCCTCGGTCGCCGAACTCGTCCCTGTAGTAGAGGAGCTGGCGCTGCTTGATGTAGAGGGCTTCGGCGTGGGAGAGAGCTCCATGGCTGATAATGCCGTTGTGGTGGTGGTGCTCCTGAGCACCACAGACGACGGAGAGTGATGAGGAGGCGAGAACGAAGGTGATGAGAAGAAGTGAGAGATCAAGAAGGGTGGTCTTCTTCTTCATCTCACATGAGACATCTGAATCTCCAAATGCCACTTTAAATTTGTTTAAGCTTATAGCTCACAAAAAAAAAGAAGGAAAATTTAAAAAGAAAAAGAAAAACCGTTTTCTTTGTTTCTCTCTCTTTTCTCTGCTGAGATTGCAAATGGGGTTTTGGAGACCTTGAGATCTGAGAGGAAGAAAATGTAGGAAAGAAGAGAGAGAAAGAGTTCTTGGGGGTTTGAGGTTTGAGGAGGAAGAAAGGGGTGGGGAGGGGAGTGGGGGCTGTTTTCTAGGGATTTTGGAGATGTGTGTTTGTGTAGTTTGTACTAGTGAAATAGAGAGAGAGAGAGAGAGAGAGATTACACATCAAAAGACAGCTAAATCACAGCTCAAAGCCCACCAGATTCTCTCTCTCTTCCTTTTCTTTTTCTTCTCTCTCTCTCTCTCTCTCTCTTAAACTGCTCCTTTCTATTCTTTTTTCAGAATCCCATTCCCATTATTCAACTCTCTACAAGCTAAAGTTAGGAATAAAGTCATAAACCCCCCTTTTTTAAATTAAAAAATAAATAAATATTACAAATTTGCAAATTTGGGTGGCTTATTAATAATATTGACCAATAATTATTGTAATGTTTATAAATTGAAGTTGTTAGGGGGAGTTGGTAGCTTGTAAATGCTTAATCTCACGAGAATAAAATGAATTTTTCACGAGATGTGAAAATTTAGGAGCAATTGGTGGTGGTGGTGGTGGATGAGAGAGAGAGAGAAGAGATTTCAATCCGCTTTATGGTGGTGGGGGAGTGAAGTTGTTCTTGTCAAAACAGAGCAACACGCGCGAGTCTCTCTCTTCTCTCTCGGAGTAAATGGGACTGCTAGTAACGTTCTTTCAAAATTACGTCATTGTCCTTGTGCGTTTTCATGTCTGAATTCTCACGGCGGCTTACAACACAATACGCATCGGACATTTGGAGGGCACTTGACCATATAATTAGAGAACAATAAATCATTTTCACAACTTTTTAGTCAGTTGGCTTATTCCTAAAAATCATAGGCACAAGCTTCTAATTCAAGAGTATTTATTCATACATTGGATATTCTAAATTCGATTATCTCCTTTCTCTTAATATAGCTTCATTTTTATCTTTAAAAAAATATTAGATTATACCATATGCATTACTACTAATTTCTCATTTAAACAAATTATTACTATTAATTTGTTCTCCCTTGTACAAGTGCAAATATGATTAGCAATGTATTACGACATTGGCATTCATTTTCGCAATAGAGTATAACATTTAGTTAAAAAAAATGAATAACATTTTAAAACAATAAAATGTGTAAGTTTTTATAAACCAACGAAGAGGAAAATTAATCCCTAGAAAACGCTTGATCTCTCATTACATTTTTTATTATATAAAAGAGCGATAGTATTTTATTAATAAGATAAACAAAAATAAGCATAAAGCAACTAAAGTACCGAATATGAATAGAACTTTTACAATGACCAAACGCAACAATAAGTTGAATTGATATGGAGAGAATATGCGCAACTCAAAAAATTATTAAAATTCATGAATCAGCAACCATAAACCCATGTACTCAAACTTGCAATAAAAATTTTCCTTGCAACTGCAAAAACGACAAATTTGTATCAAAAGCCAAAAGCCAAAAGAAAATAAAATATCAAAAACAAAAAACAAACCACATCAAACTCCTAAATAGTTCATGAGAATTATTAGACTAAAAAAACTAGGAAACAAGACCATCACTACAAATCCTCTCAGGCATCCCAAATAGAGCCATAACGCCATACTAACTAAACCCATAATGCGGCACAGGTTAAACCTAAACACGACATCATCCTTGCTTCGTAGCTCCAAATCTATATCGAAGGCTGACAACTTGAGCTATATCCTTGCATGCAAGGGTTAAAAGACAGCAACGTTTTACAACGATTGCTTCAACTACATTACACACACAAAATAAAAAATAAATAAAGAATCCAGAGGAAGAAGGAATAGAAGGAAAAGAAAGGGGATGGAGTAGGAAGACGACTATGGGTTTTTCTTTAGGGTTTCATTAGAGAGCAAGGGTTTTCTATCTCTCTCATTACATTATCTTTTTACTACACCATCAACTAACTTTTTATAAATTATCCATGAGCATTGAATAATATCATTGGTCCTTTATTAACTTTAGCGATGTCTCCAACTAATATTCCAAGTCGTTGAAGATCACCAATAACTTGTGACATGGATTTTGAAAATAGATAGGCATATTGCTGCATTGAAACTATGCCAAACTAGTTTTAATAATTATTGTCTAATTCCAGCTATGATGCAAAGACTTCTGAGTGCTTCATTTACATGTAAATCCATTGGCCGGCAGTAATAAAACAGATCGGATTAATGCAATCAAGGAATTTAGACGTAGTTTACTTTTCTTCATCAATTTCCCAAAACGGCAGCATTTATGGCAAAGAGGGTAGATTTGATTTGGATTGATGAGATGAAGATGAATCCCATGCATGTTGTTACCTTCATACGCGTCCTTATCACCGTCGATGCTGATGCACGATCATCATCATTTCTTTTCACCCCATCATTACCATGATGGTAAAAATCAGGAGATGTTTGTTTGCTGCTGCCCTTTCTCTCCAGCACGTAGATGGGTCCCGCACCAAACTGGGTCAAATTCCAAAAAGCGACACAGTCACCATGCCCCATGCAACTGTGTGTTCTGGAGGGCCCACGCGTCACGTCTTGCTCGGCTGGATCGTCGGCGTTGATAAGGGCCCCACGTCCGTGTGGTGCACCGCGTCCCTGTACGCGTCCGCACCCACCGCAACAACGCTCCAGTTGGGACCCTGGGATCTAAAAGACGATTATACCCCCCCTCGAATTTTTTCTCGAAACGCACACGTCACTGTAGACACACAAGCACAAAGCCCCAACCACCGTTTTGCTAACGCGTTTTGATTGTTATTTTTAATTTAATTTTACCAAAAGTTTCTTTTAAATTGTTTGAGGCTGTGGTTGAGATTTGAATTTTGAGCTGCGGTTGTAAATTGACTGTGAAAACATGAGATCTGTGAACCCCTTTGTTTTTTTTTTGGTGACTGTGTGTGATGGGATTTAATGATTGATCTGATTTTGGTAGGGCTCCACTTGTCTCAAAATGTTGTGCATATCATATAATTAATTCATTTGTACCAAGATGAATTGATAGCGGCAGCACCGATCCAACCTCAGATGAAAAAAAAATATCAAAACACAACCATTCAAATTTGGGCTTCTCGTTTTTCGTTTTTACAAAGAATATGACTCCATGACAGTGCACATTTGCTTGCATTGTCAACCAGATTATCTTTCGTTTTTTCCTTTTTTGGTTATCTTTTTCTGTGGGTGTGATGCATTGTCAACTACATTGAGCTCAACAACATCTAGTTTGCCCAATATGAAGCCTGAAATCCAACCCTAAAATGTCCGTACATTTTTGCTAAACGTTATTTTAATGAAACATCAGCAATTCGAGAAATTATAGAATATGATGATATAATTACGTAATATATCTTGTACACATGTTATAAATATAATGATATAACACGTGTACAAAATATATTACGTGACCGTACTACTGTAGTATTATATGATCACTCGAATAAATTCAACTTCTCTATTTGGGTTCAGGTACTAATGTATTGTTATTCTTGCACTTGAAATTTAAATGATTTGCATAGTTGTCAACCAATTAAGCCGTTAGTTTTCAGGCTCCCTCCAATCACCCACCTGTCCCGTCCCAAATGAATGGTCAAAATTAAACAAACACTCACATGAATTCTCAAGCAATATGCCAAAATATATAATAATGCCAATGAATGAAAGCATGTTACATATAAATAAATAAATTTACGTGTATATATATATATTTCTGAGGCCAGCCAAGTCTCATCATATGACTGCATTTATTTATTAGTTTTCATAAGTTTTAGGTCTTCTTTTTTCGAATGATGCTTGCTTTTGTAGTTTAGCCAGAAGCTTGGATGTTGTGTAAATAAATCCAACCACAAATCTTTATCTATGGATTCTGAGGATATATAAGAGACGTGCAGGCAGGCAGGCCGGCAGGCAGTTATTCAATGAAGAATTTGTACTGACACTCATTTGTAGAACCCTAGTTTTATTTCATGAGAATTGTGCTTTCTACTTCTATCAAAATTTTACTTTTTATGCATGCATGCATCAAAGATAAATTCTCATGCAACATCTTTTATATATCCATTTCAACGTAACTTGAGAAGGAGAATTTATCAGATATAGCTAGGGTATCTATATATGAGCATTTTCTAGACCATCTAAGGACCAAAAAGAGAGGTTCAGCTGCGATACGACTTTGTGCTCGATATGAATATACGAAAATACTATACTCGTTGAGTCGTCATGATTCACTAAATAGTAACATTTGTTGTGTGTCATAGAAAATTAGAGAGTAGTTATGTACGTATGGCCCCCCCTCAACTAAACTATTCACGCATTCGGTCCCTCGATATATATATTTTCCTAGACACACTCATGATATTGATAACTCAACAAATATGATATTTTGATGTCTAGTTCCAATCCAAGTGCCATGAACTGATAATTTACAGGTCAGGAGTTGATCCAACTTGAAACCGTGTGGGGCCATAATTTTCCACGTAGGATACTGTAGCCAACTGAGCAGGACAAAATTGCCAGCCGGCAAACCCAGCCGTGAGGCTTAGTCATCACACTTGTCAATCTCAAACTCCAATTTGGTTAAGTGAAACTGGAAAAATCCAAATTTTATTTTTGGTGGTAATCTAGACCGTTCCCTAATATATACACATGGCATTTTAGGCTATTTTTTTAAAGGTGGAGATATGGCCACGTAGCAAATTGATGAGTCGTTCCTTGCTGCCTGAGCTTGAACAATTCAAAGTAGACGACATGTCGATCAAATTGGTCAAGGGAATTTAGAACTCGAAGCAAACCTCAAAGTCATGAGAACTCAACTCATGAAGGTAATATCCTGCTTCCTTGCTGGCTAAATTACAAAAGGTGGTGGAATTTGTTGTCCCACTTGATTGTCAATCTACGTTAACGTTTTTCCTACACTTCAAAACTTTGCTGTCATGCGTTCATATATACCTGTTTTTTTTTCTTCTTTATAATAGAAAACAAGCAAATTGCTATGGAGTTGACGTCAGGAGATGAGTTCAAACTTCAAACAAATATATATATATATATATATATTTTTTGTCAAAGAAATTAAAATATATGTATATGTGCATGACTTATACAGTTGTATTATATAGACGTATGTATTCGTATGTATTTTATGGTGTAGTAGGTAGAATGGAGAGATATAATCCATCATTGATGCATTGGTTTATTAGGGTTTCTGCTTTTTCTATATAATTCTATGATGACAACAAACACAATAATCACTGTGTAGTAATCATCTCCGAAATATTTGGTCAATAAAATAAAATAAAATAATAAAAAAGCAGCAGAAAGTAAAGCCAAAGAGAGCCGCGTGAGGGAAAAAAAAATGGGGAGAGAAGAGAAAAATCAAGCGCGCCAATTGCGGACACAATTCGAGAGCGGAATTTAAGTTAAGAGAGTCTCTGCGATTGCATTGCTTGCAAGGTTTTCTTGGTTTTTTATCTTGCTAATTAGCTTAATAATAATAATAATAATATTGTATGGGTTTTCGTCGGCAGCAGGGTTTGAATTTAAACTTAAAAAATGTGTTTTGTAACTGGTGGTGTGAAGGTAAATATGAGATAAACCAACTATTGATTCATCTACGCATTTCTTTCTGTTGCTTCCTAGTTGTACGCAAACAATCCACAACAACAAAAGTCAACACAAATTCATGGTTGACGATGGATGGATGGTTTGAATGTGAAACTGTCAAGTAAATTATGATTGCTCGGATTGCATGGAGAGGTAACATCCCTCCTTCCTTCCTAGTAGGTACCAGGTTCTTATCAATATTTTTTAAAAAAAATTGAAAAAAGACCTGACTAAGCAGTCGTTAGGACAGTAAACTCACTCTCTTGCATTAAAGTTCGATTTCCTATCTTATAAATTAGATTAATTTAAAATAATTTAGACAACTATTTATATAAAATAAAAAAAAGATAATATAGAGTTTGGAAATTAGGGTAGAGCCAATAAGGCCAAGGGGCTCAAAGCAGCTTCTTCCTTCCACCTTATGCTTTGATGTCAAAGAGTGACATGTAGCTACCAACAATTTTAATTTGGAATTCATGGGAAGGTCGAAAATTGAGCGTTACATCATGATGAGAAGGAACCGGGCGCCCTTTGAAACAAAGAAATAATAACGGGGTGGTCCCAAATACAACTGTCCGTTTAGTGCCATGTGGTGGCCTCTCATCTTATCAACAAGAACTTGGTACACTTGCAAAGATAAGATTAGCCTAGCCTCCCTTTATGTAAAGGACCCCCCTATGGTCTCTGTAAGAATGTGACACCATTGCACACTTTCCGTTCAAATAGAGCACATTTTTTTTTGTTGTCTCCCAATTTGGCTCGGAGCTTTAGTTGTGTGTTTCGAGAAAATAACACCGTCACGAGATGTTATTAAGTTATATAGTATAAACTGAGTAGACAAAATGTATGCCGTTTATGGTATAGTACATTGAAAATCTTCAGGTGTGTTGGTGTTACGATTGCATTGAAAAATCATTGTTAGGAAGGACAAAAGATAATGCAAGTATAGGAGGGCACCAAAAACTATTTCCTCCACTGTCATAAAAAGGAAAGAAGAAAAAAAAACTATTTCCCCCACTAAAACTTTTCACCTTCCAGCAGTAGATTATAATTGGTGTTGCAGGAACTGCGAGGAAGGACAGATAAAATAATGCACGAGATGGGAAGCATGCATCAATTATAATTCATCGAACCAAAAAGCAACTCTCACTTTTAGGAGCCAGCCACCAGCTTCTCTCTCGTGAAATTTATGGAAAGGAGCTCCACATATTTTTTTTTTTTCATAGACCATGAAATTGTCGGCACATGAGAACAAACAAGCCTATTGAGATCAATTATAAAAAGGAAACCTAAAATCTCATTTTAGGGAATGTTTATACAATTTTATTAAACCCATACCGTACCCATATCATTGAACTTAATGCACTTGTGGCACAAGCCACCCAACCAGAACATCATATATAAAACTTAAAGCAGATACAATTATACGAAAATTAACATAACAAATACTTATTAAAGTTTAAAAGGTTTTGGCATCTATTATTTTCTTGTTGGAATGAGCTTCAGACAAGCCTTTCGTTCTTTGCAGCGAATGCCCACTTGTTAGAAGGTAAACCAAATGATTGGCTACGATTTAAACATTCTTTAACAATGACTACCAACTTTATGAACACAAAAACGAATCAATCTAACCACACAAGCATAAAACACCAAAAATTAAAAATATTCACGGGACGAACATTGAACAGGTCATAAAAAAACAAAACGACTTTTTCTAATGCTGAACAACACATCATATCATTGTACATGTTATACGTAGGATAGAGATTTCATTTCATTTTTAGCTGCAAAATCACAGGCCATGGAAGGGAAGCAATTGGTCCCGGTCGGTTCTCTTTCTAACCTATTTATCCCAAACCTAACATAAGGAGTATAATATAAAGTGAGGAATCTGATCAAAATCTTTATAGGATTCAATACTTATGAGAGCCTTTTCTTCTTTGACATCCTTTGCATCTGTTAAAAGTGAAGTGTCACAAGAATAACTAGTTGTAAAAGGAACTACATGAGAAACTTTCCAGGTTGTACAAGGGAACATTTTACAAGCCACCCTGCACAGAAAAGAAAAGGGGAAACTCCTGTGAAAGGTCACAAATCTAGAATTAACAAGGACAAAATTAGCAAATAAATTAGATTATGGCTCCTAAATATGTGACTAGCTAGCTAAGTAGAGCTAGCAATTGTAGAAAATATAACATCGGATGGAACCCACATGATGCCACAACGCCCTGCATTCGTGGGTCACAATTCAAGATGCATGAAAAGGTTTAATGATAGAGCAAACAAAGATCTTTCGTACAAACGGCAGATCTTTAGTAGGATTAACCATTGACAGGGCTCAACTAACCATAGGACCAAATCCCAAACAGTGGGTTTGATTTTTTAAAACATATAATGAATGAGTTGAAGACAATCACACCTAGTAAGGTCCCAGCCTACGTTTCATGATAATGTTTAATTTTGAACTTCATTGATCTTCCAGTATGCTAAGGGATCTTTAAGGATGTAAACAAATGAGCAGGCTCAGATGAAGGAACCAGCAAGTAATTTTGTACTTTTTTGTTGTTTAATATGTTAATCAAATAAAACCCGAAAATTTTAAGAAAACATGTTGTGACTCCATGATCTCTTAACTGAAAATGAACCATTTATCACAGGTAATTGACCGAGTAAAATTGGCTTGTGAGCAGAACTTAATAAGAAAATATTTTATATAGGAAGAATTTCTCACCTGAAGATCGGTGTATGACAGCTGGATCTAGCTGTCGTTATGAGAACTAGTGATGTGGCTTAAACACTGCAGTTTCAACAAAGAAAAGATCAACTATCAACATCAATTGACTTCTAAATAAAACCAATTATTACATTGTTATGATGCGAACCAATTATTAGATTGTTATGATGCGTGTCTGGAAACAGATCATGTCATACTATATTCAAAACACCACCAAATTCATTATTAGACACTATAATGATACAAAGCAAGCATGCCTTTTCTTTTCCCCCTCTTGGGCATATGCAATTAGGTCAGGACCTGAGACTTGCACATAATTTGAAGGAATTTCGAGCCTTACTAATAAACAACTAAAACACACTTCAGATGTAATGTTATTAGGTAATGTTTCGCGGGCAGTTTCTTTTTTCGTTTTTCTTAAAGACGTAATTATCCTCAAAGGATAAGAATGGGAAAGGCAGATACAAGGAAAAGAAAACAAAGTTGTGGACACCAAAGAATTTCGTTATTATAGTATACATGAGCTCATGCTATCATAGTAAGATGAATTAAACAAATTGATCTTCCTTCAGCTAGAGCTGACATAAGATGAGGAAACGCGTATTACCAAGGCCAAGAAACTGACTAGTCATCTAGAGCTCACATAACAGCTCTGCTTTTGTATTGAAAAGAGTAACTAAGCAATTAATGTATGCTTGATGTAAGCCAGAAAAAAATGATTGGACTGACAACATGATGACAGTAGTGAGAAGAGAAGAGAGCAGCAGCAACAACCACCATGAAAAAAAAGAAATTTTTGAGCATTGAATTAATCACCAAAATATTCACATTCTCCAATTGCCTTTACGGTGATGGTGTTCTCTCATCATTTACACCCAACTCTTCACCCTGGTCGCCATTTACAAGAACAACACCATTTGTTGAATCATCTTCCTCCTCAACAGTCTCACCTTCATCTTGATTTTCTCCATTCTCCTGTACCTCCTGGAACAAAGACGCACAAAACACAAATAAAACCATTAAAAGCATCCCTTCATGGAAAAAGATTAAAGAAAATTAACTAAAGAAATGCTGAAAGATAAGTCTGTTGATAGTTGACAAGTTTGCTCCAACTACAGGTTTAAAATCCTACACACCATCTACAACTGGATAGAATCATCAACAGTGTGACAGAGTTTCAAAAACTAAGAGGTGAGAAACATAAACTTTTTGTTAATAATCACCCACCAAAAAGGAAAAAGGCCAAAGCAAACTTTAGCTGTAGTTTCACAAGTTCCATGTCTGTTTTTTTACTTGTCTACATAGACTCAAAAGGTGAGTGAAAAAGTCAAAAAATGTGTAATCATATAATAACTACGCAAATCAGCTTCCCTTATCTTTGGTTCAAGAATTTTAGCTCGATTAGAAACATCTATTTGTCATCAGTTGGCTTATTATACCTCTTGATCCAGATCTCCATTTTCAAATGGGGCTTCTTCATCAATTTGCATGCTTCTGAACCTTTCAACAAGACTAGTCGTTGACTTCTCAGCATAAATTGGGTATTGTTCAGCAGGAGGATGAATGCCGCTGCAAAAGACATATAAAAGCAATCCACAATGATTCAACAATGCATAACAGCAAAAAATTTATTGCCAGCCAGTAATTATGGTGATATACTGCAGCCCCAAATTATATGGCACAATTTCCAATCTTGGACTACTCTGCTTCTGCAGCGCTAAGAAGTAAAATTATTCCCGACCCTGATTTTGAACAGTGAAGAGAGTGGATACCTATTTTCTGCACTTTTAGACTCAAGGGCAAGAGAAACTTGCCAGTCCTCAAACAAATTAGGATACTCTTGCGGATCCGCCAATGATTCTGCAGCTCTTTTATTGACCTATATCATATTGCAAATTTAAGTGCTTAAATAAGCAAGAACTCAACTAGTCAAATATTTGCAAAAATCTTTCATTTGATTGGTGGATAAACTAGAAGATCCACATAGCATAGCAATTCCTGTTGGTATAATTTCCTTTCTACATCTCAGATTTCACTTTAAAAGACAAACTCAGTTCATGAACTGAGAAAAACACTGTGAAAGTTTAACCTTGTTCAGGTCATTTCTCCAAATTGAAACTATCTCTGAGACCTTGCTGGGGAGGTAAGATCGTGCCATCAAAGCTGCTTCAGGTATCCGTTCACTGCAAGAAAAGATGCCAATGGTTTAACAAACAAAGATGACGACATTAGGAGGTTTAAGTGATCATAATTAGGGTTAAAAGAAATTCACCTTTCCAGCAACAGCTGGATGCATTCTTCCACTTTACCCAGCATAAATAAGCAAAGGAAAGCAACATTATTCTTTCCTTGCTCTTTGGCAAGGGATGCGAGTTTTAATATTCCTTGAGCATCTCCAAGAGAAGAATAAAGAAGCAACAAGCCAGAAAAGTCTTTTCCATGTGATAGACAATCTTCAGCCATTTCAAGCTGCATCAGCCATTCAAGCATATGAATATGATTTTGGATGTAAAAATAAAATGTGGGGCACAGTATTTTTAATCTTGAGAAAACTCATGACCTCAATTGATAACAAGAATATCTAATTCTTTCAAACAAGACAAGGGTATTTATGAGCTCTTTCAATCATGATGGGTGGATACATGACTCTAGTCTGTAGGTGCTAGTGAATGTGACGGTCTTCTGGGTTTGTTTAATGGAGTTCACACAGAAGACAAAGGTGAGGGAATACCTCCCAGTGGACATGGATAATTCTCCCAGCCGCTTCCACTTGGGATTCACTTTGGGCTTCTTAGCAATTTCCTGTCAGAAAGAAGAAAACTTAACATCTTCAAACAACCAGTGAATAATTATTAAAAGGAATTTTTGTATGAAGGAAATACATAACACAGTTTATCTTCAAGTTAGCTCCAGAGCAAACCTATCTGACAACTTAGGAATAACAAAGTAAACATATCTCACCATTGCAATCTCAAGTCTACCCAGCTGTATAGCAAGATCAAATTTGTAGTCAGCATCTGTAGCCACTACCAGTGCATCCTCCAACATACCTCGAGATTCCAAAAAACGAGCCACACTGGAAGCAAAACAAGAGTTGGATCAAAATTTCAGTCAATTTTCAAAAATTTCAGAATTTTTGAGTTTCTCTCAAGCACAAGAGGCAGGAATGGAACTGGGTTTAAGGCTCTATTTATCACTTGATGCACAACAGTTTCCAAAGCAAAATATGTTGTCCCACCTATTATGTTGCTCTGGAGGTATTGTTGGAAAAATTTGTTTTGCACGCTCTAAATCTCCACGTATAATAAGTGTTTTGTACTCGATCAAGCTGAGAAGCAAGGTGTATCCCATGACACTGCACACATAAGAAATATTAACACATTAAAATGGAAAGTGAGAATGGCAAGAGTTCACTCCCCTTCAAAACTGCAGCTTGCAAGCAAACACTCACTTAAACTCTTTATCAATAAGATAAAGACAACTTTGATTGGCAAGATAGCCCAACAAGTACATGGGCCGGTCTAGGTGAAACATTGTGGTTACCTGCAAAGTCATCGAGTCAAAACACCATCCTAAATCAAGTAAATGTTAAAAATCATGTATAAATAATGTTCTGAAAACTTCAAAACACTGGATTCTAAAACCTGCAAATTTTGCATACCTCACCACCAACACAATAATTTAGTCGCCAAGATGAGTTATTGTAAATGAAACAGTCCCCAACCCATAATCCAGTTCTGACACGCTCGTTTATTTCAAAGAGGAGCTCAAAGGCATCCTCAACACCTAGTTCATCAACAGGCCTTCCACTGTCAAAATACGATGAGACTATATCCCTCTGCCAAATAAACCACACTAAGTTAATCATGTGAATTAGTTTAGCTCACATGTATAGAAAGAACTACGAAGATTCTAATAAACATGAGATATGAGTGGTTGAATGGGAGAACTCTTACATTGTATTTTAGAACGTAAAATGATGAATCACTAGAAATTGCCACCAAATCACCGCTATCAGCCCAATAAACATTCTTGAACAATCAAAGGAACCAAAGAAGCACACAAAATTAGTAACCATGTGGCCAAATAAGAAGTCTGATAATGACATAAGTTCCTAGTAATTTTATTGTGATACCTTGACATTGACATCAATTCGTCTAATCAATCTGCATTCCACCCAGTCATAGAAGCATACAAAGTCATTTGAGCGCATTGCCAGTAAGACCCCTCCATAAATGTGTTCTACAGAAAATGTTGGTCGAACATTCTTCTTTTCCTGAACAGTAAAGTTCAATTCAACTCAATCAGATTTTCCCAACAAGATGATCCCGTTGACAAGCATATTCTCAATGAGTTATACATTCTAAAAAGATCAAAACCTGGAATGCTTTGCTGAAAATTTTTATCCTTGAAGTAGATTCCCTAACAGCATATTCTCCATCAGATGACCAGACAAATTCCAATGCTGAGCCAAAGGATCTATTTCTCCATGCTAGACCTGTGTATATTATGTACTCACCATCTCCACAAACAACAACAAACCTTCCATTCGGGTTGTGCTGCAAACTCTGAAATCAAACACAAAATAAAATCCATTGTCGAAACAATGTAATTAAAACAAGACATTCAATAGTCATATTCTTCTAAGAATCTAAAGTACAGTGGTTCTGAGAAAATAAAAATACGCTTAATAAAGGATGGGGACTTTCAATCAAACCACTAAAGGTAGGTAAGCTGACACAACAGTGGGCATCGTAGACCCACTGGATTAAATGCTCCTCAAACATAGAAACTTACTTGAGGATAAAGGTCACAGGTTCCCAACTCCTTCACAGCCAAAGGCAATCTTTCTCCATCTGCAACCTGAATTTCACAAAAATAATCAAGGTTCAATATTTCAATTCAAGCAAATAAGAACCTCTATTTCTAGGACCATCTCAGGAAGAAAGATGAAAGTCTGAGCAAGTAGGGAGATTGAACCTCAAAATCTGCTCCAACGCTCTTGATATTCACAGTTTGAATTTCATTATGCTTAGCCCAAATAATTTTCCCACCACTATCCATGCTAGCAACTGGTACTTCTCGGCCAATTTTTACCATTATGGCTCCTTCATCATAACCAATTACAATCCTGTACACAAATGAGACATCTTATGAAATCATCATCTCAAAACAATAATATAGTGAAAAAAACACCCACTCTCAGATTCCAGCATGCCAAGGTATTCATAATAGTATAGTTTTGGTCTTATTCAATAATATATATATCATAAGCTAACTGGAACATTGGACGTATAGATAATAAAAAATATAAAAATAAAGACAAGCAGCTTACCGACGTGAACCTTTCATATACCCAAAGGCCCAAACACGTTCAAGCCCATAATTCAGTGTCGTTTCAAGCCTGAAACGTAATAAGTCATGTCAAAATTTTCCCTTTATCTCTAAGAGAACCATTCTATCAATAACAAAAGTTTAAAAATATGCAGAGGCGTAAGGTGTAGATGACAGAATCTAATAGCCTATTATAAAATGCAAAGAAGAAAATGCAGATTCATTAGAGGATCATAAAAACTGAACAGTATGACTTATTCATTAAAGAGCTAAAAATAAACATCAATAAATATAAGGCGAAAAAATGAAGTTGGCAAAATCTTTCAAGAAAGCAAAATACTAATGTAGTTTTATTCTCATCCCATGGTGTAGGTGCATATAGGGCAACATAATACTTTACTTTCTGAGGCCTTAACACTTAAGATCCCTGGCAACAGAGAATAAATGAAGTTGAGACACGAACTTCATCTCAAATAGCTGAAACACTACTTTGGAATTTAATATTTACCGATAAGTCGTTGAGTGCCATATTCTAACAGTTCCATCCTCAGAACCAGTAATTATAACTGGAAGTTCCGGATGAAAGCATACTGCAGATACATTGTGAGTATGCCCTTCAAGTGTCTGAACACAAGTTTTTGTCTGATAGTCCCACACCTGTTTCCATAAATTCTAATTACAGTCTTTTCAAACTGCATATAAATGCATATACATTTACTGCAGTTCAGGCCACAGAAAAACACTAAAGTGTCAGGAAAACAATATTGCATACCTTTGCAGTATGATCATCCGAGCCCGTGATTAAGTAAGGTTTATCGCCGCCAGTGAAGTAATCAACGCAATTTACCCCTTTCACGTGGGCATCCAATGTAAAATTGGGGTCAGGGGAGGCAAGATTCCAGATCTGGAAACAAGATGGTGATAAGCAATTAATAGTATGCACAACCAGATAATTTCTCAAAATAAACTTACATGGGTTAAAAAGGAATATTTCTGACCGCACCTTTACAGTGTGATCCAGGGAAGCACTTGCAAAAGTATTGGTGTCTTTAGGATTAAAGGTCACTTGCATCACATAGTGGCAATGCCCTTCGAATATCTGAGTACACATCCAACCTTTTTCCCAATCCCACAGTTTGATAAGCATGTCATCGGATGATGACAAAACACATGGAAGTGTTGGATGGACAGCCACACATCTAATATAGTCTGAGTGTGCTTCAAACACTTTAACCTTATCCATCGTATTATAATTGTATGCACGTATGAACATGTCATCAGCTGCAGCTACTACCCACTGCTTACGGGCAACAAATTTTGCTGACCGAACTGCAAGTAGAAAATTTATACATCAAGTAAGTTATAATGTCAAGAACATGGAGCTTATAGAAAAGCTAATGTTTTAAGTACCTGGCAATTCAGAGACTTCAAAAGACTTTGCCATGCTCTGAATTAAATCAGGAACATTACAGTCAGCACTAACAGAATTACACCCTCGAAGATTTAATATTAAAGAAACAAACTATATAAGTTCCCACAGCCGAAGAAAAGATCATGAAAAGCTTTCTATGACTAGTAAAAAAATCATTGGAGTAAAAATTCGTTTCCAAGCATGGCAAATACAACAGGGAAGCAGTAATTTGAAAATGCATCCATTTCCACGAAATCAAAACAGAGATGCAAGATACACTCTAACGTGCGAGGAAAACTAGAATTGGACAAGTGCCACAAACCTGTGACTGGTAATTGAAAATAAACACGGTTCCTGAATACAGACTTGCAAGGATCCTGCCACAAAGGTATGCACAGTATAAGTGGTGGTCTCATGGAAATCTTGATTATAGATAAACAACTACCGATTCCAAATCACACTTTCTCAAAGTCTAACGTCTTGCCAGTAAAATAATTTTGCATGTACAGAAATAGTGAAATAGCACAATATCAAGAACGTGGTGAAATTACCATGGTTCAGTTGGATGCAGATCCAAAGACTTAACTCTCTCGGTTCTTTGCACAAATTTTCTCTGCATAATTGGTAGTTATAGTAAGCAGAATATCGGAAATTCTCAAAACGAAAAGCTCAAAGTGGAAATGGATAACACAAATTCAAAGGAACTGAGAGAAAACTACCTTGATATCAAGCATGAGAGGCTGCAGAAATCCCATAGAAACAGAAGAGAGTTAGATGAAACCAATATGAGAAAACAATAAGAAATGCATAGCTGAAGCTCAACTAAGTCACAAAGGCAGCCATAACTACGTTTTCACAATTCTAACATTCTCTCGGAAGCGAAAGAAGCATAAGCGAGTAAAATTTTGGTGACATTTTCAGATCCAAGCTAAATTCAAAAGCGACGACGTTACCATTTTTGTGAGCTTGGAGATGACAGGCTCGGATGGGAGAAGTTGGTGCAGAGCTCGAAGAGCGAAGCTGGAAGGCTTAGCGTTAGAGATCGAAGCGAAGAGAGTTAGAAGCAGAGGTCCAACAGTTTTCGCTGTGACTGTGAGCGCACGTTCGGGGAACAGAGCGTGTTTGTGTGTTCGTCTGTGTGGGAGAGAGAGATCGGGAGGCTAATGTGAGCTATGGGATCAGGCTCAAATCCAACAACAGTATTTGGGCTTGGGCCTGATGTTGTGTCCAAAGCAAAACTTTTCAAGACCGAGAACTGTGAAGTTAGGCTTGGGCCTCATTTACTTGTGAATCCCTTACAAATATTTACTATTTTCTAATTTAGACGTGTGTTCGCACTTTGACCTTTTTGGGCCTTTTTGCACGATAAATTTTTGTTTGTAATTGTACCTTTCGTATAAAAAAATCATGGAAAGAGAAACACTACTAAACCAAGTTAGTCAGTGAAGCTCTTACAAGCGATGAAGAAATAATGATATTGAACTTGGTTTGGTTTTTTTTAAGGGGGTGTTATAACTATGGATTTTGTTAGGTGTTTGTTTCTTTTATGTTGTGATATAAATTTTACCAAACTATGAAGCTACAGTTTTTTATTATTTTATTATTTTTAAAGTTTTCTTGATTAGATACATTTCATCATTTGCTTAAAAATAAAATTCAAAATAGAGCAACAAATACTCTTGTCATATATGGAAGCAAGAAAACTTATTTACACTTTATTTCCTACCAAAGAGAAAATACAGTTTATTTCCTATGAAATAAAAATTGGAATTTAATTCCTATAAGGGAAAAATACACACTTTATTTCCCCCTAGGCATAAACCCCAATTTGACAACTACAACATTCAGAATACTATTTCTAAGTAGCATATCAATTGCAGAATAACAACCCTAAACAACAGCATCAAACTTGTTGTGATGCATCATCACTTGCATCTCTAGCGCCTTTCGATGAATCGCCGGATTCATTGGTGGTTTTCTTTGGCTTACTAGTCGAAAACTTGCAATTTTCAACTGCTTCCTCGATCGATAGGTAGACATTTTCTTTTCCAAGCTTGTCTATGAAATGTGAGGTTATCATCTTCTCCATCACCTTAAGCCTCGGGTTTATAATTCCCAACTAAAAACATGAACAAATATTATGAATATCATCTTTTAGTTTCCTTGTAACAATTATATTATTTGAGGAAAATTGTAGCTTACCTTAACATCCCTTGCAGTCAAGGTTTGTTTATCTCCTTCATTGTTTCAAGGCCAGTCATGTCAATGGTTACAACTCCTATAAAGCCAAAGTTTGAAACATTTAATTATAATTAAGTTAAAATAATTTATAACAGTCCACGATACATTTGTGTGGCAAATTCAATCAATCGTACCAGACAATTCTAGCATAACATGCTCAAGCTCATCTCCCGTAGTTTCTAGATGGCTTTGCTCATCACGAACCCATCTTAAAATCCTATTCAAAATAATGTCAATTAGAAATTACATGTAATTAAAGATATATACTAATTAATTTAATTTAAAGTAATATATTTATGATCATTTTGCAAATATTACCTCTCTCTGACATAGTTGCCATTTGCAAAGTAAATTGGGGAGCCAATTTGAAGCACGATGATCCCTGGATTCCTTCCTGCGTCAGGGTACTGCTCTATGTCACGGTATATGACTGAGTCTGGCAATCTCCCAAGCTTACAAGTTCCTGGCCTAGCCACATAAAGGAGGGCTCGCACAAGACCAAGAACCACCTAAAGAATTAACACCAAATTAACCTATAATTGTCACACCAATTTTTATACACACGATATTGGAGGAGAAAAAATTCAAACACATGGCACTAAATACATAAGTAACTGCTTTTAACCACTTCAGCTATGTGCGTTACTTACTGAGAGGCCGAGTCCCATGTCCATGCTTATGAAGGCAACACCAAAGAAGGCAGCCATGCAAACGACAAAGTCAAACTTGTCAACCTTGAAGAGTTCAATGGCTTCTTCATATTTGATGAGGCCAAGCATGGCGGACATAATAATGGCAGATAAAGCAACAAGAGGGGTGTAGCTAAAGAGGGGAGCCAAGAAGAGAAGCACAAGTGCCATGAAAACGGCCATCACTGCGTTTGACATTGGTGTCTTAGCTCCCGCGTTGTAATTCACCGCAGTCTTTGAAAAGGGTCCTTTAAAAAATAATATGCGTATTAAAATTAAAATCAAATAATTAGATAGATATTATATAGTGATTATTGTTAATCAAATCAATTAGGTGGGAATTTAATTTAATTACCAGTGGTCAAATAGCATGAAGTGAAAGATCCAACAATGTTCATGAGGCCATAAGCTACCATTTCCTTGTTGCCATCAACGTTTTCATTTCTCATGATGCCAAAGCTCCTTCCAATTGCTATTCCTTCCTGAAAATTATTTATAAATTAAGATATATAGATATTAAACTAATCCAAAAAAGAAGAACAAAAAAAAGGAATTAATAAATTAATGAGGTGTTTCTTACAGCCAAAGCAATAAGGCCAGTTATAGCCCCAGCCTTCACAATTTGTGGAAAATATTTGCGGTCAAAGTTCAAAAATTGAATGGAAGGAGGATTGATGCCTCTCTTCAATTCTCCCACCTAAGATTTATAAGAAAAAAAAAATATAAAAAATATCAACATATAAATGAAAAAGGCCATTTTGTAAAAGTCATATTATTTTCATCTGGGCAAATGGGATTTTCTTAATAAATCAAATTAATATAAAGATAAATTACTAATGGTGCATGCATGCACTTACAATGGGAATTCCATGATTTTGAGCATGGGCAAAATAAGCAAAAAGGCAGCCGGATACAACCACCACCAGTGGAGACATAGCCGACACCCAAAATAGCTTTGGCTTCCTATCCCTCTGAAAATATAAGTCAACCTTATTAATTTTTAGAGTAACATAAACAATATTAAAGAACGAGAGAATCGAACACAAAACTTTGCGTATGCATGCGTGTATGGAGAAGAGTAATGTTATATATAGGGACATTTTGGAAAAGACTAAAGGAGAGAGAAATATTTTTAAAAGAAGCCAAAAGAATTAGGCATATTTATATTTTTTAAAATTGTGGGACCCATTTCAGTGAGTCCATCTGATTAATTTGTTGAAGAAGAGATAACTCACCAGCCACCTGGTGAACTGAAGAAAAATAAGGAAGATAATACCCATAACTGCACTCTCCCACCTCCACTGGAAAAAGAAAGAAGAAGGAAAAAAGTGTCAGGTATTTAAATCTATATCATAATTGAATGAATTAATAATGCGTGTTCATGCATTTAGGCAATGATCTTGGGCCTGTTTGTTTGGATATATGAATCTGATCATATCTCAAGGAATTAATTCATACAAAATTAAGAACACTACGTATATAGTATGCACTAATTTTTCATTAATTAGTGGATAAACACAAACCTCTTTTCTATGTTCGAACACTGATTTCAAAACATTTACGACGTCGGTTTTGGTGGTGAAATTCTTCAGTCCCAGCAGGCCCTTCAACTGTTGCAAGCAGATTATAACTGCAGTCCCTCCCATGAAGCCAGTGATGGTGGAATGCGATAGAAAATCCACCAAAATCCCCAGCCTGATCCACAACAATAATTAATATATAATTAATTAGCTTAATGTTTGCATCATTATCTTTGCTCGTTCAGGATCAGGACAACACCTTAGAACACCGAGAAGAGTCTGCATGATGCCGGTAACAAAGGTGGCTGTAAAAACCAAGTGAAGGTACAATGCCGGTTCAGTCTTCGGTGAAGCCACTTCTCCAATGATTTCTGCAATAAGTAAAGAGCATGCTGCCACAGTTCCCACGGCAATATACTTGGAGTCTCCAAATATTGCATAAATAATTGGAGGAACAAAACTTGAATCTACACATAAAAAAGAAAAAGAAAAAAAGTACACATTTTTATCGCGTAACATTCTCTTAATAATTGTCACACTCTGAATCCAGACCATATATATAATATATTCTAGACGTGAAAATCAACCTAATCAATGATACAGATTCGGAGGAAGGGCTTACAAAGGCCAACAATGGGAGGAACCTGGCCGAGCTTCGCATAGCTAATCCCTTGAGGGATGGCAAGACTGGTGATGGTGATGCCGGCAAGCACGTCGTATTGAAATGTTTTTAAACTGTATTTCGGAAGCCATTTGCAGATGGGAACGAGATATTGCAAGCCTTTCTTGACCTTTCCAAGTGGTTTCTGATTCTCAAATTGCTTAAAGGGGTCGTCAGGGAAGAATGTCTCTTTGAGATCAGATTTGAGTGTGGTGCCAAAGCCTCTTGGGGCTGCAAAGCTCACTGTTCGGTTGGAAGAATCCATGGGAGTCAGCTCAGATACAAAACATGCAAGAAAAGACCCGAGAGAGAAATGGCTGTGAAATGAAGCCTACCAAAAAGACGCCCACATTTATAGGAAGAAAGGAAGTGGTGAATTATGGAATATGGCCAAGATTAATCGGATAAGTGGCGCGCATTAATTCTGACTAGTCACAGTGTATGAACTTGGGTAAGAAGTATCTCTTGTCCGACTCTAACGATTTGCTTTTATAGAAAATTGCAGTTCGAATTATATTATTGTTAATATTTTCTAGATTATATATTGTTATTTCATTTTGTTTACTATGTTTACGTGTTACGACACTGCTTTCTTACATACTTCCTTAATACACTCTCGTCAACTCCTACGTGGAAGCACAATAACATCTACATTGTGTGGATGAATGATGTTGTGCGTTCGTACATAGGAGTGTCATGAAGTGCAAGCAGAGGTGGAGCGCGAATAGTTCCCATTTTGCTATAATTTCTCTCACCTCACTCTTTTTCTTTTCGCTTTAATTTAATTTTTAACTCTTTCCTTTTCTCGCTTTTCTCTTTCATCTCTCACGTTTTGATACTTACCTAAAATTAGTTTTCAGCAATAACTATTTTTATCACTCTTTCTAACTTATTTTCAACAATTTCAAGACTTTCAAGTTATGTCTAATGAGTCACGTGACATAAGGATAATGATAAATATTTACAAGGACGTTGACTCCATATGTGTATGGTAACATCTGAACAGAAAATAAATAAATGCAAGTAACAAAAACCGTCGTCTTTACATATAATAGATGACGGTTCTTTTAAAAAACTGTCGTCTTTACATCTAATAGACAACGGTTCTTTAAAAAACCGTCGTTTTTACATATAATAGACGACGGTTAATTACCGTCGTAGTTTGACAAAAAGATGATGGTCGATTTAACGACGGTTTGAAAAACAAAAAGACGACGGTGTTTTCCCGTCGTCTATTTCAATTTTTGTAGTAGTGATATAAGCTCTAACACCCTTACGACAAATTTTGAAACTATAAAAACTCTGAATTTCTCTCTCACACCACAAGTACCGTATACAAGTACGAGTACAGTACGTATTTCTGTATTACATACATGAATGAAAGACCGAGTTTCAAACAACTTCTCTTACCATGCTAAGATCAACCCAATTTCTTCTTTTTCTTCTTCTTCTTCTTCTTCTTCTTCTTATCTTACACGACCCGCGCATATTAGCTATATATTATCATCAGACAAGTTTCGGTATCCAGGAATTGACATGTTAGTTGACTTTGCGTGGAATGCATGTATATTGGCATATTGATATATATGACAGAGTTGTGTCGGTACATAGAAGTTAAAGATTAATGTGTCGTAGATATATACAATGAGTAATGAATGAGCCACCACGGTTAATATATCAATCAACTAAAGTTATGTAAAGAAATATTATCCCAAATTATAGTAATCAACAAAAGGGTCAATGCCAATGTCCACGGGTTCTTTGACTTGTACGAGAGGTAGTTTTTAGGGTTACTTTCTGATTATGTAATTTATTCAATTTGATCTTCGGAAAATAAAAATGAGTTTGGAAAGGGAGCGAGGAAGGCTAGTAAAAAATTAAAAATTAATTAATACTATAGTATAGTATAGTAAAAAAAGAAAGAAAAAGAAAGATAGAATGTGACGTTACTCATGAACATTAGTGATCCTTTGTGATTTTTAGTAGCTTAATTTGTATAAATACCGAAATAAGAAAAACATCTAAACTGCATTGTTTGTCAAAGGGGCACAATTGCAAAAGACCACGACACATGACTTGCAAGCAGATCAGCCCTGCACCAGTAGGCAACGGCGCCGTGGGGTGGGCGACAGCTAGCAATAGGGTGTGTCCTCCATTGATTGGGTAAAACAGGTCCAAGGAGCATTCTCAGCGGTCCAAAATAAGAGACAAACGAAAACTTGACTGATGTGAATGAATAAGAAAACAAAACGATGAAGGGAAAGGCTAGAAAACCCTGAATGAATTATAATCTAGCTTAGCGTAAAGATGTTTGCTTCCACAATGGCTCCAAAAAGAGTTTGCATCTGATTTGAAAACATGGGTTGTCTCTCTGATTAAACCACGATGAAATAAAGCCTTCCTCAGTAGTTGGTCATGAAGACGAAGGGGGAGGGCTGGCTGGCTGGCTGGCTGCACGAGTTTGAAACGCAACTGCATGGTGAAGTTTGTGGTGCGAAACTTGAGCTAATCATAGTGGACTCATTTTTCAGCATCATTTCAACATTCTCAATCATTGCTTTGCTTTAGATGTTGACCATGATTTATTTATTTTTTAATCTGGTCCACTTTCACGCACTTTCTGGACAAATTGGTTGTTGCTTGAAAAGGGAATGCAAGGCCAAGGTTGCCCCAGAAAGAACTAGGAAATATGCACCAATAGTTTCGCACCACATCAGATAGATAAATTTTTGAGTATGGAAAGTATAGGTGGCCTCCACTAGCTCTGCGTCAAACACAGATATGCACTAATGACATGGAAGATTTTGCCTGTAGTGTGACTCGGCCTTGAAGAAAAATTGAGCCTATTTTGGATAACGGGACTTTGATTAAAACGGCCGACATAAATTTCAAGTCCTAAAACTTAGACGTGGATTCCACTTTTATATTTTTATATGCATGCATGGTGATGGTAGCATCTTAATTGTCATCACAACGTTTTATAACAACTACATGAAGAAATGTATCAAAATGACTGGGAAAAGCAACCACTACAGTTTTCTTCACATTACAGTCAATTAAGAACAATACTCTTATCACAGTCGACATTCTTATCTTCATTGTCAAAAATATCGTTGTGTAAGGGCGGAGTTAAAAAGTTTCATACGGACGGAAAGCGCTATATTGTTTTTCAACTGAGTTAAAATAGACTAATTTTTCCTACGATGAGTTTAACATTAAACCCTTACATTTTTAAACATTTGCACCGGACTGGGATGAGTGTTTGGTCGCATGTTCAGTACATTTGGTAAAGATATATTGAGTGAAGTTGTAAGGGTGAGAAAATTTTTATTTGACTAGTCACCCAACACTGTTCCTAAATTGAATCCCTTCAAATGAGATCGAACTGCAAAGCAAATTCAAGCCTGATCAATGCAGCAATTTCTGCTTTGGATAACGGAGAAACTGAAATGATTAAAATGATGGAGAATTCAAAGCAGACCTTTGAAGTCCTAAAACTTAGACCTGGACGCGCACTTTGTACATGTATGGAAAAGTAAAATATACCAAAATGACTGGGAAAGCAAACCATATATACAGTTTTCAAATCGGATTACGCTAAATAGAATCTCTTCCTTCCATAAATTAATTATATCCATATTGACTCACACTGCGTTTTTTGGTCAGCAAATCCAATTCTGCTTTCGAATGGCAATCCAAGCTGTCGTGTATATCTAAATGCCTTTGCATACAAAAATATTAATTGTACTAAAAAAGAGAGAGTAAATACATGAATAATAATCTATGATGATTATTTGAAGATGATCAAGGAGAAATTATTTGAACATGAAAAGCAACCGCTAACAAAGGAATATTAATAACTTAAGGACTTTATTTATCATGGGCCCATGATGATAACGTTACATTTACTTCAATCAGATTCATAACAAGAGTCCAGTCATGTCAAATTGCATTCGATTCCCGAATGAAGAATCGAGGATTCAAATACAATTGATAATTTAAACTACAAAAGAAAGGTTTTTCAGACACACATCATCAAGGCGTCATGTGAGTTCAAACTTGAGACTACCGGTCGGAAAGCCCTTTTCCATTGGGCTATACCTTGTTGGCTTCTCTCATTTTATTTTACTTTGGGTTCATAGAAAACTATTTCATGTGTGAATAAATTTCAATGAAAGAGAAAGATAAGCCCCAACTTTAGTTACAATTAATAGGTACCATTAACTACACAATCAACAACATCTGAGTGTGAATATAAGTCACCATTTAGCTTCGATTTATGTTGAGAAAATTGATTTGCTTCAACTGCATCCTCGACTAGTACACGTTATCCTTCCCAATCTTGTATAAGAAATTTGATGCTATCATCTTCTCCATTACGTTAATCCTCAGGTTTATTACTCCCACCTAATTAATTAATGGTAAACTAACATAAATATGCTTTTGTTTTACCTTATTTAGTTATTAATTCGAAGAGTTGAAGATGAAACCAAAATCTCATGTGATATTTCAGTATAATATTAGTCATGGGCACGAGAGTTAACTTACTTTAATTTCTTTTCCACCCAAGGTTTGAAAATGTGTTATATACCTCTTCGACTGACGTTAATATTTTTCTTATTTAAAATGTCCGTAAAGATGGATATATATATATATATATATATATATATATATGTAGAGGCCATCAAACTCTTCAAGGTTGACAAGTTTAGGACTCTGTTTTGTGGGATTTTGATTTGATTTAAAATCAATTCCTATAATTTAGCAATTTAACCAAATTATATTCGATTGATTGACTTGATTAATATTTGATTTAAATCAAAGTCAATTACAGAAGATTCTTTTTCCTTTAATTTTGTATTCACTTTGAACCGTTTGATGCACTCCGTTGAATGTCAACACGTGTCACTTTTGACAACTAATCTGATTTGATGAGTCGTATGCCACTTGGGCGAATTATGGGGCCCACAATTTAATCTACCAAACCCTAATTATTTTCTTATTTAGTGGAATTTAATTCACCAAAATTTCATTGTCTACAGGGGTGTAGCTAAAGAAAGGAGCCAAGAACAAAAGCGTGAGCGCCATAAAGATTGCCATCACCATGTTTGGCATTGCTGTCTTAGATCCTGCATGGTAATTCACTGCAGTTTTCGAAAATGTTCCTGCAAGCTTTATGAAAAATTGATACATAAATGTGGTACGTATACCTACAAGTACTATTATTGCTTGGATAATTGGACTATATAATTTATACCAATGGTCAAGTAGCAAGAAGTGATTGATCCAGCGAGGTTCATGAGGCCAAAAGCTATCATTTCCTTATTCCCATCGACTTGTTCATTTTTCAGTAGGGCAAAGCTCGGGCAGAGGAGGTTCGAAATCCCAGGCACCTAATGAATATTTGTGTAAACTCCATTTCTCAATCGCTTGTACTAAAAAAAAACACATTTTCTTGTGGATTTTTTATCTATAATACAAACAAACCTCATCTCTATGTTCGATGAGTGCGTGCATAACAGATATGACATCGGTTTTGGTCGTAAAATGCGTCAAACCAAAAAAACCCTTAAACTGTTGCAAGCATATTATAGTCGCAGTCCCTCCCATGAGCCAGTGATCGTGTAATGTGATAAGAAATCCACCAAAATCCCCATTCTGCTCAAATATATATTAACTCATCAATTTAATTAAAGAATATTCCAACTCCAGTATAATTTTAATTTTGTAATATTGACTCACAATCCAATCCAATAAAGAGGTTTGGAGTTAACCTTTGTGTTTTCTTAATTGGGTTTTATTAGTTTATGCTGTTTTCACATAACAATTTTTTCTTCCAAATATTAATTGCGAGAGCCTATTTTTCGATCGATCACCTTAGACCTAGAGCTGCTTGAAAGATTCCGGTGACAAAGGTGACCGTAAAAATCAAGTGAAGGTACAATGCGGGCTGAGCCTCTGGAGATGCAACTTTGTTAATGGTTTCGGCAATAAGCAATGAGCTTGTACCCAACGTGCCCACAGCAACATGCTTCGAGTCTCTGAAAATCGCATAAACAATAGATGGAACAACGCACGAATCTGTGCATGGAATCGCAATCGCCAAATTTAAATAATAATTTGTGTTCTTGAAATTAAAAATAACCAACTACTAACCTAATTACACACATGTTTAATGAAAAAAAACTTCTTATGTAACATGACGTCCAACATGCATGTGTGGGGTTTATATGCATGCATGATGCATGCATGATGGATACATGGGACCGGCTGCTTACAGAGGCCGATGACAGGATAATTCCTTGAGGAATGTCGGCAAGGCTAGTGATGGTGATATACCAGCAAGTAAATCAAACTGGAACATGCGCAAACTATATTTGGGAATCCATTCAAAGATGGGAATGAAATATTGGAAGGCTTTCTTGACACGGCCAAGCGGTTTCTCCTTCTTGAATTGCTTGAATGGATCGTCAGGGAAAAAGGTTTCCTTGAGGTCAGATTTGAATGTCGTTGCAAACCCTCTTGGAGCTGCAAAGCTCACCGTGTGGAAGTTGGATTTGATATTGGAACCCATATGTATTTATGATACTGATCACCGCACCCCACGAATTTAAGAACAAGGAGCTGGATTCAGTGGCGGATCCAGAAATGGAAAGCCAGGTGGGCGGAATTTACATACTAAATTTGACGGTACGAGTGAGTTTCATTAATAATCAAAAAAAGATACACCTAGTTAGAGGGATGTAATAAGCTTTACCCTCAAATACATCTATACATAAATAAAACCCTAAAATATTAACTTTTAAATTAAAACTATAATTAAAGATATATAGAAAATGAGAGAATTAGAAATTACTTCTTGTTATAGAAAGGAGAGGACAAGCTAGTAAGTTGCTCACTACCCAGCCAGTATAATAGAAAGATGCAGAAAATAAAGAGGGTAAAAGGATGTTGTTGTTGTCCTCGGCGGGTCTGTAGAATATAAGAGAGAAAAGGGAGAAAAGTTGGTGTACCAAAGGAAAAGAGACAAAAGCTAGGACCACTTTGAAGTTGGATGGGCGTGTGTGTATATTGGGTTAGCTTTTAAGCTCTTAACTTGGGCTGCCCATATAACATATATAGGTTTTGAAATAATAAAAAAATCTTTGGATGGGCGGGCACCCACCCTGCCCTTCACACAGATCCGCCACTGGCTGGATTGATGAATGAATTCTTGACTGAAAGAGACACCGGAGGATATTTCTTGTGCAGCCTCCTTCACCCTTGGACAGAAAGAGGGGAGAGGGTTTTTGGTTTTTCATTTTGTCAAAGGGTTCAAAATGAATGATTTTAATTATAAGATTATCAAAGAAAGAGAGGATTATAATTATAATTACTTCAAATTCACTGAATAATGGTTTTTTCCTTGAAAAATTTTCTGCGGTGACAGCAATTGAATCTTAATTAAAATGCACCAAACAGCAAATTTATTTATTTAATTATAGGAAGACGAAGACAACATATTATATTTCTATATATGCTTGTCTTATTTTTGTGGACTGTAACTTTTTATTTGTTTGTTTTGGTAAACTATGGTAACATGGTTTTACAAGGATTAATTGAAAAATTAGCTCCATCAATCAAAGATTGTGGATTTATTTAATTAAAATGGATCGAAAATGCCGCCTCAGCTATTAATATTTACCATTGGCTTCCTATTTATAAGAAGTAAATTATGAAATTTAATTTATATGATTGAGAAGTAGAATAATTATTCGCTCTTCTTCTTCAGAATGAAATGAAAATTAAAAGCAAGGCGATGTTACATATATAAGAACGAAGGTAGCAGCACCTTCAACTCACGAGCTCTTACTCTTACTCTTATGCATGGTTGAATAATTGTCACCGCTAACATTACCAAATTCAGCACCGATGTCTCGAATTAAACAATTATGCATGTCCATTATTAATAATGCCACCGCCCCCGAATCCTCCTCCTCCTCCACCTCCAACACCACCAGCACCGCCACCAAATCCTCCACCACCACCACCACCAAATCCGCCCCCAACTCCACCACCACCACCACCACCAACAAAACCTCCACTACCACCACCAAAACCTCCACCACCACCCATGCCGCCACCTCCACCACCACCCATGCCACCACCGCCACCACCACCACCGCCGCCACCCATGCCACCTCCTGCACCACCACCACCTATGCCGCCTCCAGCACCACCACCGATGCCACCCCCTGCACCACCACCGATGCCACCCCCTGCACCACCACCAATTCCTCCACCTACACCACCTCCGGTACCCCCTCCTCCGCCACCAACACCTCCTCCGGCACCCCCTTCTCCACCACCGACACCTCCTCCTTTGCCAATGCCGCCACCAGCACCCCCTCCTTTGCCAATGCTGCCTCCGACACCCCCTCCTTTGCCGATGCCGCCACCAACACCTCCTCCTTTGCCAATGCCTCCATGACCAGCTCCTCGAGCACCATGACCTCCACCACCAATTACTTTGCCGATGCCTCCCCCAATTCCACCTCCAGCACCACCTTGATGGTGCTTCTTCTCTATTTTAGTCTTATGGTGGCTTCCACCACCAGACCCTCCACCTTTGCCTATCCCACCAGCAGCTCCTCCACCTTTTCCTATCCCACCAGCAGCTCCTCCACCTTTGCCTATCCCACCAGCAGCTCCGCCACCTTTGCCTATCCCACCACCAGCTCCTCCACCTTTTCCTATCCCACCAGCAGCTCCGCCACCTTTGCCTATCCCACCAGCAGCTCCGCCACCTTTTCCAACACAATCAGGCTTTCCAAAACCAATTGCATTGGCAGGTTTCCCAGAAGTACCATAGCTGTAACTATAGGATCCCTTCCCGCCAAAACTAAAACCAAACCCTTTCCCCTCTCCTCCAAAACCACCACCGCCACCAACCCCACCAGGAACATTGGGATTTCCCGCAGCAGGACCATCAAAGAACCACTCTGGCTCCTTTTTCCCTAATTTGTTGTTGCCATGATCATCACCTTCACCACCCTTATTCTTCTTGATCTCCATCTCCATCTTCCTTATTCCTTGTACGCGTGAGTCAGAGATGAAACTCATCATCACCACAGCCACCCACAAAAGTACCTTCCCCACCCTCACTATCGAGATTCCCATGGCTAGCTAGCTACTAAAATGTTTGATAGTGATATAGATAGAGCAGCTAGTGTTTATATAGGGCCGAGCGGAGAAAAGCTTGTACAAATTAATTCAATCATCTCTACTCTTTCTATCTATTCTCTATGATAACATGTTGATGATAGTTGGAAGTTGGGACAGTACGTAGTCTCTCTTTACCTTAAGCTTTTACAACACACACAGTGAGTCGGTCACAGTGCAGCCAGTCCAGCTCGATTCCATGCTCCCTTACGTGATTGGCTTATTTTTGCTTTCATATTAATCACGGGAGCCCCCCGTGACTTCTGGGAGGGGAGAACAACTTCATATTTCACGGTCCCCACCCAAAATTTTCAACTTTTATTAATTGAATCCCATATCTCCTTTTGACTACAAACCCTAGCTACATTTGCCCCCCAAAAAAAAAAAAAAAACAAACCTAGCTACCTTGTCTATCTCCCCCATCAAAAAATTATTCTCCCTCTCTCTCAGTCCTTGTCTTCTTCTCTTTCTTGATAACCAATTAATACTTGGGCACCCCAATTAATTAATCGTTAAATATAAAACAGGAAATAGGAAGATGAGATTGACCAACCAATTCATTTCAAAGAAGAAAAGGCAGGTTAGGATAATTAATTAGTTGCACAGAATAAATATGTCACAACATCGACAACAAATATTAATGTATTTTGCTATGTGGACAGGGCAGAACTATTAGATATATAGTTTGGTTGACAGATGTAAACCCATAATAATAAAAATAGAAACCGATTGGTTAGTTAGACTAAATTGATGAAGCAGAGTCTCATAACTCGTGTAATATAAGAGCATTTGTCATACATTTTAAGGTGTTTCTGTTTGAATTCCCCGTCGTTAATATCACTTGTATGAAAAAACATAATGTTAAAGATTGCAATCTAAATTGCTAGTTGAGAGACATTTCATGCAATTTTTTTTGTTACAATAAATTTCATGCATATTTTTTTATTACAAAAACTTTAGGAAAAGGAGAGGCTACCCCGCACCCAGAGCCTGAGCAAACCCCAGACCTTTCGACATTTCATGCATTTTGATTGTTCATGTCTGATAATTTTTCTAGAAACTAGTTCTCAAATTCAAGTAATCGCTGGACTATTCATTGGGCCGGGTAACCCATTTTTAGCCTCGGGAGACCCGTAACCATTCGGCCCAAACCAATATTCCCGTCCATTTTATTTTATCTTATCGTTTTTTTCACGAACCCGTTTCGGCAACCCGTGACCCGAAACCTTTTGAATTGAATCTAAGCCACCAACCAAATTAGGGTTTCGTTCAGCTCTCGGAGTTCAGCTCATGCCCTCTAATGTCTCATAATTCTCAGTTTGGATTCTTCAGAAACAGAACAGTTACACAAATTTTCAATTTCTCAAACAAAGACCCCAATTTGTATGTTCATTGTTAGATTGATTTGGGGTTTTACGCTAATTGGTTATTAGGGTTCTTCCTGCTGTAAAGTTTTCGATTTTGCGCTCAAATGGACGACATGGACGATGACGCCAGGTACCATTCGAAGGCCTACTCTCTCAACCATCATAACTCTTCCGGTCGCCGAAAAATCAATATACGAAACACCCAATATTCTCGCCCGATTGCCAATCGATACGCAGAGGAAGACGACGACGAATTGGACGAGTTTGATGAAGGAAATGGCCGACAAGACCACGATGAGGAAGAGGAAGAGGAGCATCCACGTGGGTTACATCGGAATTTTGACGCGGACGATGGTTTTGAAAGGCACACGAAGAAGAGGAAGGTGAAGAATTTGGAATCAAACTACGAGTTTGCGCCTCGCGTGAGAGTTCCGTATAGGGATCCAAGTTCTCGGGCCGAAGAGGATTGGACTGAGCACGCGGTGTTTGTTCTGTTAGAGGTTTGGGGTGATAGGTTTCTTCAGCTTGGGAGGAAGAGTTTGAGGTCTGAAGATTGGCATGAAGTGGCCGAGAAGGTTTCAGAGGCGTCTAAGATCGAAAGGACTGACACGCAATGCAGGAGTATGTTGGATATGCTTAAGAGGAAGTACAAGAAGGAGAAGGAGAAAGTTGAAGAAATGGGGTTGAATTCTAGCAAATGGGCTTACTTTAAGAAGATGGATATGTTAATGGCTTCATCCTTGAGGCAAGAATGCGGGCTTGCTTGCGGGCTAGATTCCGGCGAGTATGTGTTTATGAACACAAGGGTATATTTGGAGCGGTCAAATGGGTTTGATGAGATGAGGGATAGTCCTGGTGAGTCAGAGACAGATGATGATGAGGATGGGAATGATGATCAGGATGCCTTTCCGCCACGAATGGGGACGCGTGGAGGGGATAGGGGGGAGGAAGGGTCTTCGTATAGAGTGTTGGCGGATTCTATTCACAAGTTTGGGGAGATTTATGAGAAGATTGAGAGTAGTAAGAGGCAGCAGATGAGGGAATTGGAGAAGATGAGGAAAGATTTCCACAAGGAGTTGGAATTTCAGAAGAAGCAGATTCTTGAGAGAGCACAAGTGGAGATTGCGAAAATTCAGGAAGCTGACGATGATGATGAAACGGATGTTTCAGCCGAGGATCTCAGTGAATGATGCGGGTGAGGGTCTGTATGGTATTTGTCTTTACTTTGGCATACTGAATTGCTTGCCACGATTGCATTAAATTTGGAGGTTTTGTTTGTTTTAGCATAATTTCTGAGGCATTATTGTATTAAAATATCCTAAGTCTGCTCATAGGCATTATTGTATTAAGATATCCTAAGTCTGCTCATAATTGTGTAATGGTGTATTGCTTGCTCAAAACGAATTAATGCATTGGTTTTATTCCTTTGTTGACACTCACTTCTATTTGTTCCATTGACTGAGTAGAACTGTTTTGGAAAGCATTTGATTTCATGAAATGCATTAAAGATTTGGTGTTAATGTTATTCAGATGTTGATCTCTCTCCCTTACTCCAAAACTCAGAATCCCACAAACAGTGACTTTCATGGATATGGAGTTGCATGTTTGTGACTCAAGTTATGTATGAGATGCATTTTATTTAAAGAGAAATTGTAGTGACCGACCATTTGAATTGATTGAATAAGGAAATAAAAGATAGTGGTTCGATGAAAATACTAAATGCAAAACAGTCTTGGGTATAAGGACAGTACACAACTTAGTTGAAGTCATCTGGGAACATTTTCAGAGTAAAGGCTTTAGACTATTAGACAGTAGAACTTGCTCACCTTATGGTTTAGATAATTTGAGAAGATCCAATTTTGTTGGAGCATAATGACTTGCAAAGTCTCAGCATCAACCAACATTGTGAACGTTTCACAAATCCCTGAGGAGTAACCCAGGGGAGTCTGGATTGGCTATAAAAACCTCCCTAGGGTCTGTTGCTTTGTTCATGTATATAACAGATTTCCATTGTTTCTAGCAAATACTACTTGCTTTGGTGTACATCTTTATTGTTTCTAGTTGCGGACGGATCTAGAGTTCTTTTGTATCAGTTCTTTGTTTATGTTCTGTAAAACAAGATATTGTTAATGTACTCTTCAAGGTTGAATTTTATTGTTATCAGATATTAAAATGTTCTTAAATAATGGAGTTTCTTTGTCCTAATTTATTGTCTCAGGACTTGTTTTTATTTTGAAGGATGGTGGCATCTGAAGTTGCTTTCTCCTCTCCTCTGGGGAGGAACATCTGCTGGCTTTGCTAACATTGCGAATTCTTTTTGGGAAGTTTTATCTTATATATAACTGTTGGCCAAAATATAGACTTTATATGTAATTTGATGAGAATGGAGGCTTTTGATTAACATGCAACATATTCATCTCTGTTACTGTATCATCAGCTGTTGTCTTTCCTACAGTCCTTTAGGAACGCGATTGGGTTTCCCAAGTTGCAAAGTCTTGTTCATTTTATTGAATTCTGTATTGCCACGATCTTGCTTCTTGATCCACCCTGAATTGGCTTCAGTTTTAAAAAGCAGAAATGAAAAATTGGGGAAAAAGTGTATATTAATTTTGCTTCTTCTCCACCCTGAAATCTGTATAGCCATGATTTTGCTTCTTGCTCCTTTGCCTCATTTGGCCTAACCCCATTACTTTGAGCCAAGCTCCTTCTACATTTTCCATGCACCCAATCCAGAGAGAAAAAAAAACACAATAAGGCTAAATAAATAAATGCTCAAACGTCAAAGCTTACAAGCATAATAGAATACAACATTCATGACGGTGTCGAAAACAAGTAGCAAAGAGTACATGGAAACCAGCAGGGGACCTTCCCACAAATTGATCCCCTTGCTCATCCTAAAGTCGAACAAACATTCAACTAGCCTAAAGCCCACGTTACTCAACAAAGCCATAACCAAAGCTGTTTTTCGCTTTCTTTCCATGAGTCTCTTGGCCTTTATCAGTGTCTCAAATCCACAACACTCACCCTCCAGCACTGATAAAACCCTAGCTAGGTTCCCCACAACCATAACATGCGCAAACGCCACACAAAAGGGTACCCCTAGAAACCCAAGGACACCCCAGAATCCTAAGACCTCTGAGCAGACATCCCATGCAAGTAGTATCTTTGGTACAACCGCTAGGCTCGCAACCAAAACTCCAAGGAGCCCAAGTACAATGATAAGTTCACAAAGACCTGTGTTCAGAAGCTTGATCCAATTGAGCCCACTTCTCACAAGTAACCTTCTTCTGTCAAGGTTTATTCCATTGTAACTGTCTGAAACTGCTTGAATAGTAGCAGCTCTTCCAAGAAGTGAGAAGGTGATAGATGAAGGGAAGCAGAGAACAAAGTGAACAATGGTTTTTGATAGTAGTTTGGGCAGGGGATGTGCAAGTATATGATCTGTGATTTTGATTGTTGAGGAAGGTATTTGGGGGAAATGGTGAAGAAGAAAGTGTGAGATGAAGAGGGAGGCTGGCAGAGGGGAAAAGAGGAAGATGGAGATGGAGTGGAAATGGGTTGGGTGGAGAAGTACAACTCTGATGGATTCTCTGAAAATCTGGGTGGTGCTCATAGAATTGAGCGAGTCGAGGACTTGTGCTGTTCTTCTTGACATTGTGGTTAGAGCAGCAAAGCATAGAGATCATTAAGAGAGTGAGAAACTATGTAGATATATGGATTCTTGTAAATATGTGAGGGGGGGCTCACGGTTAAGATTAACTAGAGTTTTGGTTGCTTGCATTCTACTAATTCATGATTGAAAAGGGTTTTGTTAAGAATGATTAAATCATGGTCACCAATTCCATGAGGAGCTTTTTGATTCTTTGGGATATATTTTAAAGCTATATATCAATTATGGTGGTATCTACAGAATCCTAGTGCTTTACCATGTTTAACAACTTAACACTAATTCAACCCTTTTTCTTGAGTTTTCCTTTTTTTTTCTTTTCTTTTTGGTGCATATATTGGACTTCTTTGTTTTTCAGAATAATTTGGCCATAATATATGTATAGTACTTGTCAATATGTCAACGGAAATTATCACTGCCGGGGACCTATATTTTTGTTCAAGCAATAGGGGTTACCTAGTACATACATTGTTGCTTGTTTCTTTTGAGAAAAAGATCGGAAATGGCATTCAGGAAATGATTATGAGGTTAAAGAATTAGCAGGTAGTTAGGATAAAGGACAAGGCTTCATAATTCCCGTGAATGAGACATCATGATTCTGTTTTTTCTAATCTCACTTGGGAGAGCTTGTGAGTTCATGGTGGGTGAAATGATATGAGAGAGAGAGAGAGAGATGTTCGCAAATCTAAATTGAACAGAAGAACTATGTCTACAGTTTACTTGAAGATCAAATTTATCTAGTCAAAAGTATTGTACACTTGGAATAAAATTATTGTCACTTTACATTCTTCTAAAAGAAATTGTATGAAGCAAAATTTTGAAAAGGGTAAAAAAAAATAATAATAAGAAGAAAGCTTGCTCTTCACTTTGTGCTGTCTGTGCTTTTCTTTTGTCCAAACTAAACCAACTACCCTTTTTCATTCATATGCTTTACGAACTTTCTTCCGGAAATAGCTCCTCCTTGATCGAAGGAGCTATCCACTGTATCTGAATATGGGTAATATCCCAAAGGTCATCATCTTCCTTCTGCACTAAAATCTCCTTCTCCTTCATCTCAGTGATCATCTTTCTCAACAAGTCTGGGATTAGTTCTGGCAGTGTTGATTCACCATATGCACCCAAATCAGCCTTCATACATGTGTCCATTCTTCTCAACACACCCAACCAAAACGTCCGAAACCCACTACATTGCGATATCGGTATCAAGAACTGCAAGTACACATCTGCCAAGAGCTCCAGTGCAATCTTTAAGGTCCCTTCCATACTTCTCATCTCCTTCTCTGCGCTCTCTCTTCGTGAATATTCCAACATCTTCTCATGTAAATCATCAACCATCGCAAAAATAACGAGGTTGAAAGAGTTAATACAATTGGTTGGAGTGAATTCCAACTCCTCAGCCAGTTTGAAACTTTTTTGAAGAGACAAGACTGCATGGTTTCTTATATCTTCTCTCCGGGCTAAGCTGGTCTTTCTAAATGCCTCCCCTAGTTTGACAAATAAGTTCATGGCAAAGTTATTAGAGCCAAAACCTTTTGAGTCCTCTAAAGAGGAGTTACTTGTGTTGCTCGCCACACTATAATTGTTCCCAGGATCTGAGTATTGATTTCTGTACCACTGGATCAACAAGTTTACAGAATCCGACAAAAGGTCCAATATCTTCAAGTTCTTCTCTGACGGACTGTTCTTGAGTGCAATAAAACCAAAGGCACAGTCAATGCAGTAAGCATAATTTGTCCGCGAAACATGGGTTCCATCAGACATCACCATGATCAGAGTTTCAACTCCCTGTTCGTAGGTATCCTGGTGTCGTCCAGAGATGGATAACAAGTGGAGAACTGACTTCCATCCAAGTTGGGTTTGCAAATTGGCAGGGTACTCAATGAGAATCTTGTTTACTGATTGTGTTATGAGCTCACCGCAGGTGTCAAGAATTTCCTTTTCCAGCTTCCACATTAGATTTATTGACTTGAAAATGAGCTCCTCAGGGACTCTGTCGGGTCGGTATGTCCCAAGGAGCTTGAGACAGACCTTGAAGAGGCCTACAATGGCCTTTTCTGCAAATGGGATTGGGGAGAACATGGGAAATTGAGCAACTGCCAGCAGATAATCATGAAAGTTAGGCCAAAATGCCTGGAACCTGTGGACGTTGGCCAAAGCGATGACAACTATCAAATCCCAGCAGAACCCAACAGTTTCTTCTTCTTCAATAGGTGTACTAAACTTTTGGCCTTTCCCAGCAGCTGCATATATCAACGAACGCCCGAGATTGAGCAAAGAATCTTCAGGAAAGTGTGAGCTAGTGCTGAAGATGTTCCCAATTCGGCATTGTTTGATGACCTTCAGATTCTGTTCAAATTCACTCATGCCAAGGGATACAGCATCTTCTGGACTCTCTAGTGATAGAAAATGTGAGAACCGACTAATCATGCCAGAAGCACGGCGCCCTCCAAATTTGGGATCATGAGCAGGAAAGATTATACCCGATTCAGATGTAGCTTGGGCATCAGATGATGAGGTGGAAGCAGCATCATGATCAATGACACTTTGGGGAAGTAGCTTAAGCCTCTTGAGTTTCAACAAGCAGTCCACAATGTTCCTCCAACCCCCTCTAATTGACTCTCCAAAATTGTTTGCGATGGTGAAAACAGCAAGGGTAGCCATTCTTGGCTTCAAATCTTTGCCAAAAGCAAAGAGTGTTTCTTCTGCAGAGGCATAAGGATTCAACAGTGTGGTGAATCTGGAGAAGGTGGCAATGAGCTCATCAAGAGTGTCCTCCAGTCCATATTGAGCTATCCTGGCTACTGAGAATAACCCTTCAATGCATTCATGGAGCAACTCCTCTTCTTCAGCTTGCTCAAAAAATGCAGAAATAGCTGCGACTGATGGGCCAGCGATGCAAGCAAACATGTCTCTCCCTAACCGGCGATCAAAATCACATAGAATGAAAGGCTGCACAGTTTTGGATCGGTTCATCAACTCAATCCATCTGCTTGGGTTCATTATTACTGGCAGACCCGATTGACCAAAAAGGGTGATTGCATTGTTTGATATGGACTGGAAAAGCTCAGATAGATACTCTCTAGGAAGATCCTTCCCTCCATTGATTGCTCTATTGTTCCTGATGAACTCTTCTTCTGTCATCTTCTTCTTCACTTGTGGATTGTGCTGATCAGTATTGAGCATAATGAGAGAGTAGCAAAGAATGAATACTGTATCTTTGTTCACGAAAAGATCTGCTGGCTGTTGCTCATAAAAACTCTCCGAAAATGCTTCAAGAATCCTCTGAATCTTCTGGGACTCTCCTGGCAAACGGAAAGTCTCCAGATAAGTACGGAGAGCACTGTCAAGATTCATGCCTGCAAATCCAAAGGTTCCTGTGAATTCTTCAAGTACTTTAATGTGAAACTCATCAGGATCGCCAAGATAATCCCCTATCATTGTCTTGTCTAGTCCAGGAGTGTACCGGAAGAAGAAAGCCAATGTCTTTGGATCTGGAGGGTCAGAGACTAAGTTGTAGAGCTTCAAGTACTCCATTCCCTTCTTTTCATCTCGATTAAAATGGTGTCCAGCAATCAATATCTTCCTCTTTTGTGCTTTCCTCACCCTTACAAATTGCACCCAAGCTTCTGAATCATCTTTGGGTTTGTCTTCCCAAAAGGGTGCATACTCTGTAATCTCAATTGGGTATGGTCCAGAAGGGCTTGTATCATGTTCTCTATCAATACTCTCTGCAATGTTGTGAATCATGATAACTAGCCCCTCAAAGGCTTGTATCTGTATAGTTGTCAAAGGGTTAGACACTGGAAATGACTGCTTGCAAAGCAACTTCCCAATCTCCTCAAACACATTATGGCAAAGGGGATCACAATCATAGTTCACATAGACCTCCACTACGAATGTCAGTTGTCTGCAGAAATTTATAATCCCTTCAAGTGCAACCTCTTGAAGTTGGATTGAGACTCCAGGACCTGCAACTCTAAACAGCACAAACGTGAAGAAGGCTTCTAATTGGACACGAATGAACCTGCAGAAAAGCAGTAAATCATTCTCAAATTTTAAAAAGAGGAAAAGCATAACAAGAAACTTTAATTTCCAAAACATCTCCAAATGAACCTAAAACAATTTCAACCTGCGAAGAAAGTGGTACATATTCAAAACTGTACTGCAAATCATGGAAAAAACAAGTGGGCTCGAACGCGTTCCGTAGTGAACCAAATGGTGAAAGAGATCATCTTTCATCATCCTCAACAGCTTCGAATGCGACCCAATTCCATCCCCACTCAACTCGATTGCGGAGTTGATCAAAACCAGAGCAAAAAGCTGCACATCCTCATCTGCAGTTTGCACAGTCGACCCCTGATCTGTCTCAACCACCTGAACCACATTCAACAAAGAACACAAAAAGTGAAAAATGTCAACCGCACACCGAATCCCATACCCAGAATCCAAATTCCCCTCATCAGCATCAGCATCTTCAGTATCAGTACTTGCCGAACTGTCCCCGTCCCTGAAATTGATTTCGGGCAACCGCGAAAATATGATCTGGATCAACTCGTGCATCGTGTACCTTGCACATCGTTGAAGCAAGTCTCCTCTGCTCGACGATTGCTGTACCACCTGAAAACAAGTGTTCACAATTGTGCAGACAGCCTGATCGGTGAGCAGAACCGAAGCGCGGTGGTTCATAATTCCGGTCAAGACCTGAAGAATATTCATCATCACGGCATCCTCGGAGACCGGGTCGGTCCGTTCGAGCCGGCAGGTGGTGATGGCGGTGACGACGGTGTTAATGGCGTCTTTGGCCCCTGGAGTCTTCTCGTCGAAGATTCCGAGCTTGAGAATCTTCAATGTGGCGGAGAGAGCGACTCGGGTAGCGGCGGCGTGAACTTCGTCGCTTTGGATGACATCTAAAAAGGGGGATAGGTAAATGGAGGGGTCTATCGTGCGCCATTCTTGCTGTGGGTTGAAGATGAGGGCCCGGAGGGATTTGAGGGGTTGGAGAAGGGAAGGGTCGAAGGCGTCGTCGGGGGCGGCGAAGCAGTGGGAGGTGGTGTCCAGGGGACGGCGGATGACAGCGAGGACGGCACCGACTTCGGTGTTTAGCATGCACGAGAGCCCGAGCTCTTTTCTCTTGAGTTTTTTGTCTTGGTTTGATTTTCCGTTGTTTTCATCGTTGCCAGGATCACTTGGTTTCTCCATGCATGGGGAGGAGGCTCAGGGGAGGAAGGGGGAGAGAGAGATAGAAGTTTGAACAAAATTCAAAAAACGGTTTAGTTCTGTGGGCTCTGGTGTTGTGAAAAGGACCATTTTGGATTTTTGGTTTTGGAGTTCTAAAAGCATTGACTGAAATGTAAGAGTGAAACAGAAGGGTGATTTTGTCTTTTAACATACTAATACATATACCCGGATCACCCGGGAAAACAAGAGGTTAGTTTAATTCCTAATTTGGTTTAGTTTTTAGTTAATTTGATGTTTTCTACCACTATTATCTCCTCATTTTGTTCCGTTCCATTGATCCTGCAAAATCATATGAAGATGGTCTCACAGTAGAAGGACTAAGATTGAAAACGCCGTTGTCAAGACTCAAGACAAGCAGTGTCAAATCTCTGTAGCACCAACAACCAAATTACAAATTTACTGGAGTGGCTAATTTACGCTTACATGGGACATGGCATATGGAGTTAGCCAGCTACCCCTTTCTTAGAATAAGGTTACATGCTAAAGACGTCAAAACTAAAAAAATTTACACTGCAATCTATCAATCTCATCATGCCTTTCTGTTAGTTGCCTGATCTATATGAGTTCTTAAGCTCATGCTGCATACAAAACAACACATCAAAACAATCTTCGTCGTCAAAATTACCAGCCTGTGAGGCAGTTAAAAGGGTTTTCAGCCAGCCTTCATGGAGAGTTGAGAACTCTGATCGCTGTTCGCTCGTCTTAAAACTTCGTCCAATTGATTTTTTCATCACTTGGCCAGCCTTGGAAGCTGCTTCAACCACCTGCTCGGGGATCCCGGCCATCATCGCTACTTGCAATCCATAACTCTCTGGACAAGCCCCAGAGGTAAGGCGATAGAGAAACACCAGCTCTTGGTCTCTTCTAGAAGGGCATTCAGATTTTGACCTAAAAGCACAGGCCATGTGTTGCAATGTAACATGAGGGTGAGAAGCAAATTCCTTCGTTAGCGGATGATAGTGAGTTGCAAATAATAATCTGCAGTTAATCTTTTCAACAAGATGGCGAAATACCTACCAAGAGAAAATACAAACATTAACATGTTGCTTTACAATGGCAGATAGATCTACTGTCCTAACAGATTAGTAGAGAGGGAATCTCACAGCGTATGCAATGGCATATCCGTCAAAGGTGCTTGTTCCACGACCCAGTTCATCAAGAATAACCAAGGAATCTTGAGTGGCATGTTGAAGAACTGATGCTGTTTCTGTGCATTCCACGAAGAATGTACCTACAAGGCTTCTATGATCAAACTTTGCAATTCAAGATATCACAAATTTTTTGTCTTTTTTATGTATGTTTAAGAAAAACCCAAAAGATATACAGATTTTGTTAATAATGACACTGACAGAAAGAGTTGAGAAAAAGCCAGCATCATCTCACTTTGTTTTCCATTTTTCAAAGAGGTGATTTAGATGTTAGAACACACAGAATAAAAACAAGGTAAATGAGACTATAAGTTTGCTAAAAAGACTTACTCTCGCCGGTCATGATACGGTCAGTGGCACCAAGCCGTGTGAAGACGATATCCACAAGTGAGAGAACACATATCTCACAGGGAACATAACAGCCCAACTGCAAGCCATCAATGAACTAAATGACTAAACATCAAAAATCTAATGGCCAAAATCTATAAACTTTTCAATGACCAACTTCTGGGTTCTAAAGCACAAAACAAATAACTCAGGGGAAAAAAAATAACCTGGGCTAGTATAACAGCCAGACATGTGGCGCGAAGAAGAGTTGATTTCCCACCCATATTTGGTCCAGTCAACAGTAAAGTGCGTGGACGATCGCCATCTGTATCCTCACCTAGGACTATGTCATTTGGGACAGGCAGTCCTCCATTTTCCCCAAGAGCAAATGGATGCCACAGTCCTTTAATATTAAGTGTGGGACTTCTGTTCTCTTCATTCAAAGTCATATTTTTTGATGGAGGCAAAATAACAGGTCTGGACATAGCCCCACTTGGAAAACTTGCAGTAACTGCAAAAGATCTTAGTACATCAATACAGCTGATGGCATGTATGGCATCAGACCATTCGGTTGCTTTCTCAAGAAATAGCTCAATCAGAATGGAGAGTGTTTCGGCATCCGAATCAGTTGCGTCATGATTCTGGCATCAAATTCAATGTTAGTAATTTTCATAGAGGTTCAACTCTTGAAACTATAATCAAAATGTTAGTCATGGAAAGAAATTCACCTAACATGCAGTACTAATTCAATGATAAAGCAGTCTGAAAAATAGGTAATACTAATACAAAAAGAAGATATGCTGCAAGCTTTATATGACTTCTATAAAGCAAGATATGAGCATCTGGAGGGAAAACCTGGTAATTTGGGAAGTCACTATCTACAGCTGCTTCAAATTGGCTAAGATATTGATCAAGCCCATCACTGCCACTTAGGATTGGAACTTTAAATACTTTTGATAGTGGTTCAATGATATGCCCTTCGTTCTGTAATAGCTTTAACAAATCCATTCCAAATCTGAGGCCTTTCACAAGAGTTCCAAACGCTTTCACCTGTACCACATTAAAAGCATTATACATTTATAGTGTCATTCTATCTTACCATAGAAATTCATGGTCAAGGAGAATGGTTTGATTTTATCAAACCATTAATCTATTGTCTGAACAGTGAACAGCACTGTCTCAAATTCTGAAGAGGAAAACATTTGCCATATTCTTTGAAGTTTCAATGAAAATTCCAAATTAAAGTAGAAAAGACTTACTCTCTGTTTCAATACTTTTTTGCCAAACAAGGGCAGTAGGAGAGAAGCTGATGACTGAACACTTGCCCTAATCCGTCCGAGCAACCTTTCTAAGTCTGGAAGCTTGCGAAGATATTGAGCAATAAGTGGTATCATTTCTGAATGTGCCAGTAGATCTTCAACTACATTAAGCCTATTATTAATGGACTCAACAGATTTCAACGGATGGCAGAGCCACTTCCGTAAAAGCCGCTTCCCGGATGATGTCACACAGTTATCGAGATATGTGTACAGTGTACCTGAAACAAGATAACAATAGGCGGAATCAAGAAATGGACAAACTCAGTATTCTGGTTGAAGGCAATGAAAGTGCAAAACTTGCCTGATGGACCACCATCAGCACTATTACTGAAAATCTCCAGATTTACAAGAGTCTGTCCATCCATTTTGAGGCAACCCCTATAAACTTGGTAAGGAAATATATCTCCATTCCGTAAAACATCATCTAACTGTATGGAAATGGAATGTGTCAATTATAACTAAGGCAGACGTAGATGTTCTACATAATTATTTCTTCTTTTACGAAAGAATTGCAAGGGAGCTTACCATCACCCTGGATAGATGGCCAATAAGTGCACCAAGAGCAGACAAGGTGATTTCATGGTCTATCACACTGTCAAGTCCATGATTCCATGATTTAGAAGATGCTTTGAAGTATCCTTTCAACTGAATTAAATTTTTAACTTCAGAAGCATCTACAGAATCACTGATTGACTGTACTGCAGTCAATTGCATTGCAGCAGAACCTGCAATATGAACATAAATGCAGTCAGACTCACCGACATCACACATACACACACGCACAAAAACTCTCTCTCCCTCATTTAACAATCAGGAAAATCAAAAGGAGAATTTGAACCTGTTGAGTATTTTTTCAGAGCTTTTTGAGCTTCTTTTGACAGCCCTGCATAGATTTGAATATTTAAGTTCAACAGATGAAGTGATTTTCATGCAAACTTCAAATGGAACTATGACACGCCAAAGGAAAGAAGTTCCGGGGCAAAGAATATTTACCTCTACTTTCATATATAACTTCTTTAGGTGACACCTAAGTCAAATCCCATCAAGAAAATTAGAAAATCAGTTTTCAAGCCTCCAAAACTACTCATTGAAGGTATTACACAACGAAAAGAATACAAGAACATACTTGCATCAATAAAGCCCCCAAAGCAGCACAGGAAGCATCATCAGTGATGGCACCAATCCAGAATTTTAAAGCAGCACAATCCACAAAAGCAAACCCATACACAACAGTACCTTTCTCCACCACAGTGTTCCCCTAAACATATATATATATATATATATATATATATATATATATATAAAGGAAGTTTGTTATTAGTTTTATAATCGTGAAACACATTTCTAGTACCCAAAAGATAGGCATGCAGTGAAGAAATGAAAATCCTTCTAGCTTGACAAACTTATAAGGAAAAAGAATCAGAAGATGCTATGAAGCCAACTACTATAATGTATATGATAAGCAGAAAAAGTAAAAGAAATATATATTCTAATTGTCAATATGTCCACTTTGAGATGCCCAGAATGATCTTAACAGAATAAGAGTATACTCTTATGCTTTTTTGTAACATATCTGAGTTGAATAACTATTACATTCAGGGGCTTCTGGACTGGATCATATTACAAGGTAAACTTATGTGAACTGCAGTACAAGTGACATCACACTGGGCTTAAATCTAACACAATTAGATTTAGGACATGGAATGCAAGGTATGGCAAGAAAATTGCAAAAAGCACATTTAGCATGCACATTCAAAAAAATAAAATAAAAAATCAGAGCATTACAAACCTCTTTTATTGCAAGAAGATGAACAGCATCTGGGCCAATATTTCCGTCAGTTGTGGTTGATGGTGTGACTACCTGAACCAATTTTCTCGGAATCACCTGTAAGCCAAGGTTTAAAATCAAACCATGCAACAAAAAGGTTACTTAAACATTAACTTTCTTATATATTAGCATCGTTAACTTACAGACTTTCCACCCCTGGCTTTTACTTGATCAGAAGTCTCCAGCTGCTCTATCCGCCCAACTTTATAGCTTCATAAAAGATGTAACAAAGAAAAGTGAATATGATGTATAAATGTAGGAAATGAGACACGTGCGTATGACCACACAGGAAAATTATGATCAAAGGCATCTTGCAACAAAAGATGCAGATGATTAAAAAAAGAGAGTTAATATAAGGCTACTTAATCACATACCCACGCACAACCAGCTTTTCAACAGCATCATCAATCCCACTTTCAGAGATACCAACCTGACCACACAGGGAAAATAAATGCATGCAAATACTCAGGTCAACAGACGGACATATACTTTTAAAAGGTTGACCTGAACAAGTGATGTTAACTAAACAATTTAGTGTTTCTAGTCACCTGCCGACATTTGCCCACACCACTTAAGGTCATTTTCCAATCAAGCTCCTTATGGCCAATTTCAGCATCTAGTTCATAAAGCTCATAAAATTTTCCCTGTGTTTGATCACACACCATGAAATTAGGTAATAATTTATCAAAAAATAAGAATTTGAGCTTAAAAACTCAATTTGTCTTACACCGTATAATACATTAAATAAATCTAACTTTTGAGGTATATCAAAAATAGAAAATCATCCCAAAATTCATGGTGCAATAAATTAGATTTTAATGAGCCATTATGAAGGTCATTTAGTTGTTAGCCTTCACAAGAAAATTTTGTATTTTTGCCCTTTACCCAAATGGATTGCTCTTGTCAACATGCATTTGTAGGCATTTAATCCAGCTAAAGGGGTTCCAAAATAAATGTGGCAGTTGTAGACATATATGATCCGGCTATAAAATATCAACTGTAAGCAAATGACCAGTTCTGACTAACCACTTTGAAGAAAAGCACAACATCCATATATTGACACTTGACATCCCAATATTGTCTTTGTGATGCTGACATTTTCTTCAAAGCATCAGGTGGTATATGGAGCGTTGTTTTGTCATAGAGAGGATCATCAGGCCTTCTTCTATTTGCATCCCTGATTCGGGATCGGTCAAGCCACTCAAACTTGCTAGCCATATCAGATACTTCCCCATGACTCTTGTCTAAGGTTGTTGGCTCCTGAAGAAGTTTCACTCTTTTGCTAGAATTCAGCAATGAACTCTCAAGCTTATCCCCAAACTTGGGAATATCCTCCAGAATTCGTTTCATACGGGGAACCAGACATTGTGTTCCCGGTGTTTCTGGTCCAGCAACGTCGTCATCACATTCGATATGCACAACAGAACCTTGATCAATTTTTTTATGGGAATTGGTAATGTTGTTCTTAAATAGAGTGTGTTGAGAAGCCACTGCTGGTTTACACAACCCTTGAGGCTCATTAGGTTTACCAGATACTGTAGAACCATAAGAGAAACCACCATTTGATTGACTCCTACAAAATTAAACAAGCAAAATGAATAAATTGTTTGAAGAACTCAGGTAACGAGAAAATAGAACATTAGAGAGCACCGAACATAGGTATTTACAGACCAACAGCAACCATCTCTCAGTGAAATACCAAAACTAAAGAGACATTACTCAAAGGCTCAGATATTAGCTTGAACAAAATTTTAAACCCTAAATCCTAAGTATTTATATACACGATTGAAATTATACATATTTTAAGATGTTTAAAGAAAAATATTAAATAGTACCTCTGGCTCTGCGAAGCCGTTTGTCTGTCATCAACCTTTATAAACTTGTGCATAATACTGGAGAAGGGAGAAGAGTCTTTCAAGTTCCCCACATTTGCCGGCAAAATCTGACGCGGCACTTTCTCCGGCGGAGTGTCGGTTCCCGTTACTTCGGGTGCGGTTGTCTGATTGGGAATGACGGCCTTTTGATCCTGTTGCGTCGCCGGAAACTGAGAAACTCGGCGGCCGTCTAGTGCGTCTCCGCCGCCGGAGCTCTGGTTTCCCAGCGAGGGTTTTCGGAAGAAGGAGAGGATCGACTGCTGGCGTTGCATTTTTTCAGATTCGGAGAGAGAATGTTAATTGCTGAGCGCGAATGCCGAATCGGTATAAATAGCTAATGCAGAATTGGCGCCAAATTTTTAGAATTTGGAGTGATAGCTATGCCTAAATGGCGCCGAATGATTTTGACCTTCGTGACACTTTACCTTCTGGTATTTACTTGCGGAACCATAAAATTTTAATTAACCAAAGCATGTCTCAACTGCAAAAGGACCAATTGGCAATTTTCCAATAGTTAAGAACATGACAACAGATTTTGGGGTCAAATCGAGAATAAAGCTAAATAGACATTGTCCTTTCTACTCGAGCGGAAATCCTTCTTTTATAATACATACAAAACCGTAGTATAGCCGCGCGGCTATACACGTTTGTAAATAAAAACCCAGAGTATAGCCGAGCGGCAACTGACTGGTCGTCACAGACTGCTGTCACGAACAGAAATCATGATTAATGCCCTGAAGATTTAATACTTGTGAAAATGACCCCAAATTCGGATATGTTGCAGTAGACATCCAAATGAACAACTTTCATGAAGAACAAATTTTCATTTGAGGACTGGAAGCTGGCCCGAATTGCCACTGTTTTCAGCTTTCACTGTTGCTGGAATGCTTCTGATGTTTGATGTCGCAAGGATTTGGAATTTATCCAAATGATCTCAAATTTGGATATGTTGCAGTAGACATTCTAATGAAAAACTTCCATGAAGAAATAAAATTCATTAGAGCATTGGAATTAGGCCTTAATTAGGCCCGAATTGAGCACTATAAGCATTTTGCTAGCGCTGTGCATCTGGTGTTTTCAGCTCTTAGGATTCCACATTTGTCCGAATAAACCAAAATTTGGATATGTTGCAGTAGACATAGAGATGAATCATGAAGGATGAAACTTGATTTGAGAGCTGGAAGTTGAAATTTGGGCCCACTCCAACTGACTGCAGCAATGCATGTCTAGCCAGATTTTGGCCGTTTTGATGTTCATGGAACATTATCTTCCATTTTAGGCAAAAATACAATACCATTCCCATGTTTATCAACGGAACAGCTCCAGCCATTCTTTCGTACTCATTAGCATTGAACTAAGAGTATCAACCGACATCTCAGAAGGTTTTCCATCTTTATCAATGAAACAGTTCCTGCTATTTTAACAACAAAACAATAAAAATAACATACATGCACCAACACTTCTAGTTGTAAAGGAATTTTGATCAGGCGTCAGGGGAAAGCCTACAAGTTCAAAGCTTAGTTGCTTGAACTGGAACAAGTTTACGAAAAACCATATAGCTATAGTACTGATTATGAGGGAATAGTAACAGTTTGGGATGTAAATACTCAGAAAGTATGTGATGTTACTTACACATTCTGATTTTTTGTGTGTGATTTGAATTTGTGTACTTATTCCCTCAACCTTCAATTTTTGTTGCTCATGCTTAAATTTTCCCAGAGTGTCATGGAATATGAAGAACATGAAAAACTTGTGCTTGGAGTGTTTGATTATTCACGCACAAAAGAGGCTTGTATCTCATAGTGATTATTGTAAGGTAGTCTCAAAATCTTTAAAATCTTTAAAATCTTAAACCAAGTCTTGTATTATGCTTAGGTGATCTGAAATGTAACTCGTTTCCTTTTGGAAAAGCACGTTATGCTGCACACTATATTCTGTTTCTTATATTATTTATTAAAGAGTTATTTACACTAACATCCCCTAAGGAGTAAAATGATATACTCACTATTTGCAAGTGACTATTCGTAGTGGGTATCGTCGAGATGTTGTTAACTATGCTACTAAGTTTTTTTTATGCTTGACTTAAGGCTGGCTGGTTTAGGCTACTCGAATACATGATATACACTTGTATCTGGTTTATTTAGTATATGCAAGTTTGCATATACAGGATGCTAAATTGATGCGTTATGGGTGTAGTATCTGTTCTTGTATTTCAACAGGGAGAAAATAAATATGTTAATTTTGCAAGAAAAAATTAATGGAAAAATTAATGGATTCAGAGAAATATTGATATGTCCTTCCTTGTGTAAGTTTGACGTTACATATTGGTTGTCGAATTGTTTAGTATGTTTTAGCAATCCCAATAATTGTGGTGTATGCTTGAGTTAAGGTTTGGCTAACAATATTAAATATTAGATGCCCCATACTTTGGCTGCCCTCACAGTTTACCACCTACCCCATCTGTAATTTAAGCGGACTATTTAAAATGATGCTGTGCTTTCAGCTTTTTTGGTGCTCAAGGAATGTTCATTGAAGACTAACTATGCTGTCCTCTATTCTCTGCATAACAAGCAGGTAAAAGTTTGGTGCACACGGCAGGAAAGGTAACTAGCTAGTGTAAAAGGAACCTTGTTGTTTTGTCCAGAAACCTTTATACTCTTTGTTTTTGCATTTATGAAATAGGCACATTACACAATTTATCAGCCAACGCCAATCTCGAAGCTGAGGTCTGTGATTCATTTCATGCAGTACCGGAAATGGATAACATGAAAGAAACCGGAAATCCTTCTTCATGCTCTGAATCGATGCTCCCTTCAACTGAAGAAAGCCCTTCCTCTCCAGCATTTATACAACCCAATCTTCCTGCTGTCACAAATGTTGGGAAAGGTACAGGGGTGAGGAGTTACTCGCTGTGCAACAGGGTTAGAGTTTACACAGAATGTCCTGATTCCCTAATCGCATAACGGTGCTGCCCGTTAGTGATGACAAGTGGGTGGCTTTCAGGTTGGAGTTCCCAAATGAAGAAATCAATTAAGTTGAGTTGCTGGTGTTACCAGAATATTGTTTTTTATAAGACCTAGTTTTACCATGATATCCAACTAGACTTTCAGTTATGTTTAACCTAAACTTATGGCATGTATCTGCTTCTCATGCTGGATGCTGATCCCATTTGCACCAGTCTTATGAACTTTTAAGTTATGATTGAAACAATTTAGTATAAAATTACTTTTGGGAAAATTATCAAACATGAAACAACATTTAGAACATAACAATAATATTTAACTGGTAAATCAAATTTTACAATGAAAATGTAAGTAAAGGAATTAGGGATAACCTTCCAATGGTCAAGCCCTTTTATTCAATTCATGCATTTTTCATATGCATGCATGAGCAGTTATTACAGATTTACAGTTCTTGGCGTTTAATTTCCTGAATTGAATGGATTGTATGCTTGACATAGAACCAAAGTACCGGAACAAATAAAAATGCCAAACCCAAGTTCACCATTATTTTCCTTGGCTGCTGCTTCATCTCCAAAACCAGCCCATCCACCACCTGCTTATAGTTATAGTTAAAAGAGCACTTCTCAACACCAAGCATTGTCCTCAGGATGCCCAAATATTGCTCTTCTAAGCTCCTCCTTTGTCGAATCCTATCATCATTTTAGGTAAGAAAGTATCACAGGGATAATCAAAGCTTTCCCAAAAGATTCCTCCAGATATATGATCTCTCAAAATGAAGTTCCGGAGTCTAAAAGCACTAGCCGGGCTGCACGCATGGGTCTTACGCCTAGAGGAGTAATCGGGGGGGCCCATCTCTTCTTTTGTTTTTTTTTCTTCAACATATGAATGCAATTTTCCTTCTCAAACCCTAACTCTAACAAGAGCCATCTTCCAGCCCCTCTCTCTCGCTCAGACTTCTTCTTCAATCCTCATCTCTCTGTCTCTCGCTCATAGCACCATCGTGATTTCTTCCCTGACCTTGGAGATTCCAAAATGGCGTTTTTTTTCTTCTAGGCGCAGCACCCTCCTAGCCTGCCCGCCTAGACCGCCTAGAGGCCGCCTAGCGACCGCCTAGACCGCCTAGACCGCCTAGCCCTCCTAGCCCGCCTAGCCCCCGCCTAGAACATAGAGATCTTGACCACCATCTGCATATACCCTCATGTCGCCCGCCTAGACCGCCTAGAGGCCGCCTAGCGACCGCCTAGCCCGCCTAGCCCCCTCCTAGAACATAGAGATCTTGACCACCATCTGCATATACCCTCATGTCGCCCGCCTAGACCGCCTAGCTCGCCTAGCCCCAGCCTAGCTCGCCTAGCCCAAGCCTAGCCCTCCTAGCCCCCGCCTAGAACATAGAGATCTTGGCCACCATCTGCATACAGTGTTTTCAAAAGCATGCCTAATCGCGCCCCGGTGCGCACGTCGGAGCGAGGCGAATGGAAATTGCCTCAAGCGTTCATCTGTTTAGCTTGCTGCACGTTTAGCGGAGTGAGGCGGCCGAGGCGGAGCGAGGCAGAACAGCGCTGCTGTTTCTGTGTTCTGCAAATAGCGCGATGAAGAAGATGAGGTGGTTTTTTTTAAGGTTTTCTTCAATGGAACGACTTCGTTTTAAGGTTTTGGTTTCTTTATTTTAAGTTAAACGCACGTTTTGACTCCCCAACTATAACCTGGACCTATATATATATATTTTATATATATATATTATATACTATAACATTAATATTATAATGTTAAGAATGAAATCAGACTCCATGAATTGCTATTTTTGCATATTCTCAGAGAGGAAAATATTGTGTCTTTGCGAGCATTGGGTTCCTACTTAAAGGAAAAACTTAGTACGTGGCTTAGCCCTGCTGCATTAGAGCTTCACCAGATCACATGGGATGATCCAGCCTCTTTGCTGGAAAAAATTGTGGATTATGAAGTACTCAGTCTTCCTTGTCTCGTAACAAATTTAGGTATATTATATGTATGCAGCCTTGATGTCGTCCTATTTTCGTTGAAGTTGCACTCATGAAGAATGTGGCTCAAACAGTACAGGTCAGTTTTATTTCAGCTCATTAGACTCTTCTTCTTCTTCTTCTTTTCTTTCTCTTTTTTGTTTTCTGGTCAATGGTCATGTAGTAAATATCAGTATGACAGGAAGTTTTGTTTTAACTAATTCTTGTTCCTTTGCCTCTAGGTACCTTCTGCAAGAGAAAAAGAGACGAAAAGCTCTGGATTCTGTTGCAAATTTTCACTTACACAATGAAGCTTTACGTCATTTAACTCAAGTTGGTTAACTTTTCCTCATATGGGCCTTTCTAGTTGTTGTTGTATAATATGATGGATTGGGTAAAACACCAAAGATGCATAGATCAATTATGTTCCTTCTTCTATGTAATTCTCAGAAATTTTGAAATATATTTAACGGTTTAGCCGCGGGGCTATACTGTTTAAGTGTTCGATATATTAAAAAGGTATAGCCGTTCGGCTATACTGTTAAGTAATTCTATAATCTTAAAATAGTATAGCCGTTCGGCTATACTAGTTAAATATAGGCCTTTAGTTTTAGTCGGCCCGGATCCAAGGAAAATAGAGCTACAGAATACCCCAAGCCAGCTTAAGGTAACAATGTATAGCCGTTCGGCTATACTATTAAAATTTTAGAATATATGAAAACTGTATAGCCATGTGGCTATACTATTTAAATATTCTAATATATTAACACAGTATCGCCGCCCGGCTATACTATTTAAATATGAATATATTAACAATGTACAGCCGCGCGGCTATACGATTTAAATATTCTAATACATTATTAAAAATATATAGCCGGGCGGCGATACTATTTTTAATAATAAAAATCCCAAGTATAGCCGAGCGGCTAAACTATTTTGAATAATAAAAACCGTGGTATAGCCCGTCGGCTATCCTCTTTTTATAAATAAAAAAAATCAGCGTATAGCCACGCGGCTATACTATTTATATAAAACCCGACCCAACTGCCGCTTTGCGACGTGTCAAAAGCGTATAGCCGCTCGGCTATACCATTTATAATTAAAAAAAACCACCAGCTGTCCCCAAGGTCCCGCTTTGCCACGTGTCCAAACAGTATAGCCGAACGGCGATACTATTTATCAAAACAAAAGACCCCTGTAAAGCCGAACGGATATACTCGTTTTTGAAAAAAATATCCCGAGTATAGCCGCCCGGCTATACTATTTATAAAGAACAGAGGGGACCCAACCGCCTAGATGAACTCCTCTTATATACGACAAGCCGTTTTAGCTCGAGTTCTTAAAATATCCTCTACTGCGAGGATGTAGAACGAGGCACCAAGACTACGAATGGTAGACTGCCACGTTGTGAGCGCCCACAGTATTTTCTATTCAAGCAATGCGAGCATTACGCTGCGAAGAACACGTGGAGAACAAAACCAGCGCAGCACATAATAACCGCCACCCGCGCGTATTTTCAATTTTCCATCCATAAAAAATATAAAAAAGAACGTTTGAGAAAGTTTGAGAACGTTCCAGATTCTCACCCCACTATAAAGAGCGTCCGTCTTTACCACCTCTGATCATCTTCTCCACCAATCGCAAACGAATCCAAGCTTTCTCTCTCTACATCTATCCGATTCTCTCTTCCGATCTCCGACGATGCCGAGCAGAAACCCAGGAGTGATAACCCAGGACTGGGAGCCGGTGGTCATCCACAAGTCCAGGCCCAAGGGTCAAGACCTCCGCGACCCGAAGGTTGTGAACCAGGCGCTTCGGTCCGGCGCGCCGATCCAGACCATAAAGAAGTTCGACGCGGGCTCCAACAAGAAGGCAGCGCCGGTCGTCAGCGTGAAGAAGCTCGAGGAAGGGACCGAGCCGGCGTCGCTGGACCGGGTCTCGACCGATGTGAGGCAGGCCATACAGAAGGCGCGTCTGGCGAAGAAGTTAAGCCAGGCCGACCTGGCCAAGCGGATCAACGAGCGGCCTCAGGTGGTTCAGGAGTACGAGAATGGCAAGGCGGTACCGAATCAGGCCGTGCTCTCCAAGATGGAGAGGGTTCTGGAAGTGAAGCTCAGGGGCAAGGTTGGCAAACAAAAATAGTACTGTGGATAGCTAAAAACGCTGACGTTGACGTCGTTTTAGGGTTTTTATTATGAACATAATGTTTGGTGTAATGGTTTTTGTCAGTTGTCTCTGTGTGTTGTGAGTCGAGAGCGAGGATGTACAAAGATGCAAAGGATGTATAGGCAAAATAAATTGCCAATTGATTTCATGAGATCAATGGAGTTTGATGTTGTCGTTGGCGTGATATTCTGGTTTTCGTTGTTATTGCTTTGATCTGATCATCAATTTGTCCCCATTTTCTTCAATTTCATAAAATACCAGGAGGCGGAGGGAGGATTCGAGTTTTGGGGTGAATTATTTTGGGCTGTCTACGAAGTCGTTCTGGTGTTTTGGGCTCAGCTTTTACCAAACTGTTTAAATTTTGTCCCCTTTTTGGGTACATTATGGGCTCAAAATCGATTAAAAAACAAAACAAAACCCCGACAATTTATTCAAGACCCAGCTACACATAAAGGACTTGTTTGGTGGCTGAATCAGGATTGGGCTTAAGTTCATTTATATTCCATTAAATAGGTGGCCGAAGTGTTCGTTGGCCTAGCTTCCCAAGTGTCTGTTTCCCTACACCTAACGCTTCTTTGCACTTAAAGTCGAATTCTCGTTTCTCCGCATCCCAAATTTGAATTCTTATTTTTATCTATTAATTTAGAGTAACTATTCCGGAGGCGATTAATAATTGTTCAATTTAATGAGTCTTGGTCCTACCATTGTTAAGTTGGGCAAGGCATGTTAATTGGAGTTGTCCATTTCGATTGGATTTTTCCTTCCCTAGTTTAACAGGTCTATTGTGAAGAACCCATTGACCGAGGGCAGTGGATAGATATCATGTTACCTTCGCTGCCAGAGGGCAATTTGCAACCCATGTCCAATAATGATACACGTCAAACTCCAACTTGTGTATTTTGCATCACGAACAACAGAACAACAAAAGATAATATACAATCTGACATTTCCATTCCCTCATAAAAATACAGATATATATTGAATTTAGTAGTTTATTGCATTATTCAAGTTGCTACAAATGATGTGATTTCCCAATCATCTGCCAACTTGCAGAGTGTGATAATTTAAAGCCAGGGAGAGTTGTAAATGGGAGTGACGACAGATTTGGTGTGGAGGTACTTGTGGAGGGCTTCCAAGCCAAAGTCTCTGCCGAAGCCACTCATCTTATATCCTCCATAAGGGCAGTCTCGATCGAAAGCGAAGTAGCAATTGATCCATATAATGCCAGCACGAATTGACCTCGAGACAGTGTTGGCCACATTCAAGTCCTTGGTTATAATCCCTGCTGCTAGCCCATATCTTGTGTTGTTTGCTCTCTGTATTGCCTCCTCAATTGTCCTACAATATTTGCTCATATCAAAACACGAGTAAAACAATGTTCGAATCCAAGGTCCCGTGTTCAAATCCCCCTTCCCCAATATTGCTTGGATTAATTGAACAACAAAAGAAATGAGAGTTGAGAGCTGCACTTACTTGAATTTCATCAGCGCCATCACCGGCCCGAATATTTCATCCTTGGCTATAAGCATGTCGTCCTGAGAAAAATTATGTCAAGACCCTTTTAATCATATCAGATTGCATTTCTGAAGTTGAAGATCTACCTTGACATCAGTGAATATTGTTGGCTCAATGTAATATCCCTTGTTCCCCAAAGGTTTTCCTCCTGTTAACAAAGTGGCTCCTTCATTCTTCCCATGGTCAATGTAGGTTAGGATTTTATTATACTGCTGCTTATCAACCTGCAATTTTGAGTAAATTGGTTAGAAGGCATTTCCTAATTAAAGCACGATCTTGGATCTTAATTGTCAACTGTTTAGTTACCTGGGGTCCTTGACGAACATTTGGATCAAAAGGATCCCCAACTACCCAAGCTTTTGCCTTCTCCTCTAACTTCTTCACAAGTTCATCATAAATCCCTTCTTGAACAAAAACTCGAGAACTCGCCACGCAAATTTCTCCCTGAAAACATGAATTGATAACACATAGAGTTAGTGCTGCTAACATAATCTAACCAGGTTGTTATAAAGGAAGTGTTAATTTAAAAGTTGAAATAAAATTAGGAACTTTACCTTGTTGTAAAGGACTCCCAAGAGAGCAAGTTCAGCAGCCATATTTATATCAGCATCATCAAAAATCACAAGGGGTGACTTGCCTCCTAGTTCAAGTGAAACTTGTTTTAGGTTGCTCTTTGCTGCAGCCTCCATTACTAAACGCCCTACCTCTGTGGAACCAGTAAAACTGACCTGAAAATGTCATGACCAAGTATCAAACATCACAGATTATACAGCAAGCCATTCGAGTACGATCCTCGAATGTCGTAAGAAAATGTTCCTGTAAATGAAAGATGTTTACTTTGTCAATGTCCATATGATAGCTGATGGCAGCACCTGCAGTCTGTCCAAATCCAGTTATGACATTGAGCACTCCATCGGGAACACCAGCCTTCATAAAGAAATTTACAAGCCGAAGTTACCACCAATAAGCCACATTAGCAATAATACCAATATAAATTATTACACGCACATAGAGCTAGCATGGCTAACTAGCTTACCAACTTAGCCAGGTGAGCATAATACAGAGCAGAGAGAGGTGTTTGCTCAGCAGGTTTGATGACCATAGTGCACCCGGCGGCTAAGGAAGGGCTGACCTTTGCAAAGAACAGGGTGCTTGGGAAATTCCATGGGACGATGTGCCCCAAAACACCAATGGGTTCGAGCAACGTATAGGCTTGAAGCTCGCGTGACATTTTTAGCACATCTCCATGGATTTTGTCGGCTGCACCCGCGTAGTAGCGTAGATTTTCTGCTACCTGAGGTATGTCTACGGCCTTGCCAAAGTTGAACAACCTCCCAGCATCAACGGTATCCAAGATAGCTAGTTCTTCTACATGTTGGTCAATTAAGTCCGCAAATTTCATCATTATCCTTCCCCTCTCCTGAACATTGTTCAAGGCAATATAGTACTTAGAGCTTTGATAGCACACTGATTAATACGGATTTTACAGTAAATTTCTCACTAATCAATCATTTACAATCATCCACACGCGCATATACAACTGCTTGTACAGAAAATTAATTCTTCATAGATGAATTATATAGAAAACTAGTTCAAATTCATACTAAATCTAAATACTCAAAGGCAAAGTAGGTTTTATTATTAGCTACAGTACTGAACTGACCGCTTCTACATTCCCATCTCTATCATTCCTGGATTTTTTTGCATTTGACTAGTCTGAGTACTAATTGTATGGTAATACATAATTTAAAACTTTCGTTCAGAAAAGGACGTTCACTTTTTCCTTTTGTATTTTTCTTTTTGTAAATTTTTTTGGTCGAATCCTTTTTTATTTTATTAACGAAAATGGCAATTGAGTTTGACCTCTCTTATTCATAAATACTGTTAAACATTTGTCAACGAAACCTTCTTATCAAATAATACACTGAAGATAACTTTGAAAATGATTTTATTCAAATGATAAGATCTAAAAAATTAATGCAGCGTCGTATAACGCAAGCAACTATGAAGATTTTTATATTTAAACAAAAATAAAATAAAAGGTGTTGTTATTGGCACTTATAAAATATAGGATTTGTTATCTAAAAATATCGTCATGGATTCATGCACTAAGAGAAGTCTCATGTTCGAACCTTTATGTTATTTTAGTTGTGTGTGTGAGAAATTCTCTTCCCTTGTAATTTAGATTATGGCTTGTACTAAAAAACTATATATATCATCAAGCGCGATAGGTTTGCACAATGATTTTTTTTTTAGTGCGAATAATAATTTTTGAAATTTAAAAAAATATCATTTTGCTTTTATTCGTGGCCGCCATCCTTCTGACTATGATATTAAAAGACTTTTTTCTTCGTACGTCATCTTAATATATATACCTAACATAATTAAATTATCACCCAAAGTCTAACCTGTCCACATTAACTAAATGCATTTCAGAAATTATTGAAGATTGTGAGGGTATGGTGCTAGCCATGATTGAATTAAAAAAAAAAAAGATATTTAGTCATATATTCATTTTAAGCACTAATGATATAGATAAACCCTACACCATTTAATTTCTTTAAACAAATTCAAAATAAATCCAAAAAAAATGATAGCTGGCCCTATTAAATTTAATTTTGATTATTAAATTACTTTGATGCTTTATTGAGGTTGGGCTTGTTTTAATAAATCGATGACAATTTTGTAATTTATAAAAAGTTAAAAGCCTTTTTATTATGTTGTAAATGAGCTTTGAGTGTATTTCTAAAGTTCATTTCATATAGAATATTTTTATAAAGGGACATTTTGGAAAAAGCAAAAGGAGAAAGAAATTGGTCCCCTACATTGAATACAACTGTGAATCTCCCAAAAAAAATTCCGCCCCTATGACAAAAGTGAGTTGGCTGCTATCACATTTCATATGCTAAAATTGGACCATAAAATAATCAAGTATACCTCCTCCAGACATTATTCGAGGAAGACGACAAGCTCTCGTGACCCAAGGAATTAATTTATACAAAAAAAAACACTCAATAATGCTCTGAAAATTTTACCCAATAGACAAAATTCTCTAAAAATAGTTTTTATGTTTTATTTTTTATATATTAAAAGTCCAATGATGTAGTTAAAATTAGAAACATGTGTAATGAGCAATTAATTAATTTGGTGAAAGATTTAATTTTTTGTTTTTAAATATTGATCATTAAAATTTTATTTTTTTTATAAAAAGGACAAGACTAGGTCTTGATTGAACGGTCGAATAAGGTTAAAATAGTACAGGTGAAAAGAAAAAGGTTTAGAGTAAAAGACACATACAGCGCCAGGAAAGCGGGGCCAAGGGCCATGGTCGAACGCGGCGCGAGCAGCCTTCACAGCCAAATCAACATCTTCCCTATCTCCTTCCGCAATTCTAGCTATCACCTCCCCTGTCCTTGGATCTATGGTCTCAAATGTTTTCCCTTTTCAAGTTTTTTGGGTTCACAAAATCATAAGAAACAAACCCATTGTTCGTGTTAGCACATTAGTAAATGATCAGAAATTTTTAACAATTTGATCAGTGACTGTGATTGACTTAAGCATGTGGGTTGCTCATATCTTCATACATATGGCATGCACTAGTTGAAAACAGAGATGGGTTTGTTGGTTATTGCTTGAAAAGTGGCCAAGACTGAATTTTGAGAGTTTTGGATCAGACAAACATGCAGATACGACCATATTGGCAAATGAATAAAAGGGTTTTGGTTGGAGAATGAAAGCATGGAAGAAGAGAAAAGGACAGAAAAAACAACTGGACGTGAAAAGCTATGGCTTATTTATTTATTAGCTTTGTTGTGAGAAATGAAAAATGATGATGAGAAGAAAACCTGAAATGGAGTCAACGAACTCTCCATTGATGAACAGCTTGGTGAACTTTATTGTGGGTTTCTTCACAAAAGACTCGGAAGCTGAGCTGCCGTTACAATCAGTTCCCATCTCTCTCTTCTTCTTCGGCTTCTTCCTCTCTGTGCTCTCTTCTTTCCTTGTGTGAAATTGAGTTAGTTTCCTTGTATATCGTTCTGTTGTATTTAATACTAAACGGCGGAGGAGACGAATGTAATTTTGATTTGATGTGAGGGTCAATGTCAACTACGATATCTCAAAAGATACGAGCAACCCACGTATGCTCTCATTAGCATCCGCAAGTGGTAAACAAAGCTTATTTATCATATTGATCAACTGGGTGTAAAAAGTAAAAAAATAAGCATATGTCTTGTACTAACAAGGAATTCATGCTCGTGAATAACTCTCGTTGATGCGTTATGAACTTATGACTGACGCACAACAATTGTTACGAGGCCAGAAATACCAATTCCATAATTAGTAAATGAGACAGATGACAAGTTAGGTTTGGGGAAGAGAAAAGAAAGAGTTGATTGTCCAATTGAATGACCCCCTACGCTATCCATAGCGTCCATCTTGGGCATCTTTCGGTAGGCAACGGCCCCATTCAATACGTAAGAAAAAACTACAGTTTCCTTACACAAACTAAATGGACGAAAAGAATCAACTGGGACAAAAAGGAAGAAAGAAGAATAGACACGGCATACCGAATGATTTAATAATGACACGGTAAGAAGCTAAAAAACGAACGGGAAATGAAGGGTTCCTTTCTTTATTTTGGTTGCTGTTTGAGCTTGGAATTTTAAGCAAGGGAGGCAAGGCAAAAGGGGACAGCATGTTTTCTGCTTTATATATCTATCATATGCTATGGTCTGCTTTGTATATCTATCATTTGACAAATACCTAGTTTTATTGTATTAAGGCAAAAGAAGATTGCTTTTTATCTTGCACATTTTCAATGGATGGGGAAGTGTGAGAAAATGCAAAAGAATGACACAACAACACAAAAAAGTAAATCCGAGTTGGTATTTTCCAGCTTTCTTTGTAGACTAATTGTAGTTCGTGCAAAGAACAAACTCTTGCATTTATTTTTTATTTTTGGGTGGGCGATAATTTATGTATGAAACTGAAGCCCGAGATTTGTCCAAAAATCGGGAGCATTGATCAATGACGTGAAGCAACTATTGTCAACTTGGCCACGTGAGTCCTCTGACCTCCCTCCCCATTGTTTATCTACACTAAAACAGAGCCTTCTGGTGGATGCGTAAACGATCGCTCTGCCACTGAACCTAAAAACCCTTGGATTGATCATTGAAGTAAACCATGGAAAGAAATGGATAAATTGTTTTTGTTTTTGTTTTCTTGAGCCTTTGATTGGGAAAGTTAATAATCAAAGTAATGAAAACAATTGTGATGACGCAACTCTCTAAAGTCAAGTAAGGCTAGCAAATACAAGAGGGAACAAAGCTCCATCTAAGCTATGTCTGCTTCTAACTACTGTGGATATGAAGGAGGTTGGTAGGATGGTGGAGCAGCATTTGCGTAATCATATGGCCCATAGCTGGTCTGGCCACCATATGCACCACTGCTTCGGAACCCGCCAGCAGCCATGTTGTCCCCCGAGAGGGAGTAGTGTTGTGGTGGAAGAGCAGCAGGGCTTTGAGCATGGGGCACTCCATATGTGGATCCATATGAGGCTGCTGTTGGACCATCGTACACAGTTTGGTTTGGGTAATTGTATGGACCAGAATATCGTGTTGCAGGGCTATGTTGTGGAGGAGGATTTGGGTTCCTCCTGTTAAAGGAGGGGTAAGCATTGGAAAACTTGGCAGCTTTGGCAGGGCGGAAAGAAGATGATCCAACCCCTCGGCCACCACCTCCACCTCCACCACCAACCCCACCTCCATAGGCTCGCTTATTATTATTATTATTATGAGACCTGCTGGAAGCTGCTGAGCTCTTTTTCCTTTCTGCCTTGGCTTTCTCCAGATGAGTAGCCCGCTTTCTTAAGCTATCAAGAGAAAACTCTGATTCAAGCTTGTGGTCTTCTACACATTTGATGATTGCTTTGATGGAATTCAACTCCAATGTGCTCGACTCCTCCTGTAAGATGAACTTAAATTAAGAAATCTCACAAAAGAGTGCAGAAAACTCATCGGATCACAGAATGAAAACAGAACTCCATTGGGAAACTAAGATAAAAGGTGGAGTTACACATACAGTTGCAGCCAAACTATTATTGCCATTCCTCAATATGGTCGTAGCATTCTTTTTGGAGTTCCTGAGATATGACTTGAGCAGAGAAACAGGAGGAAACCTCTCGGTCAATCCAGTCTCAGAAGCAAAATATACAGCCTCTATCTCCTTTCCATTCTTCACTAACTCATCAATCACATCTGTACAAATCAGAAATTATTTGAATAAAATGTAAGCGAATAATAATCCTGTCTCTCTGAGCAGAAATTTCTGAAAAGGCACCACTTCATCATCACAACTTAGTATTTCAGCTATCTGCTTCAGCTCTAAGTACCCAGATATTACACTGAGTGACCCCAGATTAGCAAATCAATTAGCCTAGTTAGATTTCAAAAAGGTTAAGAATCTTAATACCATCTACTACCAAATACGCTACAACGTTAGCCATACAAGTTTTGTGTTTCTACATGATTAATTCAACCTAAGATCTCATTGGTACCAAGAAACAGAGAGGCTGACATCAACCCTAATCTGTGTGCACAGCACACTGAACTTGAACACTTCTGGGAGCCATTCAAAAATCAAACTTACACCAACAATCTAGGACAAGGTTCGAACATTTATGCCTGGTTATGTTAGCAGGATACAAAATGCAAGCAGAAAGACCAAGTACAAAATACAAGTTTCTCAACAAATGGTAGCATACAGTTTCTTGCACAGTGACACTTGCAATATAAATAACCAGGATCCTATTGCTACCAATGTTACTAAACATATGTATGTATATTTATATATTCATGAAGCAATTAAAGGTTCACAGTAACAAATTACCACAAAGAACATATTTTTTTATCTCCAACTGAAGGAACAACAAAATTGGTCTGATTAAACAACCACATACCTCCCATTTTCTCTCCAAATTCTAATGCCCCTGCGAGCTTTGCCATATCCCTCCTCGCCGCATGTTCCATTACCAACTTCCTAAAGAACTCCTCACTGAACTTCTCTTTTAATCGAAACCCAATCACCATTTGCACAAACATCACGGCCTCCGCTGCCCCTAATGTCCCGCCTCCACCGTTCGAATCCCCCACCATCTGCACCTTCCACGTGTCCGCAATCCGCGCTGCTCTCTCCACCACGCTCCGGGAAAATTCCGGCCCTTTCTCGCCAGAATTGGACCTACCCTCCGGAAACAGAGCCTGAACCAACAGCCCGCACGCCCACCTCTTATCGGTAACCCCAATTTTCTTGGCTTTAGAATCCAAAAACCCTTCCAATGCGTCAAGTACCAGCTTTGGTGGGTCCACCGCCTCGGCTATTGCCTGTACAAGCTCGGTCCTAAGCGATATCGATTCTTTTCGCTTGGAAATGATGAATTTAAGCAATCCCTGCGGATCCATTTTCCTGGAAAACGATTTCAGGGTTTCGGGCAAATCCAAATTCCCGGAAATGCTTTTCTCGAACTCGGCCAAGGCCGCAGCTTTCTGCTCCTCGATTCGGGCGGCGGCAGCGGACTCGCGCTCCGGGATGGAGGTCTCCCGGAGGTCGAGGGATTCTAAGGTTTCGCGGGAACGGGATTCGAGGGATTGGATTTTGGATTCTAGGGATTGGGATTTCTGGGAAAGGGAGTCTTGGAGGGAATTGAAGTGTTTGGATAGGGTTGTGAATAGCTTCGTGGATGTGGAGAGAATGGCCTTTTGCGCCTCTAGGTCGTCGAAGAACTTCTGGACCCGGTCCGTAGTGACCACCAGTTCGGTCCCCATGGGTGTATGATTTTGAAACGACGGTGTTCAGAAGTCACTGAATTGGGAATTTGAAAACCCTAAACCCTATTGCAGAAGAAAAAGAAAAATACGACGACCAGTCAGACAGTCTGTATACTGATAATTTCCAGTTCTGGTGAATGTGAATTTTCTATGACCCTTTCACGTTGAGAGATGAGCGGGGTGTCGTTTAACCTTAATTAGTAAACCAAATATGTCCTCGACTGAAAAAGACAACAGACATTGGGGTCAATTTGTGAATAAGGAAAAATACATAATGTCGTTTGTATCCTACTACATGACCAAAGCAGCAAGGGTATTACCGGTTTTTCGGAGATGTCAATGTTTGACAATTGGGGTCTGCTTTTTCAGTGTTGAATTAAACATCACCATGAGCATCTTAAGCATCTGTAAATTCATGATACTAATGCCAGAGCATAATTTTCCAGCAAGTGCAAGCAAACTCTTTAGCTGTCGAATTCGTAAGCTTATCTCAAAACAATTTTCAAGTAAACTCTTTAACTTGATTCTAAAATTTCTGCAAGATTCATGATATGAAAGTAAAGGAGTTTGGAACAAGAGGTTTATACAAAACTAAACTCATCATCTCCGTCGACCCTTTTAGGCTGAGATCTTATAGAACAGAAATAGAATCTGATGAACTTGTGTGTTTTCTAAGAACCAAACTAAGTGGCAACAACAACAACACAAAATAGATGAAGAAGCTATGAGACAGAGCTCAATAAAGAATCATAGGTACAACTACAAGTTTCATTTGTGCTCTCCTAAACCATCGATTCTTTCTTTAAAAAGATGTTAGAAGGATCTGCAAAACGCATGGAGAATGAGCGAGATAGGTCATCATATTCATCAAGTTCGTCCAATGCGCACCCTTTATCAAAATTTTGAGAGTAAGTGTAAGGATCATATGAGACCTGCACAGGGGCTGGAGACTCGAAAATCTTCCTCTTTTCTTTCTTCAACTTCACCCACAAAACTTTCCACCTCAACTTGTTTGATCTGCTACCAGAATCAGACCGTAATCTCATACGGTCGATCTCATCGTAGTGCCTCCCACCCAAGTGGATGGTTTTGCTGCTGCCTGAACTGCACCAGTTTCTTATATCCATTGCAGCACCCACAAATACACCAACTAGTGTCTTTTCAAAGTTAAGCTAGTTGAGAGTGGGTGTTGGGTGCATAAATATAGTGAACATGATGTTGGCTAAAAGTATGAGAATGAGAGAAGTAGTTGGCTGGCTCTTTGGGACTCGAATGGTCCAACTTGGGTAGCTAATAGAAAAGCTGATAGCTCACTTTGCTGGAAAGTGCAAAGACTAAAAGCTTCATCTAGAAACGTGTCTATAAAATTGTTAGTCCGGATTATGTGGATCCTAATCATCTCACCATCATATGTCACGTGATGCACGTGACTACCTTGAAGGGTGCATGCAGATACCATTTGGGTTGCTTAAACTATATATAAACAAGGGGTTTAGAGTTTTGACCAGGGGCTTCTTTTTCATTTGTTTAATACCAACCAAGAGCCTCTGCCTCTATCACTCACAATGTCTTGCTTTAAAAAGGAAGCGAAAACCTTTCGGCTGCCATTGCCAATTGTCAATGCAAAAAGAAAAAACGTATACCAAGCTACACCGTATAGTAATGTATACGGCTCAGAATGCACAGGAATTTCACATTAGTTGAAACTTTAACCCATGAGGGGAAAGGAAATGAACCAACTCCAAATCCAAATATAAGGAAATGGATCAATTAACTTTTTCATTACCTTTTCTAATAAATATTACAATTGATAGTGAGTACAATTCCTTTACACACAACTAATTTGGGGTGACACTGTTGTCCCAAACAGACTAATGCCTTCCAGTGTTAAAACGTGCACTTTCCCTAGGAGATTATGTTTTTGCTTCAAATTGGAGAATGCATCCCTCTAAAACCAATACAACATAGGAAGAGTGCAAACTTCTCCTTTTTTTTAAGTACCTTTAAAAGCATGAATGCCGGTACATTTAGCTCCTCTATTCATTTGTTCTCAATGAAAGCATCTATACATGAAATCATTTGCCTTCTCTACATGGTACAGAACTTTCTGTATCGTCCAAGAAGGCTAGACAAAAGGTGCATTCAGCCATCGGCCATGAAGTTCACAACGCCACCTTGGTGTCTCTGTAGAATTCCATGTTACAGAAAAATTGTGAGCTTATATAGTTCAGGTATACTGCTTATTGAGATAATACTTAAGGCTGGATGGAGGTGACTTGAGTCCGAGGTTTGTTTGAAAGAAGTCTACCAAATTAAGCCAAATCTAAAAGATTCCTATTATACCTGCATTTAACATCATGGTGCAGTTTTTTCACCGAACCTCAACCTCAAGACACTGTTCTCCCATAGCAAATAGATGCAATATAGAGATTCTTTAACCATTTGTCCTGCCACAGCCAAAATAATGGAAACAGTATTAGTAATTACTAATAGTCAAGAAATTTACCACATTTTGAATTTACCAAACTAATACCAATGTATATTTAAACAATAATAATAATTCTATTAGAAGGCAACTCCCGGTTTCCCCCAATTAAATTTATCTAAGCAATTAAAATGTACCTTTACTTGGTAAGTTGGAAAAACCGATGTCCGTAGAGTTTCTTGAGCCACATCTGGTGATTTCTTCTTGGGTACACTAAGTATGAATGCAGCTTGATCCTCTGTAGCAGCAGTTGAGGTAATCCGATATCCAGTCTCCCATCTTCTATGGATGCCTTCACTAGGATATAGGAAATCGAGTTCAACAACCTAGCAAGACAGCACAATAGAAGACAATTATTTTCTGCAGTGTTCCACCCGACATAGAACATTACAACAGGGGTTCAAGACTGGTATACCTGACTAGAATAACCTGCATTTCGAGACATGACAATGCCCCATCTGCTACCTGCAGTGGTCATGGAGGTAACAGAAAAACCTTCTTTCCACTTCTTATTAATCCATTTGAAAGGGAACACATCACTGACTTTGTAGGATTGCTGAGTATAAGGTACACCTTTAATGGGAAGAGGAAAATGGAAAAATTAGCTATAAAAACAGAGCAGCTCAATCAAGTCAGAATGATAATTTGATGAGATATATCATGCTGCTGATCAAAGGTGAAGGTTGGGGAAAAAGAAAAGCGACTCCGGTGCAGAAACCAAGCCCCTAATCGTCCTATCTTATACTTATTAATTACAAAATTAATTACCATCAAGGACCAGACCCCCTATGGCCACACTGCCACAGACAACAGGAAGCTCTGTCAACTAGTTTCACATACCTTGGGACATTACCACCAGGGCATTTCCATTGCATGTACCAGCAAGTGAAGTGATATAGTAGTTCTTGTCCCACTGTTCCATTATCCACTCCTGGTGAACAGTCAGAAATAATGAACTTGCTGGAACACTAGATAATTAAATGTCAAAGTGAAAGTTCATGAAAGTAGTTTCGAGATTAGCTACCTTGTGCAAGAAAACAGATGACCGTTCATAAACCTGGGATGTGAAGCCTGTCCCTGCATCCATGACAATAGCCCACATATTCGAAGATGAAGCAACACAGCTAACATACAACCCATCTTCCTTTCCTTTATCAATGTGCTGGTCTAGTCTTGAATCCATAACATTGTAGTGATACCTGCACAAAATTCTTCTTGTTACTTGCTGATACAGGAACAAGAATGTAAAACTAACAATAGAGTGAAATAGGAAAAAAAAATAAGATTGAAGGAAAACCAGGAAAGTGAATTAGGATGGTGATTAGTGAGACATTGTCTAGGCTTTTCTTCCTCGTATGTGTACAATAGAGTAAGATAACCTTAAAGGGGATTGTGTTCGCTTGTATTATATCAACTACCTTTGCTTCATTGATGATCTGGTATTGTAGACCGATATCCACTGAGTAGCTGGACTACCTAATCGAACTTTTTTCTTAGGTTGCTCACCATCTACCAATTCAACAGGCACTCTTCCTCTTTTTTGACCCACCTATAATGCATAACGGTCAATAAAAAATATCGAAATGACCACAAACTTCAAAAATTCATCAACAAATTAAAACACAAGCAACCACCTTTGCAGCTCCATCAGTTCTGATAGGTCGCAGAGAGGCAATTGCACCAATACTGTTATCAAAAAGGGAAATAAGCTTTAAGTAATTTGGTTCTTCATCGAATTTCATATTGGTCACCATTTCAAGAAACTGTTGAAAAGGAGGAGGGCACAAGCCACATAGTGTCTCAGCAGAAGTTGCCATCTTCTTCTTGCAAACAAGAAATCCTTTGTTCTCTCCCTGCAGCGCAACAGCCCAGCCAAGCATTTATAAACAGAAAACATTAGGCCATCTAGTTGGAAAAGTAATGCATAGTGGAATACCAAAATGAACTTACATTGTAGCCTTGCCAGGGAAGTTTTCCTCTAAGGAGAAATATTAGGGTATAAGCTAACGATTCGAGGTCATCCCTTCGGCTTCCTGTCCTGCCTAAATGAGCATGTACACTTGCATAACGCACAGTTCCCCTATTAAAAATATCAGATATATTAGGCCACTTCAGATCCCGTGTGCATTTCAAATGAGAAAAATTGAGTCTAATGGGCTTATAATAAATTATCTCAGATTGAACTAATGCTAGTTAACAAGAATGATATGTGCAATCAGTCAACCGGATTATTTTCTGTAATGCTTCTTACTCCAAATATCATAAAATCCCTCTAAAGCATCAGGTTTTTCTCAGGATATTTAATTAACAACTTCTTCTCAACTCATAACCATCCAGTGACCTGATCATCCAATGTACACAGCATTGTGAAGGTTGTAAACTTGTATTTACCTGAAAACATCAGGTTTTTGGTCATAATCAACATGACGTCCAGAAGACCCATCTCTCCATCTAGAAGCTGAAGACGTAAAACGCACAAGAATTATCACAAGTTTTTCCAAAATTCGCATGACACGAATATACAGAAGCACATTCAATTGTTGATCTCTTTCTATTTTCCCAAAACTTGTCTAACAAAGAACACATACCCAAACCAAGATCAACAAGATATAACTTCTTCTCATTAGATGTTCCAGGTATACCAAGCAAAAAGTTTTCTGGCTTAACATCTCCGTGCACAAAACTGCAAATCAATAACCATGAACAACATTAGCATACAAAAGTTTAAAAGAAAAAGAAAATGGACAAAAGAACCAGTTGCAAGTACCCTCTAATGTGAAGCTGCTCTAGAATTGATATTGCTTCCACTGCTATACAAGCAACCATCTCTTCAGACAACCTTTGAAGAGAAAAATAAAAATAAAAATATATGAGAACAATGTGTTTAATGCATATACTGTAAATCTGGAAGGTGTTATCATTTTCACTCTGAAACTTGGAACACAGAAAAAGAGAACCAATTGTTCTTACAACTGATTGCGAGAATTCCAAACATCCCATAAACTCGGGCCAAGCATATCCATGACCTATATTCACATTGAGAAATAATTATTCAGGAACGGCAAGTATTGACAATATTTACAAGATTTGGAAAACATGCCTAGGAAACAAATAATGATAGCAAAGAAACTCACTAGGATATAGTAGTCTCCCTGTTGACCTTTGTAATGGACGAGGGGAAGCCCATAACATCCATTAAGATTGCTGTAATATCATAAAACACTGGTCAGGAAACAAAGATTAGAATTTAACTAAAAATAAGGATGAATAGTGCATACCTGTACACTTGCCACTCATAAGGAGGGCCGTGACTGCACCCTTTACCATTTCTACTCTCAAGCTTCAGAGCAACCTACAATTAGATGCAGAAAACCGCCATTAGTACCGCAATCAACTTCCTCTGAGAATTTACACAGATATTCAAGAGATGCACTGCAAAGATTAAACCTCATAGGCATCAGCCCCAGTGGCACTGCACCCTATGCCAGGAGACATCCTTCTTCCCACATAAACTTGTCCAAAACCCCCTTTCCCCAGCTTTCTCTCTAGCTTGTATATGGGAGAGTGGCCAACTTGTACCTGAAAATACAAATTATAGAATCATATACTATATCACAAAGCTTCAGTAAACAAACTACATAAAGCCAAGCAGGAAGGTGATAAAAATTACGCTTTCTGGAAGCGGACTAGTGCTTCCTTCATCCTCAATAGCAGCCAATTTTTGTGCACCTTTCTGGCCTACCAACTCATCATGAACTGGCACTAAATCTCTCTCTGGAAAATCTAAACCTGTATGCCCTTGGCCACCAACTCCAGCACCATATAGCTTAGAATTCTTCCCTTGATGCATGGCTCTAGACCCTCTACCCCTACCTTTACCAGTCAGCACTGCACTTGGACACAGAAACCACAGGTTAATTGGATTTTTCAGAGGTGATCTCAAGAGTAGAATGTTGAAGCTATTACCTTTACCAGCACCAGGCCGTGCAGCTGGAACTAAAACAGCAGGATTGTCCTGGACATAATTGATCCTCTTTGATCGCCGAACACCACTTCTTAAATCTGGCATTCTATGTTCATGCAAATAATCCCCACTTTCCTTCTCCAGCTCCAAAGAATGTCGAACAATTAAAACCTAAGATTCAAACCTAACAAACAAAAAACAATGATTTCAATCACGTGTGAATTATGATAGCAATGGCCCATTTCAATTGAACCCTATACATCGCAGAAACAGAATTTGATTCAGAAAAGCTGCATTGCAAGTTGATGTATGTCCATAAGAAACATAATAGACATTCAAAACAAAAATCAATCCAACTGCAGCTATGCTAGCATCGATGCACAAGTCCATTTAATTTTTAAAAGCAACAACATTCTTGATCTTCAGTTGGCCAAACACCCGGTTACCCATAAGTTCAAAGTTAAACCAAACAGTCTAAAATTCCAATTATTCATTCAAACAGAATGAGATACACATATATCATGTGCAAAGTAAAATCACCACTGAATCCCAAATCATCTAATCCAAAAACCATAAACATCGCACAAAAGTACACATTTTTACCCTGAAAATCACCTCTAACAACCAATTTTAGCTCATATAAATCAAACCCATCTCGATTTTGGCACCTATCAGTTAGATGAATCAAAAGAGCCATGCAAACACAGCAAGCCCAAAACTCCCTGGAAAACAAAAACAAGAATACCCACATACCAGATTCACACAAAGCGACGCACTTCAATCACAAAAACATCAAAAGAACAAAAGAAAAGAGAATGGATGATATACAGATGATAAAACAAGAAAGAGACGAACTTTATCAAGCACGTACCTTATGAGAGAAAAAAAAGTTCATGAATTTGAGAACCCAATTGGATTCTGTGTTTGTTAATACAAGCAAAATCAAGAAAGAATGGGATTTAACTAAATGGGGTTTGTTTCATGGAAGAGAGGCTATCAAAGAATTTGACGGTGGGTGACTTAGGTGGGTCTGAATGTGTAAGAGAGAGAGAGAGGTGTATCCCCATGGGAAAGACGGTGTAAGCGAACCTGGTGCGTACGATATCTCAATGGCTGATGTGGAATGGATTCATTGGTGGAGTAGCGACCTTACCATGGACGTTGAGTATTGCATCTGGGCTTCAAGTAGTGAGTATGTTTGGGTATTTCGTCGCAGGTGCCAAGGTCTGCAAATTAGTAGTTGGTAAATTCTATTTGGACCGTTGGGACTTGACAAAATATTTTTTCGACAAACCTTTATTCATAATATTCAATACATTTTTATTTTATAATACTATTTATCTACTCATGTATATATATATATATATATTGTTTTTTTTTAATTTTAAAAGTCCCTCTTTCTTCTGCTCTTCGGCCAATAGTATCTTTTTTGTGACAATTTTGTTTTGTGTTTATATCCAAAATCATGTTAATTCGAGGTTAAGTAAGTTTAGAGATTAATGTTTAAGATTTTTATATTGAAAAAATAATTAATATAAAAGTTTAAACGACGTAGTTGTTATATCATCAAACGATCAGAACTCTTCCCGTTCACTCTTCCTCTCCTTAATGACCCCACTTGATTGGGCCATAGTTCTAATTTTTAAAGTCTAGAAATATTAAAAATGTTATTAAAGCAAAAATAGAAAACTATTTCATTTGTTTTAGACGAGAGGATTAAGGTTTTTTAGGTTTTAGACATAAAAAAAATTTCACTTTTGGAAAAAGCTAAAGCTTTTTCAAAAAAGACAAAAAAAACCGCTCAACTTTCACATCAAAGACATGCAAATGTATTGGATTCCTTAGGAAATCTAAAAATAAATAAGGGCATTTTGGTCCATTTTTGCTTCTTTTAAAATTTTTCTCTCTCCTTTTGCTTTTTCCAAAATGTCCCGAGGATTAAGGTTTTTAGGTTTTAGACATAAAAAAAATTTCACTTTTGGAAAAAGCAAAAGGAGAGAGAAAAATTTTAAAAGAAGCAAAAATGGACCAAAATGCCCTTATTTATTTTTAGATTTCCTAAGGAATCCAATACATTTGCATGTCTTCAGATTATGTTAAGAGAAAGATTTGATTGCCAACGGGGTCTAGTCCAGCAGAAAAATGATATTAACATGTATATCAGTGGTCTCAAGTTCGAATTTCCATGACACTATTATTTGTTGCAAAAGAAAACTTATTTATTCGTATCGCATTTATATACGTCTAGAATTTTAAGACATACCATCTTAAAAAATTTACTTGTTTTGATCTCCATTATCAAGGTATATATCTATAAATTTGCATTGACACCATTTCTATATCTTGAATTTATATTAAATTATTAATTTATAGCGCCATGATATTCATATATGCTGTTAAATTATTAATTTCAAGCGTCATGATGAATATTAGATTATAAAACGATATTGTTTGCGAAAAGTTGAGTATGTGGTTTAGGATTGTTTGTTCCAGATCACCATATAAGCGGAGCGATCATAACCTAACCTCAACACAAATCCTCAAAGCAATAAAATGACACGTCGTTTTCTTCCATTTTTATTTTATTTTCGATCAAACGTTTTACTTTTGACCCAATAAGGCCTAAAACAATTAATGAGGCCCACAAAGAGGCTGATGATGAATAATGAGGCCCAAGTTTGAATGGGTCAGCATTAATTTAAGACTTGCAATCACCAACCCAGAAACAGAAATTGATCCATGTGGTCAAAAGAAAAATAAATAAATGAAAAAACACCATGAATTGGTGGAAAAAAGGATCAAAGAAATGATATTCATTCAGGTACAAACTACAAAGGGGCTGGCTGTAAATTCTCCAAGTGAATATAAGGAGAAAAGTATACAAAGAATTTGAATTTTATAATCACCAGATCGAATCGATCATGTACACAATAATAATAAGCTCATTGTGATTGGGCTGCCTGAAACTTGAGAAATCAAGAATCAGTGCAGCAAATAAGTTATTGCAAGGGCCACCAGCAGAAGAGTGTAAGCAATTCCTTGATCAATCGCCATGCCTGCATTAATTCAACCACAACGAAAGAGAAAATTAGACAAAATCATCAGTAGCTGAGCCCCAACACTTCAAAACCCATAACAAAAACCCTAAAGTTCGCAAATTTTCATTGATTTAAATCAAAACCAACAAAAAAGAAATATGGGTTTTGCAGAAGAAGATCAACTTAATATCATCTGAAACCCAACACTTACAAAAACCCTAAAGTTTGCAAACTTTCATTCATTCACACCAAACCCAACAAAAAAGAAAAATGGGTTTTGCAGAAGAAGATCAACTTACTATCAGCTGAACCCCAACACTTTCAAAAACCGTAAAGTTTGCAAACTTTCATTCATTCACACCAAACCCAACAAAAAAGAAAAATGGGTTTTGGAGAAGAAGATCAACTCACCATCGCTTGTTGGAGAAGGAGCTGGGGCCTGCCCATAACTCAGGCTCAGGAGAGCCATGAGCACAAACCCAATGATTGGAAAGGCACAAGATCTCATCGAATTCATCCTCAACCCCCAAAAAATAAATAAATCTGAACTAAATTAGGGTAATGAAAACTAAGGAAATGAAGGACTAAAGGGAAAATGATGAGAGATTTTAAGATGGATGGGGGCTGCGCATACGGTTGGTGTGGTATTTATATACGTGGAGGGGTGGTGGGGTTTCTAGAAGAACATGGGAACGTGGTGGTGGTGGTGGCGAGCAAACATGTGCGGTTTCTTGGAAAGTGGAAGAGAGAGAAAATGCGTGTCAAATTGCGCGTGTGAGAGAGTGGTTTTGGAAAGGAAAAGTACGCCTTCCTTTGACGTGATCATTTTGACTCCGAGTCGGCGGCTTGTTGACTCGGACTCACCAGAAAACGGGTAAAGAGAGTCCCTTTTCAAGCAATGGATTGGGTTGGGTCCCAAGCCCGCCAGAGAAGGCTCAAAGCAGGCTTATGCGCACTTGGCCTATGGATTGGGTTGGGTTCCAATATCTTTGTTTCAATATTTTCGATCGCCTCCATTATTTTCAGAGTATATAATCAAATCTCTAACTCACACCGTTAATGTTATTACCAAAAAGAAGAAAAGAAGATTCCGTATAAAATTATCTATATGACTTTTTTTTGGTTAATAATGATTTTTTTGCAAACGTGCATCAGACCAGTTGATTAAAACGATTTGAATTCCTCTTTCTGTATGAAAACATTAATAATACGGTTCGAATTCCTCTTTTTTGTATGAAAACATTAATAATAATGATGTTTTTCATGTGTGAGTTGAGTGGATGGCCATGATTGGTTTTCCATGTGAGAGTGGATGGTCAAAGAGAAGAGAATGGTAGTATAGTTTTTTGTTTAATTAAGCGATGATTTAGAATAGTCTTAAACAGATGCCAGCCACTAATAGATACATCAGGATTTTAATTCCAACTTCTCTCAAAAGAAAACAAATGTCATGGAAAAGTGCATCTTCTTCTTCTTCTTCTTCATACTGAATTAATTTTTCCATTGAAACGTGGCTCCCACTCCAGCTGTACCACATGACTCAATCTGTGGCAGAAGACCTTAGAATTTTTTGAGTGATAACAAAATGAATGTTCCAAAAGAAAATGTCAAAGGCTAAGAAGAAGCAACAAAATTTGACAATATGTCTTTCTTTTACACATCTACAACATTATGTTTCAAAAAGGGCAGCAGCTGCTGCTGCTTAGCAACCCTTCTCTGGTTTCTTCCTCATCAGCCGCAAAGCCTCCTCCAGAGACAATGATCCTGCAATTATTAAAACCAATTTGTTCTTGTTCATTATCCCAACATGTACAATTTAGTCAAAAATGAGAGGATGAACAAAACCTTGGAGCAACAGAAACACACCAGAGAGATATAAACAACAATCTTGCAGTGTAATGTTCTGATTCATTCCTTTCTGTTTCCTTTTACTACAACCTTCTTTTTCTCTTCTTATTCTTACTAAAGAAAATAAAAACTTATTTTCTGCTTCAAATTTTCAATTGAATTGTCCTCTGCTTATTGTAATATGGACAGGGCCTGACTGTGATAAACGTGGCACCACACAAGCTGTTTGCTACAATCCAAGAAAAGGCAAGACATTTAATTAGGTGAATATATAATCTGACCAGGAACGCCACACAATTCCAAAGCTAGCCAAAGTCTAACTCAGTCCCCACCCCACTAAAATCCCTTCCTTCATGTTGAAGATTTCTCCCCAAGCAAAAATTAGCATCATTAATTAACCCATCACAGTCATAAACCTACCTAAATCCTCTGTTTAGGTCCCCCAAACCAGGCATGCAAACATATCAGCAAGTAACTAGTGCCCCCGATTAATAAATATGCTAGCTAACTGCCTGACTTTAGAACATACAAAACCGCGGTGCTAAAATTGCAGATATTTGTAGCTCAACTAGTTACGAATCGTTATTCATGCACTGGAGGCTATATGTTCGAATCTTCCTTAATACGACTGTATGAATATACGTACATATTGCTGCCACTCAGCACAAGACAGGTGTATCCGTCTGAGCCAAAACTAGCCTGTACTTGTGTCCAAGTGGCAGAATCAAAGGGACGTGGCAAAACAGAGGCAGCATCTAACCCTGGTTGGAAATGAAAGCACACTATCTATAGCATCGTTTTGATTTTGTTAGGCCATGGAGCATCTGATGTGGACATGTGTAACTCTGGTTTGGCTGGCCTCTCTCCATCATCACCACCTTAAACTTAACACACACAAAGAATTACACAACATTAACACAAAAGCCTGCCTCGTCAAGAATTAAAGCATCTAAAAGGAAATAGCTTTCCTGGGCATCAATCAAAAAGCTACCTCTTTATGCCAAATAACTTTACTTAGCCAACCCTCCCTCCCTCCTCTCTGCTATAAATATTAATTTTCCTCCTCCTGTTAATTAATTCCTAGCTATATGATACTCTGTAGCTTTCAGTTTCAGGTTTGAGGCAGAGGAGAATTCGGAAAAAAGAAGACAGTAAGAAATTATTATGTGTCAGCCTCACCCAGGTGTGCCTAGTTTGGTTAGGCTGAGAGACTTGGCGCTGCTGCATCACCATGGCAGATGGCTTCTTCTGCAGGGTCCTGCGGTGGTTCAGATTCAGACTTCAGTGGGTTTGCATGCTGCTGCTGCTGCAGGCATGAGGGTTGAAGAGGAGGCTGCTAGTCGTGGTGGTAGAAGAGGTGGCAGCGGTGGCCCGACAAGGCAGTGCCTGTGCTCGCCGACCCGGCATCCGGGCTCGTTTCGGTGCAGGCAACACCATGCTGGGTATGTCTGGGGTACTGGTCGGATTGTGAGAAAAAACAGCTCCACTAATTAATTACTTCCAAATTATAAGACTGCAAAGCGTGTACAAATTAAGAAGAGAAAGATGATTTGCATAAATATATATATGGGTGTTTATGAATTAATCACGCATATAATCAACATCATGCCCTTTCTATATGCTGTAATTTCTTCTTCAAAACCAAGTTTGTTTAAAAAAAAATAATAATAAAAATAAAAATTCCGGTGGAAAGTTCAGTTCAGGTTTTGAATTTACCATACTTTGCATCAAGATGAAGCATCATTACCTTCTTCCTTTAGTAAAAAAAATTCGATTAGAATATAAACACACAAATCAATCAGTAATCTCTCGAATTGAGAGACTTTTCGTATTGGAAAAGAATATATGTGTATATGTCCCTGCCGTCCAAAACCAATTTCTAATATTCCAATGTTGACATGTTTCATTATTGCATTTGATGGCCTCCAGTGTTTATGAAAACGACATTCACAAATTGACATGTTTCAATTCCAAATTCGATTCCGATAACCAATTTACACTGTTAAAACAAGTTTATATATATATATATATATATATATATATAATATTTCCTCAAGGTAACTTTGCATCCATATTCCCTGTAATTTAATTGTTAAATACAAGTAAAATGAATCCTCCTCCTCCATGACTTTCTTTTGGTATATAAGCACACTGCTCTCTCGCATTCTACAGGCTGATAGGTAGTTGTGATCAGTGAGAACTTGATGATGCACATGGACAGGGAGTTGTTGGAACTGTCATTCACATTTAGCACCCAAATTACAGATTCTACTGCACTTACAGTCCCTTGATCTTAACCGCTTCACTGCAAGATTTATAACAACGACTTAGTTGATGTAAAATACCTAATGAAATGTCACCTTTTTGGGGAACTGGTGCAAACCCAGCTTCCCATATATGACACTAAGGCCATGCTTGGTGATTAGTATTGGATTGGATTGGATACTCCCTATATTTAAAGCATGTTTGAGGAAGAAAGGAACATTTCTTTGATCAAGTTGAAGGTTGAAGAAGAAAACTTATCCCATCTAACCCCCACAAAATGGTAGGATAACAAAACCTTATGACTAATCCCTCATAATCCCCCTAACATGGAAAGTCATTCACCTCTACCTTCATTTCCTCCTTCAATATACCTTAGATTTAGGGACTTATCCAATTCAATCCAATCTGAAGCACCAGGCCTACGCCTCTACACTAATTGCGTATAGCCAAAGAACCTAAACTTGACCAAGCAATTAGGACTGTAATTATAAATACACAGCAAGAAAAATGTGAAAACTATATCAATCAGTCGGGACTCGCTGTATCAGAGGAAACAGCTTCCCAATGCATGCACTTGACTTAGAAAATGGATATAAAGTAAAAATGTATACTGCTATAGAGGTTTTGCAGAAATTTCAAACTAGCCACAAGAAAGAAGAAATCGGATCCTCACCTCAGGGGAGCAGTCCTGACGAACAATTGTCTGATTGTTTGTATTTACATACACCTCACATGATGCTTTTGCCTGATGAACATTTGTGATCACAATTAGAAAAAATTGCCAATGAAAGAATTCACATCGCAACTAACATGCATATGAGAGAGGGGTCAAATAGAAAGTGGATCACACCATAATCAATGGCCTATTCAGCCACTCATCCTTATTACATTGCAGCATTTCACATGTAATTTTTCTACAGAGTGATAAATCCACCAGCAGATAGGAATATTACAGGGTATCAAAGAACAGAAGATTTTACTTTTCTTATCCAAGACGAAATCATTTGGGTGTAAACAGGCCGTGCACCAATCTATAATGCATATATCGCAAATTGAAGGGTACGTCCTTTAAATTCACTCACTTTTGAAATGACTGATTAACTTAAATTGACATAAACTCATAAACACTATGAACTCCAGAACATCAAAGAAGAAATTAATCAACAAAATGAAAACAACCACATTGTGTGAAGCTAATCTTAGCTAGATGCAACACTTCTCACACATAAACCCCCCCAACTCTCTCATAAGACATCGAGTAAAACTCAGCCTACTGAATTTCATACAGATACGAAGACCATTTCACCAACAAAAAGTTTGCAACTTTGTTCAAAAAATTGACAAGTTAATACGGAATCAATGCAAAATTCAATCTTTAGCTTTTACTGTTCCAAGCAAACATCAGATAGAATCAATACCAACTAAAAGCTTCTACATTGAATCAAGAGCAAGTTTACCTTGATAGGAATTTTGAAGAAAAAGAGCCCCAAAGTCCCTTCCACCTCCGTATCAGTATCAAAGGGTATTAGACCCCTAGCCAAATCTTCAAGCAAGTAAAACACGTCGTGGATGACTTCAAGCCCGTCCAGCACGAGCGTGGCGTTCACGTACGACGACCCTCTGGCCCTCACACGTCCTCCATCGGAGCTCACAAACCCTAGCTCTCTCGCACGGTAACCTACCGTGACGCGGAGCGAGTCATAGTTCAGAGAAAAAAAGTCGCGATTTCGCACTCTGATGGTTAGAGAGAAGGAGAGGTCGAGAGTGGGTCTGGGGGACGAGTTGACTCGGACGTGGTTGAGTTTGAGCCGCACGAGTTGCAGGGTGGGGTCGGAGGGGAAGAGGAAGAAGATGGCGGTGGAGAGGAGAAGGAGGGAGGCGGTGATTGAGAGGCAGAGGCGGAGACGACGTCGTCTCTGGTAGTTAGGATTGGGACGGTAAGGAGCTAAAACGACGACGGTTTGCTGGGATTGGGTGTGGGTCGGGTCGGATGGGATCGGAGCATAGTATACAGACTCGCCCTTGGAGGCCATTATTTGTTGGAACTGATAAAGACACGAGACTGCACAGAGTTTTTAAGTTTTAATTCGCTGCGGCCAAACGGTTCGTTTTATTTTCGCACGTAAAATATTGGGTTGTTGAATAATACGCACCGGTTTGACTTGTCATGTGGTGGGCGGTAGGTCCACTCTTATTTTGGAGTGGACGTGGCAAAATGAGGAGTGGTAAATAGTTGTTCTTCAATAAAACGAAAGGGAATTGATCAAAAATAACCAAAATTTATTCCCCACTTTAAAAAATGTCAGTTTTTATAAAATCTTTCAAATATAGCTAAAAACTCACCTAAATAGACACAAATGCCCTTAAAAATTAAAACCCACATAAACTTAAAAAGAAAGATCATGCTAATGGAAAAATAAAAGGCCCGAGAATCAACATCTACAAAGAGATCCCGTGCTGCCAAGGTCCACAATCTCTACAAGAGGGTCTGTACTTTAGCTTGAACTATAGCTTTGTTGATAAAACAAGTTGTTCACCTTCCTTCTCAGGTGACGTTATTTCTCTTGAAAATGGCTAAGTATTGAATCTATGTGCAAAGACGTTGAGATTGGATAAATGAAAAGATATGTTATCAAAGTATTGAATCTATGTGCAAAGACTTCAGGAACACACCCACTGTCTTTGTGAGAGTTGACATTGCTGTATTTATCGCAACAACTTGAGAGGAAATATACATAAATAGGACCAAGAAACTTAAAAACTTTATTAGAGATACTAGTATTCAATAATTATGTTTTGAATAATTAACTCATTGAAAAACTCTTTCTTTCGCACATAAATGTCATATAATCAAATTTGTACAAAGCATCGTCATTGCATGAAATGATGAGTGTCTCTGTGGGAGTTGATCAGGAACTTAATAACCATACCAATGGGCAACACGTCTGTATAGCCTCAATACTCCCTAATTCAATTTACAATGATCCAGGCAAACTCAAATTGGAAATATTTGATTCATCCAAATCGAATACAATTAATAAGTTATTTATCTTCAAATCCAATCCAACAAACAAAATTAATAAGTTGAATAAACTATTTAAGTGGCTAACAGAAAACCATGGAATTAAAACAAAGATGGAAGGAGAGAGAGAAAGAAAAGCAAACCTGATATTACAGATTGGTAAGTTGAATTAGGGAGTGTTGGAATTGCTTCAGACCAAGGCTACATACGTGGGTGCGCAGCAGTAGTTCAACGAAAGGCTACAAACGTGCATGCGAATCCAAATTTTGTGTGTAGTTTTGCTTTTTAATTTTATGTTGGTTTTAATTTTTAAGGGTATTTGTGCCTATTTATATAGGTTTTTGGCTATATTTAAAATATTTTATAAAAACTGACATGTTTTTAAAGTGAGGGGTAAAATTTGGCTATTTTTGATAAATTCTCCCTGGCCGCGAAGCAGACATCTCAGAAGGCAAACCAAGCGTCGGTTGTCGTTGTTGCTGATTTTGGCGGGTGAGAGTTGAGAGAGAGCGCGATAAATCAATGGGTATAGGGGAAGCAGAGGAGGAAGGGCCTATTTTCAAGGGTATAAGGCGATATTATTGTGAGTACTGTGGCATCTGCAGGTCCAAAAAGACCCTGATTGCTTCTCACATGCTCACTCACCACAAGGTTTCAGTCCATTCTTTTTAATTCTGGTTTTTTATTGTCCAATTATGAATTTTTATAAATTGGGTTTTCGAATTTGAGGGATTTACTGTTATGGGTTAATTTGGTTTTTGTATTTTAAACAAAATCTGAAGCTGGGTTGTCTTCAGATTGATTATCTTAAATTTTTACTTATGATTTGGTTATTTTTGCTACAGGAAGAGATGGAAATGGCCAAAGAGGCTGATGGGGAAGGAGAGAGGGAAAAACCCAATACTTGCCAAGAATGTGGTGCTACTTTTAAAAAACCTGCATATCTCAAGCAACACATGCAAAGCCATTCCCTTGAGGTATTATCTGCTATTAACTTCAAATTGTTAATAAACCTTCACATGTTTCCATAGTATTGGTGTCTGAAGTTGTGTTAAGGAAACCAGCGGCAGCTTGTATAGTACTCGTCTGATGATATTGCTACTGATTAGTTTGATAGCTTCATAACAGCTGATTGTGTCCATAGCTTTCCTTATTTTTCGGATGAAGGTCCTGTACTTTTCGCATCAGTTGAAGATATAAATTTTGCAGGATTCAACATTTTTAAGAACTATCCTTTGGATAGCGTGAAGCATTGGATCCCACACAAAGAACTCCAAAATGCGAGAGGTTTCTGACTTGACTGGACCAGTATCAGGTGGGGGACCTCCTGTGAAGCTCCATCAAGTGAACCTCAATCACGTACTGCTCGGTTTGAGGTTTGAATGCTTGATCATGTGCACTTTGAAATTATATGGTTATTCGTTCATGAATTCCTTTTAGCTTATTTTTACGTTTTGGATGAAGTTTCTGTAGTATTTGCATCAATTGAAGTTAGAAGTTTTGCAGGAGTCGGCATTTTAAAGAAGTATCTGTTGGACAACGTGGAGCATTGGATCCCACACAAAGAACTCCAAAATGTGCAAGGGTTTGACTTGAATGGACCAGTACCAGGTGGGAGACCTCCTGGGAAGCTCCATCAAGCAAGCCTCAATCACGTACTGTTCAGTTAGAATTGAATGCTTGTTCACTTATATTTTGAAACTATGGTTATTGGTTCCTGAATTCGTTTAGCTTATTCTTTACAGAGGCCATACATTTGTTTGGTGGATGATTGTCGTTCCAGCTTTAGAAGAAAGGACCACTTAAATCGTCATCTTCTTCAGCACCAAGGGAAACTCTTTAAGTGTCTGATTGAGAACTGTAATCGTGGGTTTGTTTCCCAAGGTAACATGAGGAGGCATGTAAGAGAACTCCACAATGAGGATGATCCTTCGGCTAATGTTGGAGGTCAGAAGCAGCATGTATGCCAGGATTGTGGAAAGGTGTTCAAATTTGCTTCAAAGCTGCAGAAGCATGAGAATTCTCATGGTAGCTTTCATTTCTAAATTTGATCTTCTTTTTGTATTCTGCCTTGTGTGTGCGCGTCAGTGGTGAATAATGGTGTAAGATACAAATTTTTCTGAAAATGAGGGGATGTGCTTTTGTTGAAGTTTTTGGCGTATGCTTAATGCAAACTCTAAATATGTCCTTTTATGTGTGTAGTTAAGCTGGATTCAGTGGAGGCATTCTGCTCTGAACTTGGCTGTATGAAATATTTTTCTAATCAGAAATGCCTTAAGGCCCATATTCAGTCCTGCCACCAACATATCACCTGTGAGATATGTGGGACCAAGAAGCTGAAAAGGAACATCGAACGGCATCTCTGCACGCATGAAGGGGGGCGTGCTTCAGTGGAGAGAATTAAATGCAGTTATAAGGGTTGTCTTCACACATTTTCAACTGTGAGTTACTGACTTGACTTTTAATGGGTTTATGTACGCACATAAAGAACAAACAGATTTCATTATTTTGGAAAGAAAAAAATAGTTTTGCACTCTTTGCGTTGCCATTGTTAGTTTTTTTTATTGTTTCCATTTCTGATTTTGCTTATACATTTGCAGAAATCAAATCTCCATCAACATGTCAAGGCAGTACACCTTGAACATAAACCTTTTGTCTGTAGCTTTTCGGGTTGTGGCATGAGATTCGCATACAAGCATGTGAGAGATAATCATGAGAAGACTGGACGTCATGTCTATGCATATGTGAGTATTATTCTTACACATAATTCAATACCCTCATATGTTGGATTTTGGGATAAGCATCTTTCCAGGCAATGCCATGAGTTCATATGTGGGACATTATTGCTTTGAATTGCAGGGGGATTTTGAAGAGGCTGATGAGCAATTCCAGTCAAGGTCAAGGGGTGGCCGTAAGAGGAAGTACCCCACTATAGAAATGCTCGTACGAAAAAGGGTGACTCCACCAGACCAATTGGGCCAGGAGTCTGAGTACCGCTCCTGGTTGCTCTCACAAGAAGCTGAAGACGAGTATTGAGCCATGCCCTTGAAGTAAGTGATTGGACATATCCACTACATACGCTAACCTACGTAAAAGTTTGCGTGTCATGAATCTGAACATTAGATATGGAAATTGAGCGATGCTGTGAATCTGAACACTAAATATGTATAGCATTTCTGTATTTTTTTGAAGATAAGCATTCTTCTGTTTAGTTGAATGGTATTTATTAATCCAATAGTTGAACCACGACCTCTATCTGAACTCCGAAGAACAAATTTGTGCGCTACTTGCCAAACCACCCATAACTTTGATGGGCTGGAACAGTCATTTTGCATTGGCTCAAAATTGTGGAATGAGTGATCTCTCTTCTTTTAGCTCTCATTTTTGCCCATCACATGTTTATGTGGAACAAATTTGTTCTGCTTGTGAATATATCGTTTTGGATTGTTTTGATGATTAAGAATGACCTTTTAAACTCGTCCTTTTCAATAGAACTTTCAATTACCATGCGTAGAAAGAATAAATAGATTTAAATTTGGGTGGAATATTTGGTGTGTGGTATATAAATTCCAATAAATGGATGTATTTTTCATGGACTGGTACACACGTTTCAAAGAATTCAATGTAAATCCTAGAATGTTTGACACGGAAAGAATGTGACACATAGCAAATATCTGTATCGGCCTCGGCACGTAACCATCGATTCCAGATTCGACCATAGGATAAGATAATTGTTCTACTTTCATTGTTGGAGCCATCTAATTATTGGTTATGAAAATCAGGGTTTCTATTGCTGCATATACACTTGATATAAAAACGAGTAAAATCACAGGCCTTACAAAACTCATCTCAGATATTCCATTACCCTCCATTTGGATGGAGGAAAATAATTTGGGATTTAGCTAAAAGTCAGGAATTGAAGATGAGAGAAATTGATATTTTCATTGTTTGGCAACTTAAACATGGAACTTATTAATTGGCATGCCGGAAAAATCGTGGAAATTGAAGATCAAGATTCCCGAGTTTAATTTCTGGCAAAAGAGTCGTTATTTCTCAAATTCTATTATTTCAAGCAGGAATTCGTTTTCGCAATAATTTTTGTCATTTGCAAAATTTGACACATATAAATCTAAACATTGAAATTATTAATTAACAGAAATTTAAACGATGGATATCTAAATTCTGTCATTTAATAATTCTCTGCAATTTTGAATTCCATCATCCTTATGGTCAAGAAGAAATAAGAAAAAGAAAAGGAGGGGAAAACCAATATTATCCATACATAATTATTATCTACATACATTAAAACTGTAATACATAATTCATATATAATTTATATATGCAACACACCTGAATTCAGCAAACAGAGAGAATATTGCTTTATACCTATTTGTTTATACAATATAGTTCTGGTTGGGGACTTAGACGTTGGTAACTAAGTAGACTCAAGTACTGACTTGGGAGAGAAAGAAGCCACGGAGTTATTATTGGTGGGCAAGGACTTTGATCGCTTCATCCAAGCCGATGATTGGGACCGGTGAAACCGGCACCGGAACGATCCTTGATGAGTTGTTGGTGAGCACAAGCATTGGCCTCCTTTTGGTGAAATTGCTGCAGCTTCTGCGTTGCCACCACTTTTTGGAGAAGTTGAGACTGTCAGGCCACTGCCATGGGAGGCCATGCCTTGTTGATGAAGAATATGTGTGTGAACTAATATGTATGAAAGAAAGAAACTCTCTTTTGGCGATTTATTGGCAATTGGGTTTGTGAATATTTATAGAAAAGAAGAAGAAAAATAGATTTTATCCTCGAAGAGGTGTGAGGCCAGAACAAGTAAGCCAATCAAGCTGTGCCCTTTGATTCCTCCCTCTTTGTCCCTAGTGTAACCGACTTCACTATCTCTAATGTTACGAACACCAACTTGTTTACCAACTTATTTGACAATATGACACGTAACAACCGATGTCGGATGCCATAATCCAAATTAGAGAACTCAGTTTTTCTAAGTTTAAGATATTGTTTAACACTGAAAATCAAAATGGATAAATTTGTACGTTGTTAAGAGCCAACCGATGCTTTACACGAGTTATATGTAACTCTTCAAACTCTGTAGACTAGACTCGTCTAAGGTTGAAAGAGCGATCACATCTAAAACAGAGGAGGGGGTCATTATCTGATCAATTTTAAACAAATCCAGTGTTAAAGAAGATAATAGAATAACTAAAGATTCCATAATCCACCCCACTTGGAAGGATTATGGCAATGATGGTTGTATGAAAATAGCATAAACTTTGTAAAAATATATATACAAATTAAAAAGCCTCGAGGGAGAGAGGAAAAGGACTGGATATGGTGAGTGGGTAGCCGCATGAAGATGAGGTTTCCATGTGAGAGCTGAGGAGGGATCATGATCATGATCATCTTTTTCTATGTGGCTCATTGTACACGTATAGATTCTGCTTCTGGTTTTGCTCTTTTGGTTTTTTTTTTATTTAAATATAGCTTTTTTGCTTGTACAGCAGATGGTCCATCTGCTCTCTCCCTAAGTCAAAAGGTTTGGCCTCCCAATGTAGCTAAGTGTAAGTGCTTTTTGTTGCCTTCTGATCATTTTGTATATATCTTAGCCATGAGCTCATATTGATGATATGTGGGCTGATCATGACTTCATATGTTCTTGTTCTAACTTCCTAGGGTGGTTCCCAACTTATCTGATAGCCTTTGTTTTTTTTTCCCCTTCTTTTTTCTTTTTTTGTCTGCAAAACTGAACCAGTCTTATGAATGTGTAGAATTCATTTTATTTTAGCCATGACTATTCTTCGTTCAGAAAAAAAAAGAAGGGGGAAAACATCTCAATGCTTGCTCAAGTGAAAAAGAACTTTCAGAGAAGCTCCAATTAGTCTTTGTTTCTCCAAAAATGTCAAAGAAAGTGCTGGAAGCTGTTATCCTGCGTCATCATTGAATTTGATTAATGATTAAAGACAATGAAAATGGGACCAAGATACCAATCAATTGTACTTCAATTTGCCAAATGTTGCGAGTTAAAGTAAGATAGTCTTTATCCCAATAAATGAGGTCTTTATGAAAGCAAAAAAAAAAAAAAAAAAAAAAAAAAAAAAAAAAAAAAAAAAAAAAAAAAAAAGTTATAATTTTATAAAACAGTATCAACTATGGATATGTATCCTTGTAGTTTTTTATTTTTTATTTCTGAAGTATAATCCTTCTAGTTGTATTGTATGCAAACATCTCTTCAATCTCTTGTTGTAGCCATATATATACAAAAATTCTCCTATGCGGATATCCGGAAGTTATTATCGTGCGGACGTCATGTATTTTGTACTATCCCTCTCTTCTTTTATTCTTGTTTACAATAGTATCCGCACGATGTATATTAATTAAAATGATCCAAAAAATCAAACCTTGTAATATTTTAAAATTGGGGTGGTGCCTAACACCTTCCTCCTCAAGGAACCCAATTCCACAAGTTTCGTTTTCGTTAAATGAAGGCGACCAATATTTCAGTTTTTTTTAAGATAGTAGATGAATTCAACAAAGCAAGTCGGCTGGCTCCTTCAGATTCTGTATTTTAATTTCTTCTCTGAGAAAAATGAAAATAGAAATTTATAAATAAACTCAATCCTAGACATGTATTTATAAAAAAAACTCAAGCATTATTTAAACATAGAAACACACCCAAAATCAACCTCAAAATCAACAATTGTATATTTTTTGGGTGTGTTTATAAATGAGTTTTGAGTGTGTGTAATGATGGGTTTTGGGTGTGTTTATAAAGTGTTTTGGGTGTTGGGATTTTTTATAATTTCAGCCCCAATTTTGGGTGTTTTAGTGAAACTCCCAAAAGAAAAAGAAAAAAAGTGAAAGGGTAAATTACATGTTTTGGTACTTGTAGAGCATATTGTAACTCAAATTTTTGGTTTGATAAGGTTCAAAAATCATAGCCTAAATGCAAATGAACGATATATGAACGGCATGTCGTACGAGTTAAGAAAAGTGGGATAATGTTGTTGATGATTCAGTTGATGATTCATGAATTTCATATGTTGGTGGAAACACTGACTTGATCCCCCTGTCCCTGTGTACTGAAAGCAACCTTTAAACAAAGCATATGTAAATGGAAAAGAAGAAAGTAGACAAAAAGAGGCAGCTAGCAAACAACTACCAGTCAACCAACAAAACTACCAGTCAGTGTGAAATGCTATTGCCAATACAAATCTTCCTTCTTCCATGCGTTTTTCCTGGTGGTCAAATGCCAATCAAGTGCTTCACCATTCCCTGGAAACAGAAAAACCAACAGGAAAGCTTTGTGTACATGGTCTTTTCTTTTGTTTTCTCTCCCGGATTCCTCATCTCATTGGTGCCTTTGCTTTGTTTTTACTTTCAAACTCATAACTCTTATCTCTTCCTGGCTTCCCCTGAAACTTGAGAAAGCTGCAGTGATTAAGCGATACGATCCATGGCGAGAACAGGCAATAAGAACATACAAGCCAAGCTGGTGGGTATGTCTTCCTTTATATTTTCTTTCATTCACTTTACTTGTGTGCATGAAATGGGATACTCTTAATTACTAGTTTCTTTTTATGTATGTGTCATATGTTATATACATGTTTGGTTTGTAATTCAGGGAAATAAATTGAATTTTTTTCTTGGAGGATCACAGATCACTTGAAATATGCCTAGCCTAGATTTGAGGAGTAGAAGTTGATGTATTAAACTTCTTGTTTCTATTTGAATGCTTAGCTGATTGTAATTCACTTGATGAGCAGCATCTATCTATGATTATATGTTTTTTAAAATTTATCTTTCTGAATTCAGAATTTATTTTATCCCCCATATAAGTAATTACCTTCTGAAAAAGCCTTGGTTCTTAGATTGTTTGGATTGTTACATTTTTTCCATTAAAATATTTTAGCATTGAAAACCAGCAAGAGGAGTGCATCTTGGTCAATTAATTGGCTTTATCATTGCTTTTTCCCAGGTACTTCTTGGGGACATGGGAACTGGGAAGACAAGCTTGGTATTGAGATTTGTGACAGGAAAATTTTTGGAGTACCAGGTTCACTTTGATTATATATAGAATCTTTCTCTGTAGAAATTGTAGCATTATTAGTTTTTGGTCTCTAACATGAGTGTAAGCTGCAGGAATCAACAATTGGAGCGGCTTTCTTCACTCAGGTTCTGTCACTAAATGAAGCTACCATCAAATTTGATATATGGGACACCGCGGGTCAGGAACGGTACCATAGCCTGGCTCCTATGTACTACCGTGGTGCCGCTGCAGCTGTTGTGGTGTATGATATCACAAGCATGGTATGGTAACTAAACTAATATATCCAACAGGGTTTCGATCCTTACATTTGTTGCTAGCTTTTCACATGTTCATGTTTGTCACACACAGAATGCCTTGAAAGATCGCCAATGAACTTAAATGTTTGTCACATTTGTTGCTAGCTTTTCACATATTCATGTTCGTACACGTGCCTTCTAATGCTGCCATTCTAAGTTTATCTGCTGTCTGCATGAAGTTTTTCGCTTTTCATTCTTCCTGAAGCAGAGATACTTCATAATATGTCTGCTGTGCAACAGAAAGATTTCTCTTAGAATATGCCTGGTTCAATATGTGGTGTTTTGGCTGCAGGAATCATTTGTGAGAGCCAAAAAGTGGGTTCAAGAATTGCAAAGACAAGGTGCGTGACAGTTTTTGTACTTTCTGAAAAGTTTTGGAGTCTGATCAGTGTTTTCTGGTTCATGTGAATTTCAATATTGTTTCAAGCTAAAGTAAATTTGTTCAAATCCTTATTTGATCTCAGCAAATCCAACTCTAATAATGTTCTTGGCCGGTAACAAGGCTGACTTGGAAGAGAAGAGAAAAGTTGGGTTTGAGGTATTCACTCTTCACCATCCCATGTTCCTTTCTGGTCATTTTTCATATTCATACAAGTACAATGAAAGGCACACCTGTTAGATTCATAACAGAATCTGAAACTATAATTTTATTGATTCTTAGATTGTTTTGCAAATGACTACTTTTTTCTGTTTGATACTGCAGGAAGGTGAGCAATATGCCAAGGAAAATGGCTTGGTTTTTCTTGAAACATCTGCCAAAACTGCACAGAATGTCAATGAGCTCTTTTATGAAATAGGTACACCCTATTTTATATGTCATGCAAATTGTTTAAGTCCCGGATCTTCCTTACCATGCTTATGAAAGCAAGTCTTTTTGCAGCAAAAAAGTTGGCTAAAGCTAGCCCTTCTCGTCCAACTGGGATAAAATTGCATAGCAGATCACAGCAAAACAGCAGGAGAATGTTTTGTTGCTCTTGATGATGCCGGTATGCAACTTTCTTCTGTGCATCAAATTTATCATTTCAATTCAAGTCTTCAATAGATTCTTTAATATGATTTTGTTTTGTTTTGTTTTTTTTGCTTTTCCCAGAAGCAACAAACATATACTTATATGATTACAGGTTCATCTGTGTTCAAGGACATCATGGTTCAAGAAGATGGAGAAACTAACTAATCGAGGCTCATGATCAAGGACATGGTTCATCTGCAAGCTCTGCGAATCGTGCTTTACAAATATTAATTTTCTTTAGTTATGTACATTATAAGAATTATTTCATTATGTTCATTTGACGTTCAAGAGTGATTGTGGAACATAATATGGAGAAGAAAAATGCAACGTGGCATGGCCAATAAAGCAATCTACTCTTGATTTCTGAAATGTGTGTGTATATATATATATATGTGTGTGCGTGTGTGTGTGTTCGTTATGCAACAATAGACACATTAAATATATAGTCAATGGTGGTCCTAAATCCTCCATGGTAGCCTTGAAAGTCAGCTGTTTGAGGGCATATTGGCAGAGTTTGGGGCATTGAAAGCCAAAGCCAAAATTCAATATTGTATTAAATGCAGTGCAGTGTGAAGAAAAGGAAGCTTCTTGCCTAATAGAGCTCTCCTCTCCCCCCTCATGGAAACCAAAGAGAGAAGGTCTCGTCCCTATCAAAGTGGACAAAGACCTCAGCAAGGGCAGGTGACACACAAAGAGACAGTTTTTGTGTATTTTAAGCTTCAATGCATAGTTATCTGAACTCGAGGTCCCTCAAAAACAGAGATATTTCTTTTCGATGTTTTTTTCCCTCTTGGTTTTTGTTTCTTTCTTCATTTTTTGTAAGTCCACCCTTGACAGTTCACGTGCCGTTTCTCACCATCCCAAAACAAAAACAAAAACAAAACGAAAGGTGAATATGTTTTCTTCTTTTTTTTATTCTTGTGCAAGCGACATTGGGGAACGGAGAACCGGACTTAGAACCGGAAATGGAGAATCGATCTTAAAACCTCGAATGCAAGGCTAACTGCTCTTAAACACTTAAACTATAAGTTTCTTATAAAGGTGAATATGTTAAGATAGAAAATGCGATAAAACTGCTTTCCCAAAAACTACTAAAAACCCAAGTGAAAACAAGAAAAGCAATTCTGTCTCTCTGCTCTGCTGGTTCAGAGAGAAAGAAAGAAAGAGTTGGAAATTCATGTGGCATGGGCTGGCTTGGGTGGACGAGCCATGGCCACGCTTGCAGTGAAAAAAGCTGATCTGGGTACACTACTCTGCCTCTTTCCAGCTCATTTTTACCATTCCCATTACAAATCACCAAACAGAAAAAAATAAAACCCACCCACCTCTTAAATACAATTAAAAAAGAAGATTAAAAACTAAAGCTCTAACTAAACTGTTTCTCCTGATTATGGCATGGAGAATTAACCATTAATCACCATGAAGGAGAAGTACAAGGAGAACCTGATGAAGAGGAAGAGAGGCCATTGTTAGTATTGGAATCACTACCTGAAGTGCCCAATGACCTGGCATCTCTGAGAGGAACAGAGCAAGCCTCTGCAGGGAGCTTCTTCATTGGAGTTAGAGGAGGTGTGGTTGTTGGGCTTGAGGGACCAGAAGGGGTTGGTTGGGCAACCTCATCCTCTCCAGAGCTAGAAGAAGAAGAACCCCCTCCCATTTCTAGTCTTGAAGGTGAAGTCTCTGGAGTTTCAAAGGGAGTGTTGTTTTCTCCTCCACTGGGCCTGGTGCTTGCTTCATCATTGTCATAAATGGGGTTAGAAATGTACACAAAATGCTCTGCACCACCACCACCACCACCACCAGCTTTCTCATTACAATGAGCACCAGGACTGCTATTACCAGCTTGAATTTTGTCTTCTTGGGTTGGCTGCGGTGAAGTCACAAAAGAAATTGATGGGGATGGGCTTGATATTATGACCCCAATATGACAGGGGGTTGTGTTTGCTAATATTTCTTGGTTTGGGACCGGGATGTCAAAAACCTGGTGAAGAAGGTGAGTATGGCGTTTCTTTATTTCTGCATTGTCTTGTTTGCAAGGAACTGATGGGAAAAGGAAGCTTCTTGGAGCACGAAGAACCCCTAGAAAGCTGCTGAGAGGAGGGCCAGCTGAGTGATCTTGCGGCTGTGATGAGGGCCGCTCAGAAGAGGTTGTGGTGGCTGCAGAGTCGGCGGCATCAGCGGTGGCGGTGGCGTTGAGGTTTGGGTTGGAGGTGTTGGTTTTGAGCTGACGCCGGCGAAGTAGGAGGGAACAGTAGAGCTCAGCTAGCAGCACCAAGATTAAGCCCAACACTATGGCAAGGCTCACCACCATTACCAGTGTGGCCCCCATTATCACCTTTGATGTGCCCTTCATCTCTCTCGGTTCTCTCTGTTTTCTCTCTGTTTCTCTTAGACTGGAGTGTGAGGCAGTAAAAGGGTCCTGTGTTATATTGGAGGGTGAGAAGCCTTTTTTGGCGGGAAACAGTGCGTGACCTTTGACAAGGAAAGGGCATGGGATGCGAATCTAGAAAGGGCAATAGGCCTGGGGAATGTCAAGGCTTTTCCTTCTGACAGTCAAGGACATAACAGTAATTTGGGTGGTACTAAGTTTAACACCATTATTACAATATCTGAGCCCATTTGACAGTTACCTTCGAATCCCATGACAATCGGCAAACACCAAGTATAATTACAAATTTACCTCTTTGTCCTGGAGTGCAGACGAAATTACCCTTCTTTAATCACTAAAAGAAGGAAAAATTTATTTATGACAATGGAGCTGTTATACATGATACAACAACAAAGCATTCTCAATCTCAATTTTCAAGTCCCTGTCAGATTCTAGTATCTCTATCTATCAATTGAAGCAGCAGACACTGTTACAACTTTTACAATGATGATTCAGCCGATGTTTAGAATGATGATTCAGCAGATTCAGTAAAGACTTCAGGCTTTTCAGAGTGAGGTAAAAGACCAATCCTGGGGTGTGACAGTGCCACTCAACTATAGCAATCGATATTAGTCGTGTTGACTTTCTTCAAGACAACACTAGCCACTCAGTGAAACACAAGCAACAAGATAACAATGGTTACCATCTAGCTGATAAGGATTCAGATTTTGAATTCTGATTGCTTTACCCGCTACCTTCCTCTTAGTGCTGCAAATTGGGCAGCCAAATCATCATAGTCTGGCAACTTGGGATGCACATGCCGAGCTGGGTTGGACCTATCTGGTTGAAAGGAAGCCGCCCGAGCATATACTTTGGCTGCCTCTAATGGACCGCTATGTTTATTAGGAAGGGAAACCGATCTTGCTGGGGTTGCCACTTCTGACTCATCTCTGCTTTCGTGCCTTGGAGATTCACCAACACCAGTGCCTGCATGATGTGGATGACGACTTTTTGACTTTCTTCTTGACATTTCTGGTTCAAAGTTGGATGGCTTTTTACTGTAGTGAATCAGCAGTTCATCGATTCTCCTCTCTTCTTCATCTTTCTTACCGTGCTCATCATCAAACAACAGTTGCAGGCCTCGTCTTGACTCATCCCTTCTCCTGCTTCTGGATTGTCTCATTGCTACTTCTGCATCTTCACTGTTTCCGGCATCATTGTGAGAGGAACGTGATCTTGAGTGTCTCCTCCTAGCTGATCTTGGTTTTGGTATGTGGTTGCTAGATGCATCATCCCGATGAGCGTGATCCTTCTCAAGATCGTGATTATTAACCTTTGCAGCAGCACGCCTCTCACCCTCATCATCAGATCCTTCTTGTGCTCCTCCCAGTATATTATCAACAAAGGCTATGTTATACGCTACAGGATCCTTAGTGATGCCATCATTACCAGAACTACGATGTGAAGAACCAGAAGTGGTTTCATGTTTTCTACCTTTTGCTTTGACATTAGGTTTCATATATGGAGGAGGGATGCCATAATTCTTCACTTTAGGTTTTTCTTCTTCTTTACTTGCTAATCTTGCATCATTGTGTTGGCCACCATAATTGTCATCAGCAAATGAGCCTTTACCATTGCTTTTCACATGCGATCCAGCAACATTTGGCTTTACATGAGGTAAAGCTTCATGGCAGTCTCTTTTAGGAACATTGTTCTCCCTACCATGATGCCTTTCCTGTCCTTTTGCCTGAGATGAACTGCCCAATCCAACTGACTTTGGGGGAGCATCCTCCTTTCCATTCCATGCTTCATATTTGTGAGAAACAACTTCTTGCCTTTCCTGGAACATAATTCCATGCCCATTTTTTTCCACAACCGTATCTTCCCTGCCACTGAGAGACTTGTATTCTTTTCCAACGAGTCTATGCCTAGTCTGATGATTGTGCTCATCCGTCTTCAACACAGTACCGCCCTTGTCATTGTGTAATTTGTGGGCATCAAGCCTCCTTTCTGTAGGCAAAATATTATGCTTATCTCCTTTTGGGACTGCAGATGCCCCATTAGACAATTTGCCTTTATCATCAGGAACATGGGAAGATCCGTAAGTTTTTGGCTTTTCCTGCAAGGTCCCAATTTTCAAGTGACTTCAAATTTTGAGAAAGCAATGCTTTTGACTAAGGATTTTTTTATTCTATCTATTACAGGTGTTAACACAGTAGGCGGACATACCTGTATAAATGCAGGAGGTTTAGACATCCTCTGTTCAAAGGCCTTGGAGTCCCACTTTATTGAGAATTCCAATGCTATGTCTTTCATTAACTGAACCTTCTTCTCCAATGTAGGAGGCTTTGAAGCTAAGTTCTCAACAAACTATGAATAAAAATTCAGTTGGTTAGTTTTAAAGCAGTTACGGATTCACACAGTTCTATTATGAGCAGGTCAATAAACAGTTACCTTTTGATTCACAAAATACTCCAGAGAATTCTCGTATCTCTCTTGAAATAGTTGCCTAAGGTCACGCAATTCTGGTAAATCAGAAAACCTTGCTGCAGCAGACATCAGTGATGATACAGGTTCCCGACATTCCTCAGGGCATTCGCTACAATGAAAATAATGCAGCAAGGAAACATTGTATTGAGTTTGATTTTATTGTTCTTAAACTAATGCAATTAAGGAAGGTTCAAGAAAGGTAATATCATTCCTTTTAGCAGGAATCCAAACCATTTGTTTGGATAACTTTGTAATGTATAATATTAGAGGAACTATGTTAGATTAACAGACATAATGGAGAAAGGACATAGAATCAGCTAACAACTTCAATCATTCATGATGTGGTCAAAGGCAGAACCCTATACAAGTTGAATTCGGTGAGAGTTTGCAATCAAATTACAGTAGTCCACACATGGATAGTGTTGTAACAGATTTTTACTCAAATCAAAATCTTCCCAACAGATATTCCCCAGCTAGAAGGATGCCAACCAAATCTACACCCATTTTTGCGGCTTCTAAGACCATCAGCCATAAATTGTACACATGTGCATATCATATAATATGATAATTCACGAAGTTGAACATAACATGTATAGAAGAAGGTTATATAGCATAAGACTTCCAAATCCAAAGATGAAAGCAAGAGAAGATACACAATGCTGCATCGGTAGGATTTGGCAAATTAAGTAAACTGGTGAGACCGATATCAAAAAGAGCATCATGCAGTTGCATATGCTAAATAGACTAAGAAAATCAAATGCTTGATATTGGCAGCAAACAATCTCCAGATGAGCACAAGAAGAAAAGAACAAGGTATACCTTTGTTTCTGCATGACTGAAAGATGATTCAGCACCAAATCACAGCATCGCTCCACGAAATCATAACACGACGAAAGTATCACCTCCGCTGTGAGTCCATCAGCCTGTATTTAACAAATATAACACTCTTCATTTAAGTGGACAAGATAGACAAAAACAAAACTAGTCCATCAGCCTGTATATCCAATTAATAAATAAACCTTGTGCATTTGATTTAATCAAAAGATTATAATCCCCTCAAATAGCAAATGTGGCAAAAAAAAAAGAAAAAAAAAGAGGAATATTGTTTTTTTCTCGGCGACCAAACAGATTATAGAAATACGGAATTGCAACTAAAATCACTCAACAAGAAAGCATCAATGAATCAAAAGCCAAAATACAATTTGTAAAGATAGAGCAATCAATCTCACCCTTCCAAAAGCATTAATATCAAGGCCATTGGCGAGTAGATCAGCGATATCTTTCCTCAAAAACTTCTGCGTGGCGTTCCTCTTCCTCCGTATCACATCGATCCGAGTTTTCGTCAATTTAATCAACGATTTACTACCAAAACAAAAGACATGGAGAAAATATGAAACATATCATAAGCACACTAATCTTTCAATTTATGTAAATACATAGAGATGCAGATGAAATTGTACAAAGAGAGGGAGGGATCTGAGGGAAAACCATTTAGCGGCAAATCCACGGCCGAGCAGCCCGTCCAACATTTTTCAATCTCCTTCTTCAACTCGGTGAACACTGAGCAACTCAGACTGAAAGAGCGGGCATTAGCGAAGCTGGAGCTTGAACAATAAGAACAAGAAGAAGAAGGAGGAAGATGAAGAAGCAGAACGTCTCTTTCTCTCTTTGTGAAGCCGCTTCCTTCAGTGGGTCTCGGACATTTTTCAAACTCACTTTGGCCACTAAACTGATGGGACAGAGAAAACTTTTCTGACCATAAGGTCCTTGCTCTTTTCCCTTTACGTAACGACGTTGACGCGGGTAACAACCGGTCATTTTAACGTTAGGGAGGGTATTTTGGGGAGATAGCGATGTTTTGGTGAGTGCGGCGGATGAGTCGGTCGCTAAGAGTGTGGTGGGGAGATCGTGGGCGTTGGATTTGAATACTTTTGAGGTCTCGTTGTGGAGAAGTTGGGGGTGAGAAGTCATCAAGTCAAGGTGGGTAAAGACGAGTGTCACAGGAGTTGATAAAAACTGCTGAGCTGGACCCAGAGAGGGTGGTGACCCTCAAGTGCTTAGGTTTCGGTCATATTATTATTTTTAATTATTATTAGTGTATTTGTTTATTTGTTTATTTATTTTATTTTATATTGCTTTCAAGGGACAACAATGAAAACCGAGTGAAATCATGGTTTTTGGTCTGACAGAAACAAAGGGGCCCAGAGCCGTTGATAACGGCCATACCAACCGTATTGATCAGAATTTTGTCTGAAAAAAGAAAAGAAAATTGTTCATTATTAGTGAGTGATCTTTTTTATCCTAAATTCCTACAATTTCCAAACGTCTCTCTTCCATTTTCCTCCCTTGAAGAATCATTTTCATTGTTGTGCTGTTATAGGTTGGATCATCTAATAATGAATGGATCTTATTCTTTAGGGTGTTGTGTACCTCTGTTAACGAATTTTCAGTATACACGTGTCATAATAATAATCGTATCTTAAATTCTCATTTAAAGATTATATCTAAAAAAATTTGAGATTTCTTTTTTAAAATGATGTATCCAATATTGAAACTTGGAATATTATAATTTTTTTTTTCTTTGTTTTGTTTTGGAAGTATGCAAGATTATAATTAACCAACTTTATTCAAAGCAAGAGTCCAGTCTGCCAGCTATCTGCCATTTTTTTTTTTTTTTTTTTTTTAATATGTGACAAACAAATCCATCTGCAAAGTCAGAAAGTAAAAGAGCAGTGTCACACATTCCATTTCCACATCTGCTGCCTAACCTTTTGAATTCAGATAAGCATGCAATTTGCAATTGGATCAAGAAAATAAAATTTTATTTTACACTTTTTTTGTTGTTGTCAGTTTTGGGTATAAATTAAGAGCAACCCACATGTTACTTCCATTAACAAATGGAAAGAAAGAAAATAGGGACAAAACTATCATATACATCTTTATTTTCCTCATCACCAATCTAAGTCTACCTACCTTCATCTAACTTTCCTGCAGCAGCAACCCAAATTAGCAGACCACTAATTAAAGAGCAGACCATTTCTAATTTAATTGAGGATTAGCATCACCAAATTTAAGATTTTTCCTTTCCGGTGAATGAGATTTCAACGTCTGTTCGTGTCATGATTCTTTCCTAAATGATGAGGTCAAATTACAAAAATGTCATTTCCTAACTTGGGCCTTAGGCCCAAAAGCTAACAACAGATGAACCTGGGTCGGCCCACTTTAGCCCAGTCATCATTTTTACACCGGGCTGAATTGGAATTTGGCAGCCCATTAGATAGATTTGTGACTAGTCTACCCAAAAGCTTGTCTCTTGCATTCAGTCGATTTACCCTCTTTGAAAGGGCAGGTTGACCTTTGACCCACGCGCCTTTTCGGTTCCCTACTTCTTTCAAAACAAAGAAGCCCTACTTCTTTCTTCTTCTTTTTTTGGTCGAAAAAGCCCTATTTCCATTTTAACAACATTGGCAATTCAACATGGACTTTGGTTATTTTGTTTAGTTTATACTACTAGTGCCACAAAGCTACTACAAAAATTTGGGATTGTATAATGTTAAGTTTGTGTTAGTTAATGTAGATGTGGATTAAGTAAGTTTGAATCTCCTCTCTGTAAATTAGATTAATTTAGACTATCGTTTATATATAAAAAGAAAAATGGTGTTACTGACTAGTTCATAATATGTCGAATGTGGCAAGTTCTCTCCAAATCATATCCCAACAACACACACTCCCAAAAAAAAACTGTGAAATTTATCTCATTATGATCACAAATCACAGATTTTACAATTTAAACCGTCACCAGTGACCAGTCGGCCACCAAGAAATAATAATGGGTTTACAAAAATGCATAAGAAAGAAAGCCGGCTCTGTTATGGAAAACACCGAGTCCATTGTTGTATATATGGTTGATGGTTCCTACCTACCAAAAACATCTCAAGAAGTTGATGAGGAAATGGAACAAATAGTTTTCTCGATCGAGCAATTCATGTCGAACTAATCTTTCCAAGATGATATTCTGAGGCAGAAGCTCACTGTAGTAAAGCAAGGTTGAGACTGAGGCAACTGGCGCTCCAATTAGAGATGTTAGTAGCCTCATCAGTGACCTAAACATCAATGGTGTAAGAGACTGCATCACAAAGCAAACAAACACACAGAAAAGAAAGGAAAAAAGTTACAAATAGAAGTCAATTTGAGAGCCCAAAGGAGTTTGCTTGATGATCAAATATACGTACCATGGTTTTGGTGAGCAAGGCAAGAAGAGCAACAAGAACTTGAAGTTTTTAAAATGAAATTCTGAGATGAAACAGAGGTGAGGTATTGAGATTGGGGTTGGGGTGACTGGTGATTTGGTGAGGATCTCTAGCTGCCAATCTCCAGCAAACATTCAAACCTACCCGTCCATATTCTGAAACTTTAACAAGAAAATATTGGCCAATAGGCTCATTCAATTATGGTCGCGCGCTATTGGCCAAAAACCCTACTTTCTCTTTGTGTTTTTTTCAATCAAACAAAACCCAACTTTTCTTTTTCTGTTCATCTTTTTATAAAAAATCATCAGAGAAATGAGATTTCAACCAACTTCTAGCAGTTTGTTTTCTTGAACGCAGTTAATTAATGTGACACAGAAACTTGTGCAACTTTGAAATCAATGGGAAATGTTATTTTTCATCCCCATCTAATAATCTAAAATCCGAATGGGACCAACAACATGAAAGAACTTTCCAAAAAATTTCTGACTGTGATCCGACGGCAAGAATACGAGAAGGATTCTGTCATTGACAGTCTGGCGGCTTAGAAAATACCTTTACGTTGCGGTCTATAGGGGTAATATACAAGTATGTCTGCCAGTTCAATGTAATCTAAATCGGTTGTATACACAATAATTGACAATATGAGTGATTACAAGGACGAGATTAGATATTTTATACAAATGATATTGGGAGAACGAAAATTCGACATATTGGAAATATATTGTTGGACTTTCGAGTCCAAAACATCTATAAATGGGGAAATTCCTACCCGAAACTCCTCTTGGCAACATATTTTTCCCACCACTCTTGGGAGCAATGAACGTAACAGTTTTTTTTTTTTTTTTTTTTTTTTTTTTTTTTTTGGACTTGGGAAACTGAATGAGCATAATTCAACTAGAGAGGAACATCTAGATTGGGAAAGACGCGTCAAGATCATTGAAGGGATTGCACAAGGACTTCTCTATCTTCACAAGTATTCTAGACTGAGAATCATACACACAGATCTGAAATCTAGTAACATTTTGCTTGATGAAAAAATGAATCCGAAGATATCAGATTTTGGAATGGCCAGAATTTTCGGACAGAACGAGTCCATAGCAAATACAAGAAGAGTTGTAGGAACATAGGAAGTACAGAAAAAATATTTTCATAGTGATGTTTTCCAAACAGCAGTGTAACATTTATATATGCACTTGCTTTTTTTTTCTTCTGTTTTTTTTCCAAGTATGAATGCTCTCCAAGGTTTACAATTATGCAGCGTTATACGTCTCCAGAGTGAGTCATGAAAGACATTTTCTCCAAGAAGTCCGATGGTTACAGCTTCGGAGTTTTACTGCTGGAGTTTTTGAGTGGTAAAAAGAACACCGTTTTCCTTTCATCTACTGCTCTCAGCCTTATTGAACTTGCAAGTAACAAAGATAGATCAAAACAGGCATTCAATTTCAATTTTCAACTAGAACAGAAAGACTTACACTGCATCAAAACTTAAATGATTTACAGGCCTGGGAATTGTGGAAACAAGGTGACAGTGTAGAGCTAAGGGACAACTCAATGGCCTCATGCCCAAAAGAAGAAGTTTCAAAATTTATTCATGTTGGCCTCCTGTGTGTGCAAGAGCATGCAGCAGATAGACCTACCATTTCAGAAGTCATATCCATGCTTACGAGTGATCATGTTTTTGCCTGATCCAAAACAACCTGCATATTATTTTTCGAGAAATGAAGTTTGGCCATCACCACCATATGGAAGGCTTGATATGGGTTCAGTAAATTGTGTACTGTAACGGAAGCTAGATAAATAAAAGATAATAGTTTCATTTTTCATCAGATATTAGTAAGAATTGGGGTTACTACATTGATTTTTCTTTGCCCTTTTATACAAGCGATATTGAAAAAGGGAGAATCGAACCTAGCACATTGGGTGCATGAGTAATACTCTTATCAATTGAGCTACAAGTCCCTTGCAGGTGGACATCCTTTTGACGGTGGCCGTCCATTAAGGAAATTCAAATTACAGTCAGAAGTATGGGGGCCCGGTTCATGACTTTAATGGCTATCACAAGAACCTTCCACTATGACTCGCATAATTTTTTCAGAGCCAACCGTGCAGTTTTAAAAGAAATGAAGAACAAGTCAATAAAATACTAAGGTCATCGGTCCAAGAGTAACCAAATTTGGACACAAGTCTCCCCCCACACGTATAAAAACAGTGCAAGTAATTATACGTATTTGTTAAATCAAGAAAAGTCGAGGGGAGAAAAGTCTTCCATAGAGGCTCATTTCAAGTTACAAACACTTCTCTGCGAGAACAGAGATCATTTACACAAAACACTTAGCAGATGGCTAAACTGAGAAGCCTTGTGCTTCTCTTTTTCTCATGTTTCTTCACGCGGTATATTTGTTCTTCTTATGCAGAAACAGTGATATATACCCTCAAGCAAGGTGAACAGCTCCGGGACCAGGACACCGATCATCTCGTCTCTCAACAGGGCCACTTCAAGTTAGGCTTCTTCAGTCCTGGTGCTTCAAGTAACCTCGGCATTACCAGTAACCGTTTCTTGGGAATATGGTACAGCAAACTACCAGATCATCCAGATGCAGTGTGGGTGGCCAACCCAGAAACTCCGGTTGTCGATTCATCTGGAGTATTTACATTGGATAGTGATGGAAAATTGAAGATCATACATGGTGGAGGGCAGATTATTATATCAGATCCCAATCAAACAGTTTCTGGTAATGTGACTGCCTATTTGATGGATACTGGAAATTTTATCCTAAGAGAAGTAACATCAGATGGAACACCCGGAAACATTCTATGGGAAAGTTTTGATTATCCATCCAACACATTGTTACCTGGAATGAAGTTAGGCATGAACCTTAAGACCGGGCATAATCGAACACTTGCTTCATGGTTCAGTTATCAATCCCCGGTTTCTGGTGCGTTCAGGCTTGGCGTGGACCCCAGTCGCACCAACCGATTGATCATCTGGCGGCGAGACGACGTATACTGGACCAGCGGGATCTGGGAGAATGGAAGTTTTCCAAAGGCCCCTGAACTGACAACAAGGACTGATTTATTTGATTTCAATTTTGTATCAAATGAAGAAGAAAAGTACTTCACTTACTCTGTTAAAAACAACTCTACTCTTTCAAGATGGGAACTGAATACTTGGGGCCAACTCTTGCAGTCTATTTTAGCCCCAAATGGTACTACTTGGGAAACCACCGTTACAAGTCCATGCAAGTTCAATCCGTATTACCCAGATGCAGTGTGCATAGAGCAGAAGCCCTCTGAATGCAGGAATGGATCTGAGCTACTTGTGCCAACAAGAGGCTACTTAAATGATGCTCAATTTACACATCAGGATAATAATACTAACTTAGATCTTAGCGACTGTTACGCTACTTGCTGGAGTGATTGCACCTGTATCGGCTACCAAAATATACATACCAATGGATCTGGATGCCAGTTTTTCAAAAAGGGAGCACATTTTGTCCAGAATGATTACTTTGGAGTCAATTATCTCATTATCATAGCGAATAACAGCAGAGGTATGTACGGCCTAAACCAATACTGGGTTTATCTAATGCATCTCCTCATTCTTCCATCCTTTCTATATCTTTTGAGCTTTCTCAGAAGTTAGAAAAATGCTTGAAAACTGATAAATAAGAAAAGTAATGGTGGGTTTGTGCCATTTGATACCATGATACAAAACACTGCATTGCAATGATTATGTCTGGCATTGTTTTGAATAAGAACAAACAGTTAGAATTAGCTACAGCTCTCAACCACTTAATACTTGAAACTAATTTTGTGGTTGGGGTAGATGGAACAGCTACCGAGAAAGGAAGTACACAGAAGAAATGGTGGATATGGTGTATCATAGGTATTATGCTTGGTGTGGCAGTGGTACTTTTAGGCTATTTCTGCTACACAAGGAAAAGAAAACTTGCAGTCGTGCAACAAACTGGTAAGCTGAGACGATAAAAGTTTTTGTTTCTGTTAATTTATAAATTGCAAGTGCAAGTACATTATATACTATTGCAATTATCGGAATGCAGACAAGGTGGAAACAAGCCAAGAGCAAGGACTACTTGAGTTGGGATCTCAAATTGGAGGATTTCGTGACATATTCAAGCTCAAAACAGGCAGAGGGAGAGGGCAGGAGTTTAAGATGCTCAGCTTTTCTGAAATACTGGCTGCAACAGATGACTTCTCATTTGCCAGAAAGCTAGGAGAGGGTGGTTTTGGACCGGTCTACAAGGTAAAATTTAAGTTTATCTGGAAATTTAAAAAATAAAAAATAAAACAATGGTTATCTGGGAAATTGATACCTGACACTGAAAAATGATGTAGGGTGTATTACCAGATGGGCAACAGGTGGCAGTAAAGAGACTTGCAAGACATTCAGGGCAAGGAATAGAAGAATTCATGAATGAGATTACACTTATAGCTGAACTTCAACATAGTAATCTTGTTCGGCTTTTGGGTTGTTGCATTCAAGGAGAAGAGAAGATTCTGATATACGAATACCTGACAAATACAAGCTTAGATGCCCTCCTCTTTGGTTTGTCCATAATTCCCTTTCAAATCCATACACTCCCCTCTTCCCCCTGATCTTTAACCTTACTAAGCTGCTTAATCTGGCGTCTTATATTTGATTATTATGTTGACCACTACGCACCACTTTAACTGCAGATTCCACTAGAGTGAATCTTTTAGATTGGCAGAGACGCATCAACATCATCGAAGGGATTGCACAAGGACTTCTTTATCTTCATAAGTATTCTAGAATTAGAGTCATACACAGAGATCTGAAGACTAGCAACATTTTACTTGATGAAAACATGAACCCTAAGATATCAGATTTTGGAATGGCCAGAATTTTCGGACAGAATGAGTCCAGAGCAAATACGAATAGAGTTGTAGGAACATAGTAAGTACCAAAAAAGAAATCATAGTAATGTCTTCCAAACGACACTTTGTCATTTATCTTTACTTTTGCAAAATATGAATGTTCCCTAACTTGTAATGATTTTATGCAGTGGCTATATGTCTCCAGAATATGCCATGAATGGCATTTTCTCTGAGAAGTCTGATGTATACAGCTTTGGAGTTGTACTGCTGGAGATTGTGAGTGGCCGAAAGAACACTGTTTTTGTTACATCCACTGCTCTCAGCCTTGTCGAACTAGTAAGTTATAAAGAAGAGCAAAATGGAATTTAATTTCCATTAGACAGAAAGATATCCTAATCCTAATGTGATTTAATGCTCATGTGGTTCATTAAAACTCTAATGATTGCAGGCCTGGGGCTTATGGAAACAAGGTGACAGTCTAGAGCTAAGGGACCCATCAATGGACTCATGCCCAAAAGATGAAGTTTCAAAATTTATTCAAGTTGGTCTCCTATGTGTGCAAGAGTATGCAGTGGATAGACCTACCATGTCAGAAGTAATATCCATGCTTACAAGCGATATCATGTTTTTACCTGATCCAAAACAACCTGCATACTGTATTTCAAGAAGTGAAGTTGGGTCATCACAACCTCATGGAAGGTCGGATATGGGTTCATCAAATTGTGTATCTATAACTGTGATGGAAGCTAGATAAAGATACTACTTTCACGTTCCATCAGATGGTATTCATTATTCAATAGGGATCCTACAAATGCTATGTGCGTAGGGAGAATCCTGTTGAATCTAGGAAGAGTTTGGATACATTTTTTTCCACAAGAAACTATTTAGACTATCTAAATGGATGTAAATACGCAAAAATATAAATTTCTGATTGTAACACCAAGAAGTCGGTCTTGTGGAACTAGTATTTGTGTCAATGGACATCGATGTGAGTTTTTGAGTAAAGGGTACGCACTTCATCCAAAAACAATTAACATTCAATTTCAATACCAAATAACTCATTAAACATAGCATAATCCGTTGAACTCATACAGTGGGCCGGAGAGCAGTTAGACCTACAGAAACACTACAAGTAGAAGACCATCAATTGAATGGACCTTTAAAGTGAAGGTAAAACAAAAAGGAAGCAATCCAATTTAACCGGAGTGCAGAGACAGATTAAATATTGTTCTTATCTGGGTCAATCTTCTCAGGAGATTCCTCCTCTTGCTCTTGCTCCTCTTCTTCTTCCTCCTTCTTCTCCTCCTCGTCTTCGTCTTCTTCGGGAGGGTCATATGGCATTGGAGGTGGCAAAGGTGTTTTCATAGGACTGAACTGGGGGAAGATGTCAGGTCTACGCCCTGGCTTAGGCCTCTCCCACTCCTACAACGCAATTACGCAAACCAAATACAAATTAGCACCAAAAATTTCAAGCCAATCCAAATTCCACAGACCACAGAAGTTGGATTTTTGTTTATTGGGTTTTGTACAGAAAGTGAGCAGGCAGAGGAAGGAGGAGCATACTTACAATTGGGAAATCGAGAGGGTTGCGTCGAGTGAGTTTCTCCTCATCTGGGGCCATACACACCACCTGGGTCCTCCGAAGCCGTCGAGAATCGAACCATGAAGCAGATGATGAAGATGACGAGCTTGCTGAGGCTAAAGGAAATTGCTTTCTGCAACTCGACCAACCACTCCAAGAAGGCGGTACACTACCCAGCGTTGAGAGGCAGCTCGACGCCATATCACTTGTCTTCTTTCTTCAGCTGCTTCTTTGAGTTCGAGTTTGGGCTTCTCGTCTTTCAAGGTCTTGAGCTGCCCCTAAGCCTATAACGACTGACACTGTATATCGAGCAGGCCAGGCCAAGGCTAACCGCCTTACCCAAAAGCTCGACGCCTCTGCCTCTCCCTCTCCCTCTACCTGTCTTCTATTTCTTTCTGTAAGCCCTCTCTACCCACGGTTCTTCCTTGATTTCCTCACCCTTTTTAGTCATTTACTTATTTATCGATTATTTGTGGTTAATTTTCATACCGGCTCGAACAATTTAAGCCCAAACCCAACCCATTTAATTGACCTCTGTTCCATGGCACCCAAAAAAGGCCCAAAATATTACTTTAGCAATTGGGCCCTTAGAGTTGGGCTTTCTTGGTTCAAGAGATGTAATAATAATATATACATTATGAAACCAAAGATCTTTCATTTTTGTGGTACAATATTTTTAGGGGCAAACATCCATAGATAGAATAAAGAGCACAAAGTTGGTAAGGGAACCACAATCAAAGAGCTTAATCTGAATTGGGGTGTAATGACTTTCAGCTTCTTATTCTCCACTTTCCCATGCGCTTTCTTGCTAGCAGTGATTTAGACCTCGGAGGTATTCGCCTTTCCTCATCACTACTTTCACTATCCAACACAATTACTGCCTCAGACTCAGATATTGATGGTCCTTCTGATTCCTTTTGCTTAATCACTTTGGTAATGTCGCAATTGTAACCTTGTTTAGATTGCTGCTTCTCATCCCACCTCAAGTTTTGTTCTTGCTTCGGAACGGACTTGGATGGATATGAAGAGACACTCTTCTGGGACTGTGGAAGCATGTTTCTACTATTCTTCTCTTCCGATTGATCCATCCCACATTTTGTATAACTCGCATTTATACCCCCATTCTTTGATACTGCATCAAAATTCTCAGTCACCTGTGGCGCCACATTCTCCTTGTCAACCTTTCCATATGACTCTGATGAGCCTCTAAACCCCAGCGAAAGCTTCTTGCCAGCTAAACAAAGCTTCTTGCAACTTGTACCAATGGAGCCATTTCCAATTCCATCAACCAAATCTTTATGTGGTTGCAATTTGGTGACACTGCCAAGAGCTGGCGCCATCGGCAAGGGCTCAGACAAAGCATTGCAATGGGACTGAGAAGGCGACAGTTGAGGGATAACGATGTTTTCGTCAATCATTTTGGATGTGTTCAAAGAACCCAATGACAGATTTTTGCCAAACTTACGCACCCTCTTTGATCTCATGCCTATGTTGTCATCTGCCAATTTACTTTCTTGACTCTGATGAAGCCCTTGCTTGTGACTGTTTCCAGATTGTGGCACCAATGATCCTGAAGAGGGCACAGGAAGGCTTTGTGGTTTGAATGATGAACAATTATTATTTGGCACCACATTCTCCATATCATTATCACTTTTCTTCTGGAATTGGCCGAGGGATTCTAATGATAACTTCCTTCTGCTCCCACATAGCTTCTTCTCCTGACTTTGATTGCATTTATCAAGGGTATCTTTCACTGCCTTTTCTGTTCCTTCTTCTTCTATCTGGTTTCCAAAATCAGAGAGAAAGAGCTGGTCCTTAGGGACTTGATTTCCTTCCCCATTAGCATCCCTTTTCTTGGTTTGGCCTGAAGCCTCCAATGACAACTTCCTGCTACCCCCACTTACCTTCTTATCACTTACAACAAACTCATCTGATTCATGTTTTGGCTCATGCTTTGTTGTTTCAACCTCAAGCTGCACCTGGGGAGATACAAGAAACAGGGAAAGAAGAAAAAAAATTAACAATTTTGAATAGCTTGTATCCGAGAAAAGTAAAGCTTCACAACCAAATAAATCTAAGATAAAGTGGAAGTACTGTGATTGGATTTGCATTGCTGTGAAATTGAATGTCACAAACACTCCCGGTAGCATATTTCTGAGTCATAGATCGAGCTTTCTGGTCAAAAGCTTGTCTGTTGTATTTAAACTCCCTACTCTGCGCATCCAGACATAGAAAAATTGAACTTGTTAAGCAGTAATTGGCATCCCCAAATCCCAACATCTACTGAATATAAGCATATAATATATTTATATACAATTCATCACATGAACACTCACCGCTTCACACATCAGGCCATCATCAGGATTGGGCTCACTCAATAACAATCCAATGCTTGTAAGCACGGTTGAAATGTTCAATGACGGTTGCCACGCCCCCTGCACAGATATAACTTAACCTAACCCTCACTATAAATTGATCGATGAACAAAACAGAAAACTTTCACTTCACAACCTAAAACCAGACTATCCTCAGTGACAGTATACATTAACACTTTTTCTTTTTTACAATAGTGATATTCTAAACTTGTCTTATATGCGAGGAGGAGGTGTTCCAAGTTCCAACCTCAAGTGCAAAGGGGCGGTTATAATGCCCTTGGCTAACCCACATTTGCCATTAACATTTTTTTGGGGACATCGAAAAATTCACTCACCTTCGGAGGAAGATTGAGAATGTCGAGGCAAATTCGGCCTCCGTTGTCGATATTCGGGTGGTAAATCGGCGTAGCAAAGGTCACGCTTGGAGGCTGAAACGGGTACCTGAAAATTGTAAAATTTTAAAAATCTGTAACCCCAAAAAAAAAAATTCAGAAAATTCTCAACTAAGCATCACAATTTCAACCAACCTCTCGGGTATTTGAATCTTAATGTTGAATAGACCTTCGGCGTACACAGTTCCTTCTGGGCCTTTAATTTCTGAAACAAAAGCAAAAACTTTCGTTAATGTCAAATTCTTCTTTTTTTCTCGATAACCAAACGCGGTGTTAGATAAATCTGAAAAGGGGGGTGAATTGGAAAGCTTACGGGCGTCGATGGTTGTTAGGGATGAAGAGGAAGAGAGGAGAGGGAAAGAAGCGCCCGGAGGAGGGTCGGTGAGGAGGAGCTTGAGCTCCTTCTGCAATCGGAGGTTGAGCCTCGCAGCTTGAGCCATTTCGCGTCTCTGCTTTTCCTTGCTTGCCTCTCCAGTCTAGCTTCTCTGCGAATTTGGAACAGTGAAAATGGAGGGCGTGAGAAAAAAGCGCGGGCGCTGTGGGATTGGGAATTTGGGAAGAAGAGATTGATCTTGGCCGTTCGTATTTCATTTCTTAGATGTATATTGGGACGGTTACGATCTAATCACGTAGTGTGTGAGCCAATGAAAAAAGATAAAAATAAATGTTGAGAGTGGGATTTGAACCCACGCCCTTTCGGACCAGAACCTTAATCTGGCGCCTTAGACCAACTCGGCCATCTCAACTTGATGTTAAAGTTCCCTTACAAATCCTTTATAATAACTCATTGTTTTGTCTTGCAAATCAAAAACACCCACCTAGCAAAGACTACAAATCCACACAACTTAGAGATGTCAAAATTAATTGTCAAGCAAACAATATAGATATATACGCAATAACAAAAAGAAAATAGATAATATATGTTCTTTAAATTTTGTGCAACTCGAACCAATTTTAATTCAATCGAAGTTTAAACTTATATGACAACTTGTGAAATCGATCTAATTAGTGAAACTTGAGTTAGATGTTATGAGACAATAAATATTAGGTTCATGTACGATGTATATTCAAAAATTGATACTTCATCTCAATTCACAATCCAATCGCCTATCCCATGACAACCTACACTTCTTGAGTTGAGTTTATTAAAACATGTTCAAGCTTGGCCTCACAATCTACAATGTTTGCACTTTTAATTTTAAGATTACGCGTAAGATGTTTTAAAATAAGATGATGATGAATGAAGTATGTAAATTAATATAGTACCCTTTTATTGAGGGATCTTTAATATAATTTTATTTGAGAGACACTCTTTAGTTGTGCCTAACAAAATCAACGAATAAGATGTTTTAAGAAAACACTAAAATAACAATACTTTAATCGAGTGGTAAATAGATTCATATTCAAGTAATTTTGTGCATAGATGATTTTTGAATGAATACCTATAAAATAGATTATTTGGATCATTGAAATACAATGCATGGTGGACCATACAAAAGTGTTCCTCAAATAAAAGCCTTTATACACTAAATAATAATTATCTAACACTGAGGGACAGACCTAAAAACGGCAATTGACTACTGATTTTTTATTTCCTTATATGAAAGTTTAAACATTACATCTATAGCCTAATCATGCTTTTTTGTTTTGACTAAGCTAAGATACATAACTCTCTATTTGCATTTTGAAATCCTAAATTGTGTTCAACATGTGATTTTGTGGACCCTATATATGATCATTAAGTGTTGAAGAAGCTAAAGGGAGTACAAATACAACTATTCATACACACATTTAATTTGAACCCTTGAACCAAATGAAGATTCCAAGTGGAATTTTTAAATAAATTTTAAACTTTTACCGACAAAATACCAATTCAAATTCAACTTTTCCCTCCTACTAATACCATTCATCATATTTTTCCCGTAATATTACAAATGTGGACCTCCCAAAGCGATCCATTTTAATAAGTGAACCGTGACTTCTGGGCTTTGTTTGAACAGTGGGCTACACCATCCGACGTCCAATTTTCCAGACGGAGCCCAATCCATAATCTAACGGTGAATCATCGACGGTGCATAGATAATCATAGACCCGCGATGTAGCGAATCGGACAATGCACTCAACGACGTGCAGACCACCTTACCCGCTCGAGGCAATTGACGGTTTGAATAAGCGACACGTGTCCCCGCCATTCATCCTCTTGGTTCGTTCGTCTGCCCCACCCTACCCTCTCTTTTTCAAAGTTTCAAAATCTCTCTCTGTCTCTCGCACGCTCTGTTTGTTTGTTTAACGCGAAAACTGGAAAAGAAAAAGTTCGAGAAAAAGAAAAAAACATCTTCCAACCACCATCACTACTGCAACAGCAGCTTCTCTCAGAAGCTTTCTCTCACTGGTACATAAAGTGTATTGGAGTTTTGTACGGCCAGCGGAGCCGATAGAGAGAGGGAGAGTTGGAGACGAAGATGAATGTCGTGGGGAGACAGATGGCGCGATCTAATTCGGCGATGCACCACCAGCGTCAGTACTCGGACAACTTCATGGACGCCTCCTCCAAGTGGCTCCAGTCCTCCAGTCTCTCACAGGTCCTCATCTTTGATTAGATTTTGCAAATTTGCCCCTCGTTGAGCTCACAATTACTTAACCAGTCCTTCCTTCGTATGAAAAGCTCACATTGTCAGAGATTTTGGTTGCAGGACTTTGAGTTGTACGGCTCGAAAACGAGCAGGAATAATCAGAGAAGTGTTCGTGAGCGATCACCGGACGCTTCGATTGCATCGCGATCGTCGACCACGAGAAGGAACGGTGACGATCGAGTTTCGCCCAGTGAGCTCAGCCCCGGCTTGCTTGATCTGCATTCCTTTGACACCGAGTTATTGCCTGAGGTTTGTCCCGTTACTTTTATAAGTTGTACTCTTTTTTTTTTTTCTTGATCAGAAATTTCGCTAAATCCTATGTTAATCTCTTTTACATTGATTTAGAGACTGAAATGTGGGTTTAAGTTTACTTGTTCATAAATGCCCTGCTATTTTTCATTTTTTTTTAAAGCTTAAACCGCACATTTCTCTGCCTTGATCCAATGTAATACTTCTTTTTAATTTTTTAAAAAAGTTGTTGATTGATGTTTGGCATTGGTAGATGCCCGTTTCAGGCCAATCTAATGGGCACCCGCTTCATCATCCTGGTCGTGGTAAAAGTCTTGACGACTCTGAGCCATTTCTCTCCACCAACAAGCTTACAAGCAGATCACGGGGTTTGCCTGAGAATAATCTACTCAAGAGTTTTTCATCGGATAAAGAAAGGGCCAATAGTGTTGCTAAGATCAAAGTTGTGGTATGTCCATTTAAAAGTTGTTTCTCTTTCTCTGTATCATCGCATGCAGTGCAGGGAATGGCTGCTCTTGATTTCACGAAATATTGCATTCCAGAATCAACATGACTATCTGTTCTGTTTTCTCTTTTTGCAGTGGAAATGTTGATGATAATTTTTTTTTATTTTATGCAGGTACGCAAGAGACCACTAAATAAAAAGGAAATTTCAAAGAAAGAGGAAGACATTATTACAATAGAACCAGGTTCTAATGCTCTCACAGTTCATGAAACAAAACTTAAGGTGAGCGCCTGGTGAGCCAATTCTTTAACAGCGATTGTCAAGAGTTCAACTTCCAATGTTTTATGTTTTCATGCTTGCATGCATTCATGTGTCTTTGGGTGTGACTGAGCAAGTGAATATCTCCCAGAAAAATCTCTTTAACATTCATGTGTTTGTGCGTGTGTGACCGAGCAATTTCCAATTTTTGAACAGCTTAATGTGCTCAGAAAAATCCTCTTTTCTATGTATGGAGCTGTGTATTTACTTTTTAGAAGCATCTAATTCTATGTCACCATCATCTGCAGGTTGACTTAACAGAATATGTCGAGAAACATGAATTTGTTTTTGATGCTGTGCTGAATGAAGATGTTTCAAATGATGAGGTGAGTTTATCAGACTATTGTTTCACTTTACTGTTTTGTTACAGATAATTTTACATTATCTTTAATTTTGTTACTTTAGGTGTACTTTGAGACTGTGGAGCCCATAGTTCCACTGATTTTCCAACGAACAAAAGCAACTTGCTTTGCATATGGGCAGACAGGCAAGTATAATACCATTTATGAAAACCTAGTACTTCTCCATTGTACTTCAAATTTTGCCGTCACCTTTCTCAACATCCACGATTCTTTAAACTGTTGACTCGTGTATGTAAGTTCTGTTATCTTGTTGGAGTTTTTCAACTGTTCTTCTAAGTTCTAATTGGTTTAATTGAGTGAAGATGTATTTTTTCCTCCCTGGAAATGCATTCCAAAAATTTATGTTTTCTGTTTCTCACTTCTTATTCTGTTATATATGTACCTGTAAACTGAAGTTAATCTTATTTAGCTGTTCAGGTAGCGGGAAGACTTACACTATGCAACCACTACCCCTTAAAGCATCCCAAGATATTCTAAGATTAATGCTCGATACTTACCGAAACCAAGGTTTTCAGTTATTCGTTAGTTTCTTCGAGATATATGGAGGGAAACTGTATGATCTCCTAAATGATCGAAAGTAAGTTATTTCAGCCTGTAGGCCAGAGAAGATTTTCATTCAGACTCATTATCCTCAAAGAGTTCCACTTTTGCAGAAAGCTTTGCATGAGAGAGGATGGTAAACAGCAAGTGTGCATTGTGGGTTTGCAAGAGTACAGGGTGTCAAATGTGGAGACAGTCAAGGAGTTCATTGAGAAGGGAAATGCCACAAGAAGTACTGGTACAACTGGTGCAAATGAGGAATCTTCCCGATCACATGCCATACTTCAGCTCTGTATCAAAAGATCAGCTGATGGAACTGAATCAAAGCCTGCCCGACTTGTAGGCAAGCTATCTTTCATAGACCTTGCTGGAAGTGAGCGTGGCGCAGATACTACAGATAATGATAAACAGACAAGGTGGGAATTTGTTGTGTGGAATTATGAGCAATTATCATGATACTTATTCAGAAAATAGCATCACCCTTGGCATGTCTAGGGTTGATGAATCAATTGGTTCTCTTAGGAGATCTTCACTGCTTGGGTGGCTTAACCTTATTCCTTTTTTATTTATATTGATTGTCCATACAGACTATTGTTAAAGGACCTTTGAGTTGCAAGAGATGATAGTTTACTTTCTTCTTGCAGAATGGAAGGTGCTGAAATTAATAAAAGCTTACTTGCATTAAAAGAATGCATTAGAGCTCTTGACAGTGACCAAGGCCACATTCCTTTCAGAGGGAGTAAGTTGACTGAAGTTCTTAGGGATTCATTTGTTGGTGATTCACGCACTGTTATGATATCATGCATTTCACCAAGCTCAGGATCGTGTGAACACACTCTCAACACTCTGAGATATGCTGATAGGTATTTAGTATTGTACAAAATAAGTGGAGAAGTGAATTTTATCATTGTTTATACATTTCTCATGAATTTCTTTCTTTCCAGGGTGAAGAGTTTATCAAAAGGGAGTGGCTCCAGAAGGCATCAATCGTCTTCATTGTCGTTCCTTAGAGACTCAACCACAATGCCCTTGTCTTCATCTACCTCAACTGACACAACCTTTGAAGATGACATGAATTATGTTCCTAGTGAAAAGAGCAGCTTTGCTTGGTCCAAACAGATTGAGAGAGAACCCTCCCCGCAATTTAATGTGGATCGTGTACCTAGTGGGAGGGTAGAAGGAAGTTTGGCTGCATCTGTATATTCAGATTACTACAAGGATCAGATAGGTGGTCAAAATCCCATAGGCACAGATGATTTTGACTACCCTGAGCAGGCTTATGAACAAGAGAAACCATCGCGAGGGAATAGTAAGAAGGTAGAGACCTACCAACGATCATCTCTGGAGGAAAAGCGAAAGATTGGCAGTCAGGTGAAATGGAGGGATATGCCTGATTTTGGGGCTATCAACTCAAATTCTGATGATGATCTTAATGCCGTCTTGCAGGTGAATACATTCTACATTTTTCCATCTTGATTTTCATATCAGTCATTCAATTGCTAAATGATATATGATATTCATCATACTCTCATTTGGTTGCTTTTAGGAAGAGGAAGACCTTGTGACTGCTCACCGAAGACAAGTAGAGCAGACCATAGACATTGTTAGGGAGGTCGGAAACAATCTCTTCTGACCGCATTGTACTTTTACTTTGTGCTATGCTTGGACGTAGCTTAACTGCGTTTACTTATGCAGGAGATGAATCTGCTGGCCGAAGCTGATCAACCAGGCAATCGACTTGATGATTATATCTGTAAATTGAATGCCATACTCTCTGAGAAGGCTGCAGGAATTCTTCAACTGCAGACTCAGTTGGCTGAGTTCCAGAGGCATCTGAATGAGCATAGTGTTTTAGTATCTACTTCAAGTAATTGATATAATTTGGGAGACAGAACTAATCAGAGCAGTTGGCATGTGGCTTTCCGGGAAGTTGATGTGATGATTCATTCTCTTCCTTGATAGAGGTTTGGCCTTTGTTTATTTATTTGTCTGTTATGCCATTCTATCTAGCTTGTTGGCTCTTCATAAAAGTTCTGTGGCAATATGCTTATAGAATAAGCTTGTTTGAGTTGCTAGGGTTTCTATAATATATGAAAACCACCTACCTCAAACTGCTTGTTTGGGGGTAGATGGTTTGATCTTGTTTCTTTTTCTGTCAACATTATATCAAGTCGTCTTGAAATTATGACCTATGAGAGGAATGAGAAAGATACATGCAAGCATATGCATGTTTTGTAAAGCTGCGTGACTTTATTTTTTTGGCTTTTGGACTTTTAAGCTTTTAACGGATGACCTCCATATCAGCTAGGTCTATCCATATTTGTAATTTGTTTTTAGTTCGTTGAAAAATGTTTCAAATTCGATTTTTTCGTGTTTGATTCAGTTACATTTTTTTTTAATGTCATTCAATCATTCATATGTATCTAAACCTTTTACTACAATAGTGTCTTCTTGTCTCAAATTACATCTGGTATCTTCCTCGAAGTCGGCTTAAGACCCAAAAGACCGCAATTCCTTGACCAGCGAGAGATTGCAATCTTTGTGATAAAATCTTGTCTTACCTGAAGTCACTATCATCTCTTTTTTTGTTTCTCAAAGTCTCTAGGATTCTTTTGTACCCTTTCCGTAATCTTCTTTTCCAGATTTTGTGGCTCTTCCTTGTTCCTTTTTGGTGATTGGTTTCTATTTCATAAAAGCTAAACCTCATTAGTCACAAATTTTATTTTATTTTCTTGGTCAACAGTCACAAACTTGCAAACACCTACTAACCCACCAATCGGTGTCAACGAGTCTAGTTCAATGAAAATGGGTTTTGGCTTACAGATTAGTAGTTTTAGGTTTGAACCTCTATATGTGTGAGAAAACCTTCTTTTTTTTGGATTATCGCTTGTATTCAAAAAATAAAAAGAAAATAACCCCCACCAATTGATGTTTTATAATGATTACCCACTACCGCAAATTGCGTCCCCAAAACAGGAATTATGAACTCAATTTATTTCTATGATCACATCCATGAATGTGTCCTTTTTTCAAAAGATATCGCTTTCATAATAAATCAGTCCCATCGGAGGGTTTGTTTTGGAGTTGTTTATCAAACTCTTATAACTTTTTTCTTTTCCTTCAGACTCTTTAACCTAGATTTGATTGGATAGAGAAATCTAGTCGGCTACAATTTGCATAACTGATGTGAAAATTGATTCGATGCGAAATGTCATTACATATTGAACGTAAATCTTTTTTTTTTTTTAATGGAAAAAAATCATTGGAGTAAGGGAATTCGAAATCTAATTACATATTTATCGTTAACCATCTTAAGTAAGATAATACTGAAAAAGATTGTTGTCGTATAAACACCTATCTCATGCATGCACTAAAGCATGGTACCAAGTAAATATGAGTTTGCTAACGAGTCCGTAGCTTAGAGACAAGAGTCTTTGCTTGGAGATAAGTGATCTCATATTCGAACTCCAATAATACATACACTCTCCAAACGTTGACATATTTTCTATTTTGTTCTTGTCATGTGGATTGTGGGTTTACATAAATTTGTTTGACGGAATATGTAATTGGTCAAATTAGTGACCCATTTCTACTTTGGGCAAGCAAAGGATCTTCTTTGCTTAAAGGTGAGAAAATAATATTTTTTGTGTAATTTTTTTTAATTTGAGAACTTATCTATGCACATTTGTATAGCAGCCATTTGTCCATTTTCTATTAGAACCAAGAATATCCTCATCCTCACCATGTGTCATGGGGTTGAGCTATATGCCATAGGTATGAATCTATAGTCTCACATGAGCCATATGCACTCATTTTTCTAATTATTATTTTTTTATTTTCTTTAAGGGAAATAATACACAATTAACAAAAAATTATGTATGCCACCAAAGATTTCTTGGAAAGCTATAGTCTCACATTATAATAAGTCACCATGATTATTTAATTATAAGGTACCAAATATTTGTTAGACTTACCTTACATGCCCGACAATCTCTTCTCAATTCAAAATCAACTCCCATTTTGATGGAAAATATAAAATAAAAATAATATTTCCTATTAACTTCGAATTATTATGTTAAATAAATAATTACAGACTGCTTCTAAATTCTAATTTTAATATTAGTTAGAGATGTTATTTAACAAAACTATCTCTATTCCCAATACCCGTGAGTTGTGACTAAGCATATAAATTAATTTATACTAATTGACCATTACTATAAATAATAGGGAAAATCAATATTAATTAAACTTATAAAAATAATAAAAAATAAAAAATAATGGCATAAAATGAGCCGACAAGGTGTAATAAGAGAGAGTAAGAAAGAGACAAGAACGGATTTAGAGTAAATAAATATGCTCCCCATGACCCTAACACCACTCCAAAAGAGCCAAAAACATATTTACGAGAGCTTTAGACCTTAGAGCCATGGACGTGGCCGAGTAGGAAGTCCACACGTACCCTACCCCTTTATGCGCCAACGCACGAGCAGCAGCCTATAAGCCCAAAAGCAAAAGCAAAAAGCAAAATCGGATTCCTAGCGACCGAATCTTGTAAGCCCACTCATTTTTTCTTTTTCTTTTTTTAATTTCTTCATCTCTCTCTCTCTCTCTCTCTCTCTCTCTCTCTCCATTTTACATCCTCCCATTGGTAACGTTTCATCTAATTTATTCATTTAATAAATCTTGGAGCAAACTCCCAAACCCTAGCCCCAAGCGCGTGTTTGTTTGGTGAATGAAGCTTCATCCCCCACAAGCCCCCCCTTCTTTAGCATCCAACCATGCATAATGCTTCACTTGCATCAGTAGTTTCTTCCTAGCTAGCCTATGCATATAATTGAACATTTCATTTTGACTTTATATCCATCATTATCACTTTTAGGTTGTAGACAAAAGCTTTAGCACCACACATTACTTTCTCTTTTTGGCTAAGCATCCCTTTTCATTGGATGCCTTGTTGCTATCGAAGATAACTAATACCTATATTTTAGTTTTCCCCATTTTGAAATTTTGATGATGCACTTCACGTGTGCATTTGACCTACTAATATTAGATGAGAAAATAATAAGCAAAACTTGTGCTCGTTCAACATTACTAACCTTTTAGACGAGATTTGTATTGCAAATTCAAGGCTTTTCATTTATGTTGAAGACAACTCTTTGATTTATAATACAACGCTCAAATTAAAAGACAATCGATTCTAAAACAAGCAAACAAAACAAATAAAATTTTAAATGAAACTAATGGACTTTCTTTTGATTTTCAGCAAGTATTTTTGGAAAGTCACAATTCTATTTAGTTTTCTAGTGGCTTGGCATACAAGTGCCGATGAGAATGCATTTTTCTCTCAAAATCACGTGTCAGTCCTAAAAATAAACGAATCATATTATCTTTCATTTGTATACATGAAATTTCAAACCCACTAACTAGCCGAGTTCATAGTTTATTCATGAAGAAATGGAGAACTAATTGTCAACAGTTACACACATCATAGGCTAATAGAGTTAAGAGTTATTAACCTATTAGGCAACAACCCTGGCCCCCGAACATGATCTTTTCACACACTGAGACTGATCCTATAATTATCATGTAAGAGTGCTAATCCAATCTAAGGTCGACTATACCCACCCTGTCGTCTACGACTAACCACAGTTGTCAGCTACGCCGGGGACCACGTCACTAATTAAACAAACACAACTTGTACTGAATCTGAATCCCACCCCCCCAAAACGCGCGTTCAAGCATCTCTTTCCCCTGGAGCTTGATAAATATCTAACCATGACGTGTCATAAAAGCGGAGCCCAGTGGGTCCCATAATTCTCGCCAATGAATATCAGAAGCGTATGGTCATGTGCCACGTTAGCCAGTGTCACTGTGTGCGCGCATCCCTTATATATTACGGTGGTACTTCAACATTCTAAAAGAAGAAAAAGGAAAAGGCGATTCCGATAAGGCTCTGAAAACACACACGAGACAGAGAGAGTTGCAGAGAGTGAGAGTGTGTGTGTGAGAAACAGAAAGAGAAAGAGAAGGAGAAAGCGAAGGAAAAGGGGAAAAAGACTGACTGTATGGGATGATGATGGAGGAGAACAACAACGTCATCGCGCCGTTCGTTATGAAGACTTACCAGATGGTCAACGATCCGACGACGGACAAGTTAATCACTTGGGGCCAAGCCAACAACAGCTTCATCGTCGTCGACCCTTTAGACTTCTCTCAGAGGCTCTTACCCGCTTACTTCAAGCACAACAATTTCTCCAGCTTCGTTCGCCAGCTTAACACATATGTGAGCATATATAACACATATAATTGTACCCTGATTTGATTAATTATCGGTGAAAATGAAAACCCATTTCTCAATTTTGATTATATGTGCAGGGATTTCGAAAGGTCGATCCAGATAGGTGGGAATTTGCGAACGAGTGGTTTCTGCGGGGCCAAACGCATTTGCTGAGGAACGTGGTGAGGAGAAAGCACATGGGTAAGAATTCGTATTCGAATTCGAATTCGACCACGTGCTTATTACAGGGGAAGCACGAGGAGCTTGACGACGAAGAGATAGTGATGGAGATTGCGAGGTTGAAGCAGGAGCAGAAGGCGTTGGAAGAAGAAATGGAGAACATGAACAAGAGATTGGAGGCAACTGAGAGACGACCCCAGCAAATGATGGCTTTTCTGCACAAAGTCGCGGAGGACCCTGAGATTTTGCCACGTATTATGCTCGAGAAGGATCGTACGTTCAGGGCGCAGTTGGGGGAGAAGAAGCGGCGGGTTATGATGATAACCTCGCCGTCGTCGTCTTCGTCGGGCATGGGGGCCACCAACTCCGTCAAGACCGAGGATGAGGATGACGGAACCGTAGGGGTAATTTCGTCATCTCCCGAACCAGGTTTTGAGATGGAGAGTTTTTATTCCACGTCTCCAGAGACGTCGACGGCGCGAGAGTGGGGGAGGCAGAGGCGGGTTGTGGATCGGGTTCGGGCTGTGCAAGACCCCTATAATATGAACCCGACGGTGTCGGGTAATGGGATCGGGAATAGTAGTAATTCCGGGTACGGGTATGGGAATAGAAATGGTGGTGCGGAAGTGGGTTATCTCACAGAGGAACCTACCCCTGCACCACCGCCTTATCCATTCTCGTTGTTAGAGGGTAGCTTTTAGTTTTTAGTTATGATTTTGGTACTTTCACAAGATTTATCTTGGCTTTTGGTATTACTTCCTTTTTATTTATCCTTTATTTAAAAAAAAAAAATTATTATGTATAACAAAAGAAAATAATTCAATTATGAGTTAACAATATTGTTTATGGTTCCCACCACAAAGGTGGTGGATTCCCCCTTCCCTCCATGGCATCTGGGTTCGAAATCCCAAGGGTCCCTCCATTGTAACCAAAAAAATAAAATATATTTATGTGTGAATAATACACACATGTCGACATTATGTCGGTTTAGATTTTGAAATGAATTTATTGGGAATTAAATTCGCATGTCTAATTCCGGGATAGTAGAATAGAATATGTTTATTTCCATATTTGAGAGCGTTGGGAAATAATAACAAATAAATGTCATTTTCCCTCATGAATGTATGAAATTCGCTCATCCATAAGAAGTTCATACCCATAAGTTAGATATTACTACATTAACTTAGTACTGTCCATTGCCAATGTTTTAACTTTTGGACATAATAATGCGTGATAGGTTTGAAATACCATTACGGTGGTATCTCGTTACATGTAAGTTTTTCTCAAAAAACCAAGCGAATCAAACGACTTCCACCCACTAATGTGCTATGAACTCCACATGCATTTACGATTGGTAACCGTCAATGACATGTGTAAAAGGGACCCCAGCTCTATAGAGTACAATCCCATTGAAGGATGACCCTTCGGACCCAAGAGGGGCGCAGTAAAATTACAGAGAGGCACACCCTCTCTGTGTAAGCATACCCTACCAAATATGTCACATTTGCACGCTTGCTGTGCCCTCACTCTCAGTGGATCGTAATAAGAGAGTGCCAAAAATACACAGGCGTGGCGCATGTGAAGGAAGTACCCTAAATTAATTACCAAATGTAATTATCAAGTAATTAAGATTAGTTTAGAGTCAAACACGATAGCCAATGATTAGCCAGGATTCTTGTCCATGCCGGAGACTCGTGTTTAATTACGCCTCCAATTCATATTCAAATTGGGTCAGGCTCCGATGCTGACGATGGATTTACGCGAGTGGGTTTACATTATGGGGCCCATCCAAGCCCAAACCCCGATTGGGTTTTCGGAGACTCGTGTCATGCGCTGGGAGAAACTAAACTCCACGATGAAAAATGGTTGTGGGTCCCAGTCTCCTTCAACCAAGTCCCTACCTTTCATCTTTCTTCTTTCCCCCACTTTTGGGTGGGGACCAGTCCCTCGACTCGTGAAACCACGTGGGGACAGCGAAAGTAGAAAGGACACGTGTTGGCTTCCCAATGCATCAACTTTTGATCTTCCTCCTCCTAAAGCGTTCACATGATATGAGACAGCGGTGAGGCCAAATGTGGTGCTACTCTGGCACACACTATCATGGTGGACGTTGAGCCCATGACCATGTAGGTCCACCACGTGTGGTATCTCAGTGAGTTCACCAACTATATATTCAATTGTATGTATGGGTATATTTTTAACCCAGAATAAATAAATAAATAAATTATGCACAGCTTGATCATGGTATCTTGTTTCTAAATAAAATTTTGTCATGAAAATGGTTTGTTGCTCGAGTAATTAAGATTATTTATTCATGACATGTACATGAGTTCGTGTGTCCGAATTCTCCGTCTTCCAATATCACTTATATATCAGAAAACAAATGATAGGACTCATGGCAATAGAATATGCTATGATATAAGGTTCAACTTTAGAATATTATTGTTGTATAATTTTTATTTTTCTCGTTATGTTTGTTTTTGTAAGCGAATATACTATAATTTTGGCGGACAAACGTACGGGAGGCTAATACCCATAGGGCAGGGAAAAGAGGGTGACACCTGTCCCTTACCAATCCGATGAAAGGCATTGTTGTCTTGTCTCTCAGGATGGGGGAAAAGGGGCCATGTATTTAGGTTAATTTGTCCACCACTAAACCATTTTTAATTAAAACGTGGCTTAGAGAAACGAGAAAACCAGCAAAAGTACAAGAAAAAAAAAGCGATGTGGCATTTGGGCTAATTCTGCATGTGATTATAAAATGAGAAAAGAGTTAGTAGGTAAAGAAGAAGAATTAAAAATTGACCTGGAAAATGAACAGTGTGTTTTCAATTCTTTTGGTTTCTTTTGATCGATCGCCAATCATACATGTAGAGTAAGATGATCAATATTCTGATAAACCAACACTAATGAAAAACAAACGAACAAACTCAATGCTAACTAGGCACAATATTTGATGCTGAATTTGAGTATTCTTTTAAGATCGTATCACTAGATTAATAATTAATTGTATATTAACTCGACAAGCTTAAACATATTAAGAAACTGATATTAGGTGCACCTATCTTTTCAATTTTTGTGGAGTGGGTGATTATTGTGTGGCTGTCTTTGTGTTTATGTGCTTTTGTTTTGAGAGGACGTTTTGGTTGTGTTAGTCGATATGTGGGTCTCGGCTTCTCGGTGGTGGCATCGCTGTTGTTATCCCGGCTAGGTTTTGATTTTTATCGTGCTTTTGTGGGCTTTATGTTATTAGTGGGCTTAATGTCTTTGGTGAACCTTATGCAAGAAAGCTAAAATGAGGGGTTATAACTTATAATGAGAAGGTCCTTAATAGTTATATGATCCAGTGCAAAGTTATTATTGAACTGTTAGATTAAACCCCCTCATTGTAACCCTTCAATAAAGCTCCTCATAAGCAGTGGGCTTTCCTCCTGTAATAAGTTTTATTGAAACTTGCTTTCCTCCTGTAATAATTTGTATATGATATCCACAGATAAAAGATATGGACATGGACCCTTAATTATATTCTCATAACTTAGCTATATGTAAGCTTCAATTCAAGTAAAGTAGTGTGAGAGAAATCAAAGAACGGTTTTGTGGCCCACTCCATATATATAAATATTATCCATCACATCTCCTGTTGCTAGCTTTTACATTGCTTTCTCATGTTATGAGGCCCATAATTCAACCAATGACCACATTCCAGTTATTTGGACCGTATACCAGTCCATGATGCCACAGAGCAACATGATGGAATCTATATATCACTATCAAATTTGTTTTGTTTTAAATGGACTCTCATCTTACTGAAGGCTCTTTCGTGGAAAGACAATTAAGCAAATGAACAGGTGACTTGTGCTAAACAAAAACCATATGAACACATGAATGATCATGAACCATATGACAGTCATAGGAGGGCATCTAGTTAGCTTTTTAATTAGCCAGATAATTAATACATGTTGCTAGAATTATATATCCAATTAGCAGTGTCTTTTGGGGGAATCGCATCCGCTCGAAGGAAACGAACTGCGGTTTTTTAGATTAATTTGGTAATTAACAGCAGCACCTAGTCTATTCGGCAGATATGAAGTGCCCAACTAGCTAGGACTGCAGAATCTTCTAAATATATAAAGTTTGCTATATACGGACTCTGGTTGTGGTTGTGGAATGTGTAGAGAGACTAGTATATTCGAAAACGAATTTGGTTGGAGGAGAATGAATCACCATGTTAGAGAGATAATAGCATTCATCACCAGAAGCATGATCATTGAAAAGCCTAGCTAGTATTTGCATGCTAAGTATGTATTATATGCATATACTTTCCCTTAAAATATTCGACCTCTAATAATTTATCTGCCTTTCGAGCTGAATCAAAAGTGAATTAAGAGCTTGTTTTAGTTAAAGTTGTTGGGATTAATAACACACGTACGTCTCTTTACTACAACTTGATTCGCCAACTTAACACTCAAATATTACTGATGAGTATGACTAGTCCAGCAATATCTATTCTCCACATATATTGTCATATTACAATTTGGAGACCTCAAATGATCAACAAAGTTAACCTTAATTAAATAAATGTACGATAGTAACCGGATGTTTTAGCGGTATGCGTATTCATACACTAAGTATACTATCTATATACGTTTTCATTGTATATATACCAGTCTCGTTCTGGAAATATTATTTTCTGGTAATCAGCACCCAGGTCAGGTGTCATGTTTCATTGCGTCAAATCAGATGCTTTACTTTCTGATATATTCTTACAATCGGGCCAGTATAATATATGAAAAAGACAAGCAAGAAACCAATTAAAGGGGAAAAAAAAGAAAAAAAGAAAAGAAAAGAGAATGGTATTGATCCTTCCCTCCAAGAAATAAGATTATCTTATAAACAAGTAAACTGGCCCTTGCAAATTGCAAACTTTCATTAACCTACTTTGCTTATATATAATATTACATTAAGCTTTAATAATTAGATGCATACATGCATGACATTCCTATTAATCTTTATTTAAGACCCCACATTGTTAACTAACTCGTAAAGGCTATGGCTAGAGATTTAATTATAAATTATGGTGAGTGCCGCGCGGGATTAAATAAAGATTAATGTTGATGACTTATTAATTAACGACAATATGTGTTTTTGATACCAGTCGCAAAGTCTTACCTAAAAAGAGAACGCTTTTCCCCCCTTCACTCTTCAGGTAGGTGTTGAGTCTTTTCATTTGAGTATGAAAAGAGATCACTAGCTAGTGTGTACACTTAGTTTATAATTAAGAAACAAGCTTCTGGTAAAGTTGTTTTATAATTAAGAAACATGCACTGAAATCTTAATGGGGAATAAGAGAGCGAAACATGATTCTAACAAACCCAATAATAACTCAGGCATATGAGATTAGTCAAATCCAGTGGTGCCTTCTTTGTATAAACTAATCAAGGATTTTAAAAGTTGACTTTTGTAAGTGAGTGTACCTAATCTAGCAAATTAGCTAGGATTACCGTTCCATTAACATAAAAACTCACTAAGACTTCAAATAATAAATTTGAAAAAAACAGTGAACATTAGGGAATTTGCTAACGGAATATCCTCAATTTATTTTGGTAACACGCATGCTTAATTTTTACTTATAAGAAATGAGTCTTTTCACATCAATTTGAAATTCGAATCTTTATAAGAGTAGTACATGGGTCACGTACAATGGGATCATTGATTTTCAGGCATACGGATTCTTGATACGTCTCCTAAAATCTGTCAGATATCATATCGATCTTGATGATGGCCTGAAATATTTGTTCTTGTATATGCTAGTGCATGCTAGCTGCTTGAGTGGAAATAACAATGAGAAATTGACAATTCGATGTACTTTGGTATTTATAAGTTGACCTGGTAACATTGCTTAGGTCGTTGACACATCCAATCACATACACAACTGCCCCACCTTGGAAATTTATTCCCATCCAATCAGATATGCATGGGGGTATTTTTTTTTCCCCCAAATTTATATAATGGTATTCCAATATGTAAAAGTAAGAAGATGTACGTTCCATTTTCGGAAGGAGAATTGACACAAAGTTAGGGATGAACGGTTGGATTTGGTAAAGGGAATGATCTCTCCTTCAAGCCTTGGACGCACAAACATTATTCCAATCATACCCCCCACATCATAGGAAGTTGACACGTGGCTAAGGGAGGATACACCCTGCGTCACCACGTACGTACTACTCGCTTTGCTAAGGCTGGAAAACACCCAACACACCGAGGGCGTCTAGCATTAATTTAGAAGATCAAACCTCCCTTTATAATTAATTTGGATCCACCTCTAGTTTCTCTAGCTGTAGGTCGAATAAGGAGTTTGTAGCTCAAGTGATTAAGAGCGGTTGTTCTTAATATGATGTTCTATGTTTTATTTCTCATTCCCTCAATATTGCTTGTCTACAGTATTAGTGATGATTACAAATAAAACAAACTTACATGGATGTATAAGCGATATATGTTTATATATTCCTTGAAATCCAACATTATTTTTGTGATGACGACGATGATGATGCATTTGGCGGCAGATGCGGGGATGGTTAATTTCTAAACTTTCTCGACCATTTTTTCGCAGCTAGTTTTGTATTTTCCTCTGATTCTCTATCACCAGCCATCTTAATCTCTAAGCTCTCTTTGGTAATATAAGATGGTCAAAAAGGGCATCACGTTTCACGAATGGTTCCAAATTCCAATACCTAAGAAAGCGTTATGATTGGACGGTTAGGAACTATAGTCTCCATGGAAATATCAGTTGGGCCAATATTTGCTCAAAGAGAGATTCTTCATCCACCAAGTGTCTTGTGGGGCCCTTCAAACCTTGTAGCTGCAATAGTTGCAACTACTAAAGGTGTAAAATCTCACTTGCAACTTGCAATGGTGTGATTTAATTCATTACAGTATATGTAATTATAATAAGAAAATACAGTAATTAATACATTATATTCTTAAGAGCATCTACAATGGTTCTTCAATAGTTGAACGCAATAGAAAAAATACATTAATTAAATTACTTTTTTCAAACATATTCAAAATTGGTCTCTTTTTAAAGATCTCTTTGAGAATATTGTAATGGTACAATTTTTGGTGTTATTAAATTTATCCCTTTTGTTTTATTTTAGTATGTAAAAACGACGTGTAAGTAGATATAACTATTGATATATATATGAAGCTAAGAGAATATTGAACCGTACCATTGCAAGTAAAATTGCAACTCAATTCAATAGATGCTAAAAAATATCAATTTATTGAACTATTGAACAACTACTGTCGATCCTTAGCACCCCCAAAATATCCATTTCAAAACAAAAGTTATTACATGTATATATTGGGTGACCATGTGATGTTCATGTCATCAATCAGCACCGTCCACTATGTCCTTTGATTGAGTAAGTACTGTGTCATCATATCAATAACATCCTAGCTAGCTAGAGTAGATACTTGTCCTTGTAACTAGAATGTTTGCTCTCTCTCTCTCTCTCTCTCTCTCTCTCTCTCTCTCTCTCTCTCTCTCTGATGAAGTGGGTGAAGAGGCAGAAGGTTGTTGTTGGTTAGTTATTATTACTAACATAGATATCAGATGTCCCACTTAAATTACAATTTACCACTGAGCCTACTATATGCCTGCCATTTATGTGTATATATATTGACCCCAATTCAATCCCTTTATGAATACCTCCCTCCCCTATTTGTCCTCCCACACTCACTCTGCCTTTGTTTAGCAAAAGTGTTGTCTCTAACTTCTTAACTCTCCACCTCTTTGCCTCTCCCTCCATTTGAACAAAAACAAAACCACCAAACCCTCATTGCGCATATTGGACAAGACCCATCTCTTTGTACTTGCCAATATTCTCTTCAGCCTAATCTCATTGATCATTGGTCACCCTAATTAATCAGCTTTTTCTTCTTAATTTACTTCAAGATTTGAAGTACAATTAGTACTTGATCAACTTTTAAGCACTATATATATATATATATATATTGCTGATTTTATGGACTATTTGAAAGAATTGGAAGGCAAAAGACTTCATGATCACTTTGAAGCAAAGATGGCCGCTAAAACTACAAGAAAGCGTATATTTGTTCCTGGCCCGGTCATAGTTGGAGCTGGCCCTTCTGGTTTAGCTGCTGCTGCTTGTCTCAAAGAAAAAGGTATTCCCAGCTTGATCCTTGAAAGGGCTAACTGCATAGCTTCGTTATGGCAGCTTAAGACCTATGACCGCCTCCGCCTTCATCTCCCCAAGCAGTTCTGTGAACTCATACTCATGCCCTTCCCTTCAGATTTTCCCACTTACCCAACCAAACAGCAGTTTCTGGCTTACCTAAATGCTTATGCTGAACACTTTGATTTGAAGCCTGTTTTCAATATGACAGTGGTGAGTGCAAGGTTTGATAGCAGATGTAGGCTTTGGTTTGTTAAGGCTTTGGGGTTGAAAAATGAGGAGACTGAGTATGTTTGTCAATGGCTGATTGTTGCCACCGGTGAAAATGCTGAGGAGGTTGTGCCGGAATTTGAAGGGGTGGATGAGTTTGGGGGGCCTATTGTTCACACCAGCTCTTACAAGAGTGGCGAGTTGTTTAGGGGAAAGAAGGTTTTGGTGGTTGGATGTGGGAATTCAGGCATGGAGGTGTGTTTGGATCTCTGCAACTACAATGCAAGCCCTTCCCTCGTTGTAAAAGATTCGGTGAGCATACTCAAACTCTGCGTTGCCTGCCATTAACCCAATTTTACATTTTTTCTTTTCCATCTCACATATATATATATATATATATATATTCTCAATTCATTTCATTATTAATACCGCGGTGGAGAATATACAGCTTCAGTGATAGAACATTTACCTACTAATGACGAGACTTCAAATTCTCGTCCTCTCCCTTTATATGGTTTCAATCTCAGTACTTTTCTAGTTATTGTGAGTTAAGGTTCTCTCTAATTTCTTTAAAAGGTAATGCTTGATTCCAATTCAGAGTGCCTCTAGCCAGATGATAATAGCCAAACCTAGTCTGACTACTTTTCAAATTTTCTTTTATAAAAAAAAGTGAGTAGTATTTTAAAAGTTTCTTCTTTTAACACACATGCACAATTAGTTTTTGATGATTAGTGGTAGATGTTGTTGACAATATGCTAAGCTAGCTTGTCCTCTAACAAAAGACGAAGTCATTCTTCTCTCACTTTCTTGGAATTCGTTTGCATGCGCAATCAACATGGGTCACAAAAACACAAAATCTCATGCCATATATATATAATCTATGATGATGCGGTAGCTAGCTAGCTTTCCCACGTACAAAATGTTCTTTTGCAGAGAATCAGCAGCCAGTGGTGTTACTCTAGCTCGTTACACAATCTATCATATTTTTATTTGTTTTTTTTTCTTCAGTGCTTTTAGAAAATTATTTCTGAATTTTGTTCGTAAAATATCAATTGTTTGTAGGTGCACATCTTGCCGCAAGAGATACTGGGAATATCAACTTTTGGATTGTCCATATGGTTGCTCAAGTGGTTCCCCATGCGCCTTGTGGATCATTTTTTGCTTCTTGTCTCACGCCTCATGTTTGGTGACACTGCCCAGTTTGGCATCAACCGCCCAGAGCGTGGCCCTCTCGAGCTCAAGAGCATGACCGGCAAGACACCTGTTTTGGACATTGGCACACTTGCTAAGATCAAAACTGGCCACATCAGGGTGCTTATGTTTATTATAATTGTGCGCTTAATAAGTTTAATTAGTCCTGTGTTGCGTGACTTTATAGATAGATTAATCATAATCAAGCATGGCTAATCAGACTATTGCGCCTTGTAGGTTTGCAAGGCAATAAAGAAACTAAAACATCAAGCTGTGGAGTTTATAGATGGGAAAGTAGAGAATTTTGATGCCGTCATTTTCGCAACGGGGTACAAAAGTAATGTAACATCTTGGTTGAAGGTACGTATACTAATGGCAACTTTGTTTGATTAACTACTAATCTTGTTGAAGTTAACTTGGGTTAAGACTAAGGAAACTTTCTTTTTGTTATTTTTATTTTCTCAGGAAACAAACATGTTTTCAGAAAAAAATGGATTGCCCCGGAAGCCCTTCCCAAACGGATGGAAAGGGGAATGTGGATTGTACTCAGTGGGGTTTACACAACGTGGACTGCTGGGCGCGTCTCTTGATGCAAGAAGGATTGCAGAGGACATCGAGCATAGCTGGAAAGCTGAGGCCACACAGCTTGTGCGCTGCCACCAACACCACCACCACAGCCTTGATTATATTAAGCAAAAATAAACTGCATATCATATACCGGCGGTGAATATCGAAGATAGTTTATAAAAAACAAAATTATTGATCACTTTATATATATATGCAGCTGCCTTTGACAAGACCGAGGAATTTGGTTCCTTTGCTAGCTACCCCAGTAGAGCGAAGGACCGAGGAATTTGGTTCCTTTGCTAGCTACCCCAGTAGAGCGAAGGAAGATAAGAAAAGAAAAGAAAAGAAAGCAAAGAAAAAGAGAGGGGAAAAAAGGTTGTGGGGTTGAAAATGGAAGTTGGGTTCCAATTCCAATCATTCAATTATAATAGTATGCCTAGGGGGATGTTGGGTGCAACAAAAAGTTTAATGCTTCTTTTGGGCTGTGGGGATTGGTGGTTCTTCTCATCATCAATTCGTACGTATATCTTGTAAAATTACCACTTTTACTTTAGCTTACTAGCTAGGATATATTAGGGTACTGTTTGATTAATTAAGAGAGACTTTGGGTTTCTCAGATTTGGTTAATCAGGTTTATAATTTTTGTGTCTGATTTTAAGATGATCGATGGTGTTGTGATCGAATTTATGTGAAGTATAAGCTATAAACTGAATTTTCATGTGATTTGGGATTGGTGGTGTATATAGAGAATATGACATTTCATCAATATGATCACTTGTACCATATAAATGTTGGTTTCACCTACAATGCATTTAAATGTTAAACTCCATATGCCAACGAGGTCTAGCTCAGTAGAAAAGGCCATTAACTTGCAGACCAGATGTCTCGGATTCGAACTCCAATAACATCTTAGTTGTGTGCATCTCGGTGAGAAACCCCCTCCCCACTAGTTTAGACAATTGTTTGTACTAAAATAAAAAAAATAAAGTCCATATTTGATTTATTCCCCTTTGCAATAAAGTTTGAATTCTCCTTCTTGTATATTTTAGACTATCATATTTATATACATAAAATAACTTTATAATTGATTTAATAAAACTAGGTTATTATTAAAGATCTTCGGAAAGAATTACTGTGTATACATATATCCATATTTATTTATATATAAATGTTTACTAATCCAGAATTGAATTGAGGAGGATTTTGAATGAGGAGAGTTAGAATCCGGATATTCCCATTAAAGTTGTTTACTAAACCATATGGAATCGAGGTAGGAGTGGTGTTGATTCCTTATAAGTTGTCTACTAAATTCTCATGAATCGGAATTGAAATTAGTTTGATTAGTAAAAATACTCTTGTTTTTGGGTCAAATTTGAAAATTTAAAAAATATGTGAGGATAGAATGGGTAGAAAAGATGGATTTATGATGGGTTAGTTATTCAATAATTAGAATACACATCCCACCCAAGAGTCCAATTCCTCCAAAATAAGGAGTTGAACTACTAATCTTGTGTGGGCTCCACTTGCATTTTCAAACATCATTGTGAAGTAAACACAAAAGTAATCTGTAATCGAAATCCAATTTCTTTATTTTGATTCCAATTACGAATTAACCTAGACCTGGGGACCATATATCATCACATGTATCCGAATTGGGGCCGGGAAATGAGAAAGTAAAAAGTGATTGGAAAAGATAAGAAAAGAGAAATCATGTTGGCCAAATAAAAAGGTCCCCAGGGCCGTGGCCATCATGATCAGGTTCTTATATCATATCTGTATATCTTGTTCTGCTGCATATGATTATTATGATATATTTTTGAAATATTTGGTGATCAAATTGCATTAATTATTATCCTTATTGCCCGAGCTATAACTGGGCCTTTATATCCTCATCAATTACTCGGACCACCATGACCTTCTTGGGCATTCGCAGAATATCCACCACAACTTGACCTTGTCATCAACACTTAGGGGCATAACATTTATGACCATTATTCTATCAATGTATATATAATTAAAGTAATTTTCATGTCTGATTGTTGAAAATTATTTGTGAATCAACAACAAGGGTCGGTGTATCAGTTTCAATTCTAAGTGATCACGACTAACTTCCCAATTATTTTTTTGCGTGTGTGTGTTGTGTATTGACAAAGCCAATATAAAAATGTGTGAAGCTGTGCATGAATGAGACGGACAGTGAGACAAGTACATGGTAGAATATAGAGGGTGTTATTAGTTAGGGTTTAATGATTTGTTGTTGGCGGGTTTTATTCCGACCGATTGGAATTTACGAAGCATATGCATACATATACAAATCGAATATTGAGCTTCTGCAAATGAAGACAAACTAGCTAGTTGTATATAAGCACAGAGAGAGAGAGAGAGAGAGAGAGAGAGAGAGAGAATCAACATCTTGATTGAAGGTTTTCTCTACTTGTAAAATCCCAATCAGGACCAGCAAGTGTGGCCTACTAATAATTGCCTCGCAGCCATGGCCCATGAGATCCCATAATGCCATATTTAATCAAACTCCTCATAATTTGCTACTCCTCCTTTTGCTGCCGACTATTTTCTCTAATCATGTTTCATATCCTTATAATTTATAAATATGTGATATATATATATCACATATGATCGGAAATTCGAAGGTTACTAAAAGAAGGGGAAAAAAAATTCCCAATGTCATTTTTAAAGAAAAATATGTAATAATGAGATAAAGTGAGAATTTGCTCTCTTCTGGGTTAGAGCATCCAATCCTGCATGCTTCATGAATCGCATCTTATCCCAAAATCAAAATCAATTCGCAATGAAAAAGTAATTAAACTCCTTATACTCACATGCAAAATTTCGTAACTTTTCAGTGTAGTAGATTTCTTGAGATCCACACATATGACCTACTCTTGTCAAGTCTCTCAACCACCTTGAGTTTGAGTTGGGTTGAAAATTAGGACGTAAATGGTCCATAACACGTGATAGCCAGGCGTATAGTATGTGCGGCAACCCCCATCACAGCTTTCCCCAGTGTACGTATACACATGGAGCACATGCTCATCGATTTAGACTGCCAATATTTTCATAGATTTACAGCCTTTATTATCCGTGGTCCAACAATATTAATTACCCTAACTGTTTTGATTGAGGGCCCTAACATTTCCGCAGGACCATTAATTTCCCATCACTTAAACATCATCAAATGCATAAAGAAAAACTAATTAGTCAAAAAAGGAACGATCCTAGTCTTGTAGTTAAATTACTAAGTTTAGAAAAACCGTAGAGGAGATGGAAAGAGCAAATTGGGTAAGGCCACTAGTCACCAGAGGCTGGCATGAAAATGGATCTGAATTCTATGTGACTTTATTACGTAGGTATGATAAGGGCAAGACATGCAGGCGCGAGGGCGTGTGAGTAAGAACAGAGACGACTTGTCAGAGGCATTAGGGTATTTCGAGATGGACATGACACCTTTATATTTTACACACATCATATATTCCATCTCTCTAGTCTCTACTCTACCTTATACCTTTGCTACCTAACAAACATATCTATACTATACTTCTTCTTCTTCTTCAAGTATCTACCTAGCTAGCTACATATCGATTATGGACCACCACTTGCAACTTGTCTTCTTCAATCATCCATCCTTCCGCATGTTATGCGATTCCAAAGTTGAAGATTGCACTCAGCCTCCACTTTCCTCTTTCGTGAAATCTCTATTTTCAATTCTTTCATAATATCTGAGAAATCTTACATATCTATATCTTTCAACTTATAAATGATCATAATAATTATTATTAAGGACCAACTAATCATGTGATCTCAATGTGACGAGGAGTTGGCGATATGAGGGAGGCCAGGTGTGCACCTGTCACTATTATTTGTTCTAACATCAAACACTTGGAATGATATATATGATGTAAAACAAGACTAGAAGATCATTCCCCCATCAAGTAGCCACAAAATTGTTTGAGTAAGCTAGAAGTTTTTCCAACGTCGATCGTATAACATTTAATTTCATAGCCGCCGACCTTGAGTAAAACCAAACCTTGTCATTATCAATCTATTTTAAAACCAAGCCTGCATATACATGTCAATTCTAAAGACCATAGACTCCAAACCACTTTTTTCCCCCATGTGACCCTAGCTCTTGTCACCCAGCAGGGCTTTGAGAAAGAAAGCGGTAAAAAAGACGATGCTTCTTTTTCTTTTTCTTTTTCTTTTTCTTTGTCACTGAGCAAGTTTTGTTTGAAGGAGCGAAAGCATGCATATGTCTAAAGAGAGCTGCAGACTTGCTTAAAGGGGAGAGAGAGAGCCAACTCACTTAACCCACTTGCTCACTTTATTCGCCCCCATCTTCTTGGAATCTAAGTGGATCTTTGCGAATCTTCCCTGGGTTTCAAACCAGGAAAAGAACAAAATTCTCATGCGTTTTGAGTTCCATGTTTGCTAGGGTTCCAACTTGGTAATTCATGACTCATGAGAGAGTTTGCAAGATGTGATGTGTTGTTGTTGGGTTCCACCAAAAGTCTAAGTGGAGAGATAGATCCAAAGATTCTGTCATCGGTGCGCACCATTTTTCATCCATCTCATCATTCTTGTACTTTTTCTTCATTAGACACAAAGCTCAACCCTAGACATCAAAATCACTTGTTACAAGTCACGGACACATGTTTGCACGCTGCTGGTTCATCTTCTTTTGGTTCAACATTTGTCTAGTTATAAAGTTTACCTTCAAAAAAGAAAACACTAACAAATGTGGAAATCATAAAGTTCAACGCTATACAGATATACTGAGGCCTAGAGGAAAATCATAAAGGAAGTCATTTTTATATTTACCACAAATCGTTTTGGTTAAATCTCGATTTTACTGAACTTTCATATAGAAATCATTTTCACACTTCATCGATAACTTTTTCTTATATATAAAATTCTATTTTTTTAAACAAAATTAATGTTTTATTGTGGATAACTAAAAATATTCTTTATGTAATCCCGACAATGTAGGTGAGTCATTCTATAGTGTGAGTCTTATCTTATGCCCTAAGTGACACACATGCTAGGACAAATTAGTTATATCTTTAGAAAAATGAGTGGGTGGTTAGAAGCCCCTCTATGATCGATGATCATAGAAATTCATAGAAAAATGAATAACAAGTCAGTTAACAGAATCAACGAATGAGTTATGCTTATGGTTAGAGGTGAAATGGTCAATGAATCTAAGAAATAGTGAGAATTTGCTCCCTTCTCCTTGGTCCAAAGCCCTTAGATAAAGTCCTATCTTTTAATCGTATGATTAAATTAACCAATTTGATTCAATGATTAAGAGATAGGGTCTCATCTAAGGCCCTAGATGAGACCCTCACTATCGAATTCTTGCAGCGTGGGTTGAAGCTATTTGGGCTAGACCAAAAACAAAAATAACAATATATATATTTGGGCTAGTCTCTATCTGAGCCGACTAGACGTAAATCTGATGAGTTCAAATGGATCAGAAAGATGTTTTGCCCAATAATGAGATTGGGCTTGTATGTGAGCCCAAAAAGATCAATTGAAAGTTAAGCTCATTAATCTTTTTACTGTCCGGAGCATGTAGCCCACATTCAGCCCGCATCGCCAAGCATCGTGTGCAACAACCACTGTAATGTAAACTCTGCGAAAAAACCATTTTCAGGAAGAAAAAGAAAAACAATCAGGATTATGGAAGTTGCCAATATAATTGGTTCGATTCAATTGAATATAAATTGTTGCAACCGGATTGATATAGGGTTCATTAGGTTTGAAGGGTAAAATTTGTGTGTTCTCCAGTGTATTTTAGAAAAACTAAAATAACACTGAACAAACATACAAATCTCCCTATACAAACATCTAGGTTAGGAAGGAAACAATAAGAAGCATCCATTTAAGCTGCTAATGTCACCCAATTAGTATCCTCATTAGCCATTAGCATGCAACCGTTATTCAAGTAAAGAATTTGCCCCACATTTCTTATATTTCTCACTTAGACCATATGTTAGGTCCGAACATTCGGAAGGGGAAGAAAATTATCATTAGATATAATGTATATACATAACATTGTTACGCGAAATTAAAGTTAGTCGCGGTCTGTAAAACCATCAGTGAAAACACTTGGTCATAAAAATGAGATGAGGTGATCACAATTCCAATTAAATCCATTAATGAATAATAATATAAAAAAAATCAAATTATTTAGACAGAGGCCGTCACACACACAGAAACAAAAATGTCAACCGACCACAGATAGAAATCTATGAAGAACAAGAATACACAACTGACTTGAGAACAAATAGAATGTAAAAGACAAGAACTGAGAGGTTCAGAATTTAATTACTGCTAACAATTTTGGTTCCTTTAATTAGGACATCATCAGAGACCTTGGCCTCAGCCTTGACTTGATGCTGCGTGCTGGTGTGGCTGCTGCTGGTGCTGCTGGACCAAAAAACTCAGCATACACGTCCATGAAAAACTTGTCCACAATTTCTAAATAGGCAGGGCAAGTGAGCCTAGAATAATAATGAAGAACCTCTTCTATGTCCAAAACATGATCCACATTGCTCATGTCAAGCATCTCCATCTCCTTTATCTTCTGTGCCACCAAGCAACCCTCTCGAAGCTCCCTCGATTCCTTTGTAACAGTTTTCGTCTTTTCGTCTCTGTTCTTGATCACCGTCCTGTTTTTAAGATCATATTTCTCATAATTTTTATTGATCTTTGCAGGAGGAGGACTTGCATGATAAGCATTGAGCTTGGTGAAGCTTGTTGGGCTCTGAACTTCTTGATGGTGGTCTTGTAATTTGGTGGGTGTGGAGATAACTTTCTTCTTGTTTGATCTCCTCATCTTTTCAATTTCGGAATCCCATTGGTCTGTGAAGTCAGTGTACAGCTTGTCCAAGTCTTTGTAACTTGTGGTGTGGAGATTGTTGAGGTCAACAGCAGTAGCATATTGAAAGGGGTTGTTGTAGACAGGAGGAGATTTTGGGAGCTTTTCGTAGCTTCCTGCAGAGAAGAAATTCTTCAAGTTCCCGAGGGTTTTCTGGAAGAACCTCTTGGTGTTGGAAATGGGATTTCTAAGCAGCATTGGTGGCACTTTTGGTGGGTGTGCTGATTAATTAAGTGGGAGTTGTTGGGTTTTTTTTATTTTTCTCAGTGAAAAAATTGAGGAGAGAGACTGAGAGAATAGTTTGAAATTCTTCTGTCAGTGGTTTTGGGTTGTTGTGGATGATGATCTGAGTGCAGAAGGAAGGTTTCTTTATACAGATAGCAGAAGCGGAGGAGCCATGGAAGGTTGTTTAACGTTGGATGGAGAAAAGGGAATAAGTGCTCCTCCTCTCTTTGGCTTTTTTCCCTTTATGTTTCTTTGTCTCCACACGCTCCCTTGCTTCCTTGTTCTTTTTGGAAAATATGTTTCTTTCTTCGTTTTGGGATCATGATGACGAAATGAAAGATATATTGAAGCTAAAGGTGGTCACTTGCTTCTTTACATATATATAATTATAACAATGTTTCGTTGCTTTTACTTTTGAAGGTGGAGTTGGTGTGTAGGCTCTTCAGGAAAATGAAAGGCGCGGGTGGTTGTTAGACTAAGTCTCTCCTCGCGTAAAAGGAGTGAGCACAACATACTGTTATGGCCAACTGACCCTGATTCATATTTCCGTATTAGCTAATCTTATTAATCGCACTGTTATGACCAACTGAATTGACTTAATTCACATTTCCGTATTAGCTAATCTCATTAATCACACTGTTATGGCCAACTGACCTAATCCGTATATCCGCATTATCTAATCTCATTAATTACCTTTCCTTTTTCTACTCCCATATACACAACTATATGCCTGTATGGTATACAAAAACTATTATGATATTTAAAAGGTGTTGAGAATGAAATCAATCCCATCTAGATAATGACATTCTAGCTTCTTTAATTTCCAATTTTGGTTCTTTAGTTGGTTCTTGCAAATGGAAGTTGCCAAATTGATATGCTCTTCGTACCCTTTATTGGGTAAGAGAAAGCCCAACGATTCGGTTTCCACTCACTTGAAAAGTGCCCGTCTCTACCATCCATCCAAAGGCTCCAAAAGCTGAAATAATACATGGGATGCTTTTGGTTTGTGGTTCTCCTCCAAGGTTAAAATGGTTGTCTAAGATTTGTTTAATTGAAATGAGACATGAGCAAAAGGCTTAACCAATGTCATACAAAAGAGAAGAGAAAAATTAAAACAAACCAGCAAATTACAAGGCCAATGTAGATGACCTTACGGTTGTTGGGGTGGCCAAATTGAGAGAGTGAGTGAGAAGAAAGTGATGCAGCAGCAGCTGATGAGTGAAAATGACTGAAGAACAGCTCATAGGTCTAGCAGATGGTTTGGCCATTCACAGCATGCCACAAGTCGTCCTAGAGTTGGAACCAGTCTCTTTCATCTCATCAGTGACTCAGTCCTCCTAGCTTACCCTGGGCTCAAGATCACTGCTGCTGCTTAAGGCTAACCTAATCTCATGTGACATGCCTATGCCTAACACTTGTTCCACTTAAACCATACACCCAACGTTCTCCACCACAAACCATAAGTCCTAACAAAACCCTAAATTTTTAATACCATAAATCAAGTATTAAATTAGATTTTGATAATATGTCTTAGTTACATATTACTGTTATTTATTTGTGAAATTATTTTATTTTTTATACAAGCGATAGTCTAATTTCTTTCAAATTAATATAACTTACAGAAGATATTCAAATTTGAGTGCAATGGAGCGAGCTCATTATCATGAAACCATCTTATTCAAAAATGAAATACTTAAATGCACCTATATTTTTATAACCCTGGGCTATCCCATGTGCCCAACCTCATGTGGGCTTTTGCAGGGTTTAATTGTGTGGTTTAATCTCCTCCCAGAGCCAGGCTATAACGAAGAAAAGCCCAATTGACCTGGGAATATGTGAGTAAGAGAGAGAGAGAGGGCACAAGAACCCAAAATATGCTAGAATTAATGAAAAATCGTTAGCCCAATGGAGATGCAGAGGTATGAGCATGAAGAGGCTCAGTAACCAAAAAAATGCGACCATTAATGCAAATATAGGCCAATGCAGGCAACCCTCAAATGTAACATCATTGGCACTGTAAGACATTCTTACACAGTGCCTGCAGGCTGCAGCTTAGCCCTCCAATTTTATTGGCCCGTCATAAAAAAATCCAATGCCTCTCTGGTTCAAGTTCATAGAAGCAAGAGAAGCCAAATCTCTCACAGTGTGTAACATAGCTATCAAAGTATCAGACATGGAAATAAAAGCCATATACGTACATTCTACCCCAACGGTCCCCCACTCCATCTTCAAAAATATCAGATCCACTGTTTTCCCATTCCATTATGTCATCTCTTTCATTTCAATTTTAGTTTGAAGCAAAACCCATTTGCCCCATTTCCCTTCCCTTGAAACAGACGCATCAGTTTTCATGGAAAAGCTACCACTGCTGCTGCTGCCATTGACATCTCAGTTTCAAGGGCCGTTTCGGATGGAAAGTGTCCTCATCTGCATAACAAAACAAACAAAACCTTATTTTCCTTTTTCAGTTTCTGTATACACAAAATTGCCAAATTGGGCAACATTTTTTCTGTAAAGCCTGGTTTTCATTTTTGGTCAGATCATGAGGCTATGAATGCCTGTTGGTAGGTTTCAATCTGAAATTGAATGCTGAAAGATGTTGGAAGGAGGCTATGCTGCAGACCTACAGCTAGCTATATTTGATGTTAGGGTGGTAGGGTGTGCTTGGTTGGTCTTGCCTCTGTTTGCGATATACAAAATCGAATCAAATTTGATGCTATTAACTATGGAGTAAACAGTTGTGGTTGACAACACAACAAAAATCAATGGCCCAATGATATATCTTTGTCTGGCTTGCATAATTTTCTTGTCCACCGCCACTGTGCCAATAATCCTAGTCAATTGTATGGATATGAAGCTCACAGTGGATTATTAATCAAACTCGCAAAAGAAGGTGGTTGGTTACTTATTTCTTTATATGGGGCAAAAGCATATTACTCATCACATTTTCTTATGCCATTGTTTTTTAATTTTTTTCAATTTGTTTGACCAACCATTGCACAAAACCAACTTGTAAGTTTATTTTTTTAAAAGACTTAAAAGGGAAAACTCAGAAAAATGGAGTGATTATACTACTGTAGTACGGTAATGTAGTACATTTTGTACATGTGTTATAATATAAGAGGATATTTATTGATACTATTCCTTAAAATGGAAAAATAAACCATGACGTCCATCTTGTACATCTTATAACACGTGACCACGCTATTTTAATATTCTATAACCTCTCCCAAAGATGAAGACTTAAAAATGAGAAAACCCCCAAAAAAATGTTCAAATTAACTCTAGTTTTTTTAGGTAGGGAGAAGGTAGGCTGCATGTGGTACAACAATAATGTTCAATCACAAGAACTTACCTTTAAGGGATTTTGAAAATTGGATTTACCTTTTTGTATTCTTTTGGTGCAATCTTGGAATGAAAATTCAAAAAGTCCAACCACACAGAAAAATGAGAGCAACTTTATGTGATCTAACACTTGCTTTCCCCATCCTAGTGTCCAAGTTGAAAAAGTTTCATCCCACATTCAAAAAGTAATGGAAACATCCATAGACTTTTTTCCTCCTGATATACTTCCCTGAAACAATCTTTTCCAAAAGCATCATGGAAACTGCCACACCATGTTCATGTCAAAAGCAATTGAAATGCTACCTCTTCTTATTTTCTTCTTTCTTTCTTTCTGCTTCATATTTTCAAACAGCAATGTCTTTTCTGTCAAATCATAAAAGAGAACAAGAAAATAAACAGGTACTCACCCAGAAAAGCAGTAGAAACAAACAGGAATCTAAAGGCCACTTTTAGTCCATTCAACTCTAAAACAAACAGATTCACAGTTTCTAAGAATGAAAAACAAAAACAAAAAAATCAAATACAGAGAAAGGTAACTAGAAGTTAGAATTCTAACTATTTCTTCCTTAGAAAAACACAGATTACAGAGGAAACAGAGAGAACAGAGAAAACAGAGAGGGTTTTCTTCAAGATCCCCAGTTAGAGAACAGAGCTTCCCAAATCTCAGTGAAAACCTCAAGAATAACTCTATGATGAAGAGACGAATTCAGTGACAGAAAACACTGCAAAAGCTGCTCGAGATCCTTGGCTGAAAATATCTGCTTCTCAACGATCATTTCCACCATTGATGTCCTGAAGTCATTGTACGGATCGCTCGACTTCTTCACCACCGCAAAGCTATCCTTCACTTTTCCTTGTATCGGAAGCAGACCCACTTCAGAGCTCGCTCTTCTCCGGCTAGTACTGTGTCCGTTTCGCCTAGGAAGACGTCGTAATCGAGATCCAGATGAGTCAGAAGAGTGGCTCTTTGAAGAAAACAGAGTATCCGTCTCGTCATCGCTGCTCGACCACCACCCCTTGTAGTTATTACTATCAAAAGAAGAAGAGCTGAAGGGGAAAAACTCGCTGCTCGGCTTGTTCTTCTTAGCATTGCTCGTCTTCTTCTTCTTGTTCTTTTTCTTCTTTTTCTTTTCTCTGTTTTTTCTCTGTCTGAAGCTCTTATCATGGAGGTCGTAGAAAGGGTTCAAAGCTGCGAAAGGTGAGGCTGGAGGGCATGTTTGGCCATCAGGGTTAAGGGGCTTAACAAAAGGTGAACAACGTTCAAAAATTTTGCGTCTTGGGAGCATGACATCTTTGGTAGAGATGACACAGTGATTGTTGATGATGGGTTGGTTGGGGTCTGAGCATTTGGGTCTGCAAATTGAGGGGAAGGGTCGAGCCACCTGCTTAGGAGGCTCAATGGTGGACAACTCTTGCTGGTTTTCAGGCAAGAACACTGCTTTTTCGATCACATCCGATAAGTTTCGGGATCGGCAGGAGCCAAATGAGGAGCGGAACATGTTAGAAAGCTTGAGCTTGAATCGGTTTTCCATTGGAGATAGCTATGGAGAACAGAGTTTGTGAGAGAGAGAAAGAGAGATGGAGTTGTTTGGATGAAAGGGGTGTATAAATGCATGAGAACCGAAAGTGGGAGTGTTTTGAATGGTATTTTAAATGCAGTCTGAGGAAACTTTTTGCTGTTTTTGTCTTCTTCTTTGTCCTGAACGAGAAAATATTGGATTGATTATACACTGTTTGTTGTTGACCTTTGTAGCTACATTCCTTTTTCTTAATTTTGTTTTTGGGGGTTTCCCTAGGTTGTGATATAATGAACCAACTTTAACCCCCAACTAATCTTTTGTTTTTCTTTCTGTTTTTGGTGGTTTCCACCAATTTGAATCTTGCCTTGAGAATGAATGGGAAATTATTACTTAGATGTACATTACTATAGCTCTGAAATTGAATCCTCTGCATAACGATGTACTTGTGTGAAACCGTGATAACATTATTTTTTTATATTTGACCAATCATCACGCTTGATAACTTTTCTATGTGCAAGTATGCGATTGGATGGCTGGGATAGTAAAATAGCTATCCCCAATTCACACAAGTTTTTCTACAAAATGAGGGGTGTTTTTAATTCAATGTTAGTTTTAGTATTTAACTAGAAACTCGATGAATGAAACCATGTAGTATATAAGATTGAGTGTAATATTAGAACATACAACCTAAGGCCATCTCTAGCTATGAGCTATATCCCAAATATAGCCATAAAATAATGCAAAACCCATCTTCAGTCATGGGCTAAACAAAATTTTGGCCAAATATGGAGTGCCACATTTGGCCCTTTAGCCCTCCAACTGGGTCACATTTGGCCCTTTAGCCCTCCAACTGGGTCACATTTGGCCTATGCCAAATTTTTTGTGGGTCTCATGCATGTGCTTTTGAAGAAAATAAATTATCAAGTGTGGACAAGAGCACGAATCATCTCGTGCAAATGCATATCCAACAACCAACAATAAAAGCCCACGTCATCAATATATTTTCAAAAGCCTTTTTAAATGTTTTCAATTCTTGTTGTTTAAGAAAAATTTATTGGTCTTGACCATTGGAGGTCAGACTATTGAAACCCAACATTTTTTATTTTTATATTTAATTTTTTTTATAATTATAAATGTGGTCACCTTTTTAAATGTTTTTAATTCGTAAAAAAATTATAAAAAATTACTGGTCATGACCATTGGAGGTCAGACCATTGAAACCCATCCTTTTAAAATAAATAAATAAATAAATGTGGTCACCTTTTTAAATGTTTTCAAGTGTTGTTTAAATAAAATTATAAAAAATTATTGATCATGGAATATTGTCTTCGGTAGTTTAATTAAATTAAACAATACATAGTTGTGGAATGCATGAGTGTTGTACCATAGTTTTTCTTAAAATAATAAAATATGAAAAACCTTAAAATATAGCCCTGCATGGCCGGAGATGGAAAAATTGAGCCCTGCACTATTCTTTAAAAAATTAATATTTTGAAGGGCTAAATATTTAACCTTGGACTATATTTAGCCCAATTACTGGAGATGGCCTAAGCAGAGGGTCTTACATGTACATTTGCCTGCATTATTAGAGAGATATGTTGTAATATTCTCATGATAAACTAAAGATAGCCTAGTAAAGGTGTTTTAAGTGAATTTTATCAAGTAGTGTGATTCTGATCTTATTCTTTCACATTATACATGGGCTCTGCCGTTTGGAACTTTGAACGTTTTAGTGTGTAGCCAAAGGGGGATGATTGGGAAGTTTTCAATGGACAAGTTAGAGAGGAATAAAAATAAGTTAGTGGAATAAAAAAGTCACTAATATAATGAAATCTGAGGCCCCTCCGGCTCTGGCTCTCCTGAGCCCTGTGAGAAGAGAACCTTTGCTCTTATTGTTGCATTATTATTTTAAAAACAGGGTTTGCAGTCTTGCAGAGGGACAAGGACAAGCACCCTTCTCAAACACAAAACAGAGATATGCATGAAGCATGGAAATGGAAGGGTGATTGGGCAGGCAGCACCTCTCCTCTTTATTTCTAATTGTAGGCGCTGTCTGGCTCTATGGCACTATGCACTCGTGACCCAATAATTCAAATTTGTACTGCTAATTAAGCTACATATATATATATATTTACAATTATTTATATGAAAATAATAAAGAATTGCTGCTTAATTAGTAATTATTTAAGCTATTAAGCTATACAGAGTATATGCTTTGCCTAGTCTATATGTCCATGAACTACCAATTTGATTTATTATAGTATATTTTCCTTGCCTAAACACGAATCTATTTATGCAGTGGCGGAGCCACGCAAGGACGAGAGGGGTCCCAAGCCCCTTCTCTCTCTCTTCCAAGCCATTTCACGCAGGGATGTGTGAAGGCTGTAAGTTAAAGCTTATTTCTTGATTTTTACTTTAGGCTATATTGGTTTAGGGGTCCGAAAATGATTTTCAAAAAGCTCTACAAAAACATGTAGTGTTTATGCTCTCATTCCCTTTATTTTTGTAATTTGCAAGAGGGGTAACCTCAATTACTGCTCTGCCACTGTATCTATGTACAATAATATTCTGCAAAACCATGCATTTTCTCCATTTCACCCCTGAAATGGGAAGAGAGTTTGCATCAGCAATCAAAAAGAGAGAGCTGCATCAAAAGGGCTGCCCTGGAAAGTGGAAAGCCACACTAAACATGCAGGTTTGTATTGTAACCTGGTTCCATGCATATTTTCATATGAGAGAGAGAGTGAGATATAAATATATATAAATTTATATCAGAGAGATTTGAAATGTGAGATTCAGAGTGGAGGACAAAGGTTATATTGTCACCTTTTCCATGTTGTATATGGGAAATATTATTGTTTTATCAGCCTTTTGATGTTTTCAATCTGAATTTGGTTTTATATGTCTTGTCAACATGTTCGTGTCTGCTTCCAATTCGTCGACTGGTTAAAAGACAAATTGAAAGGACCTAAAACTCTTGGCTGCACCGAAGAACTTGAATTTCATTTAATTTCATTACTGACTTATTACGTACGTTTCAATTTTGCCAATAAAAACAAACAAGTATATGGGGTCAAAAACCTGTGTGCGCATTATATAATATGATCAGTCAAGATCCATGACTCCATCTACAAATCTCTTAATTTGAAGAGCATCTCAAAGTCTTAGAAGCTTCCAACAGCACAAATACATATCAAGTAGGGCAGGTCCTTAGCCTTTAGAACCAAGATTGCTCATGCAACCAAAAGCTAACAGACAGTCTTTCTGCACTTGGATTCATTTTTCAAGTGGAAGTCAGCTCAGTGCCAAGAAGAAACCTCTTGGCAGGACATAGATTTCCTCATCCACTACTCTCACTTGCTTTCGTGCTTTGGTTATGATTATAAAGGCCAGGCCACAGGCTCTGAAAATTTCAAACCAATTTGATCTGGACTTGCAAAAGGGGTTAGTGTTTGACATTTTTGAGTATGACTTTTGGGTGAAGTTATGGGTTCATTTGTAGAAAATGAGGGAATATTTTTGGAGCAAAACAAAGACAAGGGCAATAAACCAAACCATGAGACAAGTTTGCATAACACTCACCAACCCTAATTTTATGTGCAATCTCTAAAAATCAGATGGATATATGTTTTGTTTAGTTAAGCATTCGAAGTTGCAAATTTGGCAGCTTTTTTCAAATCAATCAAAGGAGGGAAAGATGTGAAGCCAATTATAGGGATGTAAAAGTAAAAGGGTCATGACCCATGACAAAAGCACAAAAACTTACCTATAACAGGAATATTACTGTTTTGATATTCCAGGGCAATAACACAAAGACACGTAGAAAATTTATTCTACGTGTCATTACATTATTGCGTTATTGCACAATGACGAGAATTTCTCTCATAAAAAGTGGTTTGGACTCTTTTTTTACCATGTCCAGTAACTCAAGTCAATCAAACTTCAGTTTTTGTATAGATCTACCCGCGAACAACTATTTTTGTCTTGCTTGTTCGTCATCCTCTTGTCTTGTCTACGTTTTATGTTCCCTCTTGTTTTTCACACTTGTGAACAGAGTGGTTATACAGTTATTGGATATTAGTCAGTTCTGATATGATCTGTTTATTTTGCAGCCTATGTCTCCCTCTCTGTTGAAGTGATATTAGTGCAACTCTGGCGGGAGGGGCTAGTCCGAGCAAAAGGCCCGACCCCTAATTTCGTTTCCAGCAGTTAAGGCTTGTTGACAAGCGCTGGGTTCCATCAGCCTGAGCAACGCCAAAGGCAAGACTTGCTTGGGCTTTTGCATGACTTAATGCTGACGTTATTGTGACGTCAACAACTAATTTAAATACCAAAAAAATTATTTAAAACAAAAAACAAAAAAATTCATATTTAAAAACAAAAAAACAAAAAAATTCATATTTTTTTTTAAAAATTATTTTAAAATACATAGCCATATTCTTCACTTATCATGCCTAAACTTTATACAAATTCATCTTCTCATATCTCATGTGAATGGTGGTTGCTATTGGCTTGCCATAACAATAGGTGAAAAACCAACCAAAAAAAAATTGCTAAGGCAGGCACTATTCATGTGAATAGTAACAACCTTTGCCTCCCTTTGCCTTTTGCCATGACAAATAGGTGGAAATGCTCTTAGTAAACACTTTAATCATTTGAGTAACAAACTCCTTACTCTATAATACTACGTAAGTAGGTTTGACACGTAAAAGTTGTCTCGTGTTACCGGTTATGTCACTATGGGTTTACTTCATCCTTACTTCGAACAAATGTTATTTTGTAAGCCACTTATTATTGCAGCTCTTTTACTTTCATATTTTGTGAAGATACAAAAACACTTTCAAGTACCGTAACACATTATAATGCATAATTAGAATAAGAATACAGTCACTACATTATGGCAACACAGTTACTACATTTCTCTCAGTTCCCTTACCCTATTGGCAATGCTTGTATCTCTATCTTCAAAAAGAGCCCCCATCTCTTCTAAGGTCTTGCCTTTTGTCTCAGGCAAAAAGAAGTAAAAGAAGACCGTACCAACCACCATGATTCCCGCAAGCACAAAAAACATTCCACCAAATGTTATCTTATTAGAAATGGTTAGAAACGTCATTGACACCACCCCGCTCATCAACCGGTTCACTGATATGGCCAGACTCGAACCTTGGGCCCGTAATCTCATCGGAAAGATCTCCGATGAGTAGACCCAAGTTATTGGGCCCAACCCAATTGAAAAGAACGAGACATCGGCGCAAACAGCCAAGATACACAACGCAATGGCCCACGTTGGCTTGGTACTCGAATGCTTGAGAAACTTTGACCCAAGGCCCAGCCCAGCTAACGAAATCACCATCCCGGCACAGCCCAGTAGCAAAAGGGGCCGCCTCCCAAAACGGTCCAAGTGGCTGGCAGAGAGGAACACAAAGGACGTCTTGGCAAGGCCCATTATCACATTGACACCGAAAAGCTGCTTTCTGCTATGAATTCCGGCAGCCTTGAACACTTCCGGACAGTAGTACACGACGGCGTCGTTTCCAGAAGCTTGCATGAAGAAGTTGATCCCAATGGCAGCAATGAGCATCCGACGAATGGGCTTAGAAGGATGTACCAAAAGCTCCTTCCATGCCCCTCGTCCATCTTCGTGGGCTGTTAATAGGCTTGTGCTAGGGGGTAAAGCTAAAGCAGCCTTGCTAATCTCCTCGAGCCTCAATTGAGCTTCCTCTTCAGAAGCAGATGTTCTGATCAACACCTGTTTTGCTTCACTTAATTTGCCTTTCATCACAAGCCAACGAGGGGACTCAGGCATGGCTATGATCCCCAACCCTATACCGACAGCTGGCACCGCGGCTAACCCTAGCATTAATCTCCAATTTATGTTTGGTGGCAGGCCAGACAAAGCATAATTAACTATGTAACCAACTAACAGGCCAAATGTGATGAACACCTCAGGGAGAGAAGTGAGGAAGCCCCGGCTCATGGCGGGCGAGAGCTCTGCGGTGTAGACTGGGGCGATCATGAGGGCGTAGCCGACGCCAATGCCAGCCACGGCACGTCCGGCCAAGAGGAATAGGTAGGATGTGGCTAGGCCCATGAGGAGTGCACCTATTAGAAATGTGCATGCGGCTAAGACTATAGTGTAACGCCTACCTATATAATCAGATGTTTTCCCGGATGCTAGCGATCCAAATAAAGAGAACATGTTTAGGGTTCCTACCAAGATTTCCACTTGGGTTGATGTGATCTTGAGGTTCTCTTTGATGTAAAGCACTGCCCCGCTCATCACTCCAATATCTGCACAATTTCATGCATTTTTTTGGGTGAAATTGAATATAACTTGTTAAATTAATCCAAAACTACAAAACAAAAAATGAACTTACCATAACCCAACAGAATGGAGTTTGTGGAAGCCAGAAGAGCGCAGACGATGGTGTATTTGTTCATCCCAGTCCCAGCTTTTTCAGAATTTGCCTTGGGATTTTGGTGTTAAATTTCAGCCACATCCATTTTCCTCGGCTCCTTTTTTTATTCTTCTGAGAATTTGTAGATGAAAATCTGTCTCACTAACTCACTGGGGGTTTTTGTGGGTGGGTGGGTGAGGAAGAAGCTAAGAGTAAATGGGTTTTGTTAGGTTGCAGACGCGGACCATAATTGCATGAGGAATGAAGAACACGTTCTGCAACTGAAGCAATCACATTGTTTAGGTGGCATTTCTCTATTGCCATTTGCTTTTGTTATGTGGTTTAGGCCCAAAATCCAACCACAGACGTGTGCACCTGTCCATGCTACTTTCGAGTCTCCTGCTTGCTATAAATGCTGTTGAGTCATCTCATTCATTCAACTTCTTTCCTCGAGTCATATCTCACTAGAGCATCTGCCAATTGGTTTTCTTTTTTATTTAATTTTTAGAATTAAAAAAAGATAACATAGTAGTTATGTTCTATAAAAATAGAACCTATTATCTGATTTTGTTTTTAATTTTAATTTTTTTAATATGAAAAATGTGAATTTACCATATTATCATCATTTAATTAATAATTTTTATTTTTAAAATTTGAATTAACCAATAGTATTTTTTGGTATTTGTTTCACCATTCTCTACCTTTTGCTTTATATATATAGATTCAATTTCCTTTTTTTATGGATTTGGTAAAATAATAATAATACGGTAATACCCTTTTGAGGAAATAAAGAAAATAATTTAATCTCGTTCCGAACATCATCTTGAATATCCAATGTAATCTGATTCAGTATAATAAAATCTAAAATACAATCTCTTTAGCGTCACTCACAATGCGTTAAAATATGGACAATTTTTCGTGACTACGACTAACAAAGAAGCATTTTATGGTTCTCCTCCTCCTCTTCCTCATGGACTTGATCCTCAAATAGAACCCCAATTTCTTCTAAGCTCTTCCCTTTGGTTTCTGGCAAAAAGAAGTAAAAGAAAACTGTGCCCACCACCATTATTCCTGCAAGAGCAAAAAACATTCCTCCAAATGTTATCTCCCTAGAAATGCTTAGAAATGTCATGGCCACCAACCCACTCACCAATCTGTTCACCCCTATGGCCAAGCTTGAACCTTGAGCCCTCAGCCTCATTGGAAATATTTCTGACGAATATACCCATGTGATGGGCCCAAGCCCAATAGAGAAGAATGAAGCTGCAGAGCAAACAGCCACCACACACAACCCAATTGCCCAATCTGGCTTGTCACCTGAAAACTCAAGAAACTTTGAACCGAAGCCCAAAGCAGCCAATGAGATTGCCATGCCAATAGAGCCCAACAACAGAAGTGGCCGCCTTCCAAACCTGTCCAAGAACAGAGCTGATACCAGAACAAAGGAAGTCTTGGCTATGCCCATGAGGATTGTGACACCCACAAGATGTTTCTTGTTGTGAATTCCGGCCTCCCTGAAGACCTCCGGGCTGTAGTACACAACGGCGTCATTGCCGGAGGCCTGCATGAAGAAGTTGACGCCGATGGCAGCGATTAGAATGCGGCGGATGGGCCTAGTGGGCCTCAATAGTAACTCTCTCCAAACCCCTTGTCCATGCCAGTTGCTGCTTAATGAAGTGCCTGCTGCTGGGGTACTTGTGATCAACAATGAGGACGCAGCTTTTGCTATCTCTTTGAGTCTCAATTCAGCTTCCTCTTTGGTTTCAGATGTTCTCATCAAAACCTGCTTTGCTTCATCTAACCGGCCTTTCATGACCAACCACCTAGGCAAAAATATCAACAACTATATATTAAGTACATGTTATAAAAATTTGAGTGAAATATAGCAACAACAAAAAAAGGAACAAAATTTCAAACCATGCACCTACCTAGGTGACTCTGGCATTGCCAACACAGCCAATGCAACAGCAATAGCAGGGAATGCTGCAAGGCCAAGCATAAGTCTCCAGTTTATGTTTTGCGGCATGCCCGATAAAGCGTAGTTGGAGATGTAGCCAAGTAGAATTCCTCCATTGATGAACACCTCAGGGAGAGAGCTGAGGAAGCCCCGGGTGAGAGCCGGCGAGAGCTCAGCCACATAGACGGGGGCAATCATGAGAGAGTAGCCAACTCCAATCCCAGCCACAACCCTACCAGCTATGAGGAAAGGGAAGGAAGGTGCCAGTCCCATTAGAAGTGCACCTATTAGAAATGTTGCTGCTGCCAGGACTATAGTGTAACGCCTGCCAATCCAATCTGAAGTCTTGCCTGAGGCAAGTGATCCAATCAAAGAACATACATTCAGAGAACCAACCAAGATTTCTACTTGGGTTGTTGAGATATTAAGGTCCTCCCTGATGAAAAGAGCAGCACCACTCATCACCCCAATATCTGCAAACAAATCAAGTCGTCCGTACTCAGAAATTAAAACAAACACAAACCCTCCTCTGTTCTGTTCTGTTCTTGATGAAATATTTTCCTTTATTTTATTATAATTTTCAATGAATTAATTTGGTTTGATAGAATCGTGGGTTTTATGTGGACTTGATGGCTGAAAAATATTAAGGAAGGTACTGACCATAACCCAAGAGAACAGAGTTGGTGGAAGCCAACAAAGCACCAGCAAGAGCATATTTGTTGAGACTGGGCTGTGTAGCTTTGAGTTTTTCCGGTGGATGATCAGAAGCTCCGGTGGCCAGCACAGGCCATGTTGGTTGTCTTTTACCGTCACTTTTCAGTTGGGTATCTGCAGAAAATGGGGATTCATCAGATTCTGAATCAGCAGCAGCAAGTAAGTGATAATGGTGGTCCTTGTTGCTTGGCTCCATTAGCGTAGCAGAAGCGAGTAACGATCTCTGTGTTGGGAAGACAGTAAAATTGGAAAGGCTTCTTATGTATAGTAGACATAGAGAGAGAGAGAGAGAGAGAGAGAGAGAGAGAGAGATGTGCAAGTTTTGAAGGACGGGATGGATGTGCATCAGTTTTTGTATATATCATTTGCATGTATGGTAATTGAAGACAAGTATATCTTCTATATTTGCTCTAATGTAAACGGTGAATTAGTAATAAGAGAAATGGAATGGCTGGTGGAAGTGATTTTTAGTCTCATTTTCTCTATGCTCCTTCCTTTTTTTTTTCTTGATAGTTTTTAAAGATTGAATATGGAAGGAGAAGAATCAATGGTCCAAAAACAAGGGAATGAGTTTATACGGAGAAAAATGAGAAGTTGAAATTCACTAGCGTTATTAAGTGGCTGCGTTTACTTTTTGGAAAAGGTGCTTTTGTAAAGTTAGACAGGCCACACTGCCTCCACACGCCTCCTCTGTCATATTCGTATGCCTGCCAATATATATATGCCAGGACTCATGAAGAGAGTTGGACCAAGCCAGCGCACGCAGCTACACAACAATACAACATGCATATAGATATAGATCATTATCAATATCATGTATTGATTTGATCGGTAAATAATGGCCAACAAAATGTCCAGTACCATTATTATATATGTATCCCCATTTTGGCAGTGGGGTTGGGAGGATAGGGCACAATCTGATGGAGAAGTACTTTAATAAGTGACACGAGAGAGATAGGAACAATGCAACGGAATAGGGAAGTTTTTCTCCCGCTTATAAGCCCCCAACTTGGTTTGAATGAAAATTGAACAAGCTTCAGTTGAAGAAGACAGTTGTGATTAAGCAGCACTTGAAATGTGACAGAAGAATAATTGCTTAGATTTGAATCGCGAATTCTGATAGAGCTCAAAGGAAGAAAAAGTGAAAAGCAAGCAAACCCCACAGTCCCACTCAATCATTAGCTAGCTAGCATGCTCATTTCAGTCGAGTTGTACCAGCAGAAGTCGATGGAGGAGAGAGTGACTAATAACCAACAAATGACAGAAGACGAATGTTTCCTCTATATTTCAAATAATATGCAGTGCAGCCTCTGTTGTTCTTGGAGGAGCAATATTCATTTGCAAATTGAAACACCAGAGAAAATGAAAAACTACAACTAAAAAACACCATTTTGCTTCCTTCTTGTCAGATTTGACTGACAGAGGACTGCTAGTGCACTGACTGATTGCCACCATGGATAGTTCAGTGGGCTCCACCTGCTCTGCTGTCATGCTAAAACGGCGCCATCCACACAACGTAATTTAGACCCATGCATTGCTAAGCGCATTTCCGTGGCAAACTTGAAAACCAGAAAGAAATAACCAAATAACACCGCTACAACCACACCGTCAAGCTCTCAACTTTGAAGCACAATAAGCTTTAACATTCTCCCATCCAAACTATATTCTAGTGTTTCTTCTTCTGCCAGTGCCACAGAATCAAATTACCAAACATGGTATGGTGAACTTCTCCATCCCAAATTTCAGATATGAAAATTTTAAGTATGTAGTTTGAAACGAAACAGAGCAAAGGAACGGCAAGCTTCGGGAAGAGGAACAAGACCCACACGCTGTGCGCGAGGTGCGGCCGCCGTAGCTTCCACCTTCAGAAGAGCCGTTATGCCTCCTGTGGCTTCCCTTCCAGCAGTATCAGAAAATGTCACCTTTCAAATTTTTAACTCTTGCTCTTGATTTCGCTTCCTTTATTTATTTTGTTCTTTGAGTTTGCCAATTGTTACTTATGTGGTGGGAAAAAATAAAACTAGATAACTGGAGCGTGAAGGCGATCCGAAGAAAGACAACAGGGACTGGTAGAATGAGGTACCTTCGCCACGTCGCTGTGAGATTCAAGTTTAACTTCAGAGAAGGTTTAACAATAACAAAGCTGATATATTTTTTCGTCAGATCATCGATGCTATGATGCAAAATTTGATTTTGAAAAAATGGTTTTGTGTTGTGTGCATTGTTTGTGAACTTCAAGGTACCGAGGCAGGTCCAAGAAAGAAGAGAGCTTCGTCATCGTCTCAAGCTTCGAGCCTCCGAGTTTCCAGCTTCAAGCTTCTGCGCTTTGGGTTGGCTATGAATACTAATAAGACTAGTTTTGGCTTGGAGTTTAGTTTGTACTAGTAAGTAACATGTATGGAGTTCATTACAGACTTGGGCTTTTGTAAACTACCATATAAACAAACGACAATTCAATTCTCAAAATAATCTTTGCTTGGAGAAGAGCAGACCAGTCTGAGTTTGCTCTTTACATACAGTATTGGCCTGGTCAAACATTACACAAGCTCAATCAGAGATTTTTCTTTTTTCTTTTTACGGTATTTACGTATAAAGAATTAGAGCAATGAGACTGGGAGACAATTCTACAAACTCATCCCTGAGTTATCAATATATTCAGAAACCTGTGAAGCAAGTTGATAGGACCAGTTCACAGCAGTGCCAAAAAAGAGCTCCCAAAACCAGAGATCCAATGCAAGCACTGAGGAAAATATGAGCAACGCCAAAGTCTGGTAGCGGTTCAAAGGCCAACCTGATACTTCAGCCATTTTCTTCAGAAATGGAAGGGAACTGCTATTCAAATCCTGCTTTCTTATGGACCACGCAGATATCCACTGCGCCTGAGTAGGGATCAGCTCCAGCTCTTGTAATCGCCTCCCAAGATCCGGCATGTGACCCCCTCCGTATAGTATTGCAATCCTGTTATTTCCACCGTCAATTGCTTTTCTAAGTGCATCCATGGCGGCTCTGTTTCTCTCACCAATAATCACAGAGCTCTCTTCTACATCAGCCGTAGCCTGCGTGAATCTTAAACAAGTAAAATACTTTTATGTCAGTTTTGAGAATTTTGCACCAACCCACAATGTAAAACCATACGCTTTTGAGACGAAGAACCCAAATAATAATTAGTTTGAACAGCCATGCAATATGTTCAGCTGGAAGCAGTAAAGAAAAAGAGAAAAAACTTGGCAAATCCTTACTCGGATGTTAGCCTCTTTGCCAAGAAGACCTTCATTGCTGCACCAAAATCAAGCCTAGACAAGGCTTCAAATTCTGGAAATTCTGAGTCCCCACTGCCCGTGTCTGCACAGACACCTCCAATAATGAGAAGGCCGACAAGTGGCATAGGAAGCACACGTGCAGCCCACTTAAGCTTAGATCTCCAAGGACCAAGGCCTTCTGGGATTGTAGCAGTTTGAATCATAGCTTTCGTGGATCTAACAGTCATGTCTCTTGCAAATGTGAAGAAGCTTTCACCTTTTTCTTGCTGAAAACAAATGACAATGGCATCAGATGCAACAATGATGTTATTCTCAAGCAATGATGGAAGAGAAAAGAAGAGAGATAGAGATTCTTCATATATACAGCCCCTGAAATCAAACTACCTATGCACTACACAAAAAGGAGAGAGAAAATAAAAACCTGAAGCAATTGGAAAGTCTCGAAGTCGAGGTCTGCATGGTACCAATTCTCAGACTCGTAATCAAGACAGTCTAATTGGAAATCAAGCGTCAGAAATCGAGCCATCTGTCTCTGAATGCATCCCAGAATGTTAAATCCTTTTGAGCGTGAAACTTTGACTTTGAGTCTTTTTGTGGCGGCAAGGATTCTTCTGTTCTCTAAACTCTCCCTGCTTGTTACCATCTCATAAAGGACACAATCATAGGACTCAAGTTCCTTTTGCAGGGTCTCAAAGTACCTGGACATGGTACTTGGGATCATTAACATTGTATAATCTGGGACAGCCAATTTTTGCACATATAGGTTAAGAAAACATCAAGTTATGACCACTGTCAAAAGTTACAGTAGACACCGACACAAAGCTCAAAGTGAAGCTGAAAAAGAAATATTCTGCATATCCCTGATTCTGAAAATAAGTTCTGACAAATTCCATCTAAGTTAATTAAAGCGGTTTCCTAGCACCATTTCTTAAAGTCTCTTACACTCTTGGCATGCATAGGAGACTCATAATCAAAACTAGCCTTCACAGAGGTTTATCTTCATGGCATTTCCTTAGCACTTTATTGCCCAAGTACATTATTTTCCTTGAAAGCACATCTCAAACAAGCCATGAGAATAGAACTTAAATGAAAGTTACCCTTGAAAACTTCCATCTCTCAAACAACAAGCATTATATTTACTAAGCTCAAATTGCGCCCACTGGTTGAGCGACAGCAAGCTTTTAGCTTCTGAGTAGAGTAAACTATCAAACAGTTGCAATTACAAGTAGATAACTGCCAAAATACTGAAGAAGAAGAAATTGCAAGAATAAGAATGATTGTTAGGAAATACATACTCTTTATCCGCGATGTGAATTGTCGAAACCAAATCAACCTACAACAAACCCTGAAATTAGAAAGAAGACCCATGAAGAAACAAAAAGGACCCATGAAGATAAGCCAATTCCATGCACAATACCTGAAGAAAAGGCCTCAAAAGCGACCAAGGGAACCTCTTTTTGTAGCTAACAACCGCAGTTTGCAACTCCCCAGTGCCTCCATCAACGCCCCTTTTGAACCTCATGAAATCCGCAATCGAATTGTTTCGTAAAAATTGCTCAGCCGAGCCATCCTCAATTGGGTTGATTGAAGAAGAACCAAAGACCTTGAAAGGAGCTAGCTTTGAGGCTTTGGGAAATTTAAGGCTTCGTTTGGATGATTCAAAGGGCCTGACTTTAAAGCTTGTAGAAGTGTAAGAAGCATCGATGTAAGCGTTGGAATTGGAGGGAAACGAGGATGTAGATGAGAGAATTGAGAGTGAAGTTGAGACCATGCTTTCTCTCCACAGAGAGAGAGAGAGAGAGAGAGAGAGAATTGGGTGTTTGGATAAACAAAGAGGAAATGGCGTTTTTCGATGGAGTGGAAAGGAGTTGAACCTGGTTCAGGTTATTGCGGATTTTTATTTATTGTTGTTTTCTTTTTGTCAATTTTTAAAATAAAATAATTTTTTCCTTATATTAATAATAGAATCTTGAATTTTTATTTTTATTTTAAGTTAAATGGGAGGAGAAAATTTGGGGGGAGGTTTCACTGCAAATACCAAAACAAATAAAAGCTTAAAAAAACACACAACAATACAATTTCATACACCAACACCAATTCATCGCATCCGTACAATAAATAACAATGGAAATTGCATTAGGGAAGAGAACACACGAGGAGGACATATCCAATGAAAAAGAAACTGGATGGTTGACAATTTCAGACCCATGTAATGTAAATGGTCAGAGCTACTCCAGGAAAAAAGTTCACAATACAAAGCAAAGACATGTTGTACAACTGCGATCATAAACAAAAAGGAATTTCACGAAATCCCATGAATTTCATCTTACAAAAATCATCATGCACCAGAATTCACTAATTCAGGATCCTGTTTTTTCTCTGATTTTATGACTTTCTTGTGAAACTTTCACAGTGGACTCATCTTCTTTACCACCATAAGTCTCATCTGCCATGGAATCAACCTGATGCGTGCAACCAGTCACAAGTAACCTGTCCTCTTGGCCTTCTTTCAGTTTCACAGTGGACTCGTCTTCTTTACCATCATATGTCTCATCTGCCATGGGATCAACCTGAAGAGCACAACCAGTCACAAGTAACCTGTCCTCTTGGCCCTCTTTCAGTTTCACAGTGGACTCGTCTTCTTTACCACCATATGTCTCATCTGCCATGGGATCAACCTGAAGAGCGCAACCAGTCACAAGTAACCTGTCCTCTTGGCCTTTCTTCATTTTCACTGAAAACAAGAAACGACTTAACTTAGAACAATGCATGGTATAAGCCAACAATAGTACCCTAATTATCACGGTCATCCTTGCCCTGCCTCAATCAGATGGGGTTAAAAGCATCTACTATCACAAAATATAACAAAAAGCTGACGATTCTAACCAAGGGGATTCTATCCAAATCCTGCTTAATTCTAAACTTTCATTATATTTGATTTATTTGTACACAATTAGTATCAAGGGTCAAATTATTTCTATATCTCTTGGAAAAAAGACTACTAGAGTTGGAACCCCTATCTACAGTAAAGAAATTATTCATTTTATACATCCAATTTGATAGGGAAAGTCATGATAATTGTCAGAAACATGATAGAACCATTGTAACATCCTGAGGACATCAATGTGGTTTGCTGGACAAAGTAAATCAAAGATGTAGTGGAAAAAAGGATATATCCTGGCAATATCTTTGAGGACATTAGTCTACTAGTTTCCTACCTTGCAGGTTACATCTCTTTACATGGTGGCATCTCAATTGTTGGCTTCACAAAAGAAGCAGGAAATATCAATCAACATGCATCTATATACCCTTCCATGCTCATGTAAACTTAAAATGCATGCTGTTGCATAGAAGTTAGAAAAAACGGGCACTTGATAAGAGATACATGATTTATCACCGGAAAAACACAGTATGATGAGATATCACACAATGTAACAAAGACAACATACTATGATCTTTTACACACATCTTCTAAAGCACGAACCGAGGACACAATTTAGTAATATTACCACAGGAAGGGCCTTACCATCTTGAGGAGGCTGAGGGCGCGCAGAACCCTTCTTTCCGGATTCCTTTTTCTGTTCAGTATTGTGGTTCGGGTTGGGAACAATCGTTTCGTTCAGCACTGGGCAAGTTGGGATGAGATGCCCTTTTTTCCGGCATATCACACATATCTGCAAGCAACACATCAAAACCAGAACATCACTATAAATTTGACTCCTAATCATAATAGAGCACCAACCCCAACTTCTCAAAAGATTACAATTAACCAATTTCTTCAAACAATACGAAAAAACACCAAAATTGATTCAAGGCACACACAACATTTCCATGATTAAACAAGACACGCAATATATAAACATGAGCAATCCTTCTTTTCCAATTTATGCTAACTACTAGGAATTATTATCAACTTACTAAAGAACAATAAAAATTAGATTCACCAATGACAAATAGAACCCACCTCAACATATTTTGGCCCTTCATCTTTCTTTGCCGCATCAATTTTCTTTGCCTCTGTGGTTTTGCTCTTCTTGCTTTTGACTGCATTGGTTTTGCTCTTGTTGCTTTTTACTGCTTTGGTTTTGCTCTTGTTGCTTTTTACTGCTTTGGTTTTGCTCTTGTTGCTTTTTACTGCTTTGGTTTTGCTCTTCTTGCTTTTTACTGCTTTGAGTATTGGCTTTGGCGCATCAACAGGGACACTGGTTTTGCTCTTCTTTTTCTTCCTCTTCTTGCTTTTGACTGCTGTGAGTATTGGCTCTGGCTCCGCATCAACTTTAACTTTCTTTGCCGCATCTTCTTGTCCCGCCACACCAACTTGGGCTGCAACATCAACTTGGTTTGCCGCATCAACAGGGACTGTGGTTTTGCTCTTCTTTCTCTTCCTCTTCTTGTTTTTGACTGCTGTGAGTATTGGCTCTGGCTCCGCATCAACTTTAACTTTCTTTGCCGCATCAACAGCGACTGTGGTTTTGCTCTTCTTTCTCTTCCTCTTCTTGCTTTTGACTGCTGTGAGTATTGGCACTGGCTCTGGATTTGCCTTTATTTCTGACTTCTGTAGAGCTTGCTTTATTACAATAGATTTTTGGGCATCAATAATGGGATTTCCATCAGCATCAACACAGATTGAGATTGGTTTCTGCGGGTTCTTCTTCTTCCTCTTCTTCTTGTTTACGTCTTTTGCGAGTGTTGGCTCTACTTTTGGGAGCAGTTCGGGGTACTCTACCTTTGGGAGGAGTTCTGGGTTTTTGTTCACCATTTTCGTCTGAAGCTGCCAAGAGCAAAGGGGTTGCAGAGATTTTGCGAGGGTTTTCGTTTGGCGATACAAATTGGGGCTTTGAGGAGCTGCAGAGTTGAGTATGCCAAAGACTTGGTTATGGGAGACCAAATGAGTTCCAACATCGCAAGGACAAAGGTTGGCATGACCCAACAAATAGGTCCATCAGAGCATCAAGGCCCATCAGCCGAACTTCATTTCTTTCAGTTGGATCTTGGCCCTAGGTCCAATAAATTAAGGAAATTTTAGTGCTCAGAATCTCAGATGGCATACTTATAATTTAATTATATAGCTGTTGCTAGGGCATCTCTAGCAACAGCTTCCTAAATTTGGTTAAATTTGATGACACAAGTTCATTAGAGCTGGCCACTTTAATTGTTTTCTAATGAGATTGAATCATTTAAGGGAGAGAGAGAAAGAGAACAAAATTTGGCCAAAAATTAATTTTCCTCCCTTGACTAGTCATATTTGGCTAGCAACTGTTCACAGAGTTAATTGTGGATGGCTAATCTGCTGCAGTGAATTTTTGGAGGAGTTTCAGTCAAATATGTCATCTAACATAATTTACAAGATGAAAAACAAAACAAAAAACAAAAAAGAAAGTAGGGAAGTTTACTAATCCGTTATTGGATTAGGATGAATTGAATTGAGAAGTTTGATTGATGAGAATTAGATTCCGGATTTTTATAGAAGTTGTTTACTAAACCATATGAATTGAGGGGAGTTAGATTCTGGATTCCTATTGAAGTTGTTTACTAAACCCTATGGAATTAGAGTATGAGTGGTTCTAATTACTAAAATGTCATCGTTATTGAGTTAAAATAGATGGTAAACTTGGAATTTTGAAAATTGTGTGAGGATATAATTGTTAAAAAAGATTAATTCTTAATAGATTAGTTTTTCATGAATTAGAATACCATATTCCATCAAAGAATTGAATTCCTCCAAAATCAGGAATTCAATTCCTAATTTTGTATGGGCCCCACTTACTTTTCAATTCATTGATGTGAAACTCCTAAGGTGGAATTCAATACCTGATGAGAATTCTAATTCCTGATTAGTAAACACACCATCCAAAGATATCTGTTAATTCATTAGACAAACTAAACGAGACAAGCTTTTGAACTATGGTTTTCTACTAACATATAAAAAATGTCAATTACATCAAAACCTGCCAGGAAGTAATCAAATCCCAACGAATAAAATAATTTCTGCAAATACTCAAAACCACTACAATCTCCAGCAGTACATTGCAGCCGAACCTCATGACCACATGTAGAAATCAAGAGAGAGCTGGAGAAACAAATATTCCAAATCAATGTGGGAGACCTGCAAAGCTTTTCTCTGCATGGTTATGATCTTATCACCTTTTCTTCTTCTTGTTTTTACTTTATTCCAAATCTGTCTCATTGTGACAAAATCCGAAGGCCAGCTTGTAAATCCTCTAGGGTGATTGTTCTAAGTTCATCTGTGTCTATACAGTCAAAATTGAGCCTAAGGTCCAAACTTTCTCTAGCATTAACTAACATCGTATCCACTAAACCTCCATTCATCTCCTTACACTGCTTTTCTGTTGTCTCTCCTCGAATCAGTTCTGCAATAGCTTCTACACTGCAAGAAGAATGTAACTGAAACCCATACAACAAGCTTTCCTCTGTTTGATTGTTCATCTTGATATGGAGAATCTTTGCTAGGTCTTCGGAACTGAAGTCGCTAAAATTGAAAAACTTGGTCACACGCCGGCAGAAACCTTCATTGGAAGCAATAACTCGTTTCATTGGTTCACTATATCCCGCAAATATGACTACAATTTTTCCACTATCCATGACCGACATGATCTCTTCCAATGCTTCCAAACCATAGTCTTTATCTTCTGCCTTCTGCATAGGTATTAGTCGATAAGCTTCATCTACAAAAAGAATTCCTCCCTCTGCGTCTTTAATCTGTGCATAACATTATAATTAGTGTGTCACAGTAGAGTATTCGCACCAACCCTTACAACTAGAACATAAATAATTTCAAAAATATCAACGTTTTACCTTCCTCCTAGTTTTAGGTCCAGTATGACCAACAAATTCCCCAACCAAATCAGTTCGCTGTACTTCTGTTACTTTGTCAGTAGGTAGAATTCCCACCATATGGAGTAATCTTCCAAGAATTCGAGCTACCATTGTCTTACCTGTTGATAACATTAACTATATTATATAATGACGATAATATGAGGATGTAACCTAAAAAGGCAAAAAAGAAAAGGCAGAAACATTATTATGATCCAATCATCCAGATTGAAACCACTGTAGGCAATGCTTACCTGTCCCAGGATTGCCAAGAAACGCCATATGAGGAGGTCTCCTTGTGCCAACTTTCAGCCCAAGGGCCTTACGCCTCTCATCCAAAAGCATCCCCTTTGCCCATTTCCGTAGTTGTACCTTGAGCTCATGCAAACCAACAATATTTGATAATTCATTTTCCAGTTCATCCATCTTAGCTTTAGTTTCGCTGCATGCTTCAATTGCTCTTCTCCTCCTCTGCTCTTCACAGTGAGACAGTAATAGTGCCTGCAGCTTTCCATTTTCATGGCCTTTTGAAAGGTGATTTAGGGGAGTCATACCCTCCTACAACAATTCGAAGAAAATATCATTAGCATTTACTTAGGTGCTATATTTGAGTAAATTGAATGTTGCAAGTAAATGCAATGAACCATACATCGTCCTTAGCACTGCAATCAGCATTGTACTCAAGTAATGTTTTGACAGTTGAGAACTCTTCTGCTCGAAGTGAGTACCACACAGCAAGGTGTAATGGTGTCATTCCATTCTGCATGGACAGAAGAGGAAGATTAAAATAAAAAAATAAAAAAAGAATAACACATTGACATAATAGTTAGAAATCTAAAACTTAAAAGAAACCGTATGATCAGGTGAAAGGCAATTCACATTTGCTTTGGCTTCTATAAAAGCACCATGAACAAGAAGCAACCGTGCAGCATCATTGCATCCATTCTTAGCTGCCATGTGCAATGGTGTTTCTCCATACTGCAAAGCTCAACATGTTGTAAATTGAATTTCAAAACAATTTACGTCAGACAAAATTCTGATCCAGAAAGAAAACATTTTACCTACCATGTTCCTGGCTTCCAACTCAACCTTATCTGGCCCTTGCCAATCAAGAAGAAATTTAACTATCTCAGCCTTGTTGTAACCAGCAGAAACATGAAGTGGAGTTTGTGCCATCTGCATTTAGGGAAACAAATGATTAGCTGATAAAATAACCTAACCTGAATGTTACATTGAAGCATATAATAAAGAGCAAATAATAAAAGAAATGCCCTTCTGTTCTTTATAGCTTTACTAACAGGAACTTCAAATAAAACCTGCTAATCCTATCTTTCTTTACGCCTTTTTTAACTAAGCTTTCTCTGGTTGAAAAGGTTTATGAACTGGCCAAGAAGTGTATGCCTTTGAAAAACTACATAAAGCATGGGATCTCATCTTCAATTTAGCCACACAGACAATCCATAACTGAAAGTACAATTGACTTCAATTAGTGGAGAAGAAGCTCGTTCCCACCACTAGTGACAACCATGAAAAGAAACTCCCTTATCCATCGTCCAACGGTACACTTAGATCCAGCCCAATTCTTTCTCTTCATTACACCAAAACATCATATGGTACTTAATTCACCATATTCCACTACATAGCATTTGACAGACTCTACCAAATACATTTACGGAAAAAAAGGTCAGTGCTTCCCTTCCTTTATACAATGGAAGTCTCAAGTTCCCCAACAAATTGTAACAACAGCCACATACAAATATAAGAAGATTGAAGAGCCCAAATCCTACATTAGGGTGGTTAAGAAACATGATCCAACGAGTGAAATTCACAAAATTTTCATAACCCACTAGGTAAACATTCCTAATGATGAGAATGACATAAAATCCATCAAACAAAATGCACCCAAATTTGCAAAATGTCAACTTTCAATACGAAGTTGAATTCTTGAAAATCCCATTTCGTGTATTCACACATACAAGAGAAAGAGATCTTACAACGGCATTTCTTTCGTTTAGAAGAGACGGGTTTTCCCGGAGCAGCTTCTGAAACCCAAGAAGGTCCCCAGACTGAGCGTAGCCATGAATGGTGACGGGCTTGGCAGATCTTGACCGTTGATCTGGATACCTCTGCATACCTCCCTCCCTCTGTACTTGTTGGGTTTTTGCTAGCTCTCCTCTTTCAGACAAAAGAAAGATGGTTGAAAATGAATTGAGAAAGACAAGGAGAGAGATTTTAGAGGGAGAGACTTTGGAGGTGTCCGAGTATGCGCGTCTATTTATTTTTCGCAGTTATTATTTTTTGCTATTTACACTTTTAGCAGCTCCATTTTGACTTTCTTACGGAAGGGGTGGACACCTTATTCTTTCAATAAATAAAATAAAATAAAAACCTTAGACCTCGTTACAAATATTGCTCAGCGAGCGAAAAGAGAAATACTTGCATGAAATAGGATAATATTGTTTTGCTATCACTTACCAATAACTCTATGATATGCTTGTTATCCCGTTGCAACTAAGTTTTTCTTCGGTGAAAATGGTCTTCTAATTATTCAAATTTAGTTTGTTTACAGCATTATTCTAATTTGATATTTATTGGAATAAAAGATGTAAAAGGTTACACATGTTCGTGTTTTTGTTTTAGTTTTTAAAAAATTTCATATAAATTATCCCTAAAAAAGATTTGTAACTCAAATATTAAATGACATTCACTCATCACTCAAGGTCTGTTCGATTCCTTTACCCACACTATCACTTGTATGAATCATAAAACAATCTCATAAGAAAAAGATTTTAAAATCAATAAAAAATTTAGAAAATAAAGAAAAAGAAGGTGAGGCGAATGGGGTATAGTTGAATTTCACTCATATCAGCAGAAGTTCAAAACCTCATAACACCCAATAAATATTTGTATAAACCTCCGATCTCTTATAAAAAATAAAAAATAAATAAAAAAGGTAAGATTTTGGTAACCCAAGTCCAACAATGGTTTTGCATGGATGGTGCCAGCAAAGAAAATGCGATGAACGTGATTTGTATTTGGTTAATTTTTTGAATTAGAATAATGCATTCATGATTACTCATTTCATTATCATAATCTTTGAGCACTAAACAATAATGTAAGACAACAATGTTTTACAATAAAATAAAGACAATAATGTGAGAGCACAAGCTGTCGTTCACTTTTGCCTTTTCCTAATTTTCTAATTTGGGTCGGGCTTGGACCGAGGTTGTGCCTAAGTCAAAGTAGAAAAAAGCTCGAACCATGCCCATTATACAAACAGGTTGGCCCAGTCCACCGACAGTATCTAAATGGGCCGAACATTATGGGCCCAATTTAGTGGAGTAATCCAAAGGCTGGCACTAGCCAATTACAATACTCAATCAATGTTTAATGAGTACAAGACTCATCTCGATGTTTTAGCTTCCTAACCTGACCAACCCATAAGCGACACGATGACTCAGACCGGCAACGGCACGTGTCACCTGATCACTAGCAGATGAGGTTGCTTCAACGTGTGGTCATCACAAACCTCCTTGGCTGCATCCCCAATGCTCCTCCTAAATCTCCCGCGAATATAACTAGATATTTTCTCTCAGCCAGATAAAAACAAAAAAACCAAACGGCTTTAAATAATTTTTTTAATTTAACTTATAATGTCTATTCAAATTGAAAGAAATGATTATGTACAAGAGTAGTTGGAACACAAACTCACAAAAGATTGGAGCCTCACTTTGATGAACTTTCAGTCACTGTTTTATCTCCAATGGCCATGGTTGCAAGGCTTCACGTATGCCCACAGAGCTTAGAGCCCTTCAACTTCAAAGACTACCACAGAACCGGCCCAACGGTCATCATCGGGTCGGGTATTCGGCGCTCCGGTTCGGTACTGCCCACGGGGCGTAATGGGTTTTGCTTGAAGCAGTGCAGGTCGTTTAGGGGTGAGGATGGACGGGACGCGGTGGAAGAGAAAGAGGCCGAAAGTGCGGGAAAGCGTGGGAATTTGAAGAAGGGAAGTGGGATTTGGAAATCTTTGAGTTCTACTGTTTTGGGAGGTTTTGGTTTGCGTTCCAGAAATTCTGATGAATACAGGAAAGCTGTGGCCAAGTTGGAGGAGGTCTGTTCCTCGGTGAGTGTTGTTTACTGGTTTTTATCATTCTTCGATTTGATTAACGTTTGTTTGTGCTCAATCATTGTGATTTGGTTAGTTTGAGTACGTGTTTGTTTTCTTTTGTTGCTACAGTGAATAATTTACCAGTTTGGTTCCTGAGAAAATCCAAGGAAAGATAGTTCATTGAGATTTTGAATCTTGAAGCTTTCAGTGATTGGGGTCCGAGACAAATGGAAATGATTTTTCTAAATGGTTCTTCTGTTAATTGGGTTTTGGTTATTCATTTCTTATAAACGGCATAAAAATAAATAAAATGAAGTTAAGCCTCAAGATTTTGTCACTAAAAATTTAGAGAAAACAAGAACACAAAACAAAACAATCAGCTACCTAATGATAGGACTCTTATGGTTTATCTTGTTCTTAAGGCTTTTGAGATGCTTCTGAGTATCTAACCCTGCCTCTCTCTAAAACAATCAGGCTGCCGTACAAATTGGAAGATATATTGTGACCATGATGAGCACTGGAGTTATACTAGCAATTGGGTTTCAGTTGTCAGGTTGGAAAGCATGTTACTTATTTAGTTTTGTTATCTGTCCTAAAGCAATATTTCATATGCAGACCTCTAATTGTTGGGAAGTTTTGTGAAGGTGGAGACAGTCAGTTGAGTGAGCTAGTTTGGTATAGCTGGCTCGGAGGAGTTATTATTGGAACGATGATAGGAGCTAACATGGTTTTAGAGGAACACTGTCGAGCTGGTCCAAGAAATGTTGTCATTAGTGGAAGGTAGAAACTCACTCTTCTCTCTGCCTAGTTACAAAACGGATGCCCTATAATTGTAGTGTAAGGAGGGGTGGTACGGGTGGAGGCTTTGTAATTCTATGTTATCATGAAGAATCATCTCGTATAATTGCAATATGGTTATTGTGGAAGGGAAACCGAGGCATAGGGCACATATATCATATATGATTGGTTTATGGTCATTTAGAATAAATAATAGAAAGAAAGAAAGAGAAAGAAGGCATGCTTTTATTCTTCTTTTCCCATTTACGTACTTGATTTCCATACGATGTCTGGATGAATTTTCCTTAAGAAAACCCCAATTCATATGAGATTTTCATGTTGTTGTTTGTTTGATTGGCTGGTACAGTACAAGGGGACTTGGAAAAGCACTTGCTCGTGAATTTCTTCTTTCTGGAGATCGTGTGGTTGTCGCTTCTCGAAGGTGGTATTTGGATTATGGTATCTGTTTGTATATAGACTTATCAACATCTATGTACCATGGTTATGGTGTTATAAATACTACTACTGCCACCTCAACCAATTACTGAATCTTGTCAACGCAGCCCTGAGTCTGTACAAGCAACTGTCAGAGAGCTCGAGGAAAACCTACGGGAAGGTATGATCAGTGCTGGTGCCTCCTCTAAGCACCTGGCACATGCAAAAGTGGTTGGCATAGCATGTGATGTTTGTGAACCTGGCGATGTGCAGAAACTGGCAAATTTTGCTGTTAGTGAACTCGGTAATATTGACATTTGGGTAAGCTTTTGAAGCTCTCTAGTGGATGTTTAATCACTTTGCATTTGGTGGTAGTGTGTTTAGATATTTTTTAAATTTATTCACCAGCCTTGGACTTCATGTGCTGTACTCTGATTATCCATATATTTTAGCAGCTTCAAATATTTTACTATCTAATTTGTAAGCCTCTTGACAGATAAACAATGCTGGCGCAAATAAAGGATTTAGACCCTTGCTTCAGTTTACTGACGAAGACATTAAACAGGTATTTGTAAATAAATGGCTCTTATTGTTGTTAGTGTTAGATGTAGCATCCAAGAGGCTTTATCATCCCCCCAACCCCCAAAATGCAAATGCAGCTGCCCTACAATGCTCCTGAAACATTACATTGTAATATATAATCATTTCAAACTTGTTCAACTAACTTAGCTCATACCTTCTAGATTGTCTCGACAAACCTGGTTGGGTCTATACTCTGCACTCGAGAAGCCATGCGTGTAATGATAAATCAGCCTAAGGGTGGGCACATATTTAATATGGACGGGGCAGGCTCTGGGGGGTCAAGTACCCCTTTGACAGCTGTGTGAGTGCCTAGCCTTGTTAATGGAGAATAGCTTTTTCTTTTGTGGGAAGAGACTGAACTGTCACGTATGTTTTTGAAATTGTGATTTCTGATAGATGACAATTGTACATTGATACTTATGCTATTTTATCACCTTTACCTTTAGCTATGGGTCGACGAAGTGTGGTCTTAGACAGCTTCAATCATCACTTTTAAAGGAGTGCAAGCGGTCTAAAGTAGGAGTGCACACAGCATCTCCAGGCATGGTTCTTACAGATCTGCTTCTCAGGTACACTGAATGACTTGTTCTCTGTGGTCCATTTCTTCTCTTTTTTCACTTATTCACTAGGCCTGTTGTTAAACGAGAATCTTCACCCTCATGAGCTCAAATATAAAAAGTGTCCAAGCACCGGCTCATCATTAAATGAGTTTTCCCCTGCAGATCATACTGCTTACTGTGTAAATGGTGTTTGTTCATGCTAGGATCTGATGAATTGTTTATGGCTTGTTTGCAGTGGCTCTTCTTTAAAAAATAAACAAATGTTTAACTTCATATGCGAGCTTCCTGAAACAGTAGCTAGAACTTTAGTTCCACGGATGCGGGTAGTAAAGGGATCGGGGAAGGCCATCAATTACTTGACACCACCTAGGATTTTACTTGCTTTAGTAACTGCATGGCTTCGACGTGGTCGATGGTTTGATGACCAGGTAATTTTTTGACTTTTGTTGAAGTGTAAGATATGCTATAGGTTACCGTCCATGCAATGTGACAAATAGAGTTCTTCTGTTGAATATGGTAGCAGCAGGAAAATCGTACCCAGATACTTACATTTGGATATGGTTCTTAATTTACAAGTTGGAAACAAGCAAAAACTGATTCTGGGTATAATTTGCAGGGCAAGGCATTATATGCAGCAGAAGCAGACCGACTTCGGAACTGGGCTGAAAACCGCACACGTTTTTACTTTACGGATGCAATGGAGATGTACACAGAGAACACTTGGGTGTCTGTCTTCTCACTCTCTGTTGTTTGTGCATTCATAATTCTTTCTAGCACAACCAGCAACTTTCCTGGTACTTAAAGATTCCCCTTACACTTCAAATCCAAACCGCTAGCACAAGCAGCAACTTTCACGCAGATGCTATTTGGGAAGGACCAGCTGCCGTGCTTGGGACAACGACCTAGGCAACAGAAAGTTACCGATGGAATGGCGGGGTACCATTTTTTTACCCTGCATCGGTCGGACACTAAACTTTACATATTCATTGTAGATCATCATAAGCCTATTTGACTATTACACATCGTTTACAAATCCAAACCGTGTGTGCTTTCTATGCAAAACCATGTAAAGACAGTTCATGATAATATTTGATTCCAAGTTGTACATGCTCTCTCTCTCTCTCTCTCTCTCTCTCTCTGTGTTAGTTCCTATGGGCTTCGGTGTATAAGTTGAAAAGTTAACACTCTTGAGAGTTGTAGCTAGTATGGATTTTGTTCAATCAGATGGGGTTTACAATTCGGTATGTCAAGCATAATCTCAAGATCAACGTCTACTCTATGTTAAAAAGATTATAGAGGCAATCTTGCTACAGATTGGATCCAAAGCCCAAGATCAAGTATCGAAATTGAAATTTGAAAATATTACAAGGCTCTGCACATCTAAGCCCATAAATAGGGTGCAAAATATAGAAGAAAAACCCTACAATACTCAAACTCTAGAAGAAGAAAAAAAAATCATTTGACTTCTCAAATGAACTGAATACTACCATCATAGTTTTTTTCGACTATGAATAATGAACCAATGACTTGTGTCGTCTTTGTGCCGTAGCGGAAAATGCGGTCCTTCTAGCGTTACTCTTGGAGAGAGCAAGGGGAAAGAGCTTATTTTGTCATTGGAGTCATATAAATCCAACAATAGATTGAGTGTTCACACACACACCTAATCAATGATTGAATCACGCCGTCTTCGTATTAACAAACAGTTGGAAGGCAAGGCCATAAATCATTTCCTCATTTGACAAAAATACAGAGAGTTACACATGAAGAATAAATATAATAAAACAGATAGCTGGATATTGAGAGAGAAGAATATTTTGCCTTTCTCTCACTTTAGTCTAAATAGAAAAAGGCGAATGTCATGGCACTAATTAGGAGACAAGCTATCAATTACAATACAATACTACCATCGCCATGTGAGAGGCCACGACAATTGCACCTCCTCTCTCTTTCAAATTCCAACCCCACTTGATTTTATTATCATTTTTATTATTGTTTTTGTTAATAATAATTTTCATTTATATTTTTTCTTTTTTTTTCTTTTTTTTTTTTTTTTTTTTTTTTTTTTTTTTTTTTTTTTAATTTAATATGACATTGTCAGGTAAAATGTCCCTGGTCTTGACTATACTGCTGCCTTACATGTTTGAAAAATGAACATATATGTCTGCCTTCCACGTCCACCAGCTCATCACCCTATCTTGAAGCATTTGCCGGCAGTTTGCTTCTCTTCCCCCTTAATTTTCTTTTAGTACCAACTTATTCTTTTTATCGGTGTCATATGGTTTCCCTAACGAAACACCCTTCATTATATTTTATAAGTAACTGGTCGGCTTCCTTACACTTAATTTTATCACAATCAATGCATATTGTATGACCTCTCCATCAATAAAATTCTTATAGATGTATAAGAGTCGAACGCAATGTATTGTGACGAATCGCACTATAATTAAGGTGTGTGCGACAAGAGATCCAACTCTGTAAAAATGATCGAGGATTCCATTTTCTTTCTAAATCACATCAATATGGTACAATTATGACCTGGGCTTTGAATTGAGAACTTAAAACAATGTATTAGAAAAGTACCACATACTCAGAGACTTAGAGGGAAGCTTCCAAGGTTTAGACAAATAATGTCCACGGCGTGGTGTGTGTCTGTCTATAATCCTAAAATTAATTAAACATGAAATAATCGCCGGCAAATCCAGTGCAATGCAGACCAAGATGTGATAATAATATTGACCCAAGTGCTGCTAATTTTTTTTTCTGGAATTTGACTTGGCTAAAAGCCGCCTCCACCGCATGCCTGCAATTTTTGTGCTACCTCAACTGCACACGAATATTGGACCATTTCCTGCTACGCTCCACGCATGGATATGGACAATTACTCTCTCTCTCTCTCTCTCTCTCTCTCTCTTGCTTATTAGGGTTTTCTTTTCTGGGGCAAACCTCCTCTTCTTGGGTGGTTTTACTTTACACATGCATGCTGCTTATTACACTTGGCTTCTCTTACTTCGACCGTTCAAATTGTTCCATATGACTTAAAAACAATGCATAGAGATGAATAGTTAATTACAATTCATCAACTGCTCAAATTAGAAGAGGATTTAGAGTGCATTAAATAATTAATTGGAGTTGGCATAACTCTTTTGTGTAGGAAACATGTCAACTTGGTCGTATATGGTTTAGCTGTTGGTGTCCAGCTGGTGTGTGGCTTTTACTTAGAGTAACAGCTACTGCCTAGAGCCATGCAAGGCTTAAAATTTCAAATCAGATCAATTAGGATCACCTAATCCCTTGACTTATCATAATTTATTGCCTTCTTTTAAGCTATCTGGGTAGCGTTATTGATAGGGTTAATTTGTCTGTACAGCTCACTTTCATATTGCCTTCCCTTGCTTGAGCCATAATTAAATTATATATATGAAGGACACTCCTGGCTAAAAGAGGGTGTTTAATTATATCTAATTTAAAAAGCACTATAGTTTTTAATAATAATTTGAACATGCTTCTAATAAAAGCATTTTCAGCAAAAGTGCTTAATTATGACTTTATAACTATCACCGAAATCACCCAAAAACAGTATTATGATGTAAGTTTGATGAGACTCTACACTTTTCATTTTCATCATCAAATAATATCTAGATTGATTTTTTTTTTAAAAAATAAGATATATATTATTTTGCTGACATAATTACCCTGTCTTACCTAATTAGGTTTAAAATTTGGAAAGCAACACTTAGCAATTGCGACAAGGGAAGCAGCAATTTTGGCCTATGTATAGTGTATGGCATCAGCAAAGATCAACCCAAATTTGTCTCATAGCTTCTCTCTTTGTTCCTTTCTTGCTTGGAAGTTTCAGGATTTTGGTTTTCTGTCTGGAAGTTTAGGCTCAGTTTAAACACCAAGTGAGCCAATCCAACCGACGAAATCTCACTGGATATAAGCTTAAATTGAACAGAATCTATCCCACTATTGCTAAAACATGATAAAATATTATCAACTACTATTACCAAACCCTCTTTCTCGGGTAAAAAATGCAATAATTTGTTGGTGTGGAATCTTATGAACTTTTTACTTGGTTTCTTGCAACCTCCTATATTAAAATCTTTCTTTTGTTTTGCACCATAATTTGGTTAGATTACTGATTTTTCCACTCCCTTTTTATCTACTTACACTTTATTTTTAAAAAAATTATATGCTCTCACTCCTCTTTTGTTCACTTACACTCCCTTTTATCTCATAGTAAAAAGTATTAAAAAACAAAAGAGTGTATGTGGATAAAAAAGGAGTGAGAAAATCACCACCCTTTGCTTATTTGCCTTGATTTAGAGAGCTTGTACGTTGTGAGTGAGGTATAGTTCAGTTGGTTAAGTTCTTCCACCTCTATTCATGTTGTGGACACAAGTTCGAAACTCTCAAGCACCCAATAAATATTTATATAAACCCCCCTCATCTAATTTCTTGTACGTTACAAGATTTTTGTTGGCACATTCATGGTTAGTTATGAAAAAATCTGACCCCCAAATTGGTTAGAATTGACACCCTTCCCAATTGGTAAATGCCTACCAATTTTTCAATGCGAATGAGTGTGCATGTGGTGTGATTGATTTATAAAGAAAAATTGGTAAAGTTTGATCACACTGTATTTTTTAAATATATTATTTTACAGGAGATAATGTCAAGGATAATTCAACGTGTTTTTCTTCCTTGGGTAATCGAAGGTGTTCATACTTGGTCTAATGTCTAGATCAGAAACAAGTGTAAAATAAATAAAAAACCTCAACAAAAATATATTTATTATATTAATTTTTTTTCGGTTACATATAAAATGGACTTTTACATAATAAAAAATTTGTGTAAATTAATTAATTTGGATCCATGATATACGAATATCGTGCAAGAACGATTGGAAAAAAAAACACAAACGCCGTCTCCAATTCACCAACCAAACAAAAGAGAATAAATCACAAGCCGAATGAGTAAAAGACGGAGAAACGCGCGGACTAATCGTGTAGGTCCCACGCGGGCCCCACACGAGGAAAGAGAGAAAGAAGACCTCCTCCCTCCAGAGGCTCTACTTGGTCTCAGCCAAAAGGCAAAGCTGGTGAGTGGTGAGCTCTCCCCACAGCACAGTTCCAGCAAAGCAGACGATGATGATCTCTCCCTCTCTCCTACCACCATGTGATGAAGTCTGATGACTGAAGAATTGTTTGTTTTGAAATGAAATAGAAAATCAGAGAGAGAGAGAGAAAAAAAAAGCAACAAAAATACCTTCCTAATTCCGAAACCAAAAAAGCAAACGCTATCTGTCTGTGTTTGTCTGCCCTCTCTCGTACTCTCTCCCTCCATTAACTACTAGACATTCTCTCTCTCCTGCCCTCTCTCTTCTTTTGGAAAGAGAAAGAGGAGAAAGCTTTCATTCAGCGGAGCAAGAAACGACTGTTTATCAGCTACCCATTTCTTCTGATACATCTGATTTGTAGCAGCAATGTCGAGCCCGCCTCCGGGGACAACTCCGGCGCCTTCTTCGCCGCCGGCGACGAACACCACCACACCACCAGCAGCTCCGGCACCGTCCTCGCCTCCGGCGACCAACACCACCTCACCACCCCCGCCATCTCCGACCGCACCGCCTCCAAAGACTTCGAATGCGCCACCACCATCGACCCCGAGCGCACCACCACCAGCCACTCCCTCATCACCTCCACCACCATCAACCACACCCACACCGCCGTCGACCACTCCTCCTCCGGCCTCTTCGGCCTCTCCGCCGCCGCCTTCGAGTTCATCCCGCTCTCCTCCTCCGCCGACTAGTTCGGGCACTACGCCTTCGACCCGGAGTCCTCCGCCTCCAAAATCGGTTTCTCCTCCTTCTCCGCCATCGTCGTCGAACTTGGATTCGGGGGTTATAATCGGGATTGCCATTGGGGCTGTGGCGATCTTTGCGGTGCTGACTATCTTCTGCATTTTTTGCACTAAGAAGAAGAGGAGGAGAAGGGATGACGAAAACTATTATATACCTCCCCCGCCGCCTCCCGGGCCTAAAGGTATCAGCTTTCTTTGTTTTTTGAGATTTTGTGATCTGGTTTTGGTACCTTTTTTTTGTTTGTGTTTTAGGGTAAGTTTTAGATTCGGTTTCATTTGGACCATTTTGATCACTGTGTATGCAGAAATGGTCTTTAGCTAGATTTTGTGGGTTTAGAGGAGCCCGATGGATCTGGTCATCGTATAAATTTATAAATTCAATTTTCCACATTTCCCCCTCCAATGTTGCCATCGTTTCGCATTGCAATGATTTTTGTTTATAATTATCCCGATTGGTGATGACTTCTGCTTGTGTGATTGTATGGATTAACATGAAGCCCTGGTGAATCTGGTAAAGCATGCTATATTCAGGGGTTATGCCTTGTGTCCTATTTCATCGTCATTATGTATCGTGTTATGCATCAAGTAGAAAACTTCCAACTTATAAATACTCTGACTTGAATTCCGAATCTTACTCTCAAATCTTTGAATATCAATCACTCCTTCACTCTCGTAAGAGACATTGGATTCTTTTTAACATTTCACTTGGATTAAAAGACTCGTGGTGTTTTATGGTTGCCTTTTTGTTTTTGTTTCTATGACTTATTATTTTATTCCAGTTTTGTTTGAAAGAAGACATTTTCTGAGGAAGTTTTTTTGTACACCTAAAAATTTGCGTCTGACTGCCCAGGAACAAAAACATATCATTGCTGTGGATTATCCAGATGGATGGTAATACTGATTTCCTACCGTTGTATTTTTCAGATGACCCATACGGTGGTCCACCACATCGGTGGCAACAAAATCTTCCGCCTGCAGAGCATGTAGTCACAATGATGCCAAAGCCATCTCCTCCACCAGCTCCAGCATCACGTCCGCCATACTCACCACAGAGTGTTCCCCCACCACCACCACCACCTTTCACAAGCAGCAGTGGAGGTTCTGGTTCCAATTATTCAGGGGGTGAAACTCCAGTCCCACCACCTCCACCAGGCTATACCTTGGGTTTCTCTAAAAGCACATTTACATATGAGGAACTAGCATTAGCAACAGAAGGCTTCTCAGATTCCAATCTCCTTGGACAAGGTGGATTTGGATATGTACACAAAGGAGTCCTTCCGAATGGGAAGGAAGTGGCAGTCAAGCAGCTAAAAGCTGGAAGTGGGCAAGGGGAACGTGAATTCCAGGCAGAAGTTGAAATTATTAGCCGTGTACATCACAGACATCTTGTTTCACTGGTTGGGTATTGCATGACTGGATCGGAGAGACTACTTGTTTATGAATTTGTTCCAAATAATACTATGGAGTTCCACTTACATGGTAATTTTTTTTTCTTTTCCGCACACATGATTGAGTTTATGATGATAAACATCTTTATTTTAATCAAAAGTAAAACAATGAATTTAAATAGTCAAGTTGATAGACTGTTGCTTGATTGTTAAACGGTGAATTCTCATCCTTAGTGTTATGATTTTCCATCTGCGAATGTGAAGTATGTGTCTATAGAATTTAGGTTATGATTTGGTGATATTTACCATTATAATGTTGGTTCATACTTCTGGTTACAAGGATCTGATAGACTGTTCGTATTGCAGGAAAAGGACGACCTACCATGGATTGGCCCACCAGACTGAAAATTGCTTTGGGATCTGCAAAAGGACTAGCATATCTTCACGAGGATTGTAAGCTCTCCGTGTCCGTGCACACACAGAAATGCACTTGAAAAAGAATCACTTTAATTAGTCCTTGACATCATAACTTCAGATTTTAGATTGTAATAATCTGTACATGCATGCAGGTCATCCTAAAATCATTCATCGTGATATCAAAGCAGCTAATATACTTTTGGATTTCAAGTTTGAGGCGAAGGTATGGACTGTCAATTGATTTTCTTGCTTCTTTCCAAAATTTACAATTCTTAAAATTAATGTTAGTTCCTGAATGGCAAGTTATTGGCTCCCTGAGTTTTGTTCTTCTTGATATATGGCCGGCTATTACTTAGCCTTGGAAAGTTTGGTGCTTAAATTATTTTGAATGAGATATATTACACTCAAATTTGATCAGTTCTAGGTGATTATATTAAAGTTTATTGGTTGTGGTCATGTCAAGGAGTGTTTAGATTGAGATTCACCATCTTTGTCACAGGTTGCGGATTTTGGACTTGCCAAGCTGTCTTCTGATGTTAATACTCACGTTTCCACCCGAGTGATGGGAACTTTTGGGTAAGACTCATTTCTTTCATATTAAAATTGCCAGTGGAATTTGATATCTTTATGATTTTAGTTTGAGATTGACCCAAAGTAGGACCAGGATTTTTTTTGTTTCCATCTGTTCCAAAATGTCTGTTGCTATGCTTGAGCTGATTCTCTCTTTCTAGTTATTGTTTTTCATAGAACATATTTATTGCATGATTGTGTTGAACACCCAAACTGTATGCGATCATATGTATATGGTCATGTTGTCAATCCTTGTTGCTTTGCTATGATTGAGAGGTCTCAGGTTCTCAAGATTGTTGTGAATGTTGTTTGGTGTGATGATGAGATGTTCATCTTAGTTTAGCTTGTCTAAATGATCTATCGTGATATATCTGCATTGCTTAGTATACGTATGCACTTATTATTCATGTTCTTACATGCTCGCTACCATCAGGTATCTGGCTCCAGAATATGCTTCAAGTGGAAAACTCACAGACAAGTCAGATGTTTTCTCCTTTGGGGTTATGCTTTTGGAGTTGATTACTGGACGCCGGCCTGTTGATGCATCTCAAACTTTCATGGAGGATAGTTTAGTAGACTGGGTGAGTGATAACTTGCTTTGTCTGTGAACTGCTTTCTTGATCAAGATTTCCCCCTTTTGGCTTTTATCATTTGGGTTTTGGGTTGCTGGAGTATCATTGGTATTTATAGAGAGCGTGTTGTGGCATCGCAGGCAAGGCCTGTGTTAACTCGAGCACTGGAAGAAAGAAACTTTGATGGACTGGTTGATCCTAAGCTGCAGAATGATTATGACCCCAATGAGATGGCTCGCATGGTTGCTTGTGCTGCAGCTTGTGTACGTCATTCTGCACGGCGTCGGCCTCGAATGAGTCAGGTAAATTTTCTTCAGTAAGAGCTTAAGCTTTCACGTTCCTCGTGTGCTGATGCAAGTTCATATCCTCTGTATGTGCAATTATTGAAGTGTCTTCTGACCAATATTTACTTGATACATGCAGGTTGTCCGTGCTTTAGAGGGAGATGTGTCTTTGTCTGATCTCAATGAAGGAATCAGGCCCGGGCAGAGCAATGTCTATAGTTCATATGGGAGCTCAGACTATGACACAAGCCAATACAAAGAGGACATGAAAAAATTCAGGAAGATGGCACTGGGAAGCCAGGAGTATGGTGGTAGCAGCGAGTATAGTGCACCCACCAGTGAGTATGGCTTGTACCCGTCTGGCTCAAGCAGCGGTGAAGGCCAAAGCCGCCTAACCACCCGAGAAATGGAGATGGGAAGGATTAAGAAGAACAGTAAAGGTTTTAGTGGAACCTCTTGACACAGCCAATGCACCAATTTTCCTGTAAAAAGCTACCCCCCCAGATTCTTACATTGATGATTTCAAGAACAACGTGTTTATCACCAATTATATCTATTTTTTTTTTTCATCCGTTTGAACTATCGGTTTTACAGTGTACTTAGGAGCGCTTATACAAACAGTAAACAAATAATCTTATCCAATTCTTTATTTGTGGCTTAATCTTTCTTCTTTACATATTAATCACCGCATGAACATGCGTGCATGTTTTTTGAATGATGTTTTTTGGTTCCATTTACGTTTCTAAAAGGTTTGCTCAATTTTTGTTCATCATGAAAGGCAGACACAAAGCCAATTTTTCCAACCCTAGTGCCTAATTGTGTCGCGGCCAGCATGTCCAACACAGAAAAAGCTGTATATCTCTGACAAAGTCAAACAAAGTCTTATTTTTTTTTGGTTGAAGAAGAAGAAAATGCCCACCAGCCCACGCTCCCTGGCTGCTCGTGCTGTCTTGCACATGCCCCCCTTATTTTATGACCCTCATCAGTTCGTGGGGACTGGGAATAGGGGACCTCTCTGCTAGTTCGAATTTGGCAAAATACAACTCTTTTTCTTTCTTTCTTTTAAAAAAATAAAATAAAATAAAATTTTGGCCATGGAAAAGTATATGAATTTGAATGTTTTACGTTTGTTTTCGAAATTCTTGTCTGATACTCATCATTAACATGAATACAAATTGACTATAAAATCCAAAAATTCTTCTATCAAACCCTGACAGATACAAAATCGTTTCCTGTGGTGCTGACAACAAGACTCTTGAATTAGTGAAGTGATGTTACAAAGAAATCCACTGGTAGCTGTGACAGTATTATAAGAACAATGCTACAGGAGATCAAAGGCCTCAGAAAAAAAGAAAAAGAAAAAAAAAAGGGCTACTAATCATCCGGAACTATAGATTAGAAAACCGGCCAGAGCCAGATCCTTTCCTTCGCCGCCGTCGTTTCTGTCGAATTCTCCAAAAGCTCAAAACTAACAAAATACCTACAATAGCAGCAAAGTAGTTTAAGAGTAAACGACATTTCAAAACATGTAAACATTTCTTTTGACGAATTGGAAAAGTCAATGATCATTTACCAGTTACAGCAATTATTGCATGAACAAGCCAATGACTAGGAACAACCACAGGCATATCAAGCTGCAAAAAGGTTTAGAAGAAACTCTCAGCATTATTTACCATGTTATAGTATTGTAGTAAGAGAATAACATGAGAGAGAATCATTTTCTAATCGAAGTATGAATCTTTCATGAACCATTCGTTGGCTTACCTCGTCCCCATAGAACAGGCCAAAGTACCTGTTCCCCAGAGAATCACTTCTATTTTCCCCGAGCAATTTGGGATGCTTCAAATTGGAAGTATCGACTGTAGAATTTAAACCTCTATCCAAGTCAACTACAGAATAACCAGGTAATCTTCTGTTTGTTCCCCTGATCTGTGAACTGTAACCTTTAGTCCCCCAGATTTCAAATACAGAGTCACTCCCACAGATCACTTCCTTTCCCACAACAGCAGAATATGTAGAGAAATTCACATCCGTTCTACGGGACGGTAATTGGTTGTCTTCCACATATAAAGGTGATTTTTGTTTAACTGAGTTTGAGAAAAGCACAGGATCTTTGATGTTTCCACCGGTAAAATCTAATATTTTCCTCAAGAGCCAATAACAATTAGTTACCATATGACTGCTGTCCAAACAGTTGGAGTCTCCATAGACTGCAACACGACCTTCACCCATCTCTAAAAGACCAAGAATGGGAGAATCTGCCTGCATTTGTCAATAGGCACCATAATCAAAATCATGTATGAATCATGATTGAGTTTAATTATCAAAATGGAAATAACTGCATGCCTGATATTCTAAACGTCCTGCACGTAGTTAAATCAACTTTTGGTTCAAGGAATATTGCATAATTTTGTGTGTGTGTGTGTGTATGTGTCTGTGAAAGAGACAGAGAGAGGAAGAGTCTCATTCAAGTTGAGACATGAAAAAAGAGAAGAAAATGTTGAATGAGTAGCATTCCTGCTTACCATGGTCATCTCAGGAGTCCGAAGTACATTCTGAGTGGCCCCACTCTCAGAGCTATCCAGGAAAGGGAACTTGTGCACATAACCACCTTGTGGAAACCTCACTATATCTGTTCCAGATGCATACCGACTATGCTCACCATTAATAGAAAAATCACCATTTAGAATCTTATCTCCAAATGCAATCCCAAACGGAGCCAAAAGGTCATTCAACGCTGGAACATTTGCGCCTCCAGTGACTGGAGTCCACCAACTTCGTGTGTTATCATCAAAGAATCTCATCTTCACCATCGTGTCCACATTATACCATTCGGAAAACACAGCCAACCCCAGTCCAGAATTAAGAACATCATCCCGCAGTTTATCAATCTCCTCTTGAAAGTACTCTTCTTCAAGATCTACCAGAAGAAGTGTTCCATACCGGAGAGCGTCAAAGCAAGTAAAAGGCGAACCAAGTGTTTCCACATAATACCCAGCATCTCGTAACATGTTGAACATAATGTGAAAATTTGTATGCAGGTGATCCCCATGCCAGTCAAGTATGTCATTACGAACATCCAAAGAGTCTCTAGGGATATAACCTGGAGGGTATTTAATATTGTGAAACTGATCCCACAAAACTCGTTTTGATCTTGGTGGAGTAGGGACAACCTTCAATTTCAACTGAAGCACACAAGTACTAATCCTAATATCCTTTTCTCCTTGAGCTGGAGGACTGTACACCCTAAGAGTAACATTGCCTCCAATCTCTCCAGAAAATTGTGCACCTTCTTCCTTAATTTGCATGTGAAGCGCAAAATAACCAGTCCAAGGCCAGATAACTTCAGAATAAGTAAAGTGAATGCTTAGAAGATTCCCTACTTCATCTAAAGGATGCCATGTGGGTGGACTTTCAACATAGCCGATTACACCCATCCCATTTAGAATGGTAGCATTAAAGATAACAGGCATGGCACCTGCATAAAGCGGTTGACGACAGAAGGGCCAGGAGTAAGGGCAATCTGTATAATCGAGAGTACTTGGGAAGATGCTGGCACGAGGTTTGTAACTCTTAAGGATTTCATATGATTCTAACCTGACCAAAAAGTCAAAACTTAAAACTGAAAACCAGTAATACCAATGCTAAACAGTAAGAATAACCGTAAATGAGATCTGTACAAAAAAAGTAAAGGGCCTATAAATCAGGAGAACTTACAGATCGACCCTGCCTGCACCTTGCTCATACATATTTGGACCAGAAAGCTTCGCAGCACCCTCAACCAATGCTTGTTTCATGCTTGCCGGATTTAAAGTGTCCTTCCTACTGCTCTCAGGGATAACACTCACAAGCAGGCATACCATACCAGCAACCACAGGACTTGCCACACTAGTGCCAGATAAGCTTTTACAGCCAGTACTGATCCTAGATCCCATAATGTCCCGTCCATACGCGACTACATCCGGCTTCACCCGACCATAACTGTGCAGAGAAAACTTATAAAGTTAACGTTAACATAGCTTGTACGGCCCAAGGAACAACAAAGGATTGAATGCCTTAAGATCACTTTAAAAACCTTGTAAAGATCAGAGCACCAAACACTAGAAAATATACAGCACTATTAGTCTCTTAAAAAAAGGCATAACCATAGGAAAGGAAGATAAAAATTGCAATAAGTGGTAAGAAGGAAAATATATTAGATTACCCATGAGGCATCTCCCAAGTACTCATGCCACGTGAAGAAAAAGAAGCAATGTGATCACTGTAGTCAATGCCGCCAACACCAATGACATCACTTTGGTCTGCTGGATTGTTTAGAGTTCCATAAAGCGGTCCATCATTTCCAATTGCCGAAACCATAATTATATTGTTTGCAGTTATTTCCCAAACCTGTGAGCAAATGCAGCACAAATTTAAGTTCCACACTTCAATTGCACAACATGTATGATATATGCCCACACATGTTTCAATGCAGAACCTAGAAGTCGATAAACCACCACACTAAAAGGTTCTTTATGAAATACAGAAAATTAACCAAGGAGCCTTACCTTCTCTACAAATGGGAGGTCCAAGTAATCAGGTCCACCTATACTTAGATTTAACACGTCCATATTGGTTGCAATGGCATAGTTAAATGCATCAAGGAACCATGATGTGTATGATACCTGCAATAAGCTGAACACAGGCTTCTCATAATCTTGCTAAATTTGATTAACCAAATGAAAAACCATGAAGCGAGGCATTTAAAACCATGGCTTGAATACAAAGCTCTCTAAATCTTGCTTTCAATGACTTTCTTTTGAAAAGATAATCTATATCATTCCAGTCATAATGCCATATCAATAAATCTTCCAATGTCCGATGTCATTACCTGTGCATCTGTAAACACACGAAAAGCATAGATCTCTGTATCAGGAGCAAAACCGAGACACTCTGCATCTACACCAGCAATAACACCAGCAACAAATGTCCCATGTCCAAGATTGTCGTTTAATGTATCTTCATTGGTCCAGTTTGTGCGCTCCTGCATAATTGCTCAAAATTGAAAACCGGCATAGCACCGAGATTTTTACTTTTATTTTTATAAGCAAACAGAAAAATATAAGGCAAATAACAGTGATTAAGTCTGACTACAAACATCCACAAGGGGAAAAGACTCGAGCTTCTTTTCCCAGAAAACAGAACCTTAATATTACGAAAATGTGGGTGATTAGCTCGAATGCCAGTGTCAAATATGGCCATTTTGACTTTTGTACCAGTATACCCCTTTTCCCAGAGAAAATCCGCTCCAAATAATGAAGTAACTTGAGATTTCTGCAAGAATTAAATTAAGAGAGTTAATTAAAAATAAACACTAAGGAATTTTTCAAGAATCAGAACAAACCAAAAATAGAAGGAACACTGCTGGAACTTTCTCCAAATATAATTTCAAAATGGCCATTTTTTGACACACACACAAAAAAAAAAAAAAAAAAAAGGCTTCTCCACGTTATCTTGGATTTATTGAGAAAAACCAAGTGAAGTGATATATTCTTATATACGTTCCGCCATTATCAAGTTAAACCCAATTAGGAAAGACTTGTAGCTTAGCCAAGATAAACCTTTCCCACAAAATTGGATAAACACCCATAGAAAAATATACGAATCCCAACTTCAATCTCCTTCCTGTTCCTCAATTGAAATGGAAATCAAGAAACAATTTCTGGTCATAAAAACAGAAACGCATGAATTGCGCAGGAAGTTCTTTTGGTTTCATACAAATGCACCAAAACCCACCTGAGCCATTAGCTGCCTTCTCCACCTAATCGAATAATTACTTGTGGCCGTAAAATGTGTATCGCCGCCGGCTTCGCTAAAGGACATCGCCGTTAAAATTTTCCCCGGCCGCTTGTTTCCATCGACAAAAGCCCCAACTTTGTCTCTTTTTTCCTCTGCAAGCAAACCCCTCCCATACCTCATATCCGCATTGACATCCTTCACCAGCCCCAACTTCCCAATTTCCGAAACTACTATTTCTTTTGCCGAGTCTTCAATCCAAACCAATCCAAAATCTGTAGGGTACTTCTTGGCCGGGTTGTTCCTCTCGATCCAATCCCATCCATCGGATCGAACACTCAATTTCAAATACTCACGGTGCTCTTCCGCCCTTTTGTATCCGGAAAATCGAACGACGTAGTTTTGGCGGTTGGTTTGAGGATGCGAGGAATTTAGGGTACCACGGTTTAGGTCTAGGGTTGGGGAAATTTGGGTCTTGAAATGGAGGAGAGAGATGGAGATCGAGACAAAGATGGAGATGAAGATGAAGACGAGGGAGAGCGATGGAGTGGAGGTACGAGGAGAAGTGGTCATGGCGACGACGGAGCTAAGAAGATTGGCGTTGACGCTTCATTGATTTGGCGGGAAAGCTCTCGCATCGGAGAAAATGCGGGTCGGTCCGGAGAATCACTGTTTAATCTTTCAGTTTAACTTGTCCTTCTTTCATTTTTTGGCTGACTTGTCTTTTCTTCTCTATATAAAAAAATAATAATAATAATAATAATAGTAATAAAGTCTTTTTTTGGCTCAAATTTATCAGATTTTAATTTTATAAAATAGTAAAAAAATAAATAATTTTTTTAAAATCTTGTTAAAGCCCATCTGGCCCATCGAATATTGTCACTACCCGAGTTTCTATGCCCAGTCCAATTTGTACCCGCAGTTTATTTTCTCTACCCGAGTTTCTACGTTAGAGCATTTTTAATTGTAGTAGCAAATAAAATTTATTAAATTGAAGTTTGTTAACCTATGTGGTAATTTGAAAAGCCTTACTTGCTACTTGAATAATTTTTGCTCCAACATACTCTTTAATTCAGTTAATGCAATATCATGAAAAAGAATGAAAAATATGAAATATGTATATGTATTTATTATATGAAAAGAAAAAAAAACATGTTTTTAACATTTTCAAGATAGATTTTGTTTTTTCAAATTAAAATTAAATATTTGAAGAGCAAAGTCAACTTACCAATCCTGAAGAGAGAGAAAGAGGTTGCAGCTTCAATGACTGAGGTTGACGGATTTAAATACATAGTTTAACTTTTATTTGTAAAGTTATCTTTTTTTAAACCTCAATCTCTCTTGAAATTTTAAAAATAACGACTTTTAAATGGAATTTAAAGTTGAAATTTATGACCTCCAAATTTCATTTTTTTTTTCACACAGAATTTATAAATTTCTATGTTTTTTTTATATCAAAATGTGGGAATTCTGATTTTTGTCAAAATTCCAAATTTATTTCCCTAATTCAAAATGCATTGTAAGGTTAAAATTGAAAATACGGGATTAGAGTGGTAAAACGGGTAAACCACAGGACAAAAAGTTTTTTTGGCATTTTGTTGCTTTCATTAAACGCTGCGTTTTGTTCGCACCTCACGACAACGGCTCTGTATAATGCCTTCTCCATCTCAACGCTATCAGTTAAAAACAGAGCAATCCACTCAAAGCTTGAAGCTTGGAAATGGCGCGAGGGGTAATCTTACCATCGCAAACCAGTACCCAAACCTTACTTTTTGCCATTCCAAAAATACCCCTAACAGCATGGAAACTCCCATTCATGTCCCGTCAAGTTTCCTGCAAGTGCTCGTCCACCCAAGCCCCAGTCGTCGCAGTCGACACGGCCAAGTACAAGGAAGCTTTCTCTAGACGAATGGCAATGGCTGGCCTCAAGCCCCACCACCGAGTCGGTCTGTACTCACTTTGTTCCTCTTCTTCTCTGCAACTTTTCTGTGTTTTTCTTTTCGTGTTAACATATTGGTCAATTCTTACTTTTTCTTGTTTTTCATTTTATGGGCTTAATTTCGCTTGTTTTGCTCTCTAAATTTTGCTTCTTTTTGAAAAACAAAAAGGGTGTTGTTTATCTTTTCATTTTCTTTGGTTGTGTGAGCTTGGAGAGTTCAATTAAATCCCAGTGAGATTGTGATGCTTGTTTTCTGCTTTGTATGTAGCTATTGGGGTCTCTGGAGGTCCAGACAGTATGGCTTTATGTGTTTTGACCGCCCACTGGAAAGCTCAAGACTTTGATGCGAAATGTGATAGTGGTGGCTTCATTGACGGGCTTTTGGCAATAATTGTCGACCATGGGCTGCGTGCAGAGAGCAAAGAAGAAGCCAACACTGTTTCTAATCGGGTCTCTAAAATGGGTACTTTTCGGTGTTGCTCATGATATATTGTTTCGGTGTCTTCGGCTTAACATAGTAATTTCAGTTTAAGACTTGACTGGAAGTAGATAAGCCAATATGAACTTTGTGTAGGAATCAGAAGTCATATTGCCTGTTGTGATTGGCCGTATGGTCATCCGAAACAAGGTCATTTGCAAGAAGCAGCTCGTGACATGAGGTGGTTACTTCTCATTTTCCAAAGTCCCTATGCCTACTACTGGGGATGTTACTTCTGTTTTGAATATTGATAATTGGTTCATTACATTTATGGTTCAATTGGGTGATGTACATTATTTCATTTGCAATTTGTTTAAATTGGGTTTGAATGTCAGGTATGAAATATTTCAGAAGATTTGCATCCAGAACCGGATTGGTGTGTTACTTATTGCACATCATGCTGATGACCAGGTCTGTCCAACAATCATTTAATTTAACTTTCTTTCATTTTGCAGCTGTATATCTGTGTGTTATGTGTGAGGGATGTACAAATTAGTTGTTTCGAAAAAGAGGCCAATCCACTTCCAGATATGAAAGAGTCTTTATATTTGTAATCACAAAACTGAAAGAAAGTGTCAGCTTATTTATAAGAATTATGGTATTATTTCCTCTGTATTGATATAAACTTTCCAGGCTTGTTACATATACTAGATATATAATGATTGCTAAGACCCAATGCAGGCTGAGTTATTTGTTCTCAGACTATCTCGTAATAGCGGTGTCCTTGGACTTGCTGGTATGCCTTTCACGTCTCAAATTTTCTCCACACATACCCATTCCTATGCTGAAGTTTCGGGAAACTACGGTATCCTTGTTGTGCGACCACTCCTGGATCTTTCAAAAGAAGATATGTACGAGGTCAGTGTAATGGAGCTGAGAAGTATCTGTTAAATGTATGTTTAAAAAAAATTGTATTTGGAACCAATCTGAGTTAATTTATTTCATAATTTTTCTAGATGTGTGAAGGAAGTAATCAGGTCTGGGTGGAAGACCCGACGAATCAAAGCCTGTTATATGCTCGTAATAGAATTCGAATGTCTCTAAGGGACTCGTCATCAAGTGAGTTTTAAACATAATTTCAATTGTTGTAGTTTAGTCCTTATAATTGGGTGGTAAAGGCTTTTATCTTCTCTTGCATGTTTTGTTAACTTCATAGTACTGCTGTACGTATAGTTTCCCTATGCAAAAATGTTATTGCCATTTATCTTGTTTGCAAACACTGCCATAACAATTACTGACTACCAATGTTTTTTTTTGCTTTTTCTAGGTGCGTTCAAGTTGGAGCTACAAGCAGTTATTTCTGCCTGTCGCAAAACACGCATATACATCGATTATATTTGTAGTAATCTGATAAGCAAAGCAGTGACTGTTATGGATGTAAGCATCATTTGAGTGTCCATACCTTTTTAATTGTTTCTGATAATTGATAACTATTATAGCCAACTTCTCGTTTGACTATAGTGTAAAGATTTCTGAATATGTTTAAGACATTTCATTTGATATTGTGCCTGCAGCTGGGATATGCTGTTATTGATTTAGAGATTCTTAATGAATCAAAAATCGAGGACATATGCCTGTCAAAGTTTATTGCCTTGGTTTTGAAGGTACTACAATTATTACCATACAAGTTGTTTGACGTCATAGTTATTTTTCTTAGAAACGTATATTTTTCGGATGAATTATGTTTATGCTGAGATTCATTCTGTTTGCAGTTCATCTCACAAAGGAACAGGCCAATTAGAGGTAGTACTTCAAAATTGCTTTTGGACTACATGCATACTTTACCGTGCAAGGTACGAATACAACTGTAACATGAAAAGTTAGCCTTTTCAAAGTCCAAATAGCTGCATTTGGTATTACTTAATAGTTTCATTGAATTATCGTTCTGTTTTACCAATCATGCAGACCTCCCTTACAGCAGCTGGCTGCTACCTTTCTCCAACTCCTGGGTCTAGAGGCATGAAAGCTCTAGTTTGTTCTTCTGTCGATTGTCCTCTACCTTCAAAAATGGAATCATCCCATCTACATTTTCAGGCAGAACAGGAAAACTGTACTTCAGATGAGATTGAGAAAATTATAGCAGATGGCAAATCATATGCAGATTCCTTAATTCCAGATGCATCTGATGTGCATTTCTTGGAAGGAACTTCTGAATCAATTCTAACTGGAGCCAGGAATCTTGGTATGCTTAGTGAGTCAACCCTTTCAAATATTCTTTTATTGCAGAAGGAAGAGATTCAGAATTTCAAGTCTAAGAGCAAAGTCGCAGCTGACTACAAGTCAGAGCATGGAGTCAAATCTGTTAGTACATCAAGGAGTAAACCACTTCACCCTGGGGAAATATGTTGCTTCATGAACCGGTTCTTTGTCACATGGAAACTGAGTGAGGAAGTTCCTGAAAATGCAACTTCTGAGGAAGCTAATAGTGATGGAGTTTCGGAAGGACAAAGTCGGGGCTGTTGCAGATCTTGTGTATTTGGTCATGACATGATGGTTGAGGTGCGGAACATGACTGAACCAGATTGGCTGTATCTTGGCAACTTGTCGAAGAGTCGAACTTCAGAAAACTTTCAAGAACAGAGACATTCTTTAGATAGTAGGGTAGAGCAAACAGAAGAGAAGACAAACGAATGTCCAGATTATGCAAGGCTCTCAGCACAAAGAGCTCTTGTATCCCTGAAGTCTATCCCTCTGGCTGCAAGAAGAGGTCTGCCTGTCCTAGTGAATAGTCAAGGACTACTGCTAAGCATCCCAGTAAGTTTTTGTATGTTCAAATCGGATATTGTGGTCCCTAGTTATCTAACCTTTTTCCTGAAAAGTAACAATCCTTATTTTGCCTTTCAGAGCATTGGCTTCAAACACTGCCCATGCTTAATGGTATCTGCGACATTCAAGCCAAAAGTACCACTCGGCGGAGGTCATAGTTCGTTCATCTAGTTGCCATAGTTTCGAATCAGCGGGTCCACCCATTCTCTACAACCTGGATGTCCGCACAATTTTGTACTATCTTTAGATTATGTTGCAGTTTGCAAACTAGGTTGTATTGAACCCAGCTTCTTGACCCACCCACCCAAAAAAAATAAAAAAACCCCAGCTTCAAACCCCAAACTTTCCAGTACAGAAAACATCGTGTATAATGCTAATATTGAGGTTGTCTACTCCAAAGTTGTTTTTAAAGCACCACATTATTCAGTTCATCTTCCAGATAACCATCAGCACAAACTATAATTTCGAAGCTCATAGTCCAGTTCATGGTGCTTGTGACATGAGGCATCTCTAATTACTCGGTTGGCCTTGTGCAGAAATGTCAAAGATCATTTAGATATCCATGAAAAATGGCGTATCAAATTCAAAATTTAAACTGTGTTTTTCATTTCGTTTAATAAATGTTACTAAACACATACAACTGGAAAACAATTACATCACTACCATAACCCCAACATTGAAAACGCAGGTTGGTAGTCTAAGGAGGGCTCATGATTCTCTGTATCTTAAAACACATGCCTTTTTTTTTCTTTCCCATTTGCAGTACTGTAAAACGAAGAGAAAGAATGCAAAAGTGGGGAAGAAGATAATCATAATCTTCCCTGACCTCCTCCTTCCTTAAAAGAAGTAAAAGATGTGAACCACTGCTTCCAAGCAGCATCCTTTTGTTGCTCGACCCATGACAAAAATGCACTGTCCAACAGGCAGAAGACATTAACATAGAGGAGTTGGTACCTCACAGGAACATATCGGAAATTTGCAATCTGAACAATTGGCCACACACCACCCTCCAAAGCAAGGGCTGGCAGGAAATCTCTCTTCAAATCTTCCTTCACTTGAACAGAATTCTTGCCAGTGGAAAATCCCATGTAAGTGAAAAACACCAACAAATCCAAAGGGCCAAAGATAAGGCCATCCATTGCCACTTTAGCAGCAACAAACCGCGCTGACTTAGGTTGTAGGTGAAGCTTCAGCTTTATAAATTTGTCCAAGCCTTCGTACCTATAAACATGCAATGTTATACTTTTTATTTTTATTTATTTCTATCATACAGTTGGCAGACAGATCAGACCAGGCAACCTGAAGGAAAAGAAACAAGATAGGCAAAACAAACCAGAAATGGCCAACTGGTCCAACAAAGGCAAACCCAAAAGTGCTTGTTATAGCTACGCGTTTCCAGTTAACTTTGAAGTCTGCATCTGTATCCTGCTATAGGAAATATAAAATATCATCATATATGTGCATAGAAAGTGGTTGATGGGAAAAACACTAATACTGCTTCTCCAAAAAAAAAACCAAATGACTTTTTTGGTCGAAACTCCAAAAACAATGACTTGAACTGAAGCAAATCATAAACACCAACAATGACTTGAATTCCAAACAATCAGGTTCTGCCCCAAAGTTCAGCTGCACTCTTTAGCGTAGGTTCAACACTTACAAAGTTTGAGGTAACAAATAGGTGGACGGAAAAATGGGCATCAAGGCTTGGTTAGATACACTCTACACTAAAAAGCAAGATAAAGGAGCTATTATACTGGAAACACATACTCATGCTCACACATGCACTGACATTACCACACACACACACACAGAAGGATCTATTTCAGTGGTACCTGAACTCCGCAGTTAATTTTTCATTTTGAAAGACTTATAGTTAAGGAAACTGAAAGTTTATTTCCTGCACATGATAAAAGTAGTTCCTTGACTTCCAAACAACATATACACAAATGTAAAGGAGCACTTGTTAGTTCTTCTAAACCATCAACCTGCAAATATGAAATCAGTCAAAGCATTTTTTGTCTATATGATGAACCATAGGAAAGAGTAAAAACCCCACAAAAAGAATAAAACCCCCCTCCATTTATTGATGCAGACTTGTTCATGAAAGAAAGAAGTTCCTTGGGCCTTGGGGCTCTTGGGCTCTGTGATTTAAATTAAACCCGATTAGTTAATTAATTATTTGAATTATTTTTAAAATCCATTTATTGATGCAGACTTGTCCATAAACCTTCCGCTGACCAGAAAAATGAATGAAACAAGGTTCCACTATTTAGTGATAAATCAAAGCACTACCAATGGCAAGCGTGAGCAAATAGCATGGATAGACCTATGATGCATTTCTAAAAATGAGAGTCTCATTTGCAAATGGTAGTAGATAAGCATGTCATGGAACTATCAGCTCCAGTTGTGATGACACACATTTTCTGTAATGGCATTCATCTATTTGATAGACATAGAACTTGACCATTAAGCCATCATTCCCTACCATCATTTTAGGAGATTGATTCCATTATCTGTGGTATCCCTATTGTGGATGATAAATCATACCTTCAAAAGCTGTATAACATATTCAGTTCCATAAGACATCGTAATGGACCCGGAGTCAATGGTATCTAATTCTGAAGAAAAGGTTCATGATTTTAAACACACAAAAAAGGTATCAAATTCAGAAAGAAAAAGAAAAGGGAACTTCAGAGGCTCTAAAAGGCTACTATGCTATGCAGACAACCCAAGTTTTTTTTTTTGTGTGTGGCCGCTTCGAAAACCCAACTCAAAAAGAGACATTTACACCTACCCAGTTCCCGAAAACAAGAAATTCAATTGAAGGAATGAAATTACAGAATCCGGTATAAGAAATAAAATAACCATATTGAAGTAAGAGAAGATTAGGTTTTGTAATGGGTTACTCACAGAAAGTTGAAGACGCTTTCTTGCGTTGGAGTGAGTGATGTATTGAGCAGCAATGTCGCCAACGCCCCAGAGGACGCCGGAGCTGATGACCTGAGTCTTCAGTGGGTGAAAAGAGAGGCAGTTCTGGTACCATTTCCACAGCTTCAGCATCATTTTATGTGTCTACGTCTGTGAGAGGCGGAGAGAGGGATGGTAGAGGAAGCTGGAGGCTTGAAGCTAAAAACTTTGAAAACGCTATGGTCCTATTTATGAACAAGTTGGTACGGGGCCTGATAATAATCTAATCTCATTTTCTTGATTTTACAAACTGCTCTTGGAGAGTCTTTGTTTTGATTTTGATTTATTTATGCATCTTTTCCATCCTAATTTTGTCCCATTTGTACTTTTTGTAGCAAGTTAATATAGGTTTGAGTACAAGTGGTGTTCTAAATTATAAGAGCGGAGATTTGTCACACGCATGTATAACTAAAATGTCATGAAGATCCGAACCTTAGAACTTTGATTTGCAAATCAAGGTCTTCTTTTACTGGACTAGACCACATTGGTGCAAACTAATATAGTTAAAGACTTGCTCTTTTCACTCAAATATTGTTATTTCTTTGGTCCGCCGAGTATTGATTTTGACTTAAGTTAATTGTCAATCTTTCTCCTGGTTTCTTTTCTCTTTTTCTTTTTGTCGCTGTTCTTATTAAAAATCTTCCCTAGAGTAGGAAGAATCTTGCAAAATACACAATTATAAGTGACCACGTAGTTTCAATTCAAGTGGTACATGATGGAAGAGAATAGTTTTACATCAATTAGCTCCTCCTACTTCTCTTCCCATTAATTTAAAAGAATCCTTTTAGGTACAAAAAGAAAAAAGAAAAAGAAAAATAAATTGTGGTCTTCTAATTTTTGACCACAAAATAATCTACTTGCATTTTGTCTCCTACATTTAACAGCCTCAAAAAAAAATTCCAGAATTTTCACTACAAATATTTGTGGATAAGAATCTCCATTGGATGACACAACACAAACACACATACACACCGCTAGACTACAATAGCACCCCTTCCACTTTTACATGCACAACTCGGCAACCAACCATGCAACTCCACCTCTCTTTCCAAGCTCTGCCACTGTCAGCTCAACAGGTATAAGCCCCTCCACTCCCCCAAACAGCTTTCTTTCAGTTTTTGGGATTTCTCATTTATATAATTTTAGCTGAAGTTTGTTGCTTGAGTTTACTGAACTTAATGCTGTATTGAGCTCAAATTGTTTATTTTTTCGCATTGATTTATATTTGGCAGCTGTTGATGGTTTCCAAAACCCATTTTGTTTGAAAATTTGATTCTTGAAAGATGTGGGTAGGGATGTTTGAATGTTTCCCTGACTAAAAATCACATCAGTTTCTGGTTTCTTAGTGAGAGAGTTAATTCAAGATCAAGAACAGTCAGTTGTTTGGACCCCATTGTTGTTTTTCTTTTGCTGCATAAATTTGGGTTTTTTAGTACTCCAGTCAAGACTTTTATTTCATGAAAATGGTTCTTGTTGCTGCCTGGATGTTTGGTACTGTTGCTCTTCTCTGCCAGCAATGGGATATGGATGAATGGTGGTTACCTCAGTTCTGTCTTCCACTACCTTGGAACGACTCCCATTCTGCTTTGCATCAAAATCTGTGGTGTTGCTTATTATCTGCTTTGCATTTTGCCTAATCTTGTTGTTGCTAAGTTGTATAAGATTTCTAGTGAAAGAAATTACTGACTTCTTCCCTCTGAATATGTGATCCCTTATCATTTCTTTTGATCTGATGCATCCGCTTATCACTATAGAGGGCCCTTTAATCTCTGCGTTATCTATCTATTGCTCATATATTCGAACTATATTTGGATTCCCAATCAATCTACCAATATAACTCATAACTGTATTAGCAGATGAGATGCATGTGACTTACATATAGGCTTCCCCTTTGTCGGTTTAAATGTTAAACATCTTCAGCAGATATTTGATCAAGCATATTTGAACATCCTTTACAGGTTCCATCTAGAAGGAAATGAATGTCTAACTATCCCTCAAGTCTGAACCTTTGGTGAAAGCAAACACTTTGGTATGGACTGGAAGCCAAAATCTGAATTTGATCAAGGAAGTTAGTTCAAAAATTGAGGAGCCCGTGGAGAAGAATTGGGGGCATTTGGTGCTGACAGGAGCTCATGGGTGGACGCCAAGAGGTAACGATTGGAGGCAACAAATCATCTTCACTCAGGGTATCGTATTAGCAAGTAGTCAGTTTGCTTGATCTTGCAACTTAAGTTTATGGTTCAATGTGCATTCTGTTTCTTCCTCAATCTGAACTGAACAACTTCTACTAATTAGGCTGACAATGAATTGTTCTTTCAGTAGCCTTTGTCAAAGTAAATATCAGTTTAGTTGAGTTCATTTTAGATTATTCCCACTTAGGATTCTTTGAATTTTAGGCATAGTTTATGCATGCATTTGTGGTTAAACATGGTAATGGTCTAATTCTGATCATTGTGAACTACTTAGGAACCACATTCGCAAAAGAAGGACTCTACTCTGGTAGATTCAGGAATTCAATCCCATTGCCTTGTATGTTTGGGCAAGACCAGTTGCCAAGTAGTTCGTTCAAGAACAAAACTGATGAATAGTCTAATTGCAAGAAGGAAGCCACATGAAGCCCAATCCATTTTCAAAAGTTTAGCAGAAGAAGGACACAGGCCAAGTCTTATAACATATACAACTCTTGTAGCTGCCTTGACCCGCCAGAGGCATTTCAAGTCTATTCCCTTGCTCCTCTCTGAAGTGGAGGAGAATGGTCTGAAGCCCGACTCAATACTTTTTAATGCAATGATTAATGCTTCCTCTGAATCTGGAAATATAGACGATGCTATGAAAATCTTTCAGAAAATGGAGGAGAGTGGATGTAAGCCCACAACCAGTACTTTTAACACTCTTATCAAAGGATATGGAATTGCTGGAAAACCTGAAGAATCTTTAAAATTGCTAGAGCTTATGTTGCAGGATGAGAATACGAAACCCAATGACAGGACATATAACATGATTGTTAGAGCCTGGTGTAACAAGAAGAAAATAAATCAAGCCTGGAATATGGTATATAAGATGGTTGCAACTGGTATACAACCTGATGTAGTGACTTACAACACATTGGCAAGGGCTTATGCTGAGAATGGAGAGACAAATTTCGCTGAAAGGTTGATGTTAGAGATGCAGAACAACAAAGTGAACCCCAATGAGCGAACTTGTGGCATCATTGTAAATGGATATTGTAAAGAAGGTAGCATGACAGATGCCTTGAGGTTTGTGTACAGAATGAAGGATCTAGGGGTGCATCCAAATCTTGTTATTTTTAACTCTCTTATCAAGGGGTTTCTGGACATTACAGACACTGATGGAGTTGATGAGGTGAGTTTTTACCTTCAATCCTTTTATTGATTAACTCTCTCTCTGTCTCTCTGTCTCACCATGATGTATTTTGAGCTTTTATGTTTCACTTCGCTGACAGAATCTTGGTGTTCACTAACCTTGTTATTCTGAATTATGTGTAGTTCTCTGACTCTGATAGATGTGAAGTTGTATATTATTTTACTTATATAAGACTGAAAATAATGGAATGTTCTTACATCTGCAATGCCACTCCAAAAGACTAGTGAAATGCCATTTGCCTTAGATATTGCACTGTTATTTTGGCATTTTAATGGGAATATATCTGCAAAAACTATGAAAAGAGAAATCATGTGTCTTGTTAATTTAAGTTTCCCAAGCTTCTATAGCAGTTTTGCATAGCACTCAGTTCCTCAATTTTCTCACAGAATTTTCACTGACAATCAGCCTAACTTGACAGGTACTAACATTGATGGAAGAATTTGGGATGAAGCCAGATGTGATAACATTTAGCACCATAATGGATGCATGGAGCTCGGCAGGGCTCATGGAAAAATGCCAGGAGGTCTTCAATGACATGATAAAAGCTGACATAGAACCAGACATCCATGCATTCAGCATTCTTGCAAAAGGCTATGTGCGTGCTGGTGAGCCTGGTAAGGCTGAGTCACTTATGATTTCCATGGGAAAATATGGTGTGCATCCAAATGTTGTAATCTTCACAACCATCATGAGTGGGTGGTGCACAGCTGGCAAAATGGAGCATGCTTGGAGTATCTATGAGAAAATGTGTGAAATGGGCATTGCCCCCAATTTGAAAACTTTTGAGACCCTAATATGGGGATATGGAGAAGCTAGGCAACCATGGAAAGCAGAAGATTTGCTCCATATAATGGAAGAGAAGGGTGTTATTCCTGAGAAGAGAACTCTCCAGCTTATCGCCGAAGCTTGGCGTGTGATAGGTTTAATGACCGAGGCCATGAGAGTCTTAAATGATTCAGAAGAAGAAAGGGAAGTGGTACAAAATAATAGGAGGGACAAGGTACCCGAGCAGAGTTTGGAGATGATTAATAGGAAACAAAACTTAAGTACTTCTCATCCTAATGTTTTGCCGATACCTGGAGTAGTTGTTTCTGATAACGGTGGATCTGCTGCCAACATAAGAGGTCAGATGATTTCAAGAGGATTTCAGTTTTCATCTGACAGTATGCAGAATGCTACTAAAACCATGTGTCTTGCTCATACGTCTGCATTTAGAGTGCAACCACTGATCATATGTAGGAGGCAGTTTCAGACTCAAGTTGGGATGTGCAGGCAGTTTGTAAATACACGTCCTGTGGTGTAAATAAATACATTGATGAGGAAACAGAGGCGACTCAGATGATGCTATTTCGATGAGGGACAAAACATTATCCTGCCCCCAGAAGATTTCCTTGGTTCTTAGATTCATGAGTGTTGATGATTCTTTGCTATTCAGAGCCGTTGATAGTGTTGCAGCATATACTTCCATCTCTATTGGTGTCCCTGCTGATTGTGCAAGTCAAAGTGTAGGAAATTATGTAATTTGCTACATGAAATGTGTAACATATGTTGATAATTCAGGGCCAAAGATAACAATTTCTTCTGATATATATTTGTTAAATGAAAATACTATTCACAAATGAGTAATGAAAAGGGTTACTTTTGGAAAACGAAGTTTTATGTTGCAGGCTAGCAGCCAGCCCCTGTAGCTTTTCTTCTCTGCCACAGTGATTATTCTCATGTTAATTTACTGTAGTCTCCCTAAAGTGGAGTTTTGGCTCAAGAATGCATTTAAGCTCTCAATAAACACAATTAAAATTGGGGTGGGTCCCACTACCAGGACAGGACCCAATGATGTGCAAGTAGCAGGATCAAAGGACACAATGGGAGGATACCAACAAAATGGAGAACATTGGAAGCTCATGAATATTCAAAACTAAAATAAAAATTCAAAAAAAGAAAAAGAAAATACCAGAAGCTAAAAATCTGCAGATTGAATGCAGTAGCTTGAGACAAAGGGAGAGAAAGAGATGCTCTCTCTACGTGTCTCCCCTCCATTATCTTCCCTCCAAAACCCTAACTTTAACCATACCCAGTTCTCCACACCCATCAAAATCCCTAATTTCACAGTCCTCAATCTCCACCCACTTTCAAGAACCCACTTCACCCCTTCTATAAAAACCGCAAATAATAAAACCCACTTCAAAAAACTTGCTTGCAATGCTTTAAAGGACTCTGGTGAGGAAACCAAGGCGGTTTCGGACCGGGGAGGAGGTGGTGATGATGGTGGAGGAGGAGGAGGCGGTGGTGATGGCGGACGGGATGATGAGCAGGTGGAGAAGAAGAGCGGGCCTTTTCCAGAATGGCTCAATATCACTACTGACGACGCGAAGACAGTCTTTGCGGCGATAGCAGTATCGCTTGCTTTCCGGTCTTTCATAGCTGAGCCGAGGTACATTCCTTCGCTGTCCATGTATCCTACTTTGGATGTGGGAGACCGAATTGTAGCAGAAAAGGTCAGAACTTTATTTGTTTTTTGGTGGATATATTGCTTATGGTGTATGAATTCTGTTTGCTAAGCTTTGAATCCTAAAAGTCGAAATTGTAATGGCAACATTTAAAGATAAGGCTTATGTTTGAACTTAATTATTGATAACATTTCGGATTTTGGAGTTTCTTTGGAAGTTGGAATGTGGGATGTCACTGAATTTTGATGATCATTTTTCCATTAGTCTTGTGTTAACTTACATTTTCTCGACATGCATTGTTTGATGGTAAGGGTACATCAGAAGGATGATAAGGAAGGGGGTAAATAAAGGTTAAACTTTCAGAGATTATAATTTAGGATGACTGGTAGATGATTGAGGTGATAGTGGAAAGGAAATATAAATTTTTTACCGAGTGGCAACAGAACTATCACTGAAATTTCTCATAAGCTAATTTAAAACCAGATTGATCATATTTGTCTGCATTAGTATGACCACTGACCTAGGTAAAATCTTATGAGAATTATATGCTTGGACTTTTTGTCTAAAACTTTGACAATGATACGCCTTCTCTATAGTTTGTGATGTGACTGTTTGATGAGAAAACTATTGAATGTTTACCTAATTTAGTTTCCTCTTAACATTGCCAGGTTACATATTATTTCAGAAAGCCATGTGCCAATGATGTGGTTATTTTTAAAAGTCCACCAGTCCTTCAGCAAGTAGGGTATACTGACTATGATGTCTTCATTAAACGAGTTGTTGCCAAGGAAGGTGATATTGTAGAGGTGAGATTACTGAATTAGAGCACCTTCCCATGTCATAATATTGCGGTGTGCGTTTTTGCTTTCATAATTCTTGCAATGGTTAATTACATCCCTGTGTGTCAACCAAGAGACATCATCACACCAATACACTTTATTTTCTACTGTAAGAAACGGGAAATACCAACAAAATTTTGTTCAGAATGACTGCCGACTCTGCCCTCCTTTCAGAACATGTAATGTTATGCTAGTTAACCATTATCCCTGGAAATGGCAATCTAGATTTTCAAATTTAACTCTGACTTGCACCTAAAAACAATACGAAACAATGATGATTTCTAATAATATAGTGATGGATTCTATTTAACTCCAACTACAAAACAATGATGATTGCAGGTTCGCAATGGTAAGCTCATCGTTAATGGGGTGGAGAGAAATGAAAAGTTCATCCTTGAACCACCTTCGTACAATATGACTCCTATTGTAAGAATTATGTTATAATATTTTGGATTGTTTATCTTCCCGTACCTTTTAGCTTTAAAGAGTAATTGACTTTTCATGTTTTTCTTCGTGTTTATGTTGTGCAGCGTGTGCCAGAAAACTCAGTTTTTGTGATGGGTGACAATAGAAATAACAGCTATGATTCACACGTATGGTAATGTATACTAAACCCAAGTGCAGAATAGTGAGATATGTTGTTTTTAAGATCCTCTGTTTACTTGCTATCTTTTGGTTCTTCCTGTTGACTGTTTTAAGTTGTGTTATGTTTAGGGGTCCACTGCCAGCCAAAAATATTTTAGGAAGATCCCTGTTTCGGTATTGGCCTCCAAAGAGGATTGGCGCCACGGTTCTTGAGACTGGTTGTGCTGCTGATAAGCAGGAGAGCGATCCAGTGTCTAAGCAAAAGGAAGGTGCTGATAAGAAGGATAGCATTCCAGCGTCTCAGCAAAAGGAAAGTGTATCATTGAATTAGTAAACATATGAAGTTTCTTCTGCCTCTTTGATGGACATTGTTTTGTTTTGTGTTCTACCATTTTTGCATTCAATCTTTGTGTAATTTCTCAATTCTAAAGAAACTGGGATACGGGCGAATTTTGGAAGGCCCTAGTTCATCATAATTGTTGTACATTGCAAATCGACCCCTGAATGAAGTAACCTTTTTGTTTCAATTCAGAATTTGCTCTCACTTTTATATAAATAAACCTGTGGATGTGCTTGGACACGGAAAGCAAAATTCATTATAACTTATGAATTGTCATATAAGGTGAATCTCAATGGTCCCACTAGTATAATAGCCTCTATGCAGAAATTTGAAAAATGTTGTATGACGAGATGAACCTTCTTGGCGAGGAAGAAGGCATACAATACCACTCCACACTATCATATACTGATAACAAAAATAACTGTAACAGAAACACTAGGCATTGCAAATAGCAGCAGGTGAAACCCAGGTGCTCATTTGTAGGTGCATGAACTCATTTTTAACTTGATGGGTTTGCTATTATGAGAGTTGATTTCCATGGAGCAAGATATGTGCCTTTGGTGCTTTGATCTCACCAACTTCCCCACCACATTCCCTCGTGACCGGACTTCAAACATCAGCATCATCGGAACTCCTCCACTGTTATCAGAGACTGCTAAGCTTGCCCCAGCCCCATATAAAGGAACCTTGATCCCTTGGAGGTTCACAGTCACATTCCGGTAGCTCTTTCTTGGTTGATAGTATTTCTTCAACTGCATTATATGCAAACAAATAAGAAAAAGCTGGACCTAAACCTAAACCTAATAAGAAAGAACTGAAAGTAACTTCTTAAATCACACACCAAGGGATAACTCTGATTTACAAGAAAAGAAAAGAAAAAAGCAAATATGACGCAGCCAGTCAAGCTCACTTGGATGAGTTTCTTATTGGCATTGCATCATCATAAATCCAATAACAGTCCAATGTATAAATCTTACCTGGCCAGTTGCAACTGCAATCTCTGAATACATAAGGTTAATTGGTGTTGAGCTCACATGAATACCAAAAAACGTAGCGGGGTTGTACACGCTCATCTTCACTGAACAATTCATTGTCAGCATCTTTGAAGGCACACCAGTTGTGTCTGATCCTTCCCCGAAATAAAAATTATGCAAAGCCAAGCTCTGAAGAAAAAACTTAAATTGAAGATCATTTGAAATATAAATACCAATAGAAAGTGAAGCAAGAAAAAGGAATTTTTTTTTTTAATGGTAAACAGAAGTTTAGAGATAGCGAAGGCTATCCCATTCCAGGGCCAGGGCATACAGAGGGGTCTTAGCCTTTTTTTTAGTTTTTACAGATTAACATCTATGAGGGATTGTTGACAGTAAAACTCGAACCTAGGCTTTAATAACGAAGAGAACAATCACTACCAACTCAACCAACCTCGTTGGCCTCAAGAACAAGGCTTTGACCGCCCCTTCAAACCTCAAAAAGTGGTTCTTGCCAAGTGCCAGCTTCAATTACAATAATCTAAGATGTGACTTAAAAGTTGACAACAGAGTATTATAAAAATCATAACATTCATTCCCAATAGATTACTTTATTCAATAACATTAAAATAATCCAAATACATTATCAAACACTAGATTACACAAAAGTCCTAAACAATAAAAAATTAGCAAAACAAATTTTAAAAAATTGAAATTTGCTTAGAGGGTCATGATCATCAACAAGCATACCTTAACAGCAACCCGAGCTTTGTAAGGCCTGCTAGCACCCCAAAGAATCAAGCAGAAGATGGAGAAAATCACAACAAACCCAAACAGAGCAATCCAAATCTGGCACCTTCTAGAAATTCCCTTATCTTTATAAAGCCCACCATAGTCACCTTCTTCTTCAATCACATTGCACTCAGGCCACCCCTTATCGTTGCGCTTCCGGGTCCCTTTCTGACCCGAAGAGGACCGAAAGGTACCCGAAACCCGACTGGCAGATGACGCCCTCGAGTGCCGGCCATAAGAAGGGTGCGATGGGCTCTCCATGGGACTGTTGAAGGCTGGCGTGGCTTGCATTGTGGACGATTTATCGCCATCGTTGGAGTCCCTGGACGGGCTTTGAACGTAGTAAACAGGTCTCTTTGGTGATCTTGGGGATGAAGGTGCCAAGCTGGTCACATCCGAGTCAGATTTTGCGTGCATCATATTTACTGCAGGCGTGCGCTATATGGTGTGTTTAAATGCGTTATCTTTGGAGATTTTGGTGAAAGATGCTGAATTTGATTGGACCCAGTTGTAAATTCTGAAGCTTTGTTGGATTTTGATCTGGTTTGATGGATTGCTTGGGTTTTAATTAAATGGGTCCTGGTAAAACAAAAACAGAGAGAAATGCCAGAATTAGAAAGGAGACGAAGACCAAACTGAGCAAATGAAACAGAAATCTTGTGCCTTTGGGTTCAGAAACTGAGGAAAAATCTGATGGAATTGGATTGGACCCAGTTTGAAATTTTGAAGCTTTATTGGAATTTTGATTTGGGTTTAATGGATTGCTTAGGTTTTAATTAAAAGGGTCGTGGCAAAACAGGGAGAATTGCCAGAATTAGAAACAAGACGAAGAGCAAACTGAGCAAATGGAACAGAAAAGCTTGTGGCCTTGGGTTCAGAAACTGAGAAGAAATCTGATGGGATTGGCGGTGGCTTTGTTAGCTCTCTCTGTGAAAAGAGACAGGATGCCGTTTTCGTGAATTGGAGCGAGACACAGAGCAAAAGCAGAGCACTACGTCTTCATTATACGCTTTGGGAGTGTGAGTGTTGTGCACTGAGACACAGACGGAATTGGAGTGAGTCAGAGGGTTTATGCTTAGATATAGCGACAAAGCTAGGCTCGGGAGGCTCCAAAGCTGTAGGTTCGGATACGAAGTGTCGGCAGTTTTTTAGTCGTCCGATACATTCTGGTACCCGCGGTAACATGTGAAGTTGACGGGGTTGTGGGGCTATGTTTGGCTGGCATAAACGACGTCGCTGAAGTAGTGGCATATTTGGTGGTGTCTTTATCTGATGATCAAATGGCGTCTTAGATTTCTCAATTCTGAGTCGATAGGATCAATTCATTTAGTCACACAATATAAAGCGACAGTATTTTTCTCACTATTTTTCGCTCACCATTTTAACTCAAATTGAACCTTTATTACCTTTCTTAACACTTAATATGTATCCATCGATAACCATAATTCTATAAAGAGAAATATTCAATAAATAGAAGTAAAATGTGGTGAGGGTGCACCTTCGTTAAAGTGGTTAGTAAAAATATTTCACAGTATAAAGGGGGATTGTTTTGAAAACTTTTAAGACGGCAAACAAATATATAATTCATTGACGAGAATATACCAAAGCAACATAAAGAATAAAACATATGAACCATAGAAAATTTGGTACATAAAACTTCTTCAACATCCACATATATTTCAGAAAAAAATGTCAACAATGTCAATTTGTTCTTTCTGGGTTTACATTACAACAAAGCCAATGGCCAAAAGTACAAAACAAATTGAAACAGCATCTAGAACAGCATTTTGAGCAGGCCAAACCATCCCACAGAGAACCTAACAATGCCAGCTTTAGTCTCATCCGGCGCTGGAGAAGTCTCTAAAAAGTCTCGAGCACATCACCGAGCACAACAGAAACCTGATCAAGAAGAGATACTAGGGCAAAATCTCAAGCAACATTAACAAACATTGAAAGCTTGTAACCAACCAAAACAGAGTAAATTGCTAAAGCAACAGTTAGTTTTACAGGACTCAGACTATGGGTGGTGATATATCACTCTAGTCGGCAAGGCCCAAGAGCCATTACGACGAACGAGACCAATAATACATCCTCACAGTCCACTTAAGAGTTCTATCTAAAACTACAAATCTAAATCGGCCAAATAACAACCTATTAAATATCTCCACCAAAAGCTCATACATAGGGAGATTAGGTATGCATGTTCTTACTAGGCAATGTAAGTTAAAGGCAAGAGGAACAGGCCTCATAGAAATAAGTTTATCAGCACCAACAGTTTCAGACATATGCTTGTCTAGAAAATGATTTAAATCACTGGCCATTTTGAACATAATTAACAATGCTTTTGTACACATTGATATCAGAGCAGAAAAGCAAAATATTTTGCCTGGTCTCCAAGAAAACAACTTTAAAACTCGAAAACACTAGAAAGTTGAAAAACCATAACTACGGATTAATTCATAAGGATCGTCAGATAGGAGCGAAAGACTAAAATTGCATTAATCACGCAGATATCAGCTGAACTATGCATTTAATCATCACTCGACCCATATGAAATTAACCAACATTTTTTCAGATTGTTTAAAAAAACCTCATGTAGCTAACAAGTACGTAAGATAGACAGCGAACTTATGAGCCTCAGAAGGAAGGCAGTAGAGGTATATATGTAATCACTGATAGTCATAAATTACACGAAACCATATCCTCATCACAGGCAGCTACGTGCAAATCATACTGTTTATTTGTTTACTAATCCAAGGACATAAACTCAAACGAAATGAAAAAAGCCAAAAGGTCATGTTCCTAACACAGAGAAAATGAAGATGATCAGCCTCATAGAGAAGATTAGGTTGTTCCACATAGAATAATTCAGACATATGCTTGTCTAAATATTTACTTTTAATCATCGGCTGAGAAGTAACCCAGAGACTTTTGCAGCATCACCAAAAGCAATTTGATAAAACAAAAACCCAATTTCAAAATAACCAGATGACAACACAAAAGAACGAAAAAACGAAACTTTTTTTCCAATTGAGATGAAAGGGACTCAGAATATGGGTGGTGATATAACAGGATGGTCGGCAAGGCCTTCACGGCCAATTACGACGAACGAGACCTTATCAATATGAATCGTCACAGTCCCGATTTGAATTGAACCAGAAAAACCAAAACAAATATACAACAATGGAATTCTAATGAAGTGAATAGACTAATTACAGAGGCAACTGAAACCCTAGCGGCCAAGCGCGGACTTGGGTTTTGGCGAAACACTACGCTGGTTTATAAAGAGGTGGAACGGAGGGTTTGGAGCTAGGGTTTTGTGTTTTGGTAGGGCTTTTGAATTGGGCTATTCTACACTATAAGTGGGTGTATGGTCATAACCTGCCCCGCTATGATCATCTAAATCATGAAGTCCAATTCGTATTAAAAGAGAAAGGCCTTTGATTTGGGCTACAACAACAAATTATCCATATAAGACCCGACTGTTATAAAGGGGGATCTTCATTTTCACGGCCCAGATTGGTCCTCACACCACGAAAGCCCATAGCTTAATGAGTTTTAACAAATATATATATTTTTTCTTTTGGATAAATTTCTCTTTACTACCGGAAAGTCTCTTGAAATTCAACCTTTACTACATAAAGCTTTTTTCGCATCAACTTCGTACCCATGCCACATCAGCTAAGAAAAATAAAATAATCAATTAACAATTAAACGATGGATACCCTTGATTGTTAATTTTATTTAAACACAGGAGCTCGAATGCATATCAACACACTAGTTGCTGTGGCATGGGTAATCAAACACACGAAAAGCAAAGAAGAAAATCTTCGTTTGCCTCATTTCATGCTGAATAATATATGTAATTTGGTATCAAATAAACTATTTTTAATCTACAAAATCGCTTTAGTCTGAAAACATCAACAGCAAAGAATTTCATACGCGCTAGTAATAATAGATATCAAACAAAGGCAATTCTAAAAGTCGAGAAGCAATCTGAAAATCAAAAAGGCTATAAATAAGCCTGTTGTATCATTTTATCAATCAAAACTATATTTCAAGCAAACACTAAAATTCTACATTCTGACATCACAACTGATGTTACAAATGTCGCCAGAATCTGACCCTTGACGATCTGGTTCTAAATCCTGCATAAGCACCACAAAGATTGCAAGGCCAGTCTGATGACATTAAGGAACCAAAAAAAAAGGTAATAAAGAAGCAACTCTTCTACATCTAACACCTTCACTCAGCTATCCATTGGCATAATCCGGTTATCGAGTGTTGACAGGATCTGGGGCATTGACATGCCTCCAGAAACAACAATTTCTGCATTTAAACAACAGATAAATTAATACCACTTTCATGGTCAATAAAGCTTCAAAGACATAAAAAAGCAAACTGTTTTCCTTCTTTCGATTATCCTTTGTATTTGGGGTTGGGAGCATATAGTTTATGAAAATTGCAAACTCAATACAGAACCCCAATCTAAGACAACTAGTCACTGAACTCTGATGGAGATTTTCTTTTTCTTTTCTTTTCTGTTTCTTTCTTTCCCAATGGTGTCAACTTTATTCTCTGACTTGTAGATTTGGAAACAACCAATAGGACCCTTGTATTTTTTTCATTGGGAGATATCATTGGTTCCAAAGGCTCTTCTGGCTTATATGGAAATTAGCACAAAGGCCTTTGGGTGCCCATACTGATGAGGGATAGGGGTCGAGTAACTAGAAAAAGTTGGTTTGTAAATTTCAAGCTAAGAGCTATAAAACAGGTCTTTTTATCTTATAGATGAAGTAGTATAAATAGCCTACTCACCAATTCCTTCCCGTACAGATAAATTTGGTCTAATGACATCCTTGGTGTTGACCAAGAATACATCGCCAATGTAAAGATGGTTCGTGGGAACATAAACACAGCACAACTCTTCATCTCCAGAATAGCTCTGCATTAAAGAAATATACATTCAGGCATAAGATTGTTTCTTAAATTCTTATAGAATATATCACCATGTCATTGTCAGTATTGCACTTTGGTAACAACAAACAATGGATCACAAAACCAATTTTCTAAAACACTGTTCGCATGACAACAATTTAAACCATGCATTATTACACAGGTATGGTTAAATTAAACATACATGCTCATAAAATTAGATTGATTATCATAAAAAAGTAATGAATAACGGAATTCTGACCATGATAAAGATAGTGCTGAAGTGGTAGTTTCACAATATAGAAATTATTTGCAGACCTGAAGGACGACTGATGAAGTTATGAACCCAAATGCATATTCACCAATGCGTGGATGCCTTATGATGGCCACTTCCTTGAAGGCTTGCGTGTTTTGATCTAATTTCATACAGAGCTAAAGATTATAACTGTCCACATCTATTTCATTCAGTCCAAACAAGGAGAGTAGAAATACTATAAAACACACCTGGGGATATGGCGGAACTAATCTGCTTGGAGGCATTGTAGATATGACGAACAAACGGCATTCTTTTGATGAACCACTCACCAAGGCCCAGGACAGATGCACCCAACCATGATGACATGAACACGCCAACAATAAATATGAACGTAATGGAAGTGACAAATCCAAGACCTAAAATATATACAGAAGTTCAAAGGTCAATTAGACATCATGAAAACAGACAGCCAAAAAAATAAGAAAAATCACTGAACAAGGGCATGCTTGAATTTAAACTCCGCACATTTAATGAATATGACGAAACCATGTTTTGCCTTATGCTACATTAGGAGTGCATTTTCTTTTCAAACTCCAAATATTGACCATATGGAAATCCCAGCAACATCAAGTCCCAACACAAATAACTAATTCAACTTACAGTATACCAATGAAAAGAATGGGCGTAAAGGAAATGTGCTACTGAATCAAAGCGTACTTACTACTTACCAAAAATGTTGATTCCAAGTTGAGCATAGATTGGGGAGAAGAAGCCATCCACAAAGTGAATAAACCACCACGTTATATAGAAAGTGATTGCTATTGGAAACAGGATCACACTGCAAAAGAATAAAAAGTGAGCAACTATAATGGCATTAAGCAAAAGGCTGTAAGAAAATGTTGACATTAAAAATCTCGTTTAGCTACTACATTAATTGTATGCACCAAAAAACAATCCAAACACACATGATAAGCATAGAAAATTTCTATGATCTGTCTAAAACTTATAAGAAGCTAAGCAATGGATTTCTTGCAATCATCTAACAAAAGGGTAGTGCTATATATTATCCAACTATTTCTTTGTCTGCAACAAAATGAATTCAAATAAACAATATACTTATACCCTCATAAAAAGGGAAAGATACCATGGCAACAATCTGCTAAGTCGATGGTCCTATCACCTCTAAATCATTCCATCTGTCAGCATGTCAAAACTACGCATAAATTCAACAAATACTTATAAATTTCAAGAATAACCTACAATCAAATAACTTGTATACTTGCAAGAAAACAACCTTAAACACAAATTGATTAGACCCTCGCCAATTGATGGTTTACATACAAACATACATATATCAACTGTAAATTAGAATTCCATATGTACATGACTTGAAGGAAAATAGGAACCACAAGAAAGAAATGCGCACCATCCGGTCATGAACTTTTTTGATGCCCAACTTCTAACTACTTTGGAAAATGTCTGCACAGAGATAATAAGAGATAGTATGAGTGTTAGGAAGATTAATAGAATAACACACGCACACAAAGCATGAGAAAACTTATGTCTCAAGTTCCACCAAAAATAACGAACTTTAAGTCCTCAACAAGAAATTCCAGAAAAATATCAATGATATAAAATTGATATAAGTCTATGCACAAGTTAAAAGAAAATTCCTAGAGCTGCATCAAAGTAGGATCATACTTTTACCACAATCTAACGGCTCTTGATGAAATATTACGAGACGCAACTTAAGTTGTTATCAGTGTTATGATGCGGTAAAAACCCTTAAAACAGATTGACAAACAAAGTAAAACACAACGTTGTCACTCAATTCCTGTTGAAATGCCCAAACATACTCAAATATTTCATCTTCTTAGCATATTACCTGGAAGCTGGAGCAGACAGAGAGATTGAATCAAATGCATACCAAAATTTTAAGGGCCATAACGTAATAAAAAAAAGTCAAATTCAGCACATCAGAAGTCTCTTCTGAACTGATGGAAAACATCTGAAACAAGATAGCACCTAATTCTGAGTTTGGTCCTCCAATGGCTCGAGAAACAGTAAGTCAGACTAAGTCAAACACAAAATTAGAAACTCTCTCACAAAAATCAACCCATAAACCAATTCCAATAGAAACCCACGAACTTAAATTCGCAACCTATGCAAAAAATTTAAACTTCCCTTCCAATTTTCCTAATTTTCTCATTAAGCAAACATACACAAAGCAATCAAACAGAAAACAAACCCTAGGCCAATAAAGAGCAATAGAAATTAACCTCGCGGCCGGTGTGGTGCGAAATAGAGGAAGACGAAGAGGGTTTGAAAGAAGCATCTTCATCGGTGGAGTCAGCCACAGGAATGAGAAGCTCACGATCTCGCGGTTCTCTGTCTCTGCTCGCCATTATAGTCGACGACGACGATTTCTCATCGCCCATCACCAGCAGACCCCAAAATATACCCCGCCGTTTCAAACACCGCAACGCGGCAACGCGGGTCCTTTGCCAGGGAATTCCAGACGAGCGGAGGACTAAGACGTCTCCTGATCGTCCAGGTTTGCTTCTTTTGTGTTTTTAGCATTTCAAATTTTGGTTTTGTTTTCTTTTTATTCAATAATTTTAATTAATTTTTAATCTTTTTTGTGTGTGTGGGGTTGGCTGGGTAGGGAAGGATTAAGTAATAAAATAGTTAATTTTAATTTCTTAAATGGTATTGGAGAAAAGGGGTGGCAAGTATTACGTGCATGTGAGGACTTCAAGGAAATGTTGTGTCTTATTGTACCACTAATTAACTCAGGGCGGATTAATCAATGGTTAATCTCTCTCTCTCTCTCTCTAAAATATCAAGCTGTTTTGATGAGCTGTGGCTTCAATGATTGCATCTTTACCTTGCAAATTGCTCTTCTTTTTTAGGAATGAATGAACTGTTGAGATAAGAGAGAGTGGTTATATCCTAAATATACATTAACACTTCTTAATTTGGGGTTTAATTTAGACGGTCTTCTAGAATCCAATCTAAATTTTGGATTATATTGAAAAATGTGGATACAAATGGAGCTCAATGTAGAGATTTTTTTAATGAGTTTTCCAAGTTGAAAGAACTCGTTTACTTGGAGATGGAATAAATCCTTGGCATTAACTAAAGAACATAGAGGAATTAAAATTAATCATTTTCTTTAGTTGATTTGATAGAGGAAGGAAAGGAATAAAAAATGGTGTCTACCAAAAAAGAAATAAATTGGTATTATCTTATTTCTTCTTTCTCCCTTAGACTTATTTTATCATTATGTTTGAAAGTTGAAGTTTGAAAAACCCCATTTCCTAAAAATTCCTTCCTAGAGTCGTTTTCACTTTAAAGGGGGAGGACTTCCTCCCCTTTCCCCTTTCCCCTCTCCCCACTTCTCTCCTCCCTCTCATCTACCCTCATTTTCAAAGACAAAGTTTTTCCTATTTGTCTTCATTTTGTCATGATTTTCCTCCAATCATCACAAACGACTGCAAGTTAAGAAATGTGTGAGTTTACATTAAACACATCCTATCTCTCAAGTGATAGCAAAACATGAGTTAAGAAATGCTTTTAAGCGTATTTCTTTTTTCCCAAAAAACACTAGAATTTATACAATTTTAGCAAAAGTGTTTAAGAGTAAAACTTCAAATGTGTCCAACCTTGATTAGCATGGACCAAGCAAGGAGCAGGCCCAAAAGAAAATAGTCACCAAGGGCCCAATGAAGGAAGTCAGAGTCGAAATGGGAAACGGCAATATAGCGCTAGCTAGGTAGCCGTTGCTGATTGGTATTCGGTAACCGCCCTTTTACCAGAGCCACGTAAGGGGGTGCTACGTGACAGTCCGTCCCTGTAGTTCTGATAGACGTGACTGCTTACTTAGAGCCTAAATATTTTGTGTGTTTAATTTTCATTTCGGTGTTCTTTTTCTCTATGGATGGATTTAATTTCCTTTGTTGGAGGAAACCAGTAAATTTTAGAGGGACGGTAATTGGATTGGATTGGAAAGGAGTGGAAGGAGACAAAAAAAAGTGTACCAAAAAGTTGTGCTACGTGCCAGCTTGAAACTTCTCCTATAATTAAGTCACAAAAGCAGTCAATCTCGGACCGTTTGATTTGAACACTGGTGTGTAGAAAGTTCTGGTTTTGATTGTGTGCGCTTCAAAATCACAGCCAGCGGTACTCTTCAATTCAGTTTCCAACATTTGTAGCAGTAGCATAAGAGGAATCTCTATATATCTATCTGGGAATCTAAAGGAGGAGGAGGAGGAGGAGGAGAGAGAGAGAGAGAAGAAAAGAAAAGAAAAGAAAGGAAAGGAAAGATGTTGGAAGGGAAAGCTAGCATAAAGGAAACTGACATGCCAGAAAAGATGCAGATGCAAGCCATGGCTTGTGCTTCTCAAGTCCTTGATAATCTCCATGACGTTTTTGATTGCATATCTATTGCTGCCCACATCAAGAAGGTATGCATATACACTTTGCCTATCTTTTTCTTATTTAAAAAGATGTCAACTTTTTAAACATTTTACAATGATTTTCGTTTGATTTTTTTTAAAATTTCTTTAATGGGTTTTCACAATCTTTTAATTTTCTGTGATGGGTTTTGTGTTTGCAGGAGTTTGACAAGATGTATGGAAGTGGCTGGCAATGTGTGGTGGGTTCTAACTTTGGTTGTTTCTTCACTCATGCACCTGGGACTTTCATATACTTTTCCCTGGAGACCCTCAATTTCCTTATCTTCAAGGGAGCCTCTTCGTGAGTTAATTTACCACATCAAAGTTATGAGAGCTCTTGGAATCTGTACTTTGTGTAATCAAAGTTTGTGTGATACTGGTAACAAGAGTTTGTAAATGGTAGTTAAAGAGTTTCTATCATCTTCAATCGGTGGAGAGCCTCACAGTGCCCCCACATGCCTCTTTGTAATTCCTCCTCAGGATTATATTACTGCTTAATCATATCATAATCATATAATTAATTGCTCTTAACTAATTAATCATCATTATCATCTGTATGAGTCTGATGTTTATTCTGTGGTGGTGGTTGTCATGTTGCTTCTATATTATTGAGAAGAATTGAATAGCTGTACTCACCGCCAAAAAGTCTACGCAATTTGCAGCCGGTCCAAGTCATATAACAAGACACTGTTTGTTTCCGTGTTCTTTCAAAACTTGTTTATTTATGCATGCCACATCCATTTGGATGTATTATAATATTATGCCTCATTTGCCTGATTGGTCTTCAGTCAGATATTGGTTTTATAAATTAATCCACTAGACCTTATCCTCCTGACAAATACTTTCCTATTCCCATTGCATTGCCGCCTTCTTCTTATCTCTCTCCTCTTTTGATAAGTCACACGAGGAGAGGGATAAGGAAATTTTTCCATTTCTTCTGGTTGGCCAGTTCAGAGATATCTTTTGGACCAACACTAAACAAAAGTCTTGCTGCTTTCACAAAATGTGCTACCTAATATTACTCATGTTATCCCTCCAGAATCTTTGACAATGCAGACTCAAGAACTGTTTTCACATTCTAATGATTTTTCAGTAAGTAGTTGTTTTGAATTTGGAAGAAATATTGCATCTAGAAACATTTGAACTTGCCATACAGCATATGTCTCCCTTTCTATTAACCTAAGCACCCATATATTTACAGAAAAATAACTGGGTGCAAAAGTTAGCTTGCAAACCTGTATAACAAAGAAAATAGGTAGGGGGGTCATGATATTGCTGGAGAGCTAGCACAAATTATACAAATACCTCCTCAATCAATCCATCTAAAACCAGTTCCTCTATGTCATCCACTACTTGCTCAGCTTCATCCCTTGAAAATCCACTTCTCCAACCCAAATCCCATGTCCCATTTACCACTCCTCTGCACATTATATCTCTCTCCAACATTGCATGCAGACTGTCTGCAAGGAGGTTCTCACCAGCAAGCTTGCTGTAATTTATCAGCTTCTCGATCCCGTTACAAACTTCCTGCACCAACTTGTCTAGAGATATGCAAATTCTTGACTTGCCCTGACATGTTAGTAGCAAAATATCAACTGTTTTTGAATCTTGAACACTTCTGCACTTGATGAGTTCACTTGCACAATCTATAAATAGTCTTCTACCGGATTCTCCAAAACTGTGAATGGAGGATGTTAGTAAGATTGTAGAGCTATTCACTTTAAGATCAAAAAGCTCCTCCGCAAGACTCAGAAGTGATGGATTGTTCAAAAGGAAATCTCCCAGACTTTCTCCACTTTCCAACGTTTTGCCATCCCTTGCACTCTGACTAATGTGCTCAGAAGCTTCTTCTGCAGTTTTCGTGTCTGTTTCTTGTTCGGGGCTCGGTGGTGTGGCATCATATAGAGAACTTTGAGAATTACTGTAGTGTCCTGTGGTTAAAAGGTAAAAAGGTCAACTAAAATCTACATTTACACGCACACAACGTAAGACTAATCTGAAATTTTGGTTAACTTCATTAATTGAACAATGCAGGTCTCCTTAAAAGTTGGAACTACCATGCAGACACTTGCGCAGCAATTTGCACATATATGTCACCTTCTAATGAAACATTTTGACAACTCCTAATGATGACCCGGCTTGCTCTCATATGACCAGTATAACCATAATCCTAAGTGTAACTAAAGAAGGCCATACCTTCAGTCTGAGATCCATAGGTATCTGTTTCCTCTTCCTTAGTGATGTTGGAGCTGATTGGAGAAGCGTCCCTTTTGTCGTCCATATCAATCCTCTTGTCACTTTCTTCACTCACAACATTTTTGGTCTGCATTAAAAAAAAATGCTACATTAGTTTTCAAAAAATCAGAAGTGCTAACTTTGTATGGAAAAGTCTAGTTTTGGCATTTCAGTTCCATACTTCTGCAGTTTTTTCAATAAACAACATAACGTTGGGAAAAAAAACCCAACAATTTTCAAAATAAAGTTCTTTTAGGACAACCAAAAAGATTTGATATGAGGAAGACTTACAACTGATTTAGCTACTATAGGCTCTTTGACTGGCTTCTCCTTCTTTAAGTGATTCCTTTTCCGCTCTGTGGAGTTAGACACTACAGTCTGAGTTGAGCGTTTTGAGATTGTGTTTGTCATAGTATTTGGTTGTCTGGAAGTTTGATTCTTTATGATGTTTGATCCAGATTCATGCTTTCTCACCTTTGTAGATGTCAATTTGTCTTGTTCTTGAGACTTTGGCACAATTTTAGCTTTCACTACATCTTTTTCTGGTGAATTCCTAACAGCAGTCACCTTTTGGATCCTATCAACCTTCTTGTCAATTGCCTCCTTTTTCTGTGGTTTGTGATCTACAGGATGAGAAGCTTTCAACTTTCTTGAAGCCTTTTCTTTTGTCTTGACTTCTTTTTCTTCAGGTTTCTCTACTGCCACTTGATGGTTTTTAGCCCTTTCTTCATGGTTAACCCTTTTGCTTTCTGCTTCCACTTTTCGGTGCGTTTTGTCAGACTTCAAAGCTCCTTCTTTACAATGGATTGTTTTGGGACAAAACTCTTCTTTTTTCCCCAGTTTTTTTAGCATCTTTTTGGTGTAGAAAGCTTCCTCTGCCTGAGCCAATGGTGCATGGGGCTTCTCCAATTCAAGCGATGGATCAGGAAGAGGCCTTATAAGTACAATAGGTGGACTGTCATAAGTGAATCGTTTTTCAGAATCAGAGTGATGGGAATGATGGAAATCAGGCTTATGCTCTTGAACATAATTGCCTTTCAGAAGTCCTTTAAATCGCATCGTCTCAAGAACTTCCCTCAAGGTCCTCCTTTCATGATCAACATTTTGAGCTAAAGTTTGAGGCTTTCTCACCTTTGGCCTATCAATATCAAACATAGTTCTCTGCTGACTAGAAATCTTCTCACCCTCCTCCAACTGTTTCTTGAGAGTGGCCTGTAAAGGGTACTCTTCTATACCCATCAGCTTGGCAATCAGATTCGGGCCGCCTTTAGCCTTCTTTGGAGGAGCTGATGCTATGGTGGAATCACTAGTGGTATGAAACATGGAAGATTGGCTTGAGCTGGTGGAGGGAGAGTCTGAACATGAATCCATATATCTTTGAGGGAAAAAAGTATAAGGCTTTTCAACAAAAGTTGTATCTTCCACCAGTTTCTGTTTTACAAGGCTGTCTCTGATCACCTTCTTAAGTTCCTCAGTACAACTCCTAGAAGACCCATCAGCAGAAAGCCTAGGCTTTTGAAATTCTGTCACATAATTGTGATCTCCATAATGATTTGAGTAAGCTCTGTGAGTCTCCAGCCCATTGTTTCTTCCTCGTTCAGACTTTTCTGTGTGTTTCTTGTTCAAGTGAGCCATGTACTGTGATGCTTCCTGCAACTTGCCAAGCATGGCAAGAGACTCTTGCAGATCAAGAGCTCCTTTGAGCAAATCCTTTGCAATGTCTTTAGGCTGCCCATCAAACCTCTTCCCACTGGACCAAGAATCAATCGTGTGGTTCAGCTTCTGAGCTCCTCTAGATACTTCCATAAGCTGAAAAGAAGATGGGTTTTGAAACTCCCCTGTGCACTTTTCAGGGATCATCTCATGCTTCCCTGTCTTGATATCTAAAGATGTGCTTGAGTTCTTGGACTTTCTTCTGTTTTCCATCTTCTGCTCTATTTTCTGGGAACCACTTTTGGATTTTCTAATCATCCCACAATCAACAACTCCTTTTGGATCATCACATGTGACAAATGATCTGTACACAGCTGATTTCAGGCCGTCTTGAGGCATATTCTGTGATAGAAAATTACAATCACGAAAGTCAGAATGACAGATGCTACGATAAAATTCAATTCAGTTTACAAATAACAAATGCGGTATCATATGAAACCTACATGGTCTTGGAAATTCTAGTCAATCTTTTCGAATATCGTCGATAGCAGACATAAATAACACTTGTTTGGTTCTGGTTTAGGGAGAGACAGGCCAAATAAACAATTAGTTGCTGCCAACATAAACAATAAAGAAAGATAAGCACAAATAGAAAGAAGATTCTATTTTTGAAAATTTCAAACATGCTGTTATTTGGATTATTTGAGAAAATCCCACAATTTCACGAAATATTGTGTATCACATTGATGCTTGAAGTTTCTGAGAAACCATGCATGCACAGAGAGAGAGAGAGAGAGAGAGAGAGAGAGAGAGAGAGAGAGAGAGAGAGAGAGAGAGAGAGAGGCAGAGGCTGTCCTGAAATTTGGAAGTGATAGATCTGAGCATGAAATATCAACATAAATTTGAAACAGAGTAGAAGACGACATATCATGAAATTTCTCATATGAAGACAACAGAAAAACAGAACACAAATGTCTTGAAAGGTACTAAAAGATAAAATGGAAAGAAAACAATGTCATCCACCCATTTATATATCTTACATAATGGTTTGAAAGGTACTAAAAGATACAAACAAGAGCACAAATGTCATGCACATAACATTTACCTGAATTCTGAGGCTTTTATTTCTCAGCATTGATCAACCTATTTGAAAATCCCAGGATAGGACATTAACAACAAATACAAGACCAGGCCAAGAACATAGATGAAAAACAAGCACAAAGCAAGCACCCACACCAGTGATGAGCGCAGAGCAAACTGTAGCTCAGCTTCACCTCTGACTAAAGAAACACAAGCACAAAGCTACAGAAACCAGTCGTACAAACAACTCACCAGCAACTGCAAGTGAGGTAGCAGCAGTGACTCAGATCCACAGAAGAAGAGCAGAGATGAACAGTAGGTGCATTGACTTTAAGCAAGTGTTTGGAAGTTCATAGCAAAGCAGACAGTCTAAGATTTGGTGCTCTTTTTTCTTTGTTTATTAGACAAGAAAATCGTTTAGAAGATTGTGATGTGGGTTTGATTAGTTGGTACACTTGGTTCTTGTCGTACCTAAACCAAGTCACAGAATGAAAGATCTAGTCTACTGTGCACTTTCAGCGAAAAGCTAACACCCAGCAATTGTTGTAGTCTTATCTATTTATTATTGTTGTAACTTGTATTGGTAAGGGAATGTTTTGGTAAAAGAAAACTCTAAATGGGGTTTTAAGCAGAAATGGAGAGATTAACATATAATTAAGACAGGGCCCAAAGTCATTAATCTTGGATCTGATCAGGGAGGAAGGAGAATGAGCAATTATTATTATTATTATTATTATTATTATTTTTCCATGTATATGCATGTGTTGTGTACTTAATACTCGTATCTCATTTCCTTGTTCCTTCCTATGGGTTTTGGACAATAATGGGGACTCAAACTTGTTGCGTATGGTTCGACCAAAAAAAAAACTTGTTGCGTATGGTTTGGGGGTATGTGTATGTCCATTTAAGTTTGAGATTGATTTGTCTCTCAAGTCTCAACCCTCATCCATATTGAGTTATTATATTGACTCTCATGGCCGGCTTTTACATACAGTGCAGCAATAGATTTAAATCACTTAAACATTTAGCAACTTTGTTTGCGTGGATTAGACCAGCTGTGGGCTGTGCTATGGTTATGAGCCGCCTTTTTGCACTCAAGTTTGAATTTTCATTCCATTGATTAGATTATCGTTTATGTAAAAAATTTATATAAAAAAAGCCAATATTTACAATTATATATACGTGTTGAAACTTTCAACAACAGGCTTGTTATGAAAAAAAATATATACTAAAAATTGTTAAAAAAAGTTCATCTTAGGAGAAGCCAAGTAGTTTCAAACAAAGGTAGAAGGTGGAAGATTTTCAGAAAAGGTATGAATTAACAACTCAGAATTATTCCACTTTGGCGTTTTCTGCATAAAAAAGGGTACAAGTTTTTGAACCACAACAAAATCAATCATAGAGAGAGGACACACTACACATTCTATTGTTTGGCCATTCATGAACTGTTCTTTTCGTTCACTCTCATTCTTTTTTACTTTATAATTAAAGCAACTAGAGCTAGCTTCACATAGACTTTTTTTTCTTTTAAAAAAAAAATTGGGATAGGGGGGACAAAAGAAACGACAGGTAACTAATACATATCAAGTGAGGTTTAACAACGCCTAACAAATCATCCACTAAGAAAGAGCTAATTCAGACAAGAACCTCATCCTTCACATAGATTATTATTAATTGCTGATTACTCTATCATAATTAAACCACATACAATAATTATCAGCCTAATCATTTGGGTTTAGAGTTTGGACCAAGATTGGTTGATTGGTTCAGCTCAGTGTTCACAAATAGCCATGAAGCTAAAAATAAGTATGACCTTAAAAGGCCCTTCTCAACAGGAAAGGTCACGGGACTCTAAAAGCTAAATTCTGTAGCCTTAAAAAAATCTAAACAATTTCATGAATACTTGGATCTATTTGAAATCAAAAGGTACTAGAAAACAAACTGTTTCAAATGGGGGCCTCAAATCATTAACCTATAATTAACATGAAGAATTCCTCCGTGCCACCAAGGGTTGCATGGGTCAGCCTCATTGATTAGTGGGTTGCATAAAGTAGCCCAACAAGCAAGGCAACCCAAATGGGAAATTTTAAATGCAATCACGGAATTCTTGCAGAGGTAAGAAAAGTACTGCACTGTTAATTTAATACTTTTGGTGCTTGTCATAAATGAAATTAAATAATCTTCACCAATTTTGTTTCCCCTTTTTGCTGATAGCATAAATAATGCTTGGTCTCCTTTGTTGTTTATGGTTTGAAATTTAAATTCTAACCACCATTCAGGTTTTGATAGCTAAGCCAAATACACACACACACACATCACTTTAACTTTGACATAATATGACAATCACTTATGGGCAATGAAAACTTATGGCAAAAGCTTTTGGAAATAGGTATCACTCACTGGCCATCTCCACAGGCAAGGAAAGGGCAAAATCAAAAAAGCTGACTTGAGTGACCCTGTCCTACTCAAAGACCCTCAAAATTCAATGGGGAGATTGATTTTAAGTTCCTAGTACTGGTTATTACACTTTCATATTGATTCTCCGACCATATTGATTTCACCCTTTAACCCAAATATGTTCACATGAAGCAAGCATGCCAACTCAAGTCCATTGGTGATATTGATTATTGCCATAAAAGAATGAAAATGACTATAAAACCTTGAAACTAAATATGTTTCAATTTCATCAATGGGGACTTGTAGACTAGAGGTCTTAAGTTCAAACTCGCATAGCACCATGGTAATGTGTGTGTGAGAAATCATCATCTTCCTCTAGTTTAAACTATGACTTGTACTCAAAAAAATATGTTCCAATTTATTTTTCAATTAATTAAAGGGTGGTGATTTTCCCACTCCCCTTTTGTCGGCTTACACTCCCTTTTGTTTTTAAATACTTTTTACTATACATAAAATAGAGTGCAAGTGGACAAAAGAGGAGTGAGAACATACAATTTCCAACAAATGGAGTGTAAGAGCAACTCCACCCATTTGTCCCTTGCCATGGCAAGAGGGGAGTTAGGGTAGAGTGGTTGCCCTTACAAATAGTATTATGTGTTTCCACCCGTTGCCATGGCAAAGGGCAATTATTATTCATTTTTTTGGTTTTTTTCAAAAATTTGTTTACCTAAACAATGAATTTATTATAAAATTCATGCCTCAATCAGATAAAATTTTGGTATTTATAAAAAAAAAAAAAAATCAGTATTTTTTTTTTTTTTTTTTTTTTTTTTTTTAAAATTGATTTTTTTTTCATTTTTTTATTACACAAAAAATGGTTGATGTTGGATTGGAGAAAGAAAAAAAATGATCTGAGAGCCCAGAGCGCGACATGTGGACTTTAGCGGCATTGTAGCACATGAGCACTGTAGCGGTACTGTAGCGCTGACGTTAGCACCAAAATGAGGGCTGAAGCTCTGGCCAACCTTGCCCTTGGGGCAGCCCAGGTTGCTGGGACTCACTCCCAACTCAGGCTTGGGCTCCTTGCTGGAAACATATTTTGGCAAAATTTTCCCCCAGCCCGAGGCTCGGTGGAATCGCTGGAGTTGCTCTAAGTGGACAAAATGGGAGTGAGAAAATCAGCTCCTTAATTAAAATACATTTAAATGGAATTTCTCATGGGTATACATTATTATTTTTTCTTTTAAAGCATATTTATCAAAATTCCAAATCCAAAGTACATCTACCAACTTTTTTGTTTTTGTTTTTTTTGAGAGAACATCTACCAACTAATTCTTAATGTTAAAAGAGGTTACAAGTTGGGATTTCCCTCTCAAATAAAAGAAAAACAAAAGTTCTAGTATTTAGAAAGGCCTAAGCAGAAAAATGGGAATGTGACCACGGACTTGTCTATGTTGGGCTCCTTTTATTGGGGTTTGGCTTTCTTCGTTGTTAGGCCTGTTGTCTTTGTTAGGGTTTAGTTTATTGGGCCCTGGGAGACTAGCCAGCCAGGCACTTACCAAGTCGTCAAAAACAAATGGAAGGCTTGCGAGACAAATGGGTGTTGCTGATGAACTTGCAAAATATAAGCTGATTTTGGACTTCTGCAATGTTCTTATTTGTTGATGTTCTTAATGGAATATAGAATGCTTGGAATCTCTCTCTCTCTCTCTCTCATTAGTTTGGTCTCCTCTGGTACAGAGTTTCACGAGTTAATTATTTAAATTTAATTCCTTTAATTAGTTGAGTTTAGCGACCTTCAGAGTCTTAATGATTGACTTTGTTTAAGGGTTAGGATCCTCCCTTGGAAGCCTGTCGCCAGTTGTTCATCTGGTGAAGCTCTTTTGACATGGCAATGCTTAAAAATACTTGTGAATTGTGACCATCACGTCTCTCCATTTCTAAATTTAAAAAAAAGAAGAAGTTTAGCAGTGTTCTAATGAAATATAATCCAGTTGAAGCAGAGTTGTACATGTCCAAGTGTCGTGGGGTGATTGGAGAAATATGAAAGACCATGTAAAGAGATTGTCCTTACACTTCAATTCAAACCAGTCAAATTAGCTTAGAATTTTCCCCTGTCAAAAATAGAGATAAAGAAGGAACCAATGGTTGTCCGTTGTTAACGTGAAAACGCGTAGATTGAGAGTACACAAAGTGATCCTTAATTTTCACCATTCCCCTTCCTATAAAAATAGTTGAAAAACAGAAAACTCATTTACCACCATTCAATTGAAGAAACAAACACGGCCCCAGAAATTTACCTTCTTTTTTTAATTATTCATAATATCATACTTAACCTTAATTACGTCAACCCCACATTTTGTTTGGTTTCTCAAATCATATGCACCCCACGTTCCCTAGCTGCAGAAACAGAAAACTGCACTAATCACCTCTGCTTCTTTTCCCTCTTTGATCAATTTTGCAAACTCAACTTTTCATTTTTCTATCTTTCGAGCCCCTCTATTGGGAGAAATACAATCTCCCCCTCTTTTCTCCTCCTTTCTCCCGTACAACAACAGTCCTTCTTCTTCTTCTCGTTGTTTGTTGCCCAAGAAAGAGGAAGGTGAAGAAATAACATTTGCTTTTCCAACCTATAGATTTTGCATCACTTTTGTTTTGTGTGTGTTTAGATTGGTGTTGTAACTTAGATTATATATTTAGAGAAGCTCTCCAAGTCACAATGGTCCGAGCTTTTACAACCCAAGCCACAATGCAGAAGACTAAATCTTTCCAGTTGAAACGTATGTTTGAGATTCCGAGACATCTTCAGAATTTGATCTTTGAGAATGGGCAGGACGGCGAAGGAGACGGCGAAAATGTTCAATTACTGAGTCCAGGCTCCAGGACTGCTGCAGAAGACGGTCCGGTCGAGGCACAAGGAATGTGGGGAGCTAATCATGACAAGGGTACAGCTTCAGATGGGGACCAAGGAGAAGGGATAAAAAGTCCTATAGGCAAGAAACCTTCAGGTGGTCTTATTTATTATACACCTGGAGTGTTCGTTGCATGATTTCAATAGCATAGTTTCTATATGCTATTTCTTTTCACAATTCTAATCACTTCTATGGAATTTGTTTGTGTGTTCAGATATGGAAATGATGAAGGAAAGGTTTTCTAAGCTGCTTTTGGGTGAAGATATGTCAGGTGGTGGAAAGGGTGTCTCTTCGGCTTTGGCTTTATCCAATTCCATAACCAACCTAGCAGGTATGCATTTAGGCTTCCTTATAATAATTTCTATAGTATATGCCTTGCAGAAACTGCATTGATTTTTTCAATCAGAATATGCATCTGCAAATTCAGATGCTACATCCAAATGAGGGTAATTCTGATTTCCATGTTCTTTGCTTTCTGCTTGTTTCTATCACAATGCAGCATCTGTTTTTGGCGAACAAAGGAAACTAGAGCCTATGTCTCCTGATAGGAAAGCGAGGTGGGTGAAAGAAATCGGCTGGCTTTTGTCTGTGACAGATCACATCGTTGAATTCGTGCCTTCACAACAGAATGGAACAAATATGGAGGTTATAACTCCTTCTCTCTTTCTCTGCCTTTATCTGAGTGTCCATCCCATATGTATTTGCTCATAATATACTATTCAATGTTCCAAAACTGCAGGACTCTAAAATCCTTTTATTTTTTTGTCTTTTGATTTGATAGATTATGGTGACTCGGCAAAGAAATGATCTGCACATGAACATTCCTGCCCTACGCAAGCTTGATGGAATGCTCATTGTAAGTACTTTTGTTCCCTAGCTGTCTACTTCCTGTTATAGGCTTATAGCTAGAGGATATCACTGTTTTACATGCAGAATTATACACCTTTTGCTAATCAGTTATAATCAAACAGGGCCACCTGGATAGCTTTGGAACTCCAAGTGAGTTCTGGTATGTGAAAAGAGATGCTCAAGACTCTGAAAAGGGTGATGATGCCCCAAGAAATGAAGAGAAATGGTGGAAACCCACTGTTAAAGTCCCCCCCGAAGGGCTATCAGATGAATGTCGAAGATGGCTGCAATCTCAGAAGGAATCTGTGAACCAAGTACTAAAAGCAGCAATGGCGATTAACGCTCAAGTACTTTCAGAAATGGAGATACCTGATAACTACATTGAATCCCTCCCTAAGGTATAAGACATAAGACTCTCATTACTAAAGATTTTATATTTTTAAAGTCTCATAGATTATTACTTGACAGAAAATGCTGAAATTAACTTGGGATTGATTGACTTTGTTTCTTTGACAGAATGGTAGAGCCAGCCTGGGTGATTCAATCTATAAGTGCATAACAGTGGACTGCTTTGATCCTGTCGAATTTTTTGACACCATGGACTTGTCCACAGAGCACAAAGTGCTTGACCTCAAAGACAGGATTGAGGCCTCTATTGTCATTTGGAAGAGGAAGATGAACCACAAGGATGGAAAGTCTTCATGGAGTTCAGTTGTGAGCTTGGAGAAGAGAGAACTCTTTGAAGAGAGAGTGGAGACCATATTACTCCTATTAAAGCAGAAGTTCCCAGGAATTCCACAATCTGCTCTTGACATAAGCAAAATTCAATTCAATAAGGTGACTGCCAAATATATTTTTCTCTTTCGTCCTATGTTTGTCGAGTTATTTTATAATCTAATAATCATGTGTTTTTTGGTTATACATAGGATGTGGGGTATGCTATTCTAGAGAGCTATTCAAGGGTAATAGAAAGCTTGGCCTTCAACGTCATGTCTATGGTTGAAGATGTTCTTTATGCTGATAATCAAGCTCGAAAGGCGTCATCAAACAGGAGGCTTTCAGTGGACTCATCATCACCATTTACAGATAATGGGAGGTCCCCTTATGCTAGGGAAGACGCGGACAGGTTGAGTTCTTCAGAGACACCAACAAAGACACTCTTTGAGTTCATGGGCTGGAATGCAGAAACAGACGAGACTGATATGGAGAAGGATAGCTCCACGGGCAATAAGGAGAGCTACTTTAAAGAAGACACTGACAAGAGTATGAGCAAACCTCCTGCTAACATAAACACCAAGAGATTTTCCTATTTAGAGAAGCTTGAGAAGTTGAGTGGTCTAAGAAGTCCAACAGCTCGGCATTGATAGAAGAAAATGAGAAAAAGAGAAGAATTGAACAATTGAAGAGAGAGAGAGAGAGAGAGAGGAGGGGGGCCAGATAGACATAGAGAGAGAGAGAGAGTAGATACTTCCTAGGATGCTACTTGTTTAGTATTTCTATGTAGTGCTTGTGCTTCCTTCCTATTGAGGATAGGGAAGTCTCTTGGAGTGCTTAAGTAGTGGATTTTGATGCATTTGAGAACTGGGATGTGCTTTCTATCTTTGTTGTTTTGTAGGAACAGCAATACAATTATTCTAGTTTTTCTCAAAGGCTCTATTATCACCTTTCATTTTTTGTCTTCCATGAGCTTTGTCCTCCAGCCTCAACTAGACTGTTTGTCAAATATTTTTCTATAACAATATGCATGGCCAAAACCCACCAAAGAAATAAAACCGTCCCGACGAGAACCTACCCTGTTTTTATCTCTTATCGTAAAGGAAGTGATCTGCAAAAGCTTGTACGGTTGGTGGTGAAAGTCAGAATATTCACCACAAAATGCACTCTTCTATATGATATTGGCAATGTCGGAGTTGAAGGGGTTAAAAACATCCTTGTTATTGAAGTTCACAACCTAACTCAGGATCAAGAACACAAACTGGGGGCACTTATAAGTTCAATGCTGGCAATGTCACGATTCAGCACCAAGGCGTGACTGTAGGAGTAGTTGCTGTCCCAAAGAGCAAGGCTGGAATACTTTCTACTAAAAGAATCAACGTGGAGGTGAGTTCAAGTGCAATAAGTGGTTCAAATCTTGGCAGCGAATTGAGCAGCGGGGTGTTGATGCTCAACAGCGTAGCTAGATTGACTGGAAAAGTTGAATTGATGTTTATAATGAAGAAGAAGGCTACCAACATGAACTACTGCACCATAGCTTTTGATGTGGCAGCCAAGACAGTCAAATCTTTACAATGCAAGTGAAGACAGCTAAAATTATGATTTTAGATTGATGAAGACTAGTTCTTGGATAATTTTTTCGTCATTGATATTGTTTGTTATTATTTGTTGTAGAATTATAATACTACTTCACTGAAACCGTCGTTATTCTTTTTACTGGGGCTGTGCTTTCGTTTGATTTTGGCAAATGAATGAATTTGCAACTAACTTTATGTTTATCAAATGATTTATACTTTAAACCATGCATCTTGTTTATCCAATAAGGCCAGTATTTGCAGAAATGGGTCTACTTTCAGGATCAATCTTGAAATGGAGGAGCAGGATTAGGGGTCTACTTTTTCCTTTGTTCTCAAAAGCTTGATTAAGACAAAAGCATTTTGCTGATATAACCTTGCACCTGCTACACAACATCTAGCCTTTGACAAGATAATAAACTCAGTATGTAAAATGCTGGCCCTATAACATATTGGAATTGTTTATTGTTGCTTCGTGTATCCCAGTTGCTACAAAACCATAAACATTAACCATTCATTCATGATATTTTGATCAACTTGATTAATTTTATTTACAGAACCATAACAATCATCCCTCCCTAACAAGTACATCTACTTAACCTAAAAATAAAAAATAAAATAAAAAGCATCTACCAACATTTTAAACCAGTCCTATAAAAAGAAGCTTGGAATAATCTGTCCGGAGAAGCACTAACATCCTCCCTGATACTTGTAAGTGCAAGCAGCCTCTAAAATCTATGGTATGATCAATATTGCTAGGGGATTATAGTTTATGGATCACATTGGAGATCAACAAGAGTAGGACTCACCCGTACAAGTGGATCCCATGTCAATTAGCTAGAGATGTGATCTACTATGTGGTACAAATAGTTTCTGCTCTTTTCATATTGTTCTTTTAGCTCGTCTAATGAGTGACAAGATGTCATGACCCTGCCCAGATTTCTTGAGGCGTCCATTCTTCCGAGATTCCTGCAAGACAACGCAAGAAGACATGCTAGAATCAAAGGACACAAGACAAAGTGATTGTAGCAAATGTCATCATGTATGCGTCAACTGTCTCAGCTCACCTGGAAATGAAATGTAGGATTTGGACCTCTAGACAGGATTGATAGGCCATCACGAACCGGAACTACAGTAAAATAAATTGATGTTAAAGATTGAGAATGCACATCATATAAGCTAGTGTATGTTAAAGACAATTCATAAAACTATACATAGTAGCAGCTACTATTCTTGTTTTTCGGGGGAAAGCACGAAGTTACCTAAAGCTGAATTAGTTTCCCCCTCGGGAAAAGACGGTTTGTGAGATGATGTGTACAAGAAAAGTGGCATTGCAGCCTCTTTGTCAAATTCATGATTGTCGATGGTTTTACGAGAGGCTGGAGTTGCAGGATCCCTGCATGGATCAAAATCATCAAATAAAAAAGCTCAAAGCTAGAAACAACAATCATCTATTTCCCTAATGAAGCTACACTGAGCAGTTGGAACCCAAAGGCTTAGAAAAATATATTAAGTATCAACTGTGCCGATGGAAGTTCATAAAGTTCTTTGTGAATGCACACTTATCCTGCAGCCAAATAACCTCAAAATTTCTGCTATGAGATTATAAAGATGAAAATCTTACCTTAAATCTTCACTGGTTTTCTCAGCATCTCTGACTGCCGATCAGATAACAAAGAATTAGAAACTAGAAAGTGGAAAGAAAAAAAAAGTTACGCACATAGTTGTAAGTAGCAGTTTATCCTTTTTTTCATGTTTCACTGGAAATAGCAGATTTTCAATCTTAGTGAAGAGAAGAGAACAATGAAATGGTGTGGAATAATTACGTGCAGACAAAAAACGTGCGTTATGCCTAGGCAATATTTCCCTCCATCGGACTTTAGGCAGAGCAAGCTTGTGGGAGTATTGTTCGCATAAGAAAAGCCTCTGTCAAAAACAGAGCAAGTTTACTGATTAGTGATTCAGGCAAGCACATAATTTATAACCCATATATTAACATCAGCAAGCTTATAAGGTGATAATAACAACTTGTTTGAGGCAATCGATTCGAAGCTCGGTCTCCGAAAATGCGTTAGTCTCAGAAATGAGGCTATTGAGGTTGGCAGAAACGCATCCAAGATGATCAACAACAGTAACCACAGCTCTGCATACATACTCCTTGGTGTTTTCCATCACACTGCAAAAATTAAAAAATAGAAAAAATGCAACCATTGCAGCAATTCATGGCTGAGGCCTAAAAAGGTCATTACGTGGAGAGCTTTGGCATTTAATTGTGTTAAAAAGACTCACACTTTCTTCTCTTTGGTATTCAAGAATGTTGATTCACAGTAGTCAGCAGCATAATGAAGTTGAGAGCGCAGGTCTTTCAGTTCCTTCAACCCACAGACAAAAATAGTTTGACATCTTAATAAAGAGAGAAAATTGCACAGAGAAATGAAAAACCAAGTATGGCATTATTCTTGGGCTCGAAAATAATGTACCTGGAGAGACTTATCAAAGCTTACAATGTCCATAGGCTTAGACTTGGCTTCTGAATCTTGTCCTGAACAGGGTTTAGAGTTTTCTATCTCCTCCATGTTTTTCTGTAGAATGTTTGTGAAACTTGCAGAAGAGATAATGATAAAGAGGGGAATTAAGACAAAGAAGACAAGCTCTCTCCTTATCTGATTATCTCCCTGTTTTTTTGAACTTGTTGGGGGTTGAGTGGGGTGGGGCTTGTTTTGGTTTGAGCAAGAGAAAGAGACAGAGTGGTGATATCTGTGAGTCTGTGACTATAGGCTTTTTTGAGAGAAAACCAAAAACCCATTAAAGCTAGCAGTGAGAAAACAATAACAAACAAAACCCATTAAAGAGAGATTCTCCAGGCCATGATCAGATTCAGAGTGATCACCAGCATGTTCGAGAAAGAGAAAGATGACAAAAACAAAGTTTTCAGCCCGTGATTTTGTGTTCGGTGTCCTTTTTTCAGTTTATGAGAAAAGAAGTTAAAAAGGTCCAAAGTCCACTGACTGACAAATGAATCAAAGGTGGCACTTCCATATGCGTTATATTGAAGTATTTATGAAAATGTTATTGACTGCATTATTTCCGAGGTATGATTGTGTGAAAGCTGTTATGGGATTATGACAACATGATTTGCTCTCTCACTTTGGAGTCCTGATTGGCCTTTGCTCTCTCACAGGGTAATTGTATAATAATTATTTGGGATATCTTTTTATCCATTAATTGAGTGTAATTATCTTATACTTAGCTTGTTGCCAATCTTGTAGAGATAATTTATACTTTCCAAATTGAGATTAATAAAATCGTTTAATTTCAAAACTTTCAGGTTCCTTAATCCTTATAAGATGGTTACTATCAATTAATCATAGATCATGTACCCATCATGTTGCACTAAAAATTGTAACTCCACACGCAAACGTGGGTTAGGCCAGTTGGTTAAGGCAGTGAGCCCGTCCCCTTACACCCAAGTTCGAATTCCCCTCTCCGTAAATTAGATTATCACTTGTATCTAAAAATAATAAAGAAATTGCAACTACACACATGCAAATGAAGTCTAATGCATGGAAAGTTTATACAAAAAATTATGGTCCCTCTATTCTAAGGACCACCCTATCAGCCAACACCACCAGACGCACGCGCGCAAAGGGAGAAGAAGAAAAGCTCTAGGCTACTAATTTTATTGCAAAAACTGTTTCCTGCAATGGAAATCTGTATTCTTCTCCAACTAGAAACTCAGCTGCCAACTATACAGACAAAAAACCCTTCAGTTGGGAGCTCATTAGACATTACCCTGCCGTCTCAATGAAGATCCTGAACTAGATTAGCATGAAGTTTATATTTGAAAATCAATGACACATCCACCAATCTTCTCTGCAGTTGCAATATCTGGAACAATTGAGTGACAATCTGAGCTCATGGACCCTGACAGAATATCTTTGATATTCTCAAAAAATTCATGAGGCTGGTGTTTAGTATATTTCTGCTTGCCATTCTTCAATGGTTGTGACTCAACACCGGTTCGAGTAGCTGACCTTGCATTCCCGTTGTCACGACGAAGAGGCTGTGCATCTGCTCCAAACAAATATTCTTGGTAAACTAATAAACTGATATGGATGACATAATTTACATAGACAGTTCATTTCGTGTTGCCAACCCAAATATCTGGAGGGAAAACCATGAATTGATAACACTCAGAATTACCTTTAGGTCTGGTTGCAGAATCGTTCCTTTCCAGACGTGATTTACTTCGCATAATGCATAACCATGTTCTTTCTGCCTCACAATCATGCTCTGATACAACTGGAATATGCCAGTGCCCTTCCTCTGATTCCTGAGAACATATTTCACCAGGTGCATCAATATTTCTGTTGTGCCACCTTTCAAAAGATAGGAATACAAACATGTACAGATGTAGAGTCTTATAATCAAGATTATATTAACTTGTTTTCACCTGAATTACAACAGAACATGGAGGAGGCATGTGAAACACTGGACCAGCATCAGAAAAACTGAAATGCACCTGCCATTAGAAAATGATAGATAACTAGTTAGAAAAATAGGATTGCAAATCAGACAGAAACCAAGTATCATCGGTTGCAAAAAGAATATAACAAACTGGACCTATTAAATTTACATTTAGAACCAGCAGAGGCACTTAAAAATAGGGAGTTTCACTAAAACACCCAAAATGGAGGTTGAAATTATAAAAAAACCCAACACCCAAAACACTTTATAAACACACCCAAAACCCATCATTACACACACTCAAAACTCATTTATAAACACACCCAAAAAGTTGACTTTGGGGTTGATTTTGGGTGTGTTTCTATGTTTAAATAGTGCTTGGGTTTTTTTATAAATACATGTCTAGGATTGGGTTTATTTATAAATTTGTATTAAAAATATTACTTGATGCCTTTCTTTCCATCTGGGGAAGAAATCATTTCCAAGAAGTTGAAATATATGGTCTCTCATCTCGTCATTTGTCACCAATAAACACTTGAACTTTATAGCTGCATACAACCAGTACCTGAAACACAGGTTAATACCATGGCACTTTAAATGCATATGTATTACCTAAACAATAACATGAAATTAGCTATTAAATCAGTAAAAAGTTAATGTAAAAATCATATGCAAACTATGGAAGCATCATTATGTTCCAATATTATATTGCTCACCAATCATCATTTGAACCCGTAGGTGTTGCATAGAGAGCATCAGCATTTTGCCACTTCTCAATCAATGCCCTATTAACCCGTTCATCCATTTTTCCTCCACTGATACGCCTGTTATGAAGAACAATGAGTGGCCATCTCTTTGAAGGAAGCTTCTGGCGTATTCCATTAACAACAGCATTGACCTATTAACCCCACCATGAAAATTTACAGCAATCACTAATAAGAACATAAAGTTGATGTGTGTCATATGTGCTTAAGCATCATGCAACTTGCCTTGGATGGGATGAATTTCTTCTGGCTGAAAAGGCCTACATTAGCTCCATCCACCACTGCTTCAAAAGGTCCATAATAATCTAGCCATGTCTGCATAATAAAATTTTATTCTTTCCTAAGTCAATCCCAAATACAAGATTAAAATCAATAAGCATCGTTGGGGACTTTCGTACTTGGAATTTCTGAAAGCTTGAATTTTTCTCTCTCTTTATAGCTATAGTTGCAACGGATTCAGCAAAGTTTTCTGTTTCTACAGGATCAAGGTCAATCGTGGCCAACTTTTCCCCACAGCATTTGCACAAGCCATCAGCTCCAATAGTTGTACGCAACACAGACCATTTTCCTTTTCCCAACCAGCCCTGCCCATGCCAGCCCCCACCTCCATTCTCAATTGCCTCCCTTATCAATCTTGGATCCCATTTTATTTTTCCCACTCTTGCAGCTTCTTTGCTATGAAACCAGTTCATAATTAAATTGGCAATAGACGGTGAGACCCTCCTTACACTTGTTCTTAGTTTGTGCAGCATATAATACACCTTGTCACCTTTACCGACTCCCACGCTCACTCGTAAGAGGGCCTCTAGTTCAGGCTCTTCTGGATAGACACCGTGCTCCAACATGTGTTTCTCAACAGCAAATGCTTTATCAATATCTCCACTATGGCAAAAAGCAGATAATGCAGGACCATAGGAACGCAGTCTAGGATTTATTCCCAATGACTTCATTTGCTTCACCATATCAAATGCCATGTCTCCATCACCCATTGACATTGCCATTCTAGCCACAGATGTCAATGCTGCCTCATTCATTGGGACATTATCCAAACACATCTTCTCATAGATCTCAAATCCCCTTTGGAGGGCATACTTCTTCACTTCTTCACTGACACGAATTCCATTATCTTCTTGCTTAATGCTTCCATCTTTTAGATTTGAAGAATCATCTCCACCCTTTGTTTGGTAGTTCAGTCCATCTAAGAGGCGGGAATTTCGCTTCACAAACCCATTAGAAAACCATGCCAAGTTCTCCTTTTCATCTGAAGTACCATCCAGATCATCAAACCCCATTTTTTCCCCATTACTTCCATTGGTATCAACCAGTTGCTCAGTGTCCAAAGTTGATGTATTCAACCCCCTACCATCCCAATTCCCACTACCCAATTCCATGGAATTCACCCTGGTTTCTTCGCTGGCAGATGAATCCAAGGTATCCAAAGTTCGACTACCAGACCCACTCTTAGCGGGACGAACAACACCAACAGCTGCAGAAGAACAGAGATACAACAGTACAGTATAGTGGTACTGCTCCAACTTAATTTCTTCTCTTTGAGCCAAATCATAGAATTTAATTGCCCCCATGACATCCCCTCTCTTTGAGCACATATCCAATCCAACTCTCATCTTAACTTCTGGCGCATCAACGTCATATTTCTTAGACCCTTTCCCCCTTTTCTCTTCACCCGCCTGTTTATCATTACGTTTTCCTGAAGAGTTTACTTTATTCTCATCTTTGAGCCTCCTAGAAGAATGCTCATTGTCGTCCCTCCTTTTTCTAAAGCCAGGATTTTTCCTCGTATTTCTGTCTTTACTGAACCTATCTTCAGCCTTTTTCTCCTCCACTGAACCAACATGGTTCTTTACAGATTTTTTGCCAACCCTTTCTTCTGTGGACTTTAAGGAAGAAAACTCAGTACCAGTCCCTGGAGTCTTGGTTTTTAGATATGGTTCACGGTACGTGGTGGATAACTTTGCAACTATGTGGCTAATATCTTCTCTAACTACTGGAAGTGGATAAAGTTGAAGTGTGTGTTTAAGTTCAAGTGTTTGTTTGGGAGGCGAGAAAGTGAGAAAATGAGAGGGACAATGGAATTTAAAAGAATTGAGAGCCGATGGGTACTTACAGAGGTTGATGGAGAGGAGGTGGTGCTTTTGCTGCAGTGAGTTGGAGGTAGAAGAGGCCATGTGTGGCCGTTGGAAGAGCGCTCTCTAATGGCGAGATATGGATTTAATACGAAAATAACTAGAGAGTGGTATAACTCGAAATTACAGAGTTGCCCTTAATAACAAGATTTTTAAGCACCAATTGCCAAAACTTACGGGTAAATTAGTAATTAGGAGAAAAGCTTTTTTTGGTGAAAATTATATTGAAATTTAAATAAAATTCACCCAAAAAAAAAAAAGGGTTTGAGGTTTGGAGTTCGAAATCCTCTTGATTTTGAACTTATTTGGTTTCCAATTGAGTTTCTTTATTAACCTTTTTTTTCAATACAAGAGATATTCACGAAGTGTGAATTCGAAAATACAAGAGATTCATGAAGTGTGCATTCGAAAACCGGACCTTGGGTGCAGGGAAAAGTCCTGCGACCCTCCTTAGCAGTTATGAATACGATAAGGTGCTCAGGGACCCCTTTTATCTTACTCTCAAAGATTGTGCCAATAGAAACTGATTGCGACAAGGGTTCTGTAAATACGCAATTTTGTTCAACAGCTTAAAAATGGAACTTCAACCTTACATTGTCTTAGTGTCAAGTATAACTTTGTCATTTGGCATGTAACTGATAGCAAATACTAGAAAGAAAGCAAAGTAAATACACAATATTGGGCACCTCTCGCAAATAATACCCAATCATGGTAACACAAAAGCATCCAGCCTCCTTGAAAAAAGGCATTCAAACAAAGGGATGAAAACAAACAGGCACAGGCACCCGATAAACTGTTGAACATCTTATGCCACTAAAGTCATCATAAAAGAGAATTATCAACTTGAGACCTACATTGCCATCAAACAGAATCTATGCGAGACACCTTCATATGGAGAGAGGCTGTCATAAAGGCATTGAAATCCCTGAAATATGCGAAAGGTAGAATTAGAGTTCATACTCGATATCGCATTAACTTAGGGTTAGCAAAACTTCCTTGTTTTTACTTACAATTAACTTGTGTGTTCCATGTAGGTATAACAAATATGATTAGAACGAATTAATTGTCAATTCAGAGTTTAAGTTCTAAGAACAAAGAGAAGGCATGCCAGTTCCATATGAATTGTAATCGATTCTATGCTGAAAATCATGTCTCATTTGAATTTTTTTCTTTTTCTTTAGAAACTAATTGTAGGAGACGACTTGGAAGAATTTCTTCAACAAGATATATATATATAGCTATTAAAAATTCCGTCCTGAATAAAACAATCATGGTTTGGTTATCTATCTCCTAAGACAAGCTCACTCAGAAGCTCATATGAAGGCAGCGAACAGAAATTCAACCCACTCATAGTGCCAAATGCCATATATACATTAGATCACTAAAACTCAATCAAATAACTTAAAAGCAAATGCAGAGTTCAAGAATCCCACGTCGCCAAATATCCAAAACAAGAAAACGTTGAAATGTTTGTGACTTTATCACAGAGCAATTCTAATAGCAATACAGCATGAAACAATCAGAGTTGTTCACAGAGCCTAACACCTCAGTCTAATAAGTACATTGCGGCTGTCAAAGAAACAAGCAGATGGTGTGCAATTTCATGTAAACACCATATCATCGTATGCAAGCTGCATAAATTAAGCGCATGAAGCGTCAAATTAAAGTAAAAATCTCACCTTGAGGAACTAAACCCCAGCTTTGAGACTCGATGGACAAGCTCGATATCAACCGTGCCGAAGCCACCGCGCTGTGTAATGGCATCATTGAGCCCACACTGCCCAACTCCGACGGTAACCTAACAAAGATAAAATCTTTGTCAGATTCAAAAATTTCCTACTCATTCTCGGACGCCAAAAATACGTAATAAAAAGAAAATGAGAAATGAGAATGGAGGAACTGAAAACCTGGAAAGGCGAGAAATGCGTCGAGCAGGAGCGGAGGTCTGAGAGTGAAGGCTCGATTTGAGCTGAGAGAGTTCTGATGCAAGAGACGTCTTGTTGAGATTGCAGGTGAAGGGTTGTAATCGGGACGATAACCTAGAGACAACCTTATAGGACGCCATTGGAGAAGCTTCGAGCTTTGTAGCTACCGCTGCTAAGCTTTGGGGTTTGGGGGTTTTGCTCGTACTGCCACTGTCATTGTAGTGTGTGTGACGAGGGAAAGGTTTATGCGCAAAAGGAAACGACGTCGGTTTTGGTTTATTTGTTTAGGGTGGTTTCTTATTATCCGTTTCCCCATGGGTCGACCCGCTTCTGACTCATAGACTTGGACCAACCTTAAAATCCCATTTTATTAAGTCGGCTTGACCCAAAGAGTTGGCCCATGGAACATTAAATTAAAATAAATTCTTGTAAATTGAATAAACTTTTGAGAAAATCTTAATCTTCACCAAAATGATTGTAGCAGTGCCATTCATCAAAAACATGATTTGAAAAACTAATGATTATGTGGAATAAGATCTCCTGTTTTTTAATTTATATTTGATCTTGCGCTTCTGTTCTGTCAAAAAGGACATCATTTAGGAATTGTGAGTTTTGAGTTTAGTTTTCCGTACTTGTTACAAAATTTTCAGTAACACATGTAGGTATGTATTTTTCAACCATACATTCGTGTTCTATACATGTCTCACATTTTCTTTAAAAAGCAAACATACAGTAGTCGTATTGTACATGTACATACGTATTTCTAATATTTTATACACGTATGTTTTACAAAAAAATTTCAGTAACACACACAAATTCATGTATTATACAAATAATTTTCACATATTATTGAATAAGAATAACATATGGTATAAAAATTATATTAAAATATCAAATAGTGGAAGATTAATATTACTTTGGATATGTTGCAAATTAATATCCATAAGGTACAAACCAATGCAACTAGGAAGGTTCTTTTTTATAATTAATTTTTTTAATTAAATAGTATAGCCGTGCGGCTATTCTACGATTTTTTATAAAATATAGTATAGCCGGGCGGCTATACCTATTTTTACACGTGACTTTAAACGATAGAGGTTCTTCTTTTTTTTAATTTTTTTTAAAGGAGTACAATCGCACGGCTATAATTAATTTTTTTTTTTAAGACGTGTTGACATGTGGCGCCTAATGGCTGGAGTCTTTTTTATATTAAAAAATAGTATAGTCGCCGGCTATACTGAGTTTTTTATAAAAATAAAATAAAAAACATATAGTATAGGCAGGAGTCGTTTTTGTCTTCTTTTTTAAAAAAAAAAAAAAAAAAAAATTTTAATAAATAGTATAGACAAGCGGCTGTAGTCTTTTTCATATCTATTCACACACACACATATATATATATATGTATATATATATATACACATATGTAGGTAAGTATTATTCAACCATACATTCGTGTTCTATACACGTCTCACATTTTGTTTAAAAAGCAAACATACAATAGTCGTATTGTACATGTACATACGTATTTCTAATGTTTTATACACATATGTTTTACAAAATTTTTAGTAACACACAAAAATTCATGTATTATACAAATAATTGTCACATATTATTGAATAAGAATAACATATGGTATAAAAATTATATTAAAATATCAAATAGTAGAAGATTAATATCTACTTTGGATATGTTGCAAATTAATATCCATAAGGTACAAACCAATGCAACTAGGAAGGTCCTTTTTTATTATTAATTTTTTTAATTAAATAGTATCGCTGTGCGGCTATACTACGATTTTATAAAAAAAAATAGTATAGGCGGCAGCTATACCTATTTTCGACACGTGGCTTTATACGATAGAGGTTCCTTTTTTTCTTTTTTTTTCTAAAGGAGTACAGCCGCACGGATATAATTAATTTTTTAAAAAAAGACATGTGTTGACACGTGGCACCTAATGATTTTACAAATAGTATAGCCACTCGGCTATACTCAGTTTTGAAATTTTTTTTACAAAGACATGTGTTGCCACGTGGGGCATAATGGCTGAGGGTCTTTTTTTATATTTAAAAATAGTATAGCCGCTCGGCGATACTCAGTTTAGAAATTTTTTTAAGAAATACGTGTGTTGACATGTGGACCTAATGGTTGAGGACCTTTTTTATATTAAAAATTAGTATAGCCGCACGGCTATACTCAGTTTTGAAATTTAAAAAAAAGAGACATGTGTTGACACAAATGAAATTTAGAGATGTTAATATCAATGTGACTTTTTTTATATTAATTTTTTTAATTTTTTTATAAATACAAATTAAATTTAGAGATGTGAGACTTTAACACATAAAAGGTTAACATTATTAACTTCTTTGAGGTCCATTTGGATGGAGTAATTTTAAAATTTAGGGATTTAAATGATATAAAGGTCAAATTGTTTGTATAGATTACTACAATTCATATATGTCAATATTTGAAAATGTTATACAAAGCGTTAACATGTGTGTATTTTAAATCGATTCCAATGTACTATATGCAGCGATTTCAAATACATTCAATATAGAGTTTGTTTTTTTTTATAGCAAATGTCGCTTTGTTGTCAAATTCAAATATTTCATTTAAAACACATTCAAATATTATTTTTTTTAATACAAACTATATTGAGGGAGAGGGAATTGAAACTTAAGACATCAGTTGTAGATATGTAAATACTCTTAATCATTTGAGCTACAAACCCCTTGTCACGTACATGCATTTAAATGAAAGGAGATATTATATGTGATATGAACCTCATAGAAATTATTGCATTTAAAGCTAATTAAGTAGGTGCAGTGTTGTATAGCTCAATTGATTGAGCTATTCCATCTTCACCCATGTGGATAGAGCCTAGAGATTCAAAATTCCCAGACACCCAATGAATATTTGTGTAAACCCCCTAAATCGCTTGTACTTAAAAAAATATACTAATAATGGTTTGTGTCAATAGGAAGTTTTACCAATGTCTGTCATACTGTTATTAGGATGACTATGTTTATAATGTGTCATTTATACTATTTATTTATATATATATTTTATCAATACTATTTATTTATATTGATGTAATAAAATTCTATGGTCTTTTTATAAATAAAAAATACTAATTAAATTAGGCGAGCAAAAACAACTCTTTATATAACCAAAAAAAATGTAAATAAAAAAGAAAATATGGTTGTTGAGCAAAGGTTGTTAAAAAAACAAAAAGAAAGTAGGTGAGCAAAGCAAAAGGTGAACAAAGCGCTACAACGTGGAAGAATTTGACTTGAATTCCAAAATCCAGCCAATCAAATCAGAGTCCTCCATCCTTTTCATCAGCAGCGGATCATTTCACCGCGTGGATCACGAAAATTGTTGGTAACGGTAAGACTGCCTTGCAAGTTGCCACTAGTCACACTGAAGCCAAATTTCTCCACATCGCATTGCAGTGAGCCCCGAGCATTATTATAAATCAATCAACAAACATATAAAAAGACCCCCCCGTACACTGCGATCTCCTCATCGTCTTCATCATTATCAGCTCTCTTACTGTGTTTTCTTTATCTTCTTCACGAAACCCTAAGAACTCTGGTTCGTGAATCCATGGCGAAGGTCAAGGTCACCTTGGAGGTCGGGAACGACGGCGTTGCTGTGATCACCATATTCAATCCCCCTGTCAACGCCTTGGCCATACCGAGTAATCAAGCTAGCTCTGCACCATATTTATCAAAAGTTCGACGATTCATTCATCTGGTTTTGATTTTCTTTTTTTCGGATTGTTTTTCCGTGATGCTGCAGTTATAGCGGGGTTGAAGGAGAAGTTCGACGAAGTCGCGAGAAGAAATGATGTCAGGGCTATCGTTTTGACTGGTAATTAAGCTTTGATTCGTACTCTTTCGTTGAATTGTGCGGCAGTGCTGTTTTGTTTTGGTGATTTGGTGCTGTTCGATCCAATTCGGCCAATTGGTTATGCATTAACTGTTTTTTCTTTTCTGTGGTTCTGTTTTGTTTTTTTTGTTAAAGAATCTAAGAATGTTTGAATTTTTGTATGGCTTCTTCTTTGTGGATGTTTTACAGCTCAATTATATATTCTAATTGATTTTTTTTCTTCCTGAATGAAGGCAATGGAGGAAGGTTTTCTGGTGGTTTTGATATAAATGTTTTCGAGAAGGTTCATAAGTCTGGTATGATTGAATGAACTATACTGTTCTCGCTATTTTAGCTTGAAGTAAAATGACGGATTGAGAACTCAATATCATATTTCGCGGTGTGGCAGGGGATGTTTCACTTATGCCCGATGTCTCTGTTGAATTTGTGGTTAACAAACTTGAAGGTACTTACCAACATTACCTAAGGATACGGCTACTGGGCTCCATATTTAATACACTAATTAACAATTTCATTAATACTGTTTGTCTGTAAAATAGATTCAAAAAAACCTGTTGTTGCTGCTGTGGAAGGACTTGCACTTGGAGGTGGCTTGGAGTTGGCATTGGTTTGTGCTCCCATTGCCAAGCATACGCTTTTTAGATTTTCGTTGTTCTTAACTTTTGGTGGATAAAGTTGTTATCAGAATCTTTGTGCAATTACGTATTATTAGCAAATCTCATGCAGGGGTGCCATGCACGAATTGCTGCTCCAAGAACTCAACTTGGCCTGCCAGAGTTGACACTTGGAGTATTTCCAGGATTTGGAGGTGTAACTTTTATTCTACACTGACAATACATTGCAGACCTTTTTTATTTATTTATTTATTTATTTTTAAATTTAATGTCTCACTGAAATGTGAAAATACTGTTGCTATGTAAGGCACACAACGTCTTCCAAGGCTTGTAGGGCTTCGTAAGGCAGTTGAAATGATGCTGGTAATTGGCCCCTTTACTTGTTTTTTATTTTTCAATTAGAAAATCATAGAGCTTCATATCCTAAAATAATATAAATTCATCTTGTATTGGTTCCAATTTAGTGTTGCGTGGTACTTTTCAGTTATCCAAGTCAATCATGTCTGAAGAAGGGAAGAAGCTTGGTCTTATCGATGCTATTGTGCCTTCTCAAGAGTTGCTGAAAGTATCTCGTTTATGGGCTTTGGACATTGCTGAGAGGCGCAAACCTTGGTTGCGCTCTCTTCACAGGACAG